CTCTGGATCTTGCTGTGGTGAACCAGCTGAATGTGAAGCTGTGTGATTATGCGGAGTCCACATATCTGTGGTGAACTGTAGATCATCATCTGCTTGACAGTCTGCTCCTCTCTGAATTATGCCCGTCTCAGTCTGTCAGTAACAGATCACAGAAACTGAATGATACACACAAACTGAGATCACAGAGAGGATACGACCGCGAGACTTGAGAATGTCGAGGAAATACCCCCAGAATTTTATTAACAAGTACATGCACTGAAAGATATACATATTATTCTGCTTTTTTTTAAAAGTTTACTTTTTTTTAGGCACCATTAATACTAATTTATACTATTTTCTGAAAATAAGAATGTGTGTTATTTCTGGAAATAATAAAACGTACAAGTTTTTAAAATACGAGTGCAACAGGAAATACTATGTTTGTGTTTTTGGACCTACAGAGATTATAAAGTGTGTTGTGTTGAGTTGTGTCATATATGTCATGTGCTGTGTCAAATCATATCATATCACGTTGTATCTTGTCATATCGTGACATACTGTATCATATCATATCGTGCTGTGTGGTTTTGTATCACATTGCACTGTGTGGTGTGGTAAAGTGTGGTATCATATTGTATCATATTGTGTTTTATCATATTGTATCATGTCCTGTGGTGCACTGTTGTGTCATATTGTATAATATTACGTTGTATCTTATAATATCATATCATATCATATTGTATCGCACTATGTGGCTTTGTATTCTGTTGTATTGTGTGGTTAAAGTTGTATCATATCGTATCATATTGTTGCATATCGTATTATGTCCTATGACATCTTATAGCATTTCATTGTGTTGTATCATCTGGTATCATGCTGTGTAGCCTCATATTGTGTAGTGTGATCTTATTTGTGTGGTGTAATGTGGTATCATTGTATCATATCATATTGTATCATGTTGCGTCCTCTCATGCCGTGTCATATTGTGGCAGAAAGACATTACAACAGTTTACAACAAAGTGTACATGATTAAAAAATGTCACTTAGATTGCTGACCTTAATTGTGAATGAAGTGTTAGTGTCAATGGTCCTTTTTACCTGCTTATAGCTGCATCATCTCTTCTTTTTTCTTATTTTGTCAATCAGTCAAATACTTCAGAAGTCATACTTTATCATACGTTTTTTAGCTTATGTAAGTTGTGTTGCCAACATGCTTCTCAACAGTTTTGCCTCGATACCTGCAGCAGACCTGACATTAAACAATCAGGAATGATTTGTCAGGTTTGTGAAGTTAAACCCCTGTAGCTTTGTTCTGGTCTTCATTAACAGCTGCAGAAAAATACCCACCTCATCAGCTTACTTTTCAACACTATGTTCAACAGTTTTTTTTTTTCTTTTGCTAACTGTGTCTGTTGTGTGTTTGTTGCTGTGTAAATTTGGCTTCAAAGGGTTTTAGCCATTTAAAGAGGAAGAAAGGCCTCAGTTAAAAAATACATGGTCCATGAAATCCATGAGACTGAAACAAAAAGTTGTGATACGGGAAAACCGGTGATTTGGTCGATTAATCTTTGGTCCTTTGTCAATATGAGCAACAGAAGCACTTCCTTTAAATCAAACATTATATTGTAATGATTTATTATTAAAAAAACAGATTACTGTGGGTTTAAATATATATATTTGAATTTAGTCGTCTCAACCACGTCATCTAATATATCCAATTTGTCATTTACATGTCACTAACAGTAAAAAAACGCACTCATATGACATAAAACAAAGGGAAAAACTTACTCCGTTGCTTATGCTGAATTTTACAAACCTTGACTAACTCCATCAATAGCTCTAGCTGTTACTAATTGGGCAGCCAGCAAATCTTTCCCTTGGGAAAGGAAGAAAAGTAGTTTCTCAGGAGTCAGTATTGATAAGGTTGTGTGTAATGGTCCCTTTTGTGTCTGATACATTCATGTCTCTTAGTGGTCCCGGTCCCCCCGCTGAGATACAGACAGATATAGGGCCCATTATGGATAAATGCCAGTCTATGATCAATGACCTGGGGGACTGAACACGGATCAGCCATCAATACACGTTTCAACACACACAAACACCTACACACGCACACACACTCAGCACTCAATCATTTCATTTATCATTCATTACCGAGCAGAGACAGCTCCCAGGTTGAGGAGGGAGATAATGATCCAAGACCACAGCTGTTTGTTTGTGTTGGTGACGCAGATTGTAGGAACAGTGCCTTATCTTTGTCCACCTGGAGTTCGGCAAAAATACCAGCTCATGTACAATCTAAATCCAACAGTTAAAGAAGAACGTTTCTTAATTATAATTGCAGGAAATTAGGGATTTCATTCAAACAAATAACTGCACGTAAGCAGCAAGGCCTAAAACTAATGCTGGGGAGCTGGGAATGACGTCACACCCGAGTTGATGGCGTTCCAGTTAACAAGTCGGAAAATCAAGATGGTCACCTACAGTTAGCTGTTGTTTACAATTTTCAGCTGTGGTTAACCTTTGTCAGTTGTTGTCAGCTATACCAGTTGTAAACAACCCATAACACAGTATTTTATTCTTACAAACACCATAGCAACGTGTTCACAGTTCGACATTGGGCAGTACAACATATACCACTTATTTAATTTCACAAAAACAAAATAGAAGAGCTAATAAATAAAACAGCTTTCACTGTTACTCTTTACTGTTGAGGCACTGTGCTGCCATCTTGGATTACGACGTTGTTGTCAAGTCGGGGTTGGCGAGGATCATCTGACTTTCCAAGTCAGAAATCCAACTTAAGGGGGCTGTTCCAGATGAATTTATGACTCGGAGCTCGGAAATTCTGAACTTCCGAGTACAACTGGAATGCAGCATAACACTGAATGACCATGACCTTTGACCCCTCAGGCGGCACTGTGTTAAAAACTAACATCTTTCTGTAAGGATATCACCTCATGGACTCAGGAGGACCTCAGAAAACCATTTAAGTTAACAGTGCAAGTTTAAACTTTACCAATTAAAAAAGATATCAACAACAGTCAGAAAATATGACCCTGTCACATCAGTTTGAAGACTACATACTTTCTCTTTGTGGTGTATTCATTTAAATAAAAGTGGAAAAGGATTTCCAGATCTGTGTATTCTGTTTTTATTCACGTTTTATCCCTCATGTCCCAACTTCACCGGAATTATGGTTAGTACATGCTGTTCATGTTTCTGATGTCAGGATTCTGATGTTATCCAGTCATCTTAGAGGGCTTTCTCATGTTCAGCTTTCTTTGTAAATGTACACAAACCTAAGTACTCCGCTTTGCAAGCTGCTCTGCTCCTATTTCACCCTCAAACTTTTGATGAAGCTGTTTGTGTATACAACTTGAAATACGGTGCCAAACAGCTCCCTCGCTTCTTGCTTGCTTTGCCTTTTTCGAAACTCTCACACTTTTCCTCCACATCCCCAGCGTGTGTATGTGTATATGTGTGTATATGTGTGTGTATGTGCGCACACACACGTATGACGAGACACTCCCGGTACAACTCACAGAGATTAAATTTCAAAAGGATCAAAAATACACCAGACAGTCCTGCAAGGATAATCAATCACTGCAGCCGGTGTGTGCGCTGGAGAAAGAGGGAGACTGAGCTAAAGATAGGGAGGAGAGAGAAAGACAGAGAGAGAGGGAGAGGGAGAGAGAGAGAGGTGTAGCCAAGAAGAAAGGAGAGCTGAGGGGGAACTAAAATACATACATATAGTTGGGAGTGTGGCCTGCGTCTATGTGTCTGCGCTGGGGAATTGGAGTCATAAATCAAACGGCCTGTCAGAAGTGGTGGTGGGGTAGTTGGAGAACATGAAGGGGGGGAGTGGTACAGGAGAAAGGAGGGATGCAGGGAGAGAGGAAGAGGGGGAGAGCCTCAGTCATTCACACACTGCATCACACACTGAGCCCGAATGCAATTTCCCCTGAATGTCAGGCAGAGATGCGAGGTGGGGCAGATAAGATATTGTGTGTGAGAGTGTGTGCGTGTTATGTGTGTGTGCGCGCCCCTGTCCCCGTCCATGTCCTCGACCCCAGGACGTGAGACACGGGCCTAAATCTCATTATGCCAACATGATAGAATTTGCTCTGTGTGTAACCTCATTATCCTCACTGTTAGATAAGGCGCTGTAATTGCTCACAGCAACAACAGTCGTGCAGAAGCCGAAGCCTCAGAGCGTGCATCTCCTCTATGTATTGGTATGAGTTTTGAGGCCTTCGCTTTCAACCAGGCTGTCATCATCTTGAGCTGTAGATTGTCTGTTTTGATACCTTCATCACGACAGAAAGTGGTTTCTTTTGACAACACAAGGTCGACAAAGGTCAAGTGGTGTTGACACAGATGGACATGATCCGAGAGGGTTTACACAAAATTAAAAAGAGGGATGATGGTTGCATCAACCTCACCTCTGTCCATCTCTCTCTTCTTGCAGCGCCCTCTCTAAACCTAGCTCAATCTTAGCAGATGACTGTCCAACATGAGTCTGGTTCTGCTCGAGGTTTCTGTCTGTTAAAGGAAGTTTGTCTTCTCTGCTGTAACTTGCTAAATGCTGCGAAGTTTTTCACTCCTGTTCAGGAGTGAAAGTAGGAAAAGGTTCTTGGGGGTACTGTTCCCACAGGCTTTGTACAAGAGGAGCACACTCAAGTTTAACAAGGTGCCGACTCTGATGCCACAGTATCATCATCTGCTGTGTCTCTCTTTCCTACGACGGAGTATTAGGGCCATAAGGAAAAAGAAAGTCCTAATTTTCTCGAAGTCTTAATTTTTATTTAATAATTTATTAACTTTCTCTTTAACATAAAATCTTTTTTCTGCATTTTGTTTTATTTCGTCATTAAGATTGAAGCAGCTGTCTCTTTAAAAGTTCCCTCCTTCCGCAAAAGGCGGGAGGATGTCCCCAGCGCCTAGGCAACCAGCGTCCAATCAAAACTGCGCTGTGAGCGTTCCCACTTCCGGATTTTGTTTGTTTGAGGAAGCAAATACTCACTCGCAAGCAGCACGATCCTATTGGATTACTACGGTTACAATGCAGAGTGCAGACTGACGTGCGGCAACACGGTAAGAAAATGTAGCATACATACATTACAGGGGGGAAAGTTTGCGTACCGGCTGTAAACTGCTGTTTATGTCTTCCCGGCAGTACGGCGTCCAGCTGCGTACCGGTGTTGTGCCGTAAAATGCACCCCTGCCGTAGAATGCACCCCTGATGGGATCGCGGTTGAAAGTACATAACAAGGCGAAATAAACCAAGTTTTCCTTACTGTTGGATGGATTCAAAAGCTTATTTCATTCAGGCTATTCAGGTAAGCCGAAAACAATGATTCAGAATATTTGCTGTCCTGAAAATATAATGTTCTCTACCGTGACAACTTCCTGTACAGTTTATATACCCAAGTACACTCGTGTTTTTTTTTTTTAATATGAGATAATTTTCTTCCACTTTAAGAAGCTAATGAGCGGATAGGATACAGGGGATGCATTCTACGGCACAACACCTGCGTACTTTCACCCCTGCTCCTGTGGTTAAAGATGGGATGGGAGTGGGTCTGATCTCACTAGGCAAGGCTCAATATTCAGACTTCAGATAACACTTGTTGTAAATAAAGATTACTTAATGACTGATTCATATCCTCATCTTACTCTGCAGATCACCTAGTGCATGACTTTTTGAGAAACTATTCCTTTAACTATAGACAGTGCTAATGTTGGGGGGACAAGCTCAGCCCTGTTCATTAAACATCTACATCCCTGCAAGAGCATAAGCTAAAGATGTTTTAGATGTTACAGAAAACATTATCATGTAATTCTCTGAAGGTAATCAAAGGTCAAACTTCATTCAGAGAGAAAAAAATGAAGCTTCTTCTTCTCCGTTTGCCTCTGTGTTCCTACTGCAGGAAGAAAATCCTGTGACACTCCCTTGAAACTAAGTATAAGGAAGGATTTTCCTTTTAAGAGTTAATCAATTATGACAGAAAGAATCTGTGATTTCTCTCACCTGCTGTGATCTTAGAAAAATGTGTTTTAGAGGTGTCAGTCTCATCCCGGAGTGAAGTGTTTCCAAAAAAAATGACGTGGTGAATTTGAAGCTCGGTCTTTTGCCAGTTTAACTCGATGTTTTGGCAGCCGCTTTCACATTCATCCAAAGAGCTTTTCATTTCCTCAACAGTGTTTTTGTTTTTACTGGAGCAATTATATTAGGTCTATTTTAAACTGCTGTTAAATTTTCCACAAGATGATCACAGCGTGAAACTGTTGGCAGTATTAACTTATTGTAGCAGTTCTGACAGGCCTGCTGAGTCACATTAAGTTTTATTGAAAACACACATAAAATAATAACAAAATCAAGGGGAAAGATGCTGGAGAGTAAGAGCTTTTCATATGATAAGAAAGATATGATCCTATCTTCACAGTGAGAGCATCTGACAAAGTGTTCCACATCTGAAGTCAATATAAAAACTGAAAAGGCTTCAGAGACGGCAGCATTAAAGGGATATTCCGGTGTAAAATTAATTTAGAGTCAAACACACCTTAACACCGAGTTAGACAACCCCTCAAGAGATGAATGTTGCCGACCGCTTGCTTCTCTAGTTATACCAACTTTAGTAACGACCGCAGGATAGCAATACACAGCGGTCTGAGGAGCCATAAACAAACCTCAACCAAAATCCACCCAATAACCACAAATAATGCTCAGAACAGCACCTAACTTCACTAGAGAAGCAAACAGTCAGCGACATTCATCTCCCCAGGGGGTGTCTAACTCGGTGTTACGGTGTGTTTGACCCTAACTTAATTTTACGCCGGAATATCCCTTTAATGGAGCAACAAAGAAACGAAGCGCAGGTTACAACAGAAGTCTTCTACCTCCAAGATATTATAAAATTTGTGAAACTTCATCTCCAACCTTTGACCAAGTTTTTCCACATCAAGTCCCGACCAAAGTAATCAACTCTAACTCTATTATTTAAAGATGATTTCTCCCTCTGACCCCAGATTGAAAAGAAAAGGCCTGATGGGACATGTGCACAGATGCATCCAATCCCACAGCAGCATTTACCCAGCTGTAAGAAAAAGCCGCATATGTCTCACTTTGGAGCAGGATTTGTGGTCGACGCGTTAAAACTGAACAGTACGCGTTACGTGTCCGAGTCTGTACACTTTGGTTTCTACACCCCCCCGACCACCCACAATATACCTCAGTGGATGTCTCTCTCTCACTCCTCGTGCCAAGAGCAGCATGGAAAAGCTAGCTTTATGAGCCTGTGGGCAGCGGTGGAGAAGAGGGGAAATGTAGATGATTTGTTGGGAGACCATAATGGAGACAGATGATCCTTTCGGGTCTGTCTGCTGTTGAATCAGCGCTGCCACCCAGTAAGGGAGAGTGCGTTCTCTGGCCGGGTTCCCTCTCCCTGTTATTTCTTTTTTTCACGCTGCTCTTCTTATAGACCTCCACTGCAGTCCATTTAACAACCCATCCAAGAGTGTACTGAGCATGCTCAGTCTGTGTGTACAGTGGTGTCATAGCATAGCAATGAGGCAACACCACTGAAGCTCAATCTCTCTTATTCAAACAGAGAGAAATATCGAAGATTTGAAATTCAAAGGTTTGCAAATTGTTCCCGCTGACACATTTGCAGCTGAGTGCGGCTTTTTTTTCTGCAAATTAAACAACCTGAGGAGGAGAACTTTTATTAGCAATGACTCTTTGCTTTTAGAGAGGTAAGCAGGTACCTGTTTGTGGGATTTGTTATTAAAAAAAAAGACAAATTAAAGACACAGTGTGCAGTTTTCAGCAGCATTTATAAGAGCAGACCTGGTGGAAATGAAATATAACATTTATCCGTTTGATAAATAAGTTTATAATTACTAAAATATAAAAATCTGTCATTTTGTTTTGTTTTGTTTTCCTAGAATGAGCCTTTGACTTCTACATAAGGAGCAGATCCCCGATCATGGAGGCTGCCATCATGCACCGTCACCATGTTTGTCCTGCGGCACACAATGGACAAACAGGTACTGTGCAGGTTTTTATATGAAGTGAGTGATAGTGCAAAATGTGCCAGTTAGAAGACATTTTTGTCCCCCAAGGCCACCATAGCTTCATCAGTTAAAGGGGTGAGCAAGGGAGCATTTCAATCTACAATCTGACAACTTCATGTTCCCATTTCTACACTCTGTAGGTTGAAGACCAGGGCTTTCTCATTCTTTCTAATGCATGTTAAAGCCTGTGAGGAACGTTTGGTTTGTGTCAGTTTTGGTGCCCCCTACAGTCAAGGCAGGTTTACCTTATCTTGTCCTCTACATGCTTGAGTAGTAACCTTGTAAAAAAAAAAACAAGAGGGCTGTTTCTTCAGCTGCTTTGCTGACTCCTCCTGCCTTTGCACCAGTTTCAGAGACTAAAAGTGCGGCTGTAAAAACCATCAATCTTGTCACTGATGTTCCTGTTTGATCTAAGAATATCTAAAACAGCTTAAATATGAATTTCATCTCATTTTAGACATGCCAAAAAATCAATCTTTGAAGGATGAACTCTTCTTCTGCCCTCCATAGTTTAGAGGTCAGGGTCAGCTTTAACTCTGCAGCCTGAAGCCAGTCCGGACTTTGTTTCTCGCTGAGGGACACTTCACTAAGACACGCTCTTGAACACGGGTTAAGTAGTTGAAAGACTGGCTCTGTAGCCCGCAGGCCTCGCTGTGATCATCCATTTAGCTTTGTTCTGTGTCAAACAGAGACTTCACTGTCCTCTGTGCTCTGTTATTGTCTCATTTTCTTCTTGTGTATGTACACAACTCTTTGGTGTGTATGTTTTAGACAACACACTGAACGGCATTGTGTTGTTTAATCACAAGGGGCATTCTTTAGCGCTATTATGGGCACTTTAAATGCAGATAAAATACATTAGCAGTCATCCCCCCATGCTCTATGATAACTATAAAGACCAACCCCACAGCTAACACAGCAGTGAAACGAATGAATTTAAACTGTGATATAATAAACATCATTATCTTCAACTCAAGGAAGATTGATGACGACAGATTTATGCTCCAAACATACAGTGTGTTATTTAACTGATTGTCCATGTGACTGTATTTCTCTCATAATGGCGTAAAAATGACCAAACCAAGTGGAAGCAATCAGCAGTGACTTCCTTCAGATTACTTAGCTGCATGTGTGGAGAAAAAAAAAAAAAGGTGCAATTACCAGCGTGTGATGTATTACATGTAGGTTTTAACACTACCAGCTGTGGACTTCTGGGAAATGTCTGGGAGGGCCAGCTGTAGTTTTTGGCGTCAGCAGTTGATGAAAACAGGCCAGTGATACAAATAAAAGTAAATAACTAGACTAGATGTTAAAAGTGTCTTCTCGAGTCTTCTGACCACTCACTGTGTTTTTACTTCACACTATATTCACACACTGATGGCAGAGGCTTCTATGTATCAGTATTATCTAGACCCACATAACCTCGACACAGTCATAGGAGGCAACTGGGGTAAAGTTTCTCCAGCGTGTGGAAAGTAGGACCCCTAATCTAGCATTAGCCTGTCTAAAACTGGACTTTTAGAGTCCATGTAAAAACATGAAATCGCAGAAACTATAGTCTAAGGTAACAATACGTCCTCTTTTACCCGGACATGTCCTCTTTTTGGGGGGCTGTCAAGCTTTGTCCGGGGGAGTTTATAAAATCCTTTAAATGTCTGGGGTTTTGTCTGGATGCTTTGAGTCTGTGTCGCGTGGACTTCATGAGTTAGAAGGGCGTAAAAAAACACTCAACCCGACCTGAAAAACTCTAAATTTAATACACGTGACTCCATGACCCTGCCCCAGTGTAGTTGTGTCCTCTTTTTAGGAATTCAGAATATGGTCATCCCGCTATGGTCTACTATAATATCTTAGTTCTACAGATTGATTTTCTCCTGCATGTACACACTTCAAATGGACTCAAAATTACATAAACAAAACATAAAAAATGACCCTAAATCACGACAAAAAGAAACCAAGCTGTAAAGTTTCACCACCTAACCACCTCTTGTTAGCCACTTGCTAACTTTTTTATCAATTGTTTTGGTATAAAGCGTAGTAGGCCCACCAGGATATGGCTCTACAGAAACAACTTCATGAGCAACAAAAGAAGTGCAAAAAATAAACTGTCCAAAAACAAACAAAAAATTCTGCTCTGAAAGAGAGACGCTGCATCCAGACCATGTAAAAAAACATGTTTCTGGCCAACGAGGCGCTGAGTGAAAAGGTTTATTACTCACAAGACAGAGTGAGGAAGACCAGACCAGGACATCCTCAGGCTACTTCCACAGAACCCCCCACTCAGATCTCTGGAGATTTAGGGGAAGGGGGTGATGCCTGAGATCACTCTAACTCCTCTCACCTTCATCAGGCTCCCTCTGAATCTCCTTCTGACATTTTTCATGTCACTCCCTATGACTGTACGCCATCTCTACATCCAAGCGATAAATCCAGAGTCTGTTCTCCTTCACTCTTTACTGTCAGTAATAAAGTGGACTCTTATGAGCTGAGAGCATCTCTGGATATAGACTTTCACTCCTTAGGGTTTGAGTGTTTCAGATTTTGGATTCTTCGCAGCTCGTTCAGTTAGCAGCTGGTTTTTCTCATTTGCATCTGTCTCTCGGTTTTTCGCACGTTTTTGAAGTCTTGCATTTGCAGGATGATTCACCTGATGAAGATCAGTTGTGGATTGGCTGCACTGTAGCAGCTTTATGTTGAGCTCTCTGACTTGACTCAGTCTGAAAACTGAGGGTCTGTGGGGGGTCTGGGATGATAAAGGAAACAGAGGGTGGACATAGCTGAGCAGTCTCATCTGTGTGACTGACAGTCAGTCGGGCCAGCTGCTGTCCTTCTGCAGTCAAGGGGAGAAACACTAAAGGAGGGAGGATGACAAGGATGCGTGTGTGTGTGTCTGTCTTTTTGTGCGCGCCTGCATGCCTGAGATTTGAAGTCACTGTGTCGCCGTCATCTCTTTTGTCAGAGTCCCACATTCTTCGGCTCTTTGCCGGTGCCTCCTGCAGCAGGCGGGCTGACAGGCTGTGAATGGCTGTCCCTGCTGTGCGGTGGCTGCCTGCCGCGTGGAGTCAAACCTTCAACAGCCCTTATTAGTGTCAGCAGCTCGCAGACATCAGGGGCTTCAGACACATGGGGCATGAGGAATTGTGCGTGTGTGTTTATTCCACTACTTTTTCTTTTATCATCTTTATTTTTTGCGCTCTGAGGAAAACTGTTCACGTCTCGTGTGGAACAAATGAACAGTGCTAAGAGACAGAGACGCAGGAGGTCTGTGGAGGAATGTGTGGAGCAAAATGTGCTCAGGAGAAAGGGCACGTGTGTGTGTGTGTGAGTGTGTGAGTGTGTGTGTTACAACACAGGCATACCACCCCCCTCCTCTCCCTCTTTCTTTTCAAGTGTGACAGTGATTAATGATCCTCAGCTGTCAGGTACATTACTCATGCTTTCTCTCTCCTTTTTCTTGTTCCTCATCATTTGGAGCTCTGTTTCATCTTCTCTCCTCTTCTGCTTCTCTTGATTTTTACTTCCAGGAACTGATGACGTTGGTTCACATGACAGTACTGACATGAAATGTAGGAGAGGGCCTGAAGCACAGAAACAAGAATGGACTCTTTTTACGTGAAACTTTTCACCAAATGGTCCATAATGAAAGTTACCCTTTTCGACCAAATAACTCTCCTCTACAGAACTTCAAAAATATGATGGAGAATTAGGGCCACATTAAGAAATAAATTAAGATTTCAAGATTAAAGTCGTTAACTTATGAGAATTAAGTCATTATGAACAAGAATAAAGTCATAATAGTCTTAACTTACATGAATAAAGTCATAATAAAATCATTACTTACGAGAATAAAGTCGTAATAAAGTAATAACTCACTACAGTAAAGTCAGAATAAAGTCCTTATATTCTAACCTGTTGTTTAAGATGACAGTTGTTGAAATGAAAGCCACGGAGCATTTTGTGTAAATGTACTTCAATAAAGGTTTCTCAAATACTTCATTTTTCGGCACATCAGCACCACGTTTTCATGAGTATCATAATTACTTTATAACAACTTTATTCTAGCAAGTAATTACTTTGTTACAACTTTAGTCTCATAAGTAATTACTTTACTACAACTTCATTTTGTTAGTAATTACCTTATTATGACTTTTGTCTCGCAAGTAATTACTTTATCACGACTGTACATTGTAAGTTTTTACTGTATTACGACTTTATTCTTGTTAATAATTACTTTCTTACGACTTTATGCTCGTTAGACATGACTTTAATATGACTTTATTCCCGTCAATTATTATCTTACGACTTTATTCTCGTTAGTAATTATTTAATTGAGACTTTATTCCCATTAATTATAACTTTATTACGACATTACTCTCATAAGTTATACTTTCTTACTTCTGATTAGTAGTTACTTTTCTACGACTTTACTCTTATAAGTTATTACTTTCTTACGACTTTATTCTCATTAGTAGTTACCTTATTATGACTTCACTCTCGTAAGTTATTACTTTCTTACGACTTTATTCTCATCAGTAGTTACCTTATTATGACTTCATTCTCGTAAGTTATTACTTTCTTACGACTTTATTCTCATTAGTAGTTACCTTATTATGACTTCACTCTCGTAAGTTATTACTTTCTTACGAATTTATTCTTGTTAGTAATTAATTTCTTTATTCTCATAAGATATTTACTTTATTATTATTTTTATTTAGGTCTCAATTTTTTTCCATATGTGGCCCTAATACTCTGTCATACAAAATGAAAGCATTATCTCAAAATAAATTAAGCCTTTAGCTTTTATTTTGAAAAGTTGCACCATAGTTTTCTTGCTTGCCAATACAGACATCAGCTCACCATTTTCTGGCCCGTCTTATGTACAGCAGTTATGGTCACATGGTTTGGACCTCAGGCTGAATGTCTCCTCAGTGGTTTAATCTTATCAAGTCAAAAAATGTCCAAAAATAAAATTATGTATAATTTATTGGAGCTATTTTGGCTGAGATTAGCACACGGCTTGCAGAAAACAGGGAGGAGCATCCGTTCTCTGGGTTTTACTGGCCTGTGAAACACGGGCTCAGGTCAGCGGTCTGAGCAGCAGCCGGACCCTTCCTGGGAGAAGCACCAGGGTACAGTTGTCTTTGGAAAAACGAGCAGGATCAGGGTTTACTGGACTAAGTTGTACTGAACCACACCAGACCTCTTTTTCTTCACTCGCTAGCCCCCCCTCACTGAGAAGAAGTGAACAACCAGAAAGGACTCCTCACAGCTGACCCAGTGCTGAAAAGAATAATACCACTAATGATAGGCATGAAACCGGAACGTGAGCCAGAATATGTTCACTGATGTGTGTGTGTGTGTGGGGCGGGGGGTTTACCAAGTCCTGGTCTTTGTACATTTGCATGTGTTTTCTCATGTGTGTACGAGTGTGAGCCATGAATCTGCCATGTGAAGGCGTTTGAAAGAGGCCAGACGTCGGCTGTCAGACCTCTCTCTGTCCTCCCCTCCTCCCCCTCCCCCAGCCTGCGGCCTCGATGATGGATGACGGCGAATGAGAAGTTTCCTCTCCTGGACTGCCGACTGCAGCCGGCTGCCGTCAGAGGACCGACCATCTGCTTTCCATTGCATGAGCCGACGGGGGCTCTGGGTTTTGGGTCTGGGTTTTGGCTGCACTGGCAGCACGAAGGAGCTACAGACAGCCAGGCCTGGAGGCAGGGTGGGCTGTGGAGGAATTAAGCAGCCCCTAAACCTGACAAATGAAAATAACAAACAGTGTTTATTTTCAACAGAAGTGAAATCTTCATTAATCAGATTAGCGCCGGAGCTTCCAGTGAAGTTCAAAAACTTTCCTAATTATTCTGAGAAAAGTGTCGACTTTAGGGAAATGAGTGTTTGATCTGGTAGAAGCACACTGGCAGCATGTAAAGGGAACTCTTTTATTACATCTGGACTCTAAATACCTGCGTCAGGTGAAGTTTTACCAACAAGAATAACAATCCAAGTAAGGATCTGGACACGGGGAGCATGTGCGCTCCATCGTGGATTGAAGTGGAGTCCAGCAGAGTGCAGTCTGGTGCAGCTGGACTCAATAGACTGAACTCTTGTGATCATAGACGTCTCATGAAATACAGAAAAACAACAAATCACAGAGTCGATTTTGAGCTTCTGACATGATACAGAGTTCAGTTTTTCTCAGGATTTGAGGTCTAAAAATACTATTGCTGTACTTGGTTGGGCTGTTACTGGATAAAAGTCATATTGTGGTCGGCACAGATCACAGATAAGTGTTTTTTTTGTAGATGTTAAAAAAAAAGATCCATAATGAATCAGTGTTTCTAACAAAAGAGGATTAGGGCCACATGAAGACAAAAAAATTATTACAGGAAGGAGATCAAAATCAAAATTTGGAGATTGAGGTCGAAATGTTGTGATTAAATAGTTAAAATTTTAAGATTAAAGTCGAATTTTGAGATAAACATTTAAAATTATGTCAGTAAAGTGGAAATAGTGAGATAAAAGATTGAAATTTTGGGATTAAAGTTGAATTTCAGGATTAAAAATTGAAATTTCAAAATTAAATTAAAAATCTTTAGATTAAAGTAAAAATTTCGAGATTAAAGTTGAATTTCAGGATTAAAAATTGAAATTATGTCAATAAAGTAGAAATTTTGAGATTAAAGTCGGCATGATTAAGTCAAAATTTAGACTATTTAAAATTCTCCCTCCTGTAATTATTTTTTTTCTCTTTTTGTGGCCCTAATTCTATTTCTTAGTTTTTCTCTGTAATATCCTTACATGGCGTTTTATCTTGAAACAGTAAGCTCTGTCCAAAGTGTCAGGTTTCATCTGTGCATGGGAAATAGCCGACTCTTAAATCCTGTTTGATTGGTGTTTTCAGAATGAGTGTCTTACTCTCACTTTGCACAACATTTAAGATATTATATAAGACGTATTCGTTAGACACTTCCAGTTGACGGTTCGATCTTCTGCAGTCTTCTTGGATAAGACACTGAACCCCAAGCTGTTGTGAATGGTGGTAGTTAATACTGATGTACAGCAGTTCCTGCCATCAGCCCCCCATCCAGAGTTTCATCCAGCCTCACATCAACCTCACAGCTCTGCCATGCTGTCGTATGTCAGTTGCCGGCAGGGCTGGAAACTACAGATTTAAACAAACAATTTTAATCAGTGTCAGTCCAGGTTGTGTCAAGCCAAACCACAGCTTGTTTGTCTGCTCTGATTTATTAAGCCTGGAGGTATTAACTCAGCAGGAGACAAGGAAGATCACTGGCAGCACAGGGGAGAGGGATCATAAGTCGGTATGGAAACACAGAGAGATGGACAAAGACGAAAATAATCACTTAGCTCTGCTCTCCAGGATTTAATATCGGACTTTCCTGCCAAACTTCTCCTTTAATGAAACACTACAGAGCTACAGGGCCGGCTGATTATCACTGCGCAATAAATCCACTGTATCATAAAGTCAGGCAGAATGAGCAGATGTTAACCATTACATCACTTTTTTTATGGTAGCCGTAGTTTGGCTGTACTGCACAAGCCAACTTAATACAGAAAATTAATAAGTCAAATTTTTTATGTGGAATCAAGAGAGAAATAGAAGAAGAAAAAGAGAGAGATTCAAAGGGAACATGACCAAAAATCACCACAAAACTTCAATTCAGAGTTCAGAGTTTTATTTTTCCAATCAGCGACTTCATCCTGCCTTCCTCTGAGCTTCTACTTAGATTAAGAGTCTTTCTGTGCTGCATTGTGCATCCTCAGAAAAGAGGCTGCTGATCTATCGAGCCAGATGGTGAATCCTCCATGTTCCCCTCATCGCTCATGGTGGAGATTTCTTTTGCTTCAAACTGATGGTCTCTGCAGGACACCCGAAACGCTCGGTGTCTATCCACGTACTTTAACGGGCAAAATTTCTTAATCCGGTTTAAAATTTGAGGGGTCAGATCATCTGATTCCGCTGTTTATATGGGTGCAAAATCAAATAATCCGATCATGACATGCGTATACATGCACCAAGTCTTAGTCAGATTAGAAGCATTTGGACATGCGCAGAGTTGTCTGATTTCTCTAAAACAACCACAGAAGAAGAAGAGTTGTATTGACGCCTGTGCTGTCAACAAACCAACAAACGCGGTAGTGGCTCACTTCATCCAATTCAGGAGTTTCCCCCTGTTAAATGTTGTCACTAGATGGCGCCCTTGCGTACTTATTTTACTGTTCTGTCAAAGGTTGCACTGTGCGTGCAGATGTGACATCATTACGCTGTATGTACGCCTTGTTATGTTACCGGAGGAGCGGATACAGCACCTGCGGTTATGTTTTAAGCCAGAGTGTTAATAATGAAACCTCCTGTACTGACCTCAATAAATAAACCAAAGACTAAAGAGTGAAGATCGAGTCAGGTAAGAGAGTCACGATTTACATGGACGCATTTTAGAATTACGATCGGCATAACCCACCCCTCTTGATCGGAATACAATTTCTTTCCAATTTAGCCGAATTGGATCAGAATCTTCCGATCAACATGCTTATACGAAGCATTTTTATTCCAATCTGGTGTTTATTCCGATTATTCGTTCCCATGTAAACATAGCTATTGTTAGTTTTCTTCCTTCCACTGTTGGGTAGCTTGTTTTTTTGGCATCACATTTGAAATTTTCCCTCTTTTTGGATGAACTTAATAATAATATCTCACCGCTCCTTCTCCAGAGTTCTCTCCTCTGGTGAAAAGCCGTGGGCACACTCTCAGTTTACACCCACTTAAACCAGGATATAACCTTAAACCACAGAAGAGTCTCAGTTGCAGACCTGAGGTGAAGCTTGCGCACCGTGAGGCCCAGAACTCCCCCTCTTGACCCACAGTCTCACTGCGATCCAACAAGCACTGACAGCTAAAGTCTTAGTGGGTTGATGGTATTTGTGTGTGCGTTTTTTGGGTCACTGACTGATGTGTGAAAGGTTGATGTGCAGTCATCAGTCACCTGCCAGCTCTCTGACATCTCCCTCTCTCCTGGTGTCATCTCCTTTCTGCCCTCTTTCACTCCCGTCTGTCTTAAACCGACACCTGTCTTTCAGCGAGATTAACGGCCGTCTGTCTTTCTCTGTGTGGGTGTGTGTGTGGGTGCAAATATCTGCTGTCTCATGGCGTGTGTGTCTTTTGTTTTAATCCCCGGGTTCAAACACCTCCGGTCAAACACGCACTCAGCCGGACGCGGATCAATGAAGTTCTGTTCTGACAGGGGGAGGGAGAGGTGTATTGATAAGGCTGTAAATGAAGTGATTGGCAGGATCGATGGAGACCTCGGGGGAATGATCATGTCTGTCTGTCTGTGGGAGCAGAAGCATGAGTTTAAGTGGACACAGAGACGGAGTGTACAGCAGTGATAGTGAGTGCACAAGCAGAATATCAAACATAATAGAGCTGGCTGCAGCCTCTGTATCTGCTCTGTGCCTCATCCATCTATATGACAGGACAATGGAACAGCATGGCACAAAACTGAGCGCTGGCGCCCATTGTGAGCCCAGTCAAAGGACTGGAACAGCATCCAGGGAGTGGAGTTGATCATTCACCCCCATGAATCCACTTTGTCTCCCCACAATCAACCTTTTAGGATATTTATTTAAAGCACTTTGCTCTGTATATTTTACGCGTTGTTTATTTCCATGCAAGTTGTGTAATTACATCATGTTGCCATAATAAACATTTTTCATGCTTTAGCTGCAACAAGTTGATGCTACACTGCAAAGACACTTGTGACAACAGTTTAGATGTGCTGTCACTGAACATTTGTGACTTGGCAGAGCCGTATAATAAACCTGCCATTTTATATTTGCAGCAGTGGAGCAAAGTTTCTGTGGCAAATTAGGTGGAGTCTCACCGGGACGGCTGTGACTCTGCTGTCCCATCTACATACTCAGGTGTATGGTGGCTGAAGAGGGCAAACCATAGACTGTATATACTATGGACAACTTGGTTCTGCCTTCTGCCAGTATACCGATTTGAAGCCGAAAAGCTCTCTGGAATTCTGCGTTTTTTCTCCACTTCCTGAAACAAACATTGCACAGTAGCATTGTACGTATTTGGCGGGAGAGTCGTGATGACGCTCGGCTCAAACAGCGTATCCCCCGGGTGAGCTATGCAATATTTGTACGCTCATTGGCTGTATCAAGTGTCAATCATAGAAAACTTGAACCCCCTAATAACTTTTGAAAAAGGAGCTGCACAGAAAAAAGAGGACTTGAGCAAAAACCAGTCTTACAGTAACTACATGTCAACATCACAACCAGGGGGGGGAAAAAATTATATTCTGTGTAATAAATTTCTAAAGTTTGTCCACAGCTCCATAGGGATTGCTGGAGGAGGCGGGATTTATGACCTATACTGCAGCCTGTCAGCAGAGGGTGCTGTTCTCAAGGGTGGCTTCTCCCAGCGAGGAGACAGATGGCGTCCATTCTATATACAGTCTGTGGTGGGGTGACCATATTCTCACTTCCCAAAAAGAGGACACGACTACTCAGGGGCGGAGTCACGGAGTCGCCTAAAGTTAATTTGAGAGTTTTTCGGGTCGGATCAAGTGTCTTTTACGTGTTTCTAACTCAGCAAGTCCACGTGACACAAAATCAAAACTTAAGTACAAAACTGCAGACATTTGAAGGATCTTATAAACTTCCCCGGTCAAAGCTGGACAATACCGGACAGCCCCCAAATAAGAGGACATGTCTGAGTAAAAGAGGACGTATGGTCACCCTTGTCTATGGGACTAACGATCTGACTTATAAGAAGAAGTGCAGAAACAATGCAACTTCAAAAATCCACACAAAAGCTCAAAACATAGTCAACATGGAGACGTGCAGGAAATTAGAAAAGCATGCTGCCAAAAGCTAAAACAGCAAACAAATACAAGAATGATTGAAAGTGAAAACGTCTGGTCTGAGGGACTCCTGCCATGGAGACATGTGATGAACAGGTGAGACAAACCACAAACAGATTTCAGATCTGTTTTTGGCTCAAAAGCTGACCTTAGAGCAAAATTTGTGAGTAAAGTAGTCCAGTCAAAACAAACAGCACTCAGTTAAAGAACAAATACTCAAATAAATCATGTGTTTTATTGCCCATTGTCATGTTTATTAAAAGATTTTAAACAGAGTGAAAGACATAAATCTTTGACCTTTGCACTATTTAAAAAAAAAGCCTTTCCTAACATTAAGTCAGTCTTTGTCAAGCCTAAACATTTTCACACAGTGTATAGGACCTCTGGGCTTTTGCTTCATTGTCTGCCAAATTAACTAAACTCACCAACCGTCTAGACCTTAAGAAAAGAAAATCCACTTTCCCGTCTTAAGAGAAAAGACTCTAACTTCTTTTATTTCTCCTCAAGTGTAAGTGGCATGAAAAACCCCAAACATATATATCAGGAGATGGGATTAGGAGTCAAAACAGACTCACCAAACTCATTCTTAATTTATTGCTGCCGCTCTGGGGGGTGAAAGACTTTTTATTTTCTCTGCTGAGGTTTTAGAAGCCGCCATTGTTTTTAATTTCAGTCCAATAATAAAGGTAAAGCTTTCTTTGACCATTTTCTTAATCTAATATCCCCGAATGTCTTACAGTTAAAACACCAATAATCCATTTTCAATAATGGCCGGCCTTTAGCCCAAATTTCTTTTTGTATCAGATAACACGTCTGCCCTGCGCGGCCTGTCTCCGGTTCCACCTTAAGGAGCTGCTGCTTTATGAATATGTATTGCATGTATACATAAAGGATTAAGATCTCCCCCCTCAGTTCCTCTCCCCCACCGTCTCCCCCGCTTCACTCTCTCTCCTCTCAGCTGTTCAAATATTGTCTTTCTATTTATACTGAGCTTGGGGAAATATTTACCCTGGGCCAGTGGAGCAGGGTGGATATGAATGGGCATCATCTCAGCTTGTCAAATTAGCTGCTGCTCGCTGCCTGCTAATGTCTCTGTAATTGGAAAGGCTGGCAGCGCAGGCTGTCTGGCTGCTACCTTGGCATGGACATCACGTGTTGCTGCCTGTCTTATAGGGGTGGGATACTGTGAGGTCACCCTGGGGTGCACGGTAAAATCGTAAAGTTGACATTCTTAAGTCCCAACAAACCCTGGAAGAATATAAAAAGTGACATATTTGATATTTTTTCATTATAAAAACACTTAAAATTCAAAAATGTAATCTTTATAAAGACAATGACTTTTCAGGGTAATTTCTCCTATTGTTTCAGATCTGGGTGGTGATGGGAAGAACAGTTCTTTTGACTGTACTGAATCTTTAGAATCTGTTCGTTAAAATGATTCGTTCAGATTCGTTTAACAAATCAGTGCAGAACACAGGTGAGTGACACAGCGGCGCTTATCATTGAACGAGACCCTCCCCTCCCCTGCTGCTGAAGTCACAGCGTCTTTTACCGTGTGACACGTGTCGTTCATTCGCCAAGTTGTGAAGAAAGAATCACTCCCCTGCCCTGAAAAACTCACCTCTCTGTGTGCCGCTGACGTTCGCATCACAGCAAGCAGCACGCACGCTTAACGAGCGCGAGTCTTAGTTCTTTTATATCGTAGAAAAGTGGAGAAATTAAAAATAAATACATAGTGAACAAACCAGTGCTCAGCAGTTCATGAACAACGTTACGCACCTCACTCCTCTGCCTGCCTCTAGTCGTTTGGAAGTCGTTTGTTTCGTTCACAGTCTGACTGAAACATGTCGTTCATTCAACAAGTTGTGAAGAAAGAGTCAGTCCCCTGCCCTGAAATACTCACCTCTCTGTGTGCCGCCGACGCTCACAACGCAACGCAAGTAAAATAACACAGCAGCAAGCAAATCTGCCCCAAATCACGAGACTCCGCCCATCCACTCACTGGCTGTGTGTCATTCGCCAAAGAGTCAAAGGAGGCAGTTCCACTCTCGACCGGCATGCCACGCTCGCGGCTGAGCTCAACTGAACTGAGAGAGGAACAAATCAAGTCTTGGAGTGATTCCAATCATATCGTTCACTCAACAGTTCTGTTCTTTTGAACCAATTGTTCATGAACTGCACAACACTGGATCTGGGGGAATAGGGAGGTCTTTGTGAAGTGAATTAAGGTGTTATACGTAAGCAGAGGCCTCTAGGATGAAGCCTGTGCACACATCACCCATGGACACCCATGATCAATCATAGAGCCTATAGTACTAACCAGTAAGAGTGAAATGAAAGGGTTTACACTCTCCTTGATTAATCCATGGTTACTGTTTTCAAACCAAAACAAATTTATTCATGACAGGAATCGAAAAGTCACTTATGATTTAACAGACAGAAAAAAGCAGAGGAAATCAAGCAGACGAGGATGTTAAAGCTTTTGAAAACAGTCGAAGGAGAGAGAGAAAGAGAGAGAGCAGGCAGTAAAAGAGTGATGGAGGTGGTTAACAACAGCAGAAGAGAGTGAGCTAATGGAGAGGCACATTTCCTACTAAAAAGGATCCTCCTGCAGACGAGGAGACGGGCTGGAGAACGAGAGGAGAGGGGCGGAGAAGGAGAGGAAGAAAAGCAGCCCTGGCGCTGATATTGATCTTCTGCCAGAGAGATTGATAGAGCAATAAGGAGCTGAGGAGAGCAGAGATGAGGAGTGGAGTGGAGGAGGAGGAGGACAGGAAGGTGAGAGGGAGGATTGCGGGGTGTGAGATGAATGGATGGCAGGACAAGGGCGGGAGAGAGAAGGTGAAGAAAGGATAGAAGAGGAGAGGAGAAGAGAGGAGAGGGGGGCGAGAAAGTGAGTGGCAATTGATGAAAAAGAAGAGGAAGAGAGTGGGGGGAGGTGATGTTGATGAAGTAGCCGGCGAGTGACATCATTTGAAAGGTGAGAGATCAGGTGTCTTCGCCTTAATTAGGTCAAGGAGAGCGAGCAACGGAGTGATGGATGAATTAGAGGAGAGCGGGGAAAGCGACTGAGACAGAGAGAAAGAAAGATGATTGGATTTCATGTGTAAGAGGGAATGTGTGTGTGTCCGTGTGTGTAAGTGTGTGTGTGTTCAGCTAGCCCAGACACTAAAGGTGACCCCCCGCCGCCTAATGGCACAATACATATCCTTTAATGAAGTCATAGTGCAGTCACATCCAACTACAGCTCCACCCGCTGCTCCCGCCGCTGAGTGAAGATGTCAGCCGGTGTGTGTCTGAAGCGCACCAGAGTGTGTGTTTGGACGGACAGTGTGACATGTGAGTCAGAGCCGTGGCACCATTCTTCTGCACAGACCAGGTGTGTGTGTATGTGTGTGTGTAAATATGTGTGTGCATGAGTGTGTGGGTGATGTATGGGCGTGTGGACTGCGGTGAGTCAGGGACCAGCAGAGCCATCGCTCAGGTCCGAGGCCTAATGGAGAGTCCTGGAAGACAGCTGGCTGATAGATGGCCTGGCCCTGACACGCATACACACACACACACACACACACACACACACAAACACACACACACACACACACGGTCGTCAGATAACAGTCCTAATGCCTGACCTCACTCAGTCAGTACGTGTCCTTCAAGAGCAACAGAGGAGGGACAAGGGGAAGCAGAATAAGACAGGCGTGTGTGTAAGTGTGTGTGCGTGTGCATGTGTGTGTGTGTAAGCAGTATGTGTTTCTGCCTGAGAGTCGCTGGCTTGTCTACAAGTCCGCAGATATGATCTCAATTTTCCTGTTAGTCCCTCTCCCCAGTTTGTCAGAAGCCATTTACATCAATGTTGATCCTGACTTCCTTGACACACACACACACACACACACACACACACACACACACACATCTATACGAGACCATGTACTCAATTGCACTAATGCCCGCTGTCATCCACAAGTATGATCAAGAGTGACGCACACGTATACACACACACACAAACACACCTGCAGCCACATGTGTTTCGTGTTGATTCGGGCCGCGGTATACGACCGGCCTTCACTCTTCATTAGGCTCCGTCTGAATGAGATGCTCGGTGACATTAAGGTAATGTTACAGGCCAATAAAGTATTTAAAGCCCCTGGGTGCTGGTGAAGGGGGCAGCAGGGTGGGGTGAGGACACTCGAGGATACAGGGCGGGGTAAGCGAAGGAGACAGTTTGATGTATTGTCTTAACGGCATTATTAAAGCTCCTATAAGGAGTTTTTTCACATTTACAAACTCGACTGTTGTTTAGTACAGTCCGACAGCTGTAGCTAATTTTTTAAACTCCACTTTCAGACCAGATGTCTATCTTTTGTTCTCCATCTGAGTGTTAAGATAAACGATTTGGTGCTTTCTGCAGCAAAAAGATAAAGTTGACAGTATGGTCTGGATCTCAACACAACAAAAACAACATATGGTAAACACTGTCCCTCAGCTTTATCATTATGTGCCACAGAGCATCGTTAATATTAAGACAGAGTCTGCTCTTCCTGATTTTACTGAGGTTTATCAGTGCCGATACCAAACGCTGCTTTAGTGTAATCCATTACCTTGGTACTCCGCTCTTCTTGAGTCGTATCCATCATTAGATAAAAGCTAACTCCATGTTCTTTTCAGAGATTCTCTTTCTGCAGATGCTTCAATAAAATTTTCCTTTCTAAACTCCAACCGAGTAACGAGAGTGAGACCAACAGTGTCATGATATCTGCAGACTGAGTCAGCACGGTCAAATTGCTGAGTCATGCTGTCAAATTGGGCACATCTGTCTTGATTGGACAGCATTATCTAACTAAACTCATTAATGTCGGGTTTATTTCCAAGTATATTTGAGTTAATTTATTTATTTAAGTGTCATGCACACAAAGTACCCAACCCACATGGGTTTATAAGGCACTAAATAATGTCAACAGATAGCGTTGCGTAGTGTTTAAACCGTAAAAAAAGAGGAAAAGGAAAAACATACAAGTAAGCTACATAAACTCAAATCAAATGTACAACACAGTTTTTCTTTTCTAAGGCCTTATAAATAAAGTTAGCTGTATAAAAAAAGTCCCTTCCTGGACTTTGGTCTGACCAAAAGAGTCAGTCTTGGTCCGGACCAAACCGAACCACAGTCTGGTTCATGTGTGAAAGCATTATTTTGACAGGAAATGACGTAAGGAGTAGAAGTGTCCATTATTACATTGGACGGAGATTGGCCAAAAATGGGAAATTTTATAAAATTGTAGATAAAGTTAAACCTCACTACTGACAGCTTGTCTTTTCAAGAATTTTACAACACACACTTTCTCTCCTAAGTCGGTGTTGCAATGGCTCGCAGGATTGCATACTTTTTTCTTCATTCCTAATGACAACAATAAAGTCATCGTCTAATGATCAAATTCAAGTTGTGACTGTTGGTCGTAGAAAATCAACAATAATATGATGATGATTTCATTCATGTTTACAACATTCAAGACCTACCACGGAACATTTTTGGTCTGAAAGATGTCTAATAGTTGCTAAATGTAGTCTAGACGACTGGTCTAAAATCAGACTACCACAGGTCTAAAAAATGAACGTTTGTTTAGACGTCTAAATTTAGACCAAGTTTAGACCAAGTCTAAATCTGGGCTATATCTACACTACACTGTATATTGCTCAACAGCTATCAGAATTATTTTGGTTAAGTACTTGGAGATCGCTTATGTAACTCACAGTTGTTTTTTTAAATAAATAGTTATTGAATAATGGGTTAAAGTGCAAGGTCTAAATTCGGTCTAAAAATATATCTAGATGGTTGAAATTAGGTGTAAAAAAAACTAGACGTCTAATAGCCGTGTATTTCTCAGTGGGCTGCATTACTCAACGTGTTGACGTCAGACGAGCGCCGACTAAAAGGCCAATCAATGTAAACTACAGAGAACTGCAGAGCATGTAGTTAATGATGATATCATGTAGGTTTGTCATGTAAAGTCTGTTAGTCACATATTACACGCACCACATTCAATCTCCTCTCTGCTGCTCTTACTTCTGTTTTACTTTTCAAGAAACTTTTCCTGCTCCTTCAAAAATACTCATTTTTTGCACTTTCTGTGGTCTGTGGAAGTATAAAACTTTGATCAAGGGTAAACCGATAAAGTTTGAGAGCCGCTCTTATCAGATTCAGGCCTTTGAGTCGAGTTTTACTCCCTTTTTCTCTCACTGTAGAAATTTGAAGCGGGAGCGACAGAAAGGAAGACATCAAGCATCAGCATACAAATACTGAGCTTTCAACTTAAACGACTGCAGACACATTAGGAATGGATCTTGCTTTGTGGACAATGGGTATAGTCCCACTCCATTGATTTCTCACCAGCTTTTATTGCTCTCCATCGACGGCTAATGCCCCTAAGATCCTGCTGCAGTCTGAATTATTCAGCAGGAGTGTTTTGTTTTTGTGTCAGGGCCGCGGGGTAATTCTAGATCAGGGATATTTGATGATCTGCCGCAGGAGTAAAACGTCTGTTCTCAGAGTAGCAGAGTGATTTTTTTTTTTTCGACGGCAATGACTCTGAAGTGTGCGTGTCTGCTGAGGCGGGGTGTCCATATCAAGTTGAGAAAAGGCCTCTGACAGTGATATTTAGCGTCTGGCTACGTTCCAATATTGTCCCAGGAAGCATCACGGCTTTTCCTTTCAAAACGAGACGGACGGGTGGAATGAGACGGAACAGGAGATGACCGACTTCTCGATATCACGGGGGATTAAAAGAGGCATTGATGGAATAGCTCAGAGGTGGAAACAATGGCTAAAGATAGGGGAAAAAACGAGACGGAGAGTGAGAGACGGACAGAAATACAAAAAGGAAGAGCGTGGAGCTGAAGAGAAAATGAAGCAAAGAGTATGAGGAAGAGACAGAAGGGGAAAGAGGGGAAGAGATGAGAAGAGAGGACAAAAGTGCGTTGGTTAAGATTCAGGGCAGGCGGTGGCGCAGGGCTATCATTACCATACATCAGGACAATAAATGAGGCTTTCAGCGGGCCGTAATAAGAGTTTGATAAATCATCGGGGCCAGAATTAACTAGACGTCAAAACAATGTGAGGGCTCTGACGGATGGCAGAGGAGGGGCCGATGGCACAGATTAGTCTAGCTGGAAGTGAAGGAGCGCTGAAGGGAGAAAGGGGGGGAGGAGAGGGAGAGGAGGTGAGGAGCACAAGGACAGAGGCAGGCAGACTGTTAAACAGAGGAGAGAGACACGCTCTGCTCTGTCACGTTCATGTCTGCGAGGACGACGTTTGCAGCAATCCAACAACGATAACACAAGGGACGTGAGCGCTTTAGTCTGTTCCCCATTTGTGTGCTTGTATTTTCTGACCTCTGACCTCAGGTGTGTGTGTGTGTGTGTGTGTGTGTTGTTTTCAGACACCAAAGAGACATTCAACTTTGCTAAAGTGTGTGTTTTTTGTGTGTTTGTAAGAGTAAAGCTCTCATCACCCCGCGGCTAATCCTGTTGGTTTTCATGATAAGAGGTTGGTGCGGTGCTACACACACACACACACACACACACACACACACACACACAAACACGCACAGCACACCCCCAGTGGGTAGCTTTAATTGCCAGGCTCTGACCTTTGCCGAGCGGCAGTGACAAGGCCTGTCTGTGGCAGTGGGAGGTGGTAGCGCCTCGATTAGCTGTGACAGCAGAGTCGGGCGATCAGAGGGATAGAGAGGGAGTGAGAGAGAGAGAGAGAAAGAGAGAGAGAGAGAGAGAGGGAGAGAGAGAGAGGGAGTCGAGAGCCAACACTGGCTAATTGGAGTCCCTCATCCTTGGAGCAGTGAGCGAGAGAGCAGTCACAGTGGTCTGGGGCAGGGTGATGAGCGTGTGTGTGTGTGTGTGTGTGTGTGTGTGTGTGTGTGTGTGTGTGTGTGCGTGCGTGCGTGCGTGCGTGCGTGCGTGCGTGCGTGCGTGCGTGCGTGTGTGTGTGTGTGTTTAGAGCGGGTAGGCTATGGGAAAAGTCACATCCGCTCTGCCGTCCTGTGTGAGTGTGTTCCTGGAGGCCTGTTATGAGTGTGTGTGCATTTTTAATAAGCGTGTAAACACAGATAATCGTGTTCTGTCCTGTTCATACAAGTTTGATTTTTATACTTTTATATTTGTGTCGTTTAAGTTTATGAATATGCACCTGTTTATAGCAGAGTGGAGTATATTTGGCAAGCCTTGAGTGACTGTGTGAGTGTATGTGTGTGTGTGTGTATGAGTGTGTGTGTGAATGGGTGCGTCTTCATGTTGAAACACTAAGTGGAATAGACAGTTAGATTGAACAGAACGAGGCACAATTACCAGGTGAGGCCGAGAAGATAATGTTGTCCTAGTCTAACTCACCCCTTTGGCCCCACATCTCCGTCTACTTTAGACACACACACCATCATCCTCTCTCTCTCTCTCTCTCTCTCTCTCTCTCTCTCTCTCTCTCTCTCTCTCCCTCTCGCTTCCTCGTCCCGCAGGCTGGACTTGAACAGTGTCCGTAGAGTCACAGGGAGATCTACCCGCAGGCAGAGACCACCCAGCCTTTATCAGCTGTCTTGCTCCTGCTGCATGCTGGGAGAAGTGAGCTCAGACTGGCTGGTGAGAGAAATTCATGGCAAGGATTCCCGCAACAGTTTCCTCATTTTATGCTCGATTTAATCCGTCCGTGAGCCCCCACTGAACAAGAGGACGGAAGATCAACTGTAATGTAAGCAGAGTGAAAGAACCTCAGTGATCCAGATGAACCTACAGCATGATGGAGCTCAGGGACTCCCAGAAAAGACTGTGTTAGTGACACTTGAGTTCAGTTTCAGTGAGATTAAACAAGGTTCCTGTTTTTGGTTGAATAAAAAAGGACATAACTTTAAATCTACTGCAAAATCAAATTAAAAAATAATCTTTCTGGGAAAAGAGACATTTAAAAACAAATCAACAAACATAGCCAGCTTGAGAACCTAAAATACAAACTTTTTTTAAGTCTTTCTCTGGTATAATCCAGCTGTCAATTTCTACTTTGGCCAGTTATCTACTTTTAAGTTTCCCTGCCGTCATATCAGCAGGAAAATCTACTTAGATCACTTACACTTACTTACTTACTTACTCAAGTAATGCTGCGTTCCAGCTGAACTCAGAATTTGGAATTTCCGAGTTCTGAGCCGGAAATTCATCTGGAACACGTCTCTAGCGTCCCTACCAAATTCTACGCCCTTGCGTCCATCTTGGTTTACTGGAATGCCGTCAACTCGGAAGTACCGTCATTCCCAGCTTGACATCTAACTTCAGAGGTAAATGTAAGGCAGCATCAGGACTATAATCTGTTGCCATGGCGATATATTACCCTACCCTTACAATGTGATAAATTACAATCTAAGTCACAACCACAATCAACAACAGACACTTAAACCAGTTAAATAAGCTTTAGGTTTCTCTGTGTAATAACTTTTTATTGTGGGTCAGTTTGGAGATTAACTTTTTGTATTTTCACACTGGATCCACACACTTATCTCTCCTGAACCAGTTAGTCGCAGCTTTCCCACTTAATCATCTTGAAATCTGAATTCAATTGCGGTAACCAATCTCATCTGTGAGTCAAATATTCTCTGTGTGTTTTTTCCGCCACTGATGAAATTACGAGGCAACTTGGACCCGCTTTCCCGATGAGAATCATCACCCCTCACATCACAGTTTATTGAAATGCATGAAACGCATCAACTTCCTCTGTGTGACAAGATGGTGTTGGAAAACCCGAGTTTGGCTACCTCAGACCCGCAGTCAAAACACATTTCAGATTCGACTCAATTTATTGCATTCTTTCCTGAAACATGATCCGCTGAGGAGTGACAGCTAAGTGGATGACGGGCTGAGAGGAAATGAGGTGCAACCTGGACTCGAACCCGCAATGTCATAATCATATGACACATGCAGGGTAAACCTCAACTGAACCTGGACGCCACAACCACAACCTTCATGTCTAATCTAACTCTATGGGAAGAAAAACAACACACTGCAATTCATGCATGTACTTCAGGCCTCAACTGCTTCTAATATTAAACTGAGAGAAACCGCACACTGAATAGAGATGCCACTAACTGTATATGGCTACAACACTGGGTTTGAAACACTGCCTATGAAAAGCTCTCAGTTTTTTCTCTATTTGATATGGAAACACACTCTGGTCTATTCTCTTGTTAAACATGATGCTTATGTTATTTTTGAAACAAGTTAACCAGGAATTAGACGAGAAAGGAAGAGGTCTAAATTGGGTTTTGCTGACAGTCCTACCTAACTTTTTTTTTTACTCTTCAACACGAAGGTCAAAGCTGTTGGTTCAGTTTGAGTTTGTCTATAATCACACATGTACAAGACTGAAAACTTTCTTCACTTTTCAGGCGGATACTTTTACTGCCAGACCTCCAAGTTTCTGTGCATGTCCTGGTGAGCTGTTGTGATGATGCACAGGAAGAAATAGTCCAAAAATCACTCTGAGTAAGAAGTAAACCTAGATTAGCAAGAATCATCAGGATAAATGAAAATATATGAGGTTGAAAAAAGAGACATGACAAGAAGTCGTCCAAGAAGATGAGTTTTGAAGGTTAAAGTTGTATTTATTTTAATGTTTATTTAACAGGGACAAAAATACATACAACATCGCCACAAGAAATGGAAAATGTGATGCATAAAAGACATCTAGCTTCAGCTAATTTGCAGTCTTTGGGCCTGATCTACTAAAGGTTTGCGTGTGCAAAAACACGTGCAAACTTGATAGCGCACGCAAACCTGATCTACTAACTGGGTACACTAAGGATTGCGTCTGTCATATGAGCAAAACAGCGTGCGCGATGGATTTAGCATGTTTGCCTTCATGAATATGCAGAATGTATGAAGATCATCAGAATGCGCAAAATTCTGGGAGGAGCAGATGCAAACGGTATCATTTAGCTCCCACAATGGGATTTACCAAACCCGGAAACAGATGTGGTCGCTGTTTTGCGTCTATATTTAGCATGTTTGAAAGCAACGTGCATACTAGCACAGCATAAATTATAAGGTCAAACACGGAACAGACGAAAGAAATTATCCGTCTTCTTGATTTTAAATCATTTTAACCCTTTTTTTTGTTTTCTAGTATATCTTCTTGCATCTGAAAAGCACTTTGTGTCGCCTTGTGTATGAATTGTGCTACACAAATAAACTCGCCTTGCCTTTTATGCAGTTCCCCAAAACCATATGTGCAACTCCATGGCTTCAAACTTCATTTTTCATCTACGACCACACTGCTCTCACAAACTCTGCATGGTGACGGCCGATAGGGCAACACGCCCACTAATAGCATGTGCAATTTTTTAGTTTGCACTCGCTATTTTGGATCTTAGTAGATCAGGCCCTTTGTCTCTGGTCAGGCTTTAGTGTAGAATAAAATATACTGAATACTATAAACACAATAATACAATACAGTGGATAATACAGTGAATGGTTAGGAGATACTAATAAATAAACACAGCAACAAAATTTAGGTTAAACAATCACACGAGTGAAATCTAACACTAAACAATAAAGTGTCATTTATATAGACAGTGACTTGAGAGAAGTCACTAGGATGAGCCCAAATTTTTAAATCTTCAGATCTCGCCAACGTCACAATCTACAGTCCTGGATTTAGTGCGTGCTCTGGGTTATCTGAGCCAACAGAACATCCTGCAGACTTCACTCCTGATCATATTTAACTTCGCTGCAGGGTGGCAAACTTGTCCCAAAACTAAATCAGACAGTTCTTCCTCCCCTACACTCTGTTAGTAATATTAACTAACCCTTTATGGCGTTGTGTCAAGTCCCTGACTGACAAACAGTGGTGTAATGACAACCATCTGGCGTAGTAATGAAGGCAGCAGTGGGAATGGGATGTTTTAATTAATGAAAGCTACTCCATTAGCTCTGATGAGTGGCTTATCAGCTCCGGCTCATTATGCAAATGGAATTAAGATCGCTGAGTGTCGTGGTATTAACAGAGATATTAAGGCGTTTGGTTCAAAGTGACTTCCTTTGCTCCTCTTAAATTACACAATACTTGGCTCAGCCTTTATACATATATATATATATATATATATATATTGTAAGTTTGGATGTAAAGAGAGTTGGTGGGTTTATGCAAATTTGACTAATTTCATGGTGACCCTGTTCCCATGAGCGCTTACTATCTATCTATTATGTTGCTTTCTACGACTACAGATACCAACAAGTGGGCACTCCTGACTCTTGTGCATCTTCTACGACACTATGTCAATCATTTAAAAATTTCTAAGTCTTTATATCCTGGTGAGAATTCTTCCCCTTTGATGGCAGCCAGGATAAAAGCTTCAAACTGACATTTATATGTATTTCCTTCTTGAGTTATTTTCTGGGCACTTTCGGTTTGTATTAAATGAGACAGCTGAAAAGAGACAGATCGTGTGGAGAGTCGAGATTGAAGGAGAACATGCAGCAAAGGGTCATGGCTGGTGCAGCAAGAGCTAAAACAAGTGTACATGGGGCGCACTTAAATGACTACAGTCAGCAGCACTTCTTTAACTAAATAAGCCAAAAAAAAAATTAAAACTGGACTTGTGTTTTTTTTTTCAGATACTGATTAAACTCTTTTTGTGCTTAAATTCCTGTCTAGAACGATCTTCTCTGTGTGGATTGATGCTCATTGGAAGCATAGGGGGCTGATACGCGTCCTGTATGCTACACTGCGACGCTGCCGATACACACTAAATACGGATCCTGTATGTTTTAGCCTTAAAGCAACTTGTTTGCAAGACAGTGTTGGTGTCTGTTGTCCATGCGAGAATACCATTATTATATTTGGACTTGAACAGTTTTACGTTCTGGTCTGATTAATGTGTTTGCTTGTTGCATTAAGGAACATCTTTACAGGCTATTTGTAATGTTTCTATCCAGACAATTGTCCCATTATAAAGAGTCGTAAAGAACTAAACTAGGTTATGCAATGGCTGTAGAGTCAATACTCATAACTGTGAAAGGGTAGACTTACAGTAGGCTGAACGCCGTCTGGACACTATAAACTGCATGTGTAATAAGTGAGAGGTTTATGGGTATATATATAGATATATGAAAGCCAAATATAGAGAGGCAGATGCAGAACTAGCAGGAGAGTAAATTTCACTCAGCTTGACCAAGAAACAAAAAACAGATACAACAAAAGAAAAGAAATAAAAGATTTGTGTGTGTGTGTGTGTGTGTGTGTGTGTGTGTGTGTGTGTGTGTGTGTGTGTGTGTGTGTGTGTGTGTGTGTACACATGGGGCAGGGTTGTTTGGCTCTCTTTGACCCCGTGGTCATTAATCTCACTTGCTGTCAGGGTAATGGACGCTGATGGACAGGATTGTGTTTGCTCACTCACACTCTCGCACAAACACACACACACAGACACACACACACACACACTGGTACCTCTGGGTGCTGACAGCTTCAAAAAGCCCCCCCTCTACTCACACACACACACATTCACACAATCCAGTTACTCATTCACAGCAGCGTTTCAGTGAGTAATCCTAAAACTTCTCGTGGGTGAAGTTGTGCGTGTTCACCGGTCAGCTGTCTCCCCCCCTCTGCGTGTCAGCAGGGGCGCTCAAACAGGTTCCTCTTCTAATTGGTCAAACCAGCAGTCGGGCCTTCTACCTAGTACCTGTCCCAGGAGGTCTCCACAATTCTCCACAACATCTGTGTGTTACATTTCCAGAGTCACGGCGAGGTTAGCAACACAACCCAGCAGTACCCGCACCGCTTTGTCCAGCCTGCCTGCTCGCTTCCTCCACATTTCAAAGCAATTACTCCATGTTGATTTAGCTGTCATTGGGGGCATGTGTTCGCGCTTGATTTATAGAGCGACCGCCTGGTGCCAGTTGACTCGCGATAAATTGCACAATATTCCGAAAGGCTCATTTGCTTAGCGCTACATTAGGGGGCCGATGATTGCTACACAAAGCCATGTAAATGAGTTCTGAGAGGGGCCCCATCACTCAACATGTCATGTAGCCAATCCCATTATTATTTATGACTGGAGCAGGGCCGTGTTTCCTCAGAGGCAAGGCGAGGCTCATATGTGTGCTGTGACAGCTCTGCTCTAGCTGTGTGTGTGTGTGTGTGTCAGAGAGAGAGGGAGAGAGAGAGAGGGATATAAGTCATGTGTGCAGAGCAGGAAGGAGCCAGGCTGTCTGTGTTATCTGCTGGAGGGTGAAGATTAAAAGATGTTGATGATAGCACACTAGAAGATGGAATGATGACCAACTAACTTATTATATCGTCCTCTTTTTCTACTTTCAGGGTTTTTTGTCTTTCTGTACCACACACACACACACACACACCAAACTTAAAACGCATCGAACAAGCCCATAAATCCAGAGATGTTGCCAAACAAAAGCCTCTTCAGCACACACACACACAACAGAGGAGATCAACGCAGCTCGTTGTGTTTGTTCTTTCTTATCTCCGTCATGTCAGGGCCGGCGTGAAGAGCAGCCGGGCCTGGGTCGACAGTATGTGGACTTTTTCACGGTCGCTCAGACATGTCATAACAGAGCTACTTACATTCACTGCTGTCAAACATGTCAGCTCTCCAAACCATAACAAAGATAACAGAGGCTGCGCTTTCAGATCCATCGCTCAGCGAGAGGATATCTGAGTGTGTGTGTGTTGACATTACAGCTGAGCTGTTATTTGATCAGAACAGTGATCTAAGTGTCTGTGGTGATTAGGTGTAATCTGCTTTCCAGGGCTGTGATCTATGTTCTGCAGCTGGATGAGGAGGGGGGTGGTGTCGGTCTGTGTGGTGCAGAAATCACACGTACCATTGAATGTTCAGCTTCTGTGAGGGCAGTGTTGATGCAACGTATACTTATCACTTCATCATTATGTATTATGTGACCAGTGATGAATACTGTGTATATGTTATTGCACTGCTTGAGTTAAAGAATACAAAACATCTGGGCAAATTTTGCAACAGTACAGAATCTTAAAGAATCTCAAAACATTGAATTTTCAGTAACACTTTACTTGACGCCCATCTATATAACGCATTATAAATAAATATTTAAAATGCGTTAAAATCACGTTATAGCACTGTATAACTATAGTAATAAACACTCATTAATAATCATAATGCTTTATAGCAATAATCATAACACATTATAAAGCATTTTATCATGACTTACAAGGTCAGGTATTATAATGTGTTATAACTGTCAACAACTCACCGACAATTCCCCACATAGATAATGCATTATGAATATATTTATGATGTGTTTTAATTTGCTTATCCCTTTATTGCCTTTTGTATCATGTTTGATACATACTTTTATATACTTCTATCAAATCAATATGATCATCAAATTACAAAAAAAACCACCTTAATACAGTCCGATAAACGATAAAAATGCCCTCTTGTGATTTATTATTTTCCAAGAACATCTAATGTATCAAACAAGATAAATAAATATATTTGTTAAATTTTGAGGACATTTTGATTTTTTTTATTTTAAGTAGGAGGTGACATAAACATTTCAGTTCTGAAAAAAATTAGAATTTCCCGGCCACAATTTGTAGTTTTAGGCATTAAAGGGTTATAAACTTGTATAACTATCATTATAAACACTCAATTATCATAAGGCTTTACAACAATAAGCATAACACATTATAATACCTGACCTTGTAAGTCATGATAAAATGTTTTATAATGTGTTATGATTATTGCTATAAAGCATTATGATCATTTATGAGTGTTTATAACTATAGTTATACAAAGCTATAACGTGATTATAACGCATTGTACATATATTTATAGTGCGTTATAGAGACAGGCGTCCAGTAAAATGTTATCAAATTTTCCAAAAGCATGAGTGCTCATGTTTTTGCTGCAGATTTCCAGATTTGCAGCTCCAAAGGTTTAGGGACTTGCAGGGAAATCAAACAATAATAGAACAAAAACTGCAGTTGAGTTACTGCAAGCACAAAGAACTTTGTCTTTAAATGTTCATCTTGAATAAAAACAAATGTTTAGAAAGATAAGAGGCGATCCAAGACTTTAAAAGAGGATATGAGCAACATGCAAACAGGCACAAACTTAAACCATCAATACCAAGTTATGAGGACGTACATCACTCCTGTGAAACTGAACTATCCCAGATCTAGTTTTGAAGTGCAGGGCTTGTCCAGGAGTTTATATCACCGCCAATAGGAATGTGTGGAGATCCAAAACTTCTAGATGTCACTTGTGGTTTTAAATGACATCTTTTATGTCACATTTTTAGCATTCACTCACGAACACTGCAGATAACGTTCTTCAGATGTTTAATTACTGGTCTCAAATGTTGATTATAATCCTCGTCTGTGAAGGATCTATCATCCTCTGTATCCAAGTCTACTTCAAACTGAATTAGTCACCCACACTGATGACTGACAGAGGCTTGTTTGACGCCATACTGCAACTGTGGTCAGACTAGCATGTAATGTATATGTAGGAATAATCTCTGTTGCATTACTAGAAGGGTTCAAGCTTGAACTTACTGAGCTACCATGCCATTGTCTGTGGGTGTATCGTGCTTTTTTAGAGGACTTCATGTACAGTGCTTTGTTTGTGATAAACTGTTAATGTTGAGGTTAAGAAAGAGCTCCAGTAGAAGCTTTAAAGATCTTTGTAAAACTGCAGTTAAAGCATTTCCAGCTCTTCTCACTCCATTCATTTTACTCCATTGTCTTCCTCCTCTCTCTCTCTCTCACTTCTTGCTCGCTCCTCTTATGTATGTCCTTCATTGCCTCTCCCCATCTCCTCCTCCTCCTCCTCCTCCTCCTCTCCACTGGAGCTTTTTGTTTTTTAACGGATGAGTTATTGACTTAAGCAGGGCCAATTAATCAGGGTGTAATGGGGCAGCGGGGAGGCCCAGGGAAGCCATGCATCATGGGCCAGAGATGAGCTCTGTCAGCCTGCTCATACAGCCCTCCTCAATCACTCCCACATTAACGCCAGGCACAGATGAGGAGGAGGAGGAGGAAGAGGGGGGAGAAGAAATAAGGATCAGAAGGGAGACACAGGGAGGGGATAGAAAAAGAGGAAAACAGAACAGGACCATATGGAAAGTGTGCACTCATGGAGTTGAAACCTGTGCAAGCGAAGTCTGCAGAGGTGAGCGTATGTGGGAGACCACACGTACACTGCAGGCTTCATGTGCCACCCAAGACTATCAGCCCTGTTGTCTTTTGCACCCGCGTGACTCATCTGATCTACGTACTGTATGTGTGAGGGTGGTGTTGTTGTGTTGTGATGTGTTGTGTCTGGGTCAAATGAGAGCAAACACTCGACTGCACTTTACACCCAAACACAACATGCCAGAGATCAAACTCGAACCATAACATTCAAACAGCCTGAGAGACCGGTTGTTCCTGCACCCACACACACGTATCCCTGAACTGACACTTTATGGGTGATAATTCTGGGTTTGATGATAGTGGTTTTAACATACGGGGGTTTTAAGTGACTCGTTTGCTCATGTGGTGTTGTGAACCAAAATAAAATGAAGTCATGAAAAGCATGACTGTATAATAAGTGAGGATCCTGTGCAAAATCTTAATAAAAACTGAATTAAATGATTTGCAAAGTTTTTTGATGTTTATGAAATAGACTTAAAGGATTACTCCGGCGCAAAATTAAGTTAGGGTCAAACAAACCATAACAATGAGTTAGCTTGCTTCTCCAGTTTTACCAACTTTAGTCGCGACAGCAATACAGAGAGTCACACGCTCAACCCAAACGCCACTTCATAACCACAAATAATGCTCAGAACAGCAGCTAACTTCATCAAAAGGACATATAGGGTCCCAGCCATAGCACTAGCCACCAAACATCTTTTTAACTTTGACTAATTTCTTTAGCAAAGAGACTAAACACAACTCACCTACTCTCATCCAGCAGCCGCTTGTTTGTGTGGACACCTCAGGCGAGTCCATTACCACAGCGGGATGCCGCAGCTCAAGGAAGAACATTTATGATCATGTCTCCGCGTCTGCAGTGCAAAATGATTAATATGATGATTATTACTTCAAGGAAATGATAAAGAAATGATCATAAATGTTCTTCCTTGAGCTGTGGCACCCCGCTGCGGCAATGGACTTCCATTGGTAGAGCCACACAAACAAGCGGCTGCTGGAAGAGAGTAGGTGAGTCGTGTTTAGTCTCTTTGCTAGAGAAATTATGCAAAGTTAAAAAGATGTTTAGTGGCTAGTGCTGTGGCTGGGACCCTATATGTACTGTTGATGAAGTTAGGTGCTGTTCTGAGCATTATTAGTGGCTGTAGAGTGGCGTTTTGGTTGAGCGCGTGGCTCTGTGTATTGCTATCGTGCGGTCGTTACTAAAGTTGGTATAACTAGAGAAGCAAGCGGTCAGCAACATTCATCTCGACGGGATGTCTAACTCGGTGTGTTTGACCCTTACTTAATTTTTTTACGCCGGAATATCCCTTTAAGTTAATTTTAATACTTTTTTATGACTTAGAAAAGCAATCAAGGCCATCAGTGATAGAAAAACTAATTCTCCAAGAGTACCCTGACCCTGTTCCCAAACTTTGTCCCGCCCTCCAACCATCCATCATCCCCTGAGCAAGCACAGCGAGTTCATGTAAAATCCAGAGACGTCACAGTCAGACACGTGTTGTTTCTTTCAGCCTGATTGACTTATCTGACTTCCATTGGTAGAGCCATTACAAATATCACAGACATGTGTCAGTCAGTGGGTTTAGGCCCGCCAAGCAGCTGTGTGTCACATCATAATCCTCCCTGTCACAACGCAGTAACACTCAAGTAAAATATCCACTTAACATGCCGTCCATCACTTTTATCTCCTTCAGCAAGTCCTCGCCTTCCTCTCCGTCTGTCTGAGTCTGTCAAGATGGAAGCAGAAATTTCTCCTCTTAAAGTAATATCACTTTCTCTCTGTGAAATCGAGGGCAGCAGGATGTGAAACAGAAACACGTCCAAAGATCTGCTGTCACTCTACATTTAGTCAGTGTCAGCGACATGTCAGCCTGTTGACCCGCTTGGACATCATCGGCTTCACACAGGTAAAAACAATACCAGCGAGTGTACCTGTGTGAGATATTACAGCTGCACTGTGGTCCACTAATGAGAGCTGACAGCCTTAGACAGAAAGTGGTTTCTTTAAAAACTGCTGCAGAACTTAAACAGAAGATCAGTTCAATAAAAAGAAATGCCAAAAAGAAAACCTGGTGTCTGCAGTGGTTTTGCCCGGGGGGCTTCAATGAGTTACCGAGCCAAACAACAGAGACAAAGTGAGAGAAATTGAGGAACAAACGGTTGTCATGATTCACTTTCTAATTCCCGTCCTCTTAGTGTCGACTAACATATATCTGCTCTAGATATGAGGACAGGAAACACAGTCTGTCCTGCTGGCAGAGGAACGAAGGTGAGTATAAGTTCATGACCGGTCAGATAACAAAACAGCATGTGTGTTAACTCAGACCACTGACAGACCACCGTTTGGTCCCCTGCAGTTTCAACTGCCTGAATACAATATTACTTTACGCTTTAGCAAACCGATACACGTCAGGCACTAGGACCAAACGACCACTCAAGCCAAAAACTGGTTTCCCTTGGTTTGGACCGCCCATAAGGTCCTTGATTGGCTCTGCCGCAGGGCCGCTTTTTGTGTGTGATCGGCTATCCCTGCTGTCAGTCATTCCATGCCCGTCAGTCTCGTGTTTTGCAAGTTGCTCGTAAGAGTCAGTCCGTGAACATCGCTATTCGCCAATGTAAGTTTCCAGGAGGGCGGCGTTCATTTTCCCTTTGTAACGTCACATTCATCAGAGGTTTCATTTACATCACGTGTCCCCACCACCACCTTTGAAATCAAAATTTCGTCCATGACTCAGACTGTCTTGGGGCAAGCAATGGTACCGTCTTCTCAAAGGAGGGCACCTTCACAGATTATGAAAGTGCACTTTTTATTTCTACTCAAACATCCGCCACTTTTTTTTTCAGTTTGGAAAGAAAGAGACATAACGTAGCAGGCAAGCGAGAAACTAAGTCCTGCAGCCTGCTCTCACAATCTCCAGGAACCTTTCAGAACACGCTGGCTCCCTTATCCTTTGACCTTTGCTATTATGATCTGTTATGAAAATGGCCCTCAGGCTGGCAGTTTCTCCAAAGTGTGAATCGGTAATAGTCTTCATTATGGCACAGGGTCGTTTTCATGCAGAAATAAAAAAGAACATTTAGGGAAATGCTTGGCTTCTGCTCCAACTCATGCCTGAGACTGAATATAGCTTCTGACCCGGGACACGTCTCAAACAATTAAGAACGAGAAATGTGAACAGCTACACAAAAACTGGTTATGGGATGAAGAAATTAAGACATGCATGACAAGTGGATATGTGGCCCAGTGGTAGTAGAACATTAACAGGTACAGTTTGACGCATTATGGCAGCCACAGAGACAATGAAGAGTGAAAATCCAATCGAGATTAAACCATATTTTAAGTTAAAATACAGTATAGAGTTCATGTATTTAGAAGTTGATGGTGCTGCTGTAGCTAACACACTACTCCACTGACAAGTACCTCATACAACCCCACTGAAAAAAAGAAAAAATGCCCCTTTAACTGATTCGGTGTTTTTGATCTATGTGGTCTTCCTGTTGCCTGAGGCCCACAAACAAGACTTGTAATACTGTAACACATGCTGGTCTGAGGATGCATGGAGGCACTGCCGGTAAGTGTGTGTGTTCACCTGTGTGTGTTAGTGTATTTGTGCCTGTTGCGCAGCAGAGAGCATACAGGCAGGAAACAGAGCTGAGAGGTTTGATCGTGCCCCCGGATAGGAACTGAGTGACACGAGGAGAACGGTGCTGGTTGGATTTTTTGCGGGATGGGGGTTGTTGTTATGGCGCCCCAGAGCAGACTGAAAGGCTTGTTTTGACATGTGGCCCTTAACTCCCTTAATCCAGTTTGATCGGACCGATTTACAGAGCCAGAAATCGACTGAAGGTGTCAACTGAGCTGTGAAAACAAAGCTGAAAAACTTATTTTTAAGTCTCAGTGTCCAAATTTCCAGGCCTGTGCTGTTTTACTCATCAGTGATTGTGTTTGAGACGCAGATGTACCACATGCATTTATGGTGGTGACATTGTGGACAACTCTTATTTCTGCAGAATCCATGAACCTCAGCCACTGGAGGTGTGAGAGTCAATTTGTTCACTCATGAACTGATCTTACAGATTGTTTTTGTGCTTTTTTGTTGTTGTTGCTGCAGGAGATTGTGTAGAATTTCTGTCAATACAGCTCAAACGGCTGATTCTCTCTAAATCATTCCTGACATCTAAACTCTTAACAGGTGGCTTTTGGAGAAATCTCATGTGGCAGCTGATACTGTTTTTCTCTGAGGGAGGAAGTATAAATGTAACTGTTACTCATTTCAGTGAGGGGGAGCAGGACCTCAAGGGCCCTTGGGTGCCTCTAGCCCCAAATCTGAGAAGCTGCGGCGCACATGAACTAAACCGAGCCGCAGTATTTGATTAATGACTGAGAATATAAAGGTAAAAGGAAGGGAATAGAAGCCTCTTGTACTTTTGCTTTTCTGTTCCCTTGCTAGTGCACCCCGCACTAACACACACACACACACATATATCCACAGCCTTCCCTTCGCTCCCTCTCTGGTGGGGCTTCATGGGTAATGTCGAGTGACACGTTTAAGCGGGAGCTGTCAACTCTGTGTATGTACCACTGAGTGGCAGAGCCCGTGAACGCTGGCGACAGGCTCACACATGCACACAAACTACATGCATATCCCACCCTCCATTACTGTGTCACCCAAATACAGCAAAGGCCTAACCCTACATTTGTTCAAACAAAAACACATGCGCACACTGCATCCATAAAGAGAGCTGTAGGATTTGGTGTAATAACCCTTTAAGGTTCAGCGTCAAAGCATCAGTCTGTTAGCTGGAGGCAATAAGAAGCAAAACTGGAGGCAAACATAAGTCACCATCACAGGGTAGAAGACGACACAGGAGCATCAAAATATCATGTTGTTGTGTTGTTTGGCGCATGATTCGAAGGAGAGATAGAGATGTCTGCAAACTGAAATTAAGCCGTATACATCAGTGCCCGCTTAATGATGAATACATAATGGCTGGCCAGAGGGGATCATCAAAAATGTCTGTATGTGCACTGCCATCTCCATATAGCACAGAAAGCTGTTGTTTGGATGAGCAGAATTATGTACATTAAAGCTACAGTAAGGGATTTTAAGGCCTTGCCCACATGTAAATGAGAACGAGACGTTACCGTTTTGTTTCAAAAAAGTTTTCAGTGAAGACAGAATCATTTCAAGAAATATCCACGTAAATACGAAACCACTGGAAACGATGTAGTACATGTGCAGAGCCAGTAAGTGGCGCTGTAATGCTGCCCCAGGAATGCACCAAAAGATAGAGGAAGAGTACAAAGCATGAGTATAAATGTTGTTTTGGACCAGAGAAAGGGATATTCTGGAGTAAAATCTCGCTTGTTTGTAGCGAGACCTCGGGCAAATTCATTATGGACTGCTGCGGGGTGACGCAGCTCAAGGAAGAACATTTATGATCATTTCCTCATGGAAATACAATCAGACCAAGACATGAAGGCAGAAGAACTACCGCGTCTGCAGTGCAAAAATTGTTGATATGGTGATTATTACTTCAAGGAAATGATAAAGAAATGATCATAAATGTTCTTCTTTGAGCTGCGTCACCCCACTGTAGTCTGTAATGGACTGGACTAAGGTCTCGCTACAAACAAGCGGCTGTTGGAAGAGAGTAGGTGAGTTGTGTTTAGTCTCTTTGCTGAAGAAATTAGGCAAAGTTAAAAAGATGTTTGGTGTCTAGTACTATGGCTGGGACCCTATATGTACTGTTGATGAAGTTAGGTGCTGTTCTGAGCATTATTTGTGGCGTTTTGGTTGAGGTTTGTCTATGGCTCCTGAGTCCGCTGTGTATCACTATCGTGCGGTCGTTACTAAAGTTGGTATAACTAGAGAAGCAAGCAAGTGGCAAGAATTATCTCTCAAGGGGGTGTCTAACTCGGTGTTACGTTGTGTTTGACCCTAGATTTATTTTTTGCCAGAAAATACCATTAAAAGAGTAACACTGTGTGTGACGTAATCGTTTCAAGAAAGATACAGACAGGTGCCCACACAGAAATGAAGCAGTAGTCATACACAGATTTAACTGCTCTAGGATCCACTTTCAAAAGGTATTGTTTACAGTCACCTGAGCAGTTTCCGTGGGGACGATACGACAAGAAACTTTTGCGTTTACCACTAAATATGTTTCCATGTGGACGGGGCCTTATAAAAGTGGGAAAAATCAATCCCCAGCACATTATCCAATAATGTTAGTACTTGTCAGACTAACGTGTTTACATGCATTTTAAAAGTCCAGTCAGGCTGTTGTGATGAATCCGTTGTTTTCAGTGCATGTAAATGTCAAACAGAAATTGGACGTTCTGTGCTTTGTTAAAATCGAGAACACAGTTGACGTTTTTCCCTCTAGGACGCCCAAAAAAACGACTGCCTCTTATACACTTGGGCAACGTGTTGTGCAGATTTTACAGTAAGTATATACTGTCAAAAAACAGACACAGCATCGACCTTGGCTGATAATTAGCCCCAGCTTGTGTGCGTGTGTGTGTATAGGAAACATTATCTACCATAACTTCCCCCTCCTCTTCCCATTTTCTTTCTTCTCCTGCTCAGATCATCTCTCCTCTGTCAGCCATGAAGCTGTCAGCAGAGCGTCCAGCAGGCCAAAAGTGAAGAGAAGAAGGAGAAAAGGCAGAGAGGGGGGAAAAAATCTGGAACAGGATGCTCGGCGCTGTCAGAAATCTCCTCTTCTTCGCTGACATTTGGATTTACACATCTCATTTTCCTGAGTGACAAAGTACATAAACACACGCTTCAAGTGGAGGAGCTTGGCAAGCTTCTCCCCTCCAACACCAAGACACAAACACACACCATGCACGCACACTCACACACACATCTATACATACATTAAGCTTTGGCTTTAGTTTTTTGGATGGAGTTAAGGAAGAGGAGGGGAAATGACATGTATTCTTTGATCTCTCACTCTGTCGGTGGTGGTGATGAGCGATGAGTCAAGTCAGATGGAGGATTTTTTCTCTTTCTGGAGCGTCACAGACAGTGGCAGCGGCGGGGGGAGTTAGCCGCAGGCTGCTTTTGTCCTACATAGGACTTCACTGAGACTCTGTGTAAACTGCGAGCACACAGAAAGTGGCTCAGGCTGAGTGACAAGACAACCCACGTCCTTCATCCCGATCCCACCTCCTCCTCCTCGTCTGCAGCGCTGGCAGCTTAAACGATGAGGTGACACACACCTGTCAAGACGGAGCTTGACACGCCCTGACAGACAGACAAACGCACAAACACCACTAAAGGAGTGAAAAAACATGTCCTAACATACACACCTGCACAGATATGAATGCAAACAAAGACATAGTGACTCTCCTTAACCTGATGCGGTTTTTATCTGAGTATTGACATTGGATACAGTTGCAGCTGTGAAGCACCTGAGAGCAGATTCACCTGTATTTACCTGCTGGATTATTCAGGTGTTGTTTGATATGTTGCCTATAAATCAGTCACGACTGTCAGACTCAAAATCACCGGTGAGTCTAATTACACATGCCAGCAATATACCTGTTAGCTGAGGCTGTATATAAAGAACATGATGAAGCTGTCAAAGTTATAAACAGAGTGGAATAGCCTCAAATGTGAGTTAACACACTGTAGAGTTTGGGTTAATTCCCAAGAGTTCGACTAACACTTGTTGTCATATTACAGCTCTATTATCAATAAGCAGCAACACTGACTGAAGATACCGAGTGAACTCAGGAGATTTGACTTGGAAAAAAAAGATTATTTGACAGCCCTAGCACTAAGTATAATACACAAATATGGAGTAAAGTGAGCCGTAGTGCTTGTATACGTGTCTGTAAGGTGAAATACAGTTTCAGGCTGAGGGGTTATCAACTTAATTTGTCTTTGACTTAACTGCTTTTTAAAGATCATTTTGTTTCAACGGGGCTGATGTTATTTTTCTATATTTTTATCTTTCTCTCTATAACCCTGATCCTTACCTACTCCCTGTCATGTCATGCCCTGTTTTGATCACACATATATTGATAGATTGAAGAAGACCTGTAAGACCTTACTTTGCTCTGCAGGATTTGGGTTTCAAAAACCTCCGGTATTATCTTCAAATGCCACCCTAGTTTCAGTACTTATTCAACTCTGCGTGAGACGAACTTGTCCACTGATATAAAGTTTGATATATAAAACTCTTTTAGGAGTTTTTATTATAATAATAATGATTTTTAGATTTTTAAAGCACTATATCAAAGACCCTCAAAGCGCTTTACATTGGATACATCATTCATTCGCTCACATAGTCACACCCTGGTGGTGGTAAACTACCTTAGTAGTCACAGCTGCCCTGGGGCAGACTGACGGTTATGTGGCTGCTAGTTTGCGCTGATGTCCTCTACAACCACCACCACACAATCATATACCAGTGGAGGACACACACTTGGTCAAGTGTCTTGCCCAAGGACACAACAAACAGACTAGGGATAGAGGCAATCCACCCACTAACCTTCCAGTGACCGCTCTACCCCCTGAGCTACTGCCGCCATGTTTAGTTCTGTTAAACTGACTTTCCTTGTAAAGCACTTTGCAGTAGGTGTGTATTTCACAGACTGTATATACTATGGACAACTTGGTTCCGCCTTCCTCCAGTATACAGATTTGAAGCCGAAAAGCTCTCGGTAATTCTGCGTTTTTTTCTCCACTTCCTGAAACCAACATTGCGCAGTAGTGTTGTACGCATTCGTTAGGAGTCGCTGTGATGACGCTCGGCTCAAACAGCATATCCTCTATGTGAGCTACGCAATCCTTGCACGCCCATAGGCTGTATCAGGTGTCAATCATAGAAAACATAAACCCCCTAATAACTTTTTAAAAATGGAGCTGAACAGAAAAAAAGAGGACTTGAGCACAAACCAGTCTTATGGTCACTAAATGTCAACATGACAACCAGGGAGGAAAACAATATATATATTCTGTGTAATAAATTTTTAAAGTTTGTCCACAGCTCCATAGGGATTGCTGGAGGAAGCAGGAGTTGTGACTTATACTGCAGCCCGCCACCAGAGGGTGCTGTTCTCACAGTGGCTTCACCCACCGAGGAGGCAGACGGCGTCCATTCTATATACAGTCTATGGTTATGAGCCTTATCCAGGCTTTGATCATAGAATAGAATAGAATAGAACACTGAAATTGGAGAGGCTTTTCCGCAGGTGTGTTAATTAATAAATAAATTCGGGACTTTCTACATTTTAAGAGATCAAAATTTTCCCCAGTTTATGTTTTTTTTTGTAAATTTGCAACAGCACTGTAACAAAGTGTTGTCCTCACACACCTTTGACCTTTTATATTGAGAAGCCATGGCATGAGATCGGTCTTACTGCAGAAGCACAAGTGGAAAACACACAGTGAATGCATCATACACACACACACACACACACACACACACACAAACACAGTGTTCAGCGAATGTGTGCTGTGACAGAATGCCTTAATTATGGATTAATTGTGTCATTAGCAGGTTTCTGCTGTTGCCACCACATTGGGCCTGTCAAGGTTAATTACTGGAACATGTTTATTTGCTGTCAGCCGCTGCCGCAAGCTGTCACTTGCATGGAAACACAGACAAACACACACAGACGCTGCTCACTCAAACAATTCACAGGGCACCTTGCGTCCCTCAAGTTCTCCGCCGTTTTCCTCAGCCCCTTTGTTTCCGCCTCGTCGGCACACTGTGTACAGTTCGCTGTCAGCCACCTGAAAGACAAACACCCTGTAATCCTGCAGTCTCCTTCGCCCAACAGAAACAAAAAGTCACCGGTGAGCGAAAAACAACAAGAGTGCTTTAATTAGAAAAGTCTCAGTGAAGCGGAGTTGGACAAAAACCATCCATAACAACGTAAAGCCACTTGGAATAACAAATGTCTGTCATTGCACTTTATGTTTTTATTCAGAGTCTGCGGATAAGCCTGTAATGAAAGTCCGTGGGTGTTTCCAAAGTCTTAACCTGTTAAGCTAGTTTAAGCTAGCTGTCATATTGTTGAATGGGCTTCTCAAACTAACAGGATTGGCCCAGAATGATCAATTAGCAAAAGCTACTACTGCTTATGGTTACAGATACGACAGAGTTGATTCTATACTTATAATTCTGTATTTTATTGGCGAGTACTGTCGTCTAAAGCAACATATGTCTGAGAGCAAGGATGTAGATGGGAGGAGACACACGCCACAGACTGCTTCAAGTCCCATCGGACACAGTTGCTGACATGCAAAGCAAGAGGCGAAGCTGCTTTTGTGTTTGTCATCTTTAACACGATGACAGCAAGAATTTGAAAACAGCTGACTGTGAGCAGAGCAGAGCTGCTGGTTTGAATGGACACAAAAACAGACTGTAACTGACGCTGTGAAGTGTCTGAGTGTCCTGAACTGAACCGATAAACTTTCAGGAGTTGGAAAGAGAGAGAATTTATCATTTCTGCTCAATCATGTTGCTTCATTTTACTCCAAAAAGCTCGTCTCACAGCCTTAAAACTACCAATCCAATCCAGGTTTATTTACAAAGCACATTTTAAAAACAACAAAACGCCGACCAAAGTGCTGTACAGTCAAAATTAGAAACAACAGAAACAGACAATTAACACGAACAATAAAACAAAGGCACAGGAACACATTAAAAACACAGGGACATAGATGGTTCGGTAAAAACATGATTCAAAGGTCAAGTTCTCAGGAGTTAAAAGCAAGGGAGTAAAAGTGCGTTTTCAATTTTGATTTCAAAACAGGCAGTGAGGGAGACAGTCGGACATGAAGAGGAAGAGTATTCCAGAAAAAAGCCCGGTCACCCCTGAACTTTAATCCTGACCCAGGGACAGTCAGAAGGCACTGGTCAGAGGATCTGAGAGTCCGAGATGAAATATAGGGTTTTAAAAGGTCATAGAGATAAAAAGGAGCAAGCCCGTTTAAAGATTTATAAGTTAATAACAAAATTTTAAAATCAATCCTAAAACGCACAGGAAGCCAGTGAAGAGAGGCTAAAATAGGGCAAATGTGGTCAGATTTACAGCGACCAGATAAAACTCGAGCTTCAGCATTTTGAACGAGCTGTAAACGATTAAGAGAGTTTTGGCTGGAACCAAAATAAAGTGCATTGCAATAACCAAGACGAGTTGTGATAAAAGCATGCATAACCTTCTCAAAAGGGGGGGTGACCCCAAGTGACCTCATGGAAACACAATTATATTATTAAGTATCCATGAAAGTGTTTGTACTCACAACCAGCTAAATAAATATGTTTAACAGATAGCAAAGTGGTTCTGGACTTTGAAAAAGGACCATAAACTGATGTTTTGGATTATACTAATAAAATGAACATGTGGACCCAGCAGGGAGGAGTTTATTCAATATCTTTTTTGATTTGTATTTAACCCACATTAGATTCTCTTTTCCCCACAGGGAAGGGAATTTTATTTAAGACATAAAAACACACCAGAGGAAAGTCATGTTGTGTTAAAGTGCTTCAAAAAAACAAAAGGAACAGATAAGTGAAAGGCAAAAGGAGTGACGGAGAAAAAAGAAAGTGAAGCTGCTTTGATTGATTTCAGCTTTAATCTGCTCACAAACTCATCTCCTGATATCTCTCTCTCTCTCTCTCTCTCTCTCTCTCTCCGTCCATAAAGGCTCAGTTGGGTCCTAGCTGAGCAGCTGTGAAGAGACAAACCATTTATCAGCCTGTCAGCTCTTGCTGCCTGTTATTCCAGCCAGACAGACTCCGTGGCTGTCTGAGACCCAATAACTCTGACTGAGGGGAGCTAACACTGCTGCCTTACACGACACAAACACACACACACACACACACACACCGCCTACAGACTATACTTACAGTGTTTGTGATCATAAAGGCCTGTTTTATAAAAGGTGAAACTGAAATTTAAAACTGACATGAAGACGCTGCAGGTAACAGATGTGTGTTTGTGGATTTATTGTTATATTAATAGGCGTCACTGTCTTCAATAAACACACATCTCAGTGTGACAGGCGTCATGATCGCAGGTGAGCTGATGGTCCTACAGCCCTCAGTGCTGCACAACAAACCACCATGGGGAAAACATAGTCTGAGAGCGCCATCTGGTGCAAATAAGCCTAAATCACAGCATCCACGGGAGACCGGAATCTCAATCAGGTTATGAGGAAATTTGGGCTTCATCTCTAGAATATCCAGGAAATAACCAGCTTCTGTCTTTACAGGTCAGACAGGGTTTAAGTTCCCAGCTGTGTATGGCATGAATTTACAAAACACATGAATCTCTGGAACAACTGGGACAGGAAGTCCTTGACAGTTCAGACACTTGATCACATAATAATATTAATATGTTGGTTAAGTACTGTGACGGTACACGAGAGCTGCTTTTGTTTTGCTTTGATATAAATATACAACACACGTCTAAAAAAGTTAAGCTGTAAAAATATTGATATAATTAGATTTTGATGATTTGTAAATCATCAAAATCCTAAATTTAAATTAAACCAATGACATATGATATATGAGGAAACAAAAAGAAATACTTATAGTTGAATTTGATGCAAACACTACATTTTAAAAAAAGGTAAAGAGGTGTATTACTCAGAGGTGAAGACAAGGAGAGGTTCAACAATGTAGGAAAGACTGCGAAAATACTTGAATAGTTTTACTGTTATTTGATTCCGTTATAGATTGCAAAGAATGTAAGGACTTTCTCATCTATAGTTCATTATAATTAAAGGATTCAGAGAATCTGCAGGGATCTCACATGTCCATGTAGATTCTCGTGGTTTTCTTGAAGACTCCAAAATCAGGCGACAGGACTCTGTAGAGTTTGAGAATCAGAGTGTAGAGAATAACTGTGTGAGTTTCTTAAACTCTACAGAGTCCAGTTACCTGATTTTAGAGTCTGCAGGGATCTCTGCTCTGAGAGGACAAGGCCCAAAAACACCACTAGATGGCAGCACTGTGTTTAAAACAGACATGCCTCTGCAGTGGAAATCTCCACAAGGGCTGAAAAATCAGTTGGGTGGACACAGGTGAAAAAGAAAACTGCCTCGAGATGTTGTATCCTCCACTCTCAGAGAAAGGGACCAGTTCAGTAGCTCGCATATGAGATGGTTTAAGGATCTCAAAACTTTTTTGCTAAATTTCGTCAGGCAAGTACAGGACATGTTCCTTTTAAAGCTCCCTAAACTGATCTCTGGGATCCTCAGAGGTTGGATCGTGACATACATGGAAACTTGTTTTATCTTACTGATGCTCTTTTTAACATTTTCTGTGAACTTTTTGCACTGCATCCGAACTTCTTTAAAATCATGTTGATAAAATTACTTTAACTAGAGAAATATTCAGGTACATAGCACTGCCCCTAAAACTGCAGAAGAGTACTGTATCACCTGTATTGCTTTATAAGATCTATTAACATCACTTCACATAACAAAACCTTTGACAGTGGAAATAACACCCAAGCTTGTCAAACAGTGAAAACTGTCTAAAGGGGGGATCAGAGAGTTCCCCTCGATAACCCGTCCGTGAGAATAAAGGAGCACAACGACACTGAGCGGTTTATGTGCATTAGCATTTTAATTGGACAAAGCAAGAAAACATTGATTACAGTAGCAGAGTCATCAGTTCTCAGGGCTAACACCTTTCTAAACAAAAGGGTCTGAAAATGTCTGTAGGCACTGCCTAATTAAAAAGAGTATCTCGTCAGGTAAAAGAAACCAGCTCTATAAGGCAACAGTTACATTGTAGGCCTCCCCATTTCTCTGGCAAAAAGAGCAAGTGTAAAGGTTGAATCCACTCAGATTTTTGATATAAAATACTGGCATTTAAATACATATTTAAAAACCATCATAAGTGTCAAACATTTCACCCTTTAACATTTGAACTGTGTTAAATTTTATGTATGAACAGTATGGCGATGCCATCTTTTATCCCTGCATGGAAGAATTGTGTGTTGCACTGTGCCAGTGTCGCGTTTATAGTGCCACTCTGCTACGTACAATGTTGGAGTTAACTGTCGAGTTATCAAAACAAAAAAGAAAGCAAGCACCCACAGTTAACAGTAGCATTTTACTTACATTGTTTCAAATGGATGAATGGTTATTTACATGTGGCAAAAGGTTTTGAGGCTGTCCCAAAGATATGGAGGAGAAATGGAATGCAAAAAGGAAAACGCTCTTGGTAGTCAAATTTTTCCAAGTACAAGAGAGGAAAAAACTGTGCAATATTTATCTGCCCTTACAGAGAAACAGCAGTGGCAATAATCCCTGCAATTGTATTCTAACCCAAGAGAAAAATGATATCAAATTAAACAGGTTTCCATTCCTCAAATAATAACTAAGGTTCATAACTTAGCACGTCTCAAACTTGTTCAGTCTTTAAAAAAATGACAGACCTCTCTGTGGCTGTGTGAGAGGAAAGATGTGAAAATGGAAGCAATTTGTAAAACCAGAAAAAAATCCAAAAAGTTTCTCCTTTACAGTTTATACTCATTTACAGTTAACTTAAAAATGGTAAGAGCCCTGGTTCATGGCCAGTCTTGCCTACCACAGAAGGTGTAGATACCTGTGTGGGTCAAATTGCTCCTCCCTGGCTCCCGTTACCTCAACCCCCCCATGAATTCCCATTTACAACTCCTATAGATGTCAACCTTCCCATTAGGTTTAACATCCCGGTAAAAGTCTTAGTCCTGCCACAAATGGAGGCGGTGTTACACAGCCCTGCAGGGCACTGTACAGCCAATAAGAGGCTGATGGTTGACAAATCTCCCACCCTGCCCACTTATCAGTGTGTGGGGTATCCTGTGGCTCCCATACCAGGCTGGTTGGCTAGCATACTCCCATTCAATCCCTGTGTAGGCTCCATTACCCCACCGTTACTGATGGCGCTCATGCCAGTCCACCCAGCACTGGCCGGTAAGTGACTGCAAAAAACGAGGTACAGAGAGAGAGAGAGAGAGAGAGAGACAGAAAGACAAAATGCCAGCAGGTTAGAAGAGACAAGGCGAAAGGGAGCAAAAGGGACGGTTTATATTAGCGCTACTAGAATCTTGACAGGCTAGAATGAGAACAAGAAGGCAAACAGAGTTATCAGAGGGTGAGGCAGGCTGGGCAAAAATCAAGCTAGCAAAAATTAGGGGAAGAGGAGAAAGTAGAGGGGTCTTCAGAGGGGCTAAAGGTAAGTATCGTTTGATTAAACATGGGTGGACAAGCAGACAAAGAGCATACAGGCTAAGAGCAGCAAGCTAAATATTCCTCCATTCTCCCCTCCCAGCTGTGGCGAACTACGAACGCACAACAAGTGGAACCAGCCTACAGACCGGCGAGCCACAAAAAAAAGACGACTATCTCCGTTTCTCTTAAAATATTTCTAAATACAGCCACAAAGTCTGCCTGGAAAAAGAGTAAATTCTCATCAAATTCAGCCTCGTATCGATCGTGGAATAAAACATAACTCTAAGGTCAGTGTGGAGACAACGCAGCCTGTACAGAACAAGGTTTGATCTTCAATTTTCAAGTGAAAAAGGAGCTTTTGCCTCCGTCTCTTAGGAAATGTGCATTTACCGTGCATTCAAAAAAACCAAACACTAATGCTGCGTCTGATAACTCACACTTTGATACAGAGCCTTCTAGTCATAAAGCTGTTCACCAGAAATCAGAGTGTCAACAACATTTGGCCTCTTTTATTTTCTTGGATGCACAAAATGTCACTTCAAATAGGCTAACATGGAATAATGACCTACAAATGGTAATATTTCACATGTCCGTTCTTTACATCTACTGACTGTCTTGTACAGATCAAGTGTTCAGATAAATGACAAAAAAATAAGTTGATTCAATGACAAAGGAAAATAAAAAGCTATGACATGAATGCAGGGGTACAAAACTCAACAATCTTACAGAACACAGTCCACACACACGGTAAGCAGTCTTACAACAAAAAGGAAACTTAATTCTTCATCCGGCGTCTATCCCTGGAAGTGGAAAGTAAGTGAAATTTGTTCTGAACTTTAGCTTTTTTCTTGTTGCTTTAAATTCAATGACTAATTAATGATTAATCTTGGTATTTATTTGATTGAGTTGACTAACATTTATATTTGGAAAAGACAACAGCCTGTCCTGTTGGTATATTTTTAATCCAAACTCTTTAAGTTAACAGTAACCAGGATGGTGTTGACATTTTTGAACATAATCAACAGCACGACTGAAGTTGAGATTGTTCTGGGTATGTGTGGGTGCGTCTGCTTGTGTCTCAATGACATGAAGAGGGGGGGCTGGCAAGGGGAAGAGGAAGGATGTGTGGGGGTTGGGGGAAGGAGATCGAGGCACCCTCCTGTGGCCAGAGCTGGCTCTCGCTGCCCGGGGTCTCTGGTGGTGCTGAAGTAGAAGGAGGCGGTGAGGTGGAGCCCTGTGCGCATCGTGCTACTTACTTGAAGCCCTGCTGGTTCCAGGCCTGGCCGTAGACGCCGTAGGTGGGGACCTGCCACCCGTTAGGGACATACTGGCTGATCTGGGGCCCGTTGCCATACCACTGGCCCCACTGGCCGTAGGGCTGGGCTGCAGGGAAGCTCATCTTGTTCTGCTGTGGGGAACAATTTACAACTAAAGGTTAATACAACAGTTGGTATGTGATTTCCTTCATTTTTAAGTACAAACTCATTGTAACAAAGAAAATCTGGATCTAAAGTCCTCCACAAGAAGCTTCAAATACACGCAGACTTCCTGTGGAATAACTGTATGTGTACGTTTGTTGATCCATATTTTGAAAATATACTAAGTGGATGAGAAACACCAATATTGGTGTAATCCCTGGACATGTTCTCCAGCTGTTCAGGACTATAAGTCGCACTTTTTTTCATAGTTTGACTGGGTTTGCGACTTAAACTCAGGTGCGACTTACATATATTAAAATATATAATTTCACACATTTGTTATTTTCACACTGACAGCCGCTAGAGGGCGCTCTAGGCTGGTGTACCAGTGTCTGCTACTCCTGTACCACCGAAGATTTAAAAGTTAACGTTAAATCATATTGACAACTGAGAAAGACTGAGCACAAATGCCGCCAAAAAGAAAATCTTAGTCTGCAGATAACAAGCTGCAAGTGGTGAAATATGCAGCCGAAAACGGCAATCAAGCAGCAGAGTTAGAGTTTGGAGTGAACGAGAAACTTGTGAGGGACTGGCGAAAGTGGAGGTTAAGCTACTGCGATGAGGAAAACAAAAAAAGCTAATGGCGGGTTAAACGCTAGTTGGCTAGATTATTATTATAACTTGCCTTTCGAGATGAATTGTCTGTTCTTAGTCTTGGATTTTGTAAAATAAATTTCCCCTAAAAAATGCGACTTACACCAGTATATGTTTTTTCTTCTTCATTATGCATTTTTTGGCTGGTGGGACTTATAATCTGGAAAATACGGTAGTTTGCTTATTTCAAGACTTAACCGTAACCTGATCTCAGGTCAGGTTTTGCGGTCCTAGTTGAAAGACACACCCACCATGTAGCTGTTTCGAGTCTCATCTTGGAAAGTTGCTTGTAAATATTCTTTTGTTTGTGAAGGGAGTCACAGAGATTTTTGGGACAGTGACAGTTACATCAACGACTCCTCGGTAAACAAAAGGCAGATACAAGCTCGACTAGACTTCCATCTCAGCTTCTGCAGAAGCCTAAGGCTGTTCCATCTATACAGACCTTCCATAGGGGCTCAGAGCCACCAGCTGTGAGTAACATAATTACAGCAGTTAATGTAAAAATAGGTCACGTATAATGGGGAGCTAGTGTGGGCACTAATGGCCAGCCAGCCTCAGGTGTTTCCTGTAAAGGCATCATTTTCTGGTCGTTCCATGACTGCAGAGCTGTGTGACAAGTAACATCCATGAGCGGTGTCGAACTTTATTTGAGCCAAGTCAAAGCGCTTCAGGCAGAGGAATTGAGAGTTTTATTTAATGTATGGCAGATTGAGATGCAGGAGATGTTTCTTGGAGCTGAAAATCATTCAAAACTCCTCCACAGGTGTGCCAGACTCTTTTTGCCAAAGTAGAGTAACACTGGTTTCCCTGAATGTGACGAAGAACCAAATTTAAGTACCAGGTTGGTGGTGAGCGACAGACGTCCCTGTATCACACATCTCTATAACTACAACCTACTTTAACCTACTTGAGCTAACACCACTCTTTAGCTTTCAAGTGGAAAACATTAAGTAGTGGAAATCTGCCATATTTCTTAGAACGTGGTGTTCTCATCCTGGATGAGTGTTCAAACAGAGTGACGTTTTAAGTTATTTACACTCATGACGTACAGGAGAGCTCGATTAAAAGTCACTCCCGGCTCCCGGAGTAGATGGTGTCATTACCTGGGGAATAGGAACCTGCTGCATCGGGTTCATCATGTCCGGGGTTTCTTTACCCCAGTAGCATTTGACTATGTGGCCCTCTATTGAGGTGCCATTCACAGACACAATCGCATGGGCTGCTGACTCATGGGAGTTAAACCTGGACAAAACCAGAGGCAAAGAGAGAGAGAGAGAGAGAGAGAGAGAGAGAGAGTACATGCTCAGCAACAGTTATCACACCACCACTGGACATCTGTGCTTTTGAATTTAGAGAGATGAGGTGGGAAAAAACACCTTTTTATACATAAATTTTATATCAAAATCAAAAGCCAACAGATAGTTCCAGTAACAGAAACAGTAAATCCCAAAACTCTTGAGTTCAAGGTCCTTAGAGTTTTCAGCACTGCATGTTCTCTATCAGTATTGAAAATGTATTTAATAAAAGAGTTGAAATGTTCACACACCTTACAAATGAATAGCCTTTGTCAGGGAAAACTCTGATCTCCATGATCTGTCCAAATGGAGAGAAGGTCTGTCTCATCAGTTGCTCTGAAAAAGAAGGATCAACAACGTGTCATGAACAACAAATGCATGAGAAACATTAAGTGTTAACACCTTCAAGTATGAGACTGAGGACTGGGGGGCTTCAGCGTGATCAACTCTGGGCAAGAGGAACTTCGTGTTATCTTTCAGCTACGGCTTGGTACACACAGTCAGTGAAGTAATGCCTGGGACACACTGCACACCTGAGCAGACTGTGACGGCTGCCTAGCTGTTGCTCACACGGTGTTAGTGTACACAAAAACCTTATGTCACCTGTCAATGCCAGCCCTGACTCATAACACCGAGGCTAGCTTTGATAAGAGCCATGATAAACAAATGTTTCCATTTTTGTTGATATGCTGTGCCGCTCCAGCTCGGGTCGCTCACAGAGGCTGTGTAGCTGTTATGACCTGGCAACACGGGTTCCAGGTTAAAATACAAAGTGTAAAGTATATGTGGAAGAGACAACATACGGTGCGAGGGAGTATAAAGAGGAACTACACCTCAACAGCATGACGCACACTGAGCTTGTCTGTAAAGAGTTCTGTGTTTTCAATCATTGTACTTCTGTTACACACTGCTGAATTTAGCCGATATGCGGACATTATCTTCGTCATTCTAGACATAACATGATAAACACCTGGGAAGTGTAACTCTCTTCAATACCACATCTTTACCACAGGTTTCTCTTTCAGGAAGCATCTCAATGTTCAGGTTTTGCTTTCACGATCATTTAGGCGGAAACTGAACTCTTTGTTTATTATTGACGACATTGTGGGTGGTAGTTACTGCAGTGTGTTAAAGTGAAAAGTGTTCTTTATATTTTGTCTTTTTTTATAAGATTCATATGGAACCACAGGCGAACACTGTTCATAACCACCAGCATTTATTACCTGTAAGTCCTGAGCTGACTCCGCCACAGTACACAGTGCAATTACTTGGACTGGACTGACTGACTACTTCATCAAAGGAGAGGTGCTTGCAGTTACCTGCCAGGCAAGACAGAGAAATTGTTCTTGTCAATACATGAATTCTCCATCCTGCGTGAACGAGATCAAACATACACGTGAGGCCACGCACTTTCATAGGTGGTCTTTGGGGCAGGGGGCTTTCTTGTGGCCCAGTTGGTTCGAATCTGTCTGCCACCTAACCACTGACCCCCCATCTGCTGAATGGCATTCTCTGCATCCTGTGGGAAAAAAAAAGAAAAATGGTTAATCTATTAGTTTGACTGTAATCCATGCTACATCTCAAGTTTACATGGTCAAGCTCCAGTTACAGCTTGATTAGGCAGTTTACCCAGTCCCAGTTTAAACGCACTGGTCAAAATTCAGATTACTGACAGAAGTGTGTGCACCTTTGCTACAGAGGATGGCAACATACTTGTAACTGTCAGTCCCCCATCATCCAGGTATGTTAATCCAGCTATGAGAAGTTCCATTAGGTGTGATTTCAGATGGACTAGCATGTTTTTGTTTTTTAAAGTCCAGTTCAGTCGAAGAAATAAGGCAATAAAAGCAATTTATTGAATGTATGAGTGTTGTCTTACCCATTTGTTGAAGAAAGACACAAAGCCATAGCCTTTAGATTTCCCTGTTGCCATATCTTTCACAACACGTGCATCTCTGTAGAAAAAACAAACAAAAAGAAGTAGATTGAACACATGAACCATATAAGAGGTCAAGAACTTGAACAGAAACGTACAAACTTCAGTTGTAAATCTGACAAATCTGACATTTACTGTGTGATTTTGACTTATTCAGTGGAGAGCATGGGGGAGAAAAGGGAATACAATACTTTAAATTTAGTGTCTGACAATCCTTCATCTGAATGTTATTGTGAATGAATGTTTTCATAAAGTTATATCTGATATATCTATGGAATATACAATACTCACGATATCCTGCCGAATGGACCGAAGGCAGCTTTGACGTCTTCTGTTGTGATTTCTGGGCTGAGGTCTCCAACAAAGACATGAAAGTGATCTATAGGGGGAAAAGGGGAAAAAGGTTTACATAATGATACAATACACATTGTACTTCAAGCTTTTACACACTTGCAAAGATAGAGACTTCTGTTGAGACATTATGTTTTTTATCAGTGTGTTTTCAACCGAACCAGAGACAAAAGAAGTGCCTTTCTCAGCAAAAAAAAAACACACTCCACACAAGTGGAAAATCCTAGCCTGAAAACACGTAGACATCCACACAGATATTTCTGTCTACATGCATTTTTACTTACTACTTGTGTCTTTTTTCTGGCTGGTTGGCGTCGTGGCCCAGTTGACTTTGACCTCCTGCAGAGAAGGGGAGAGAAAGAACAGGCCAGGTGGGGTATGTTTATATCATTCACAGAGAAGCCTGGGGTCTCCTTTGTACAATTTGCAGGCTGCCTATTTGAAAACGTAAGATTATTTTATTTCCTAACACTTAAAATATAATAATGATAATGAATTCACAATATTGGGTGCATCAAGCATCACTTAGCAAGAAATATGACTTTCATTAGTTTGAATAACTGGTTCTCCTTAATCATAATGACCTTCAGTTTCTTGAGCGCGTTCAGGAATTTGTTTGCAAAAAAATCTTGCGCATATGAGGAAAAAAACAAAAGTATGACGATGTTGAAAGTTAATAATACAAGGCTCCAGTCATTAACAGCAAATCTACACATTAAAGACTGTAAAAGCATTTGCTGTCAATTCAATAATCAGAATTTTCTTCAACAATATTTTTATTAGTTTTATACAGATGTACAAAGGAAACCCATTAAGAACACCCCCTTTCCCTCAAAACCCTGTCTACTGCCAGATACTCCTATTATTGTGCTTAAATAACAAACTCTGGAGCTATAACAAAAAATAAATAAATTAAATAAATAAATAAATCAAAAAGATACACTAAGTGTTGGAATTCGGGTTTTGTCGATCTTGAAATATATAAAATGTTGAGGAATAAAAAGTAAAAAGAGAATAATTTAAATGAACTACTGTAAGTGAAGAGAAATACAAATGTAGACAAGTTGCTGAAAACTGAAAAAGTCCAAAAAAGAGATAAGAATTTAAATTGGATGATTATAAAACATCCCAGATATATATTTTAAATAGAAAACAACTAGAGGAGGAGAGTGCTACTTCAAAATGATGAGAGTTTCTGAATGTGGTCTAGGAAAGGTCCCCAGATATTCCGAGGACAAGACATAAGGTCTTTCTGCCACTGACTATAATAATCAGAATTTTTACATATTTTTTATTCTATGTCATACTTCTGAGTATCACCCTGATGCACTTCAATATTGAAAAATCAAGCCTGTTGCTATTTTGTCATGTTGGGATTTAAAAAGTAGCTATAATGTTTGCAAAAATCTGATTTTACACTGTTCCTTAAGACCTTTTTATTAGTTTCAACTCCATGTTGTTGACATGATCTTGGATATTTTATCACCACTATGTCCTTTATATAGTTTATGGATTTCCCCAGCCCAAAAACTCCCTGTCTTTATGGCATTGAGGTCACACAAGGACAGTGGTCCATTATATATAGCGCCACAATCCTGCATGCCTTACAGTGACTGGGTTGTATACAGCTTACTGGAAAAAAAAGTATAAATTTCTCACGGCAGTAGCGTGGTTAATCCATTATCTGATCAGTGCAGGGCTAAATATACAGTCTACTACCTTTATTCCTGAACTGAACACTCAATCTAAACCCCCCGTACCCATAGCCCACCTGTCCCCACTCACCCATTAGACACGATAGCTTACCTTACCCATTATTTTCCTTCCATTCATTGCTGCCAAAGAGGCAGCAGCATGCCTGTGGTCATAGAACTCCACAAAGCAGTAAGGATCATTTCCAGCCGTCTGTCAGGAGGAAACAACACTCATATGAAGGCCACAGCAAAGGTGACAAGTCAATAACTGTAGAGAGCCTGTGTCATGAAGTGCTGTTTGGGGTATGAACTCTGACTTGAGCTCTGGAGGAGGGAAATTCAACTCAGAGAAAGTGAGGGCTGAGATTTTCCACCAGCAGGCCATACAGAGGGTTTGAATAATGTTCAGCAAAGAGAAAAAACTCACATCTACTATCATTTTGCAACTCTTGCAGGGTCCTATCTGTGTGAAGACCTGTAGAATAAGGGGCTCGGTGACATCCCTGGACAGATTCCCCACATACCTGCAGAAACCATGAGATGAGAAGAAATGAGCCTTTGTCAAACAGGAAGTAGCATGCAAACAAAGGCTAGTTAAACGGGTTAGCTTCAACCCACAACAATTCCGTGTCTATACAAAAAATACAGTATAAAAACAGAAAACAGTGTATGATATAATCTTCATTTTGCACGGAGAGGTCCAGTTCAGTTTCCTGCCCGGTGTGAGTGTCCCGGGCTGTTTCTTCGAGCGTTGACGTGGCTTGTCCCTCAGCTAGCTAAAGATAACCCTAGCCGGTTCCACAGGGGCCTAATGCTAACTAACGACACACCGTGTACCCTCTTGGAGCTCCACGCAAGACTTTTGGGCAGATTCGGTCATTTTATGTCAAAACACACATGACTCGAAAGGAAAGCGGGCAACTTAAAGCGACTATCTGGCTTGTTGTGTTTTCATCTTCGGCTTAAGTGACTAGCATGAGCTACCGCCTGTTTCATTTTCATGCTAGTAACGATTCCGTCCATTTACAGGACTAAATGAAGCAGAACTACCTTAAATAGTTCGTATCTTGCTGTGCCGGCAAACACAGTTGCTTTTGTAATAGCAGTGCCGCGGCTGGAATATCACGGTAAAAGGTTTCGCTGTTTTTATTGAAACAACAACGTGGAAACATTTCGGACGCGCAGTAGTTACACGGAGCCCACCCACTCCTGTGCATAGACGGGGCCGCTGTTACTCACAAGGTTCTAGGTTGATCTTCCTCCATCATCAAGGTTTAGTGGTCGCGTCCTGAGAGGCCCTTTAAATCCAATGACATACAAATGCGTTGTGCTGCTCTCGAACGGCCGCAAACGTGATGGCTATATCTACTATTGAATGACAAATCGGTGGCCGATTCCGCTATCACATACACACACTGCAGACAGCCTCAGTCTGATGCAAACAATAGGAAGTTGAAGATGGCGGAGGAGCGGCGTCAGCAGCGTCAACCTGCGCGCTGAAAGGAAGCCAAAATCAGGCGCTGCTCTACTCCCACGCACTTTCATGTGCGCTCACATCTTTGCGGCATATGTAGTAAAAAAAGGCGACATTTACAGTATTTTAGTTTCAGAAGTGGAATGTATTTTTCATTAGCCTAGATTTGGTCCTATATAACGTGACCAAACTCCCATTAGAAAGAGAAGATTGCAGCTGGGAACATCTGGGACACGCATGCAAACTTGATATTTATCAATATGTGCATGTAACGCTGTGAATTGTTACAGTAGAAGTTGCTACTCGACGCATTTTCTACAGCTAAACCGATTTATTCGATACCAGTATATGTTGCAAAGGCAAAACACGTGCGCCGCCCGGGAATCGAACCCGGGTCGCAAGAATGGGAATCTTGCATGATACCACTACACCAGCGGCGCCTTGATTTTTAAGGAACAGGGCAATGATCTGATGTTACACACACCTTAGCTGATAGATTCATGATTATTGATTATAGTAGATTTTAACATTATGTGGTACGACTTGTGGCCTTTAAAATATACGGGGGTCATGAACCGCCACTGCTGCAAATAAAAAACTGCAAAAAAGAAGGAAGTTACTGATGCAAAAACAAGAAAACCAAAGCCCATCGCAAACAAAAAAAGAGACGGTGCAGATTTGAAAAAAAAAAAAAGCCACAACAGAAGTTAACATTAAAAAGAAAAATGGCAAAGCAAAAAAAATAATAAAAACTACTGCTAAAATAAAAGGATACAAATTAAAAAAGCCATAATGGGAGTGAGCTGCCGAGGACCAATGATAAAAAAAAAAAGCGAGGGGTTTTCTTACTTATTTCTATGGGTAAAGCAACCAAACCATAAAGCTACCGAACTCGATTCTCCTCTTGTGAGTGGACTTTTGGGGCGTAGTGGGTTTCCCATGTTAGCCGAAGCTAATGGTGTGTTTGAGTTACCTTGGAAGTCAGATGTCGGAGCTGAAAATGAGTTCTGAGCGTTTCAGTTACTAAGTCAGAAAAAAGCTAAATCGGAGGCCTAAAATAAGATGGCTACATTTACGAAAGTTATTTTAACACTTGCCCTATATTCGGACAAGGCAATCGCTGAAATAACTTTCGTAGATGTAGCCATCTTGTTTCAGGCCTCCAATTTAGCTTTTCCTGACTTGGTAACTAAAACGCTGGGAACTAGGTTGTGACGTCATATTCAGCTCCGACTTCTGACTTCCAAGGTAGCTCGAACGCAGCAGAACACTACACCGGCATCCTCCAGTTCAACTTTACTCTGGCGCTAGATGGCCTGACCAAATGATACATTGAAAATTTTACAAAGCAAAATTAAACAATAACCTTTCCACTAACTTCTGTGCTCGTCTTTTGTGCCAAGATTGTAAAACACTGGTGCATCATCATTTTTGGTCCCCGGCCGCTCACCTCCGTTGTGGTTTTTTTTATTTGTGTCCTTTTATTTTCGCAGTAACTTTTGTTTGTTTTTTGTAACACCTCTTTTTTTTGCATCAGTAATTTCTGTTGTGGCTTCTTTTTTTTTGCATTCTTTTTTATTCTATTTGTCGCAGTGGCAGTTCTCGGCCACCATAAAAATGAGATACTGCCCCCACAAAGATATGAATAAACACAATCTCCAAAACATGTCCTGCTTGATATCTATACAATAGGATGTTATTATTTATTTAGCATCTTGTGTTAGAATTGCACTCCTCTGCCAAATAAAGAAAGGGCATAAACTCATCACTGCTAACTGTGAGCTCTGAGCCTGAGGCCAAATAAACACCTTCATGGGTGGTAACACACTGAACTACTGAACCCCGGGTGTGTGCAAGCATGGCCTGGCTGGTAGCACTCCAAGACCAGCATCACATTGACCACACCTCTCCACAGGTAATTAACCAGCAAAACATATCCCACAGTTGACTGCTATTTACAGCAACAAAGGATTATTTTGTTGATTTTAGGCTGAGGTTCGTGGTTATAAAAGGTTCAAGGATTTTTAGTGTTTATGTTTTCCTTCACTGCTCCCCCTCTATTCTACTAAACTGGAATAGAAAACTGCAGTGGTCTGTTTTTGTCATTGGAGTTGCCAATCATGACTGCCCATACCCTCTTTTCATAATGTAAAAAAATTTTTGAAATCAGTTTCTCAGACAGATTGATGCTCTGACATAAATCACTATCATGAGAAGTGACAAAAGTGACAGAAACTGTGCTTCAGAAAAAAAATATTTGGCAGAAATTCAAAATTTATAACATGGCTGTTTTATTCCACAGTTACACAATGAAAGCAGGTCAGATAGATAGATAGATAGATAGATAGATAGATAGATAGATAGATAGATAGATAGATAGATAGATAGATAGATAGATAGATAGATAGATGCACCCCTGCTTGGACAGCACTGTTTTCCATGAGCACTGGCGCTTCTCAAACAGAGGGTGGCAGTGTTGCTGCTTGTTCACGGTGAAAAACGACGAAGAAGAATTCAGGGAGGTGTCGTCAGTGCACCCGAAGAAGAACCAAACTGTGGAGGAATCATGGCTTCCCCTGCTGGTTGTGAACATTATGTACGCAGCTGCTTATTAAAAGTGAGTTAACTTTGTGTTTATATGTTATTATTATTCACCCCACTCGCTAAAAGAGGTTTGTTTTATTTTGTGTGACTGACGATAACCTTTCCTTTAAGACAAATGCGGTGTTTGTTGAACTAGAATTACTCACACTCGTTTTTGGAAACTAAATAGCACATGATCATGAAATATTAGTTTTCCCAACACATCTATTCGATTAGCTGAATGGCATTTGACACCTTACCGTGACTTTTGTGGAGTGGTTTTAAGCAGCTATGCACACTCATGTGTTGATGCCAGCCTTTGGTTCTAGAGGAACTTGAGATCAGAAGGGACCCGGTCCACATGTCCACATGTCCACCCTGTGTTCTGCTCTCAGGCTCCCTGCTGTGGAAAACTGTATGTGTGCCGGCTGTGCCATGATGCAGAGGAGAACCACCAGATGGACCGATTCAAAGTGGAAGAGGTTCAGTGTTCAGAGTGTCACACACTGCAGCAGGTGAGAAAAGAACTCTAACCAGATAGTTTGGAGATCATGAACATCTCTGTCTAAAACCTGTTGTGATGGGCTTATATAAGGAGCTGCAGGAATGTAACATGTCACTCTTCTTGTCTTTTAGGCACAGCAAACTTGCCAGCAGTGTAATGTGCAGTTTGGGGAGTATTACTGCGATATTTGCCACTTATTTGACAAGGATAAGAAACAATACCACTGTCAGCCCTGTGGGATATGCAGGTGAGCAGGAGTTGATTTAATCTCTTCAGGACATTTCTGACACCGTGGGTTTCTGTTTTTATTGCTATATCCTCAGTAGGGCTGGGTGATAAAACGATAATGATATATATCGAAAATGTATTTATTTAACAGCATTCTTCCATGTTTTGGTAGACTATACGAATAGTCAATGAAAAGGGGAGTTGCTGCAGGTCCGCTTCGCACTGAACCAATCATGTGCTGAATTAGAACCAAGTAGCAAACAACTGCATAGTAGCAGGCTGCAGCTACACGCAACCATAGCACTTTAACACGTGAAGCAGACAGCACTGTCGGTGAGAAAGAAAGAAAATGAGTGCTACCCCTGACAGAAATGCAGACAAGTCTACTCCTTAAAGTCTAAATGCATTGTCAGTGCTTTACCTGTGTTTGCTAATGTTGCAAACAAAAAAGAAAGTGACAGTTATCAGAATCAGTTATCAGTGCAGAATATAGAAAAAAGTTTACTTCTGTCAATATGAATGACGCTTGATTACACCAAAGCTTCAGTGTTAGTATGACAGTCTCTTACATTAATCTACGAGTGATACTGTGTTGTTCTACCTTCAACAGGATCGGGCCCAGGGAGAAGTATTTCCATTGTGAGAAGTGCAATCTGTGTTTAGCTCAGAATCTGCGAGGAAACCACAAGGTGATTTTCGTCCTTTCACTGTGTCTCACTCACACCCAGCTCAAATATTTTGTTTCAGAAGTAAAACATCTTTTTTATGTTTCAGTGTGTTGAAAATGTATCAAGGCAGAACTGTCCCGTGTGTATGGAGGTAATGGAATAATAATTATATTAGTGGATATTTGCTAAAGTGACGTTACCTTTGCTTTATTGTCACCTTTTCCTTTCTCAAAGTTTTATATCATTTACTTTTCCATGTACAGGACATCCATACATCCAGAATTATGGCTCATGTCCTTCCATGTGGCCATCTCTTGCACAAGTAAGACCAATTATTCTGAAACATTCTGAGTTGAAATGTGCATATTTTGCTGTCTGATATTTCTTACATTTGGTTTGCTCACCGGGGAAACGAAACATGAATGTATTGTAGCCTTGGGAGCACATTTACTCCTCTATACACTATTTGCATTAGCTGTAGAAATATTACATTCTTTAAATAGAGTGGATTAAAACATTGTGTCTGTTTGCAGTGATGTCGACTTTGAATCCAATATTTATTATTATGATATGTGCTGCTGATGTCTTGATCTCAATCTCAATGGGTTCTTATTTGGTAAAATGAAGGTTAAATTAAAAAAAAGAAATCTTTACAGCTATCGATCATAGTCAAATAACTTCTGTGGTGTGTTGTAGTTTATATAGTAATCATGGTTTGAGCTCCATTATTACATGAAGCTAACAATCTGTTTGTCTCCATCATCTGCAGGACCTGCTTTGATGACATGGTCAGAAAGGGGTATGTTTCTTAAGTTCTCTTTGAATTTGTTAAATTTTTCTATCTTTGAATTCGTTAAATTGAGGTCGGAGTTCACAACAGTAAGGCCTGACTTCCTCTGATGTGTAAAACCAGCTTCATAAACCCCCAGTCACAAGATTTTAGAGCAGATCTGACCGTACAGACCAGACCTCCTCTGTGGGATTCATGTAGAAGGCAAGGCGAAAAAATGTTCGGACCTGGCTTTCTTAAAATTGTCCAAAGCCTGTCAGGGCTTAAATAGTCGAGTCATTCTATAATTAGGGGCCATGGACTGTATTTATCAATTTTACCAAATATTAACTCAAACCAATGATCAATTTTATATCAGGGAACATTTCGCTTTTATTTAATACAAAAAGTTTAATAGATATTTTTTTTTTTTTTGCATAAATGCATGTAATATACTGGGATTTGTTGGTTTTATGCGGTCAGATTTTCTCAATGTTAGGTTTAGCTTCTCAGATTAACATTAAATTAAATATTTTTGGGCAAAATTTTTGTAAATATTTGTTCAAAGTGTTTACTAAATCATGAGAAATGTGTGCATGACGAAAGTTTGACATATAGCATAAAGAAGTTTTGGCTGATTAAAGAAGAGATCAGATTAATTACATCCAAAGTGAAACCAGAACCAAGACACGTATCTGACTGAGGTTTTTTCCACTAAATGTTATTGTTCTTGATTTGTTCCAGGGCATATCGCTGCCCTCTGTGTATGCACTCTGCATGGAACATGGAGGACCACTGGGATCAGATAGATAAAGAGATTTCCCAGTCCCCGATGCCCACTGAGTACCAGGGTACTACAGTCAAAGTAAGAACTCAGTAAATACAAATGTAATGGATGAAGTGAAGATTTAGTTGAAGTTGTGTTTATATTCATGTTGTTTTTCCTCTCTGTAGATTATATGTAATGATTGCCAAACCCACTGCACGGTGCCTTTCCATGTGCTGGGGATGAAGTGTAGTGGATGCGGCTCGTACAACACGGCCCAGGACGGGGGTCTCATTCAGCAGCCTCAGCAGGAGCAGCCGGAGCAGCAAGACACCGAGAACGAGGCGGAAACAGACACAGAGCCAGAGCAGCTAGAGCAACCAGAGCCAGCCACACCACATTAGATTTACAGCCGGTCTCAGTGCATGATATTTTTACATGAAACATTCGTCAGGGGAGCTTTCATACAATAGGTCGCGTTGAGTTTGAGAATAGCAGTACTTAATTTCCTCAACTGTACACTCAATAAAAACTCTATTTATTTCCTGTAGCTGCTGATCCTGTTCAGATCTGAAGCTCGTTTCAGTTTTCAGCGGGGGAGGTGAAGAACACTACTCCGAAAGTCTTTTAGATGTCCACACATCTACACTAAGAGTACTTTTAATCTGCTAGATGGGTGGCAGTCCAACAACTGTACAGCATCATAACAAAAAATAAGTGGATTTGAAGGAGCCGGTGAAGATTGTAGAGAATCAGAGTGATTGTTTTCTGTTAAGTTCAGAGTCATAGATCCCATAACAATTCTTTTTCTGCAGAGGACTTTGTTGTCGCTTGTCAAATATTCAGAACTGTATCTGCACCAGATTAAAATATGTGTCAGGTACAAATAAAAATGTCTTTTTAGCATATTTACAGAACAGTCTATCTGGTACTACGCTGGGACACAAGGCTGTAGTTTATAATCATGTACTTATTGTGTCTTAATTCAGTTTGGGTACCTTTACAATGAAATAATACAACTCCAAATAAAAAATAAGGAAATTTACAACAAAAAAGACGTGAGTTTTGTGGAGTTTTTTATTTAAAAATGTAAAAAAAAGGTAAAATCACATTTTTATTTTCAGCTGCTTACATCTGAGCAAACGTCTTAGTTTTACAAAACAAGAGCACCAGTTTTTCTGTTACAAAAGTCTCACATGCAACAAAATACTTATTGAGGGACCCTGATATTTAAGTACAATCATAGTCAGGGTATTTAAATAGGATATAATGATCCTGCAACAAAAGTACATGAGAGTATAATGAACAACAACAACAAGTCATCTCTGGATTACTGTTTTTGTTGTCTGGCTCACATGCTGTCTCCTCTCGGCGGCTCTGGCTCAGCGGTGGTGAACTGCACAGTGAAACAAACAGGAACAGCAGTCACAGCGGTCCCGATGGAGACCGGCACGGGCGGGACAGTGGAGGAGGGCAGAGGAGACGGGTCGATGGTGAGTGGAGGAGAGGAAGCTGTGGCATCCGTGGGGAGCACTTGGTGTACGGTGGTGACGACCGGGGGCTGGGTTGTAACATTATTCTGAGTAAGCCCTGAATGTGGTTGGACATAGGTGCCCTCTGTAGTAGCATCTTGTACGGTGGTGGTCACGGTGGTCTGTGAAAGGTCATCTAACATGGGCAGAACAGTGTGAGTGTCTTCAATAGTTGGTGGGTCTGTGTGGGCTGGTGGATCTGTGTAGGCTGGTGGGGCTGAAGTGCTGAGCACAGCCTCTTCAGTGGGTTCCACGTCTGCGGTTTCAGGGGCTTCAGTCTCTTCTACAGAAACAGCCGCAGTTGTCTCTTCAGATGTCGTCTGTTTCTGAGGCTCCTCTGACACCCGGACAGTAGCGTGGGCCTCTTCTGATGAATTTGTCTCAGTGGACTCATCGGATGAATTCTCGGCTTCACTCTGGCCGACCTGTTTTCATGAAAAAGACAGTTGTTGACATCTGGGACACATTCACATACAACATACTGAAGATTTTGGTAAAAGCATAAGAGAAACACTTACTGGTTTGGATAATACAACAGTGACCATGAAGGCAACACAAAGTATGATCCTCAGAAACGCCATCGCTGATTTTCTTCTAATGCCTGAAACAAATAATAATAATAATAATAATAATAATAAGCACCTAAATGAGGATTTAGTTGTTCATAATTGGACTTTTGAGAGTTTTAATACAAACATATGTACACTTGGCTGATTAAAGAGGAAGCAAAATGGGTGCAAAGCAAATACTTTTAAAAAATATCTAAACTTGGGTAAAAAATGGCATGTGACCATGAAAGCAAATGTCCACTGGAGATCCCCTTTTTGCAATAATTCCCTGTAGTAAGCATCTGCAGTTCTGTTACCGTAATATCATTTGCTATTTTGAGTTTCAAGACAAATGAAATAACTTGAGCGTGTTCTGTCATACATCAATAAAGTAGTTTTAAAACTTAAATCCGACATAATTCGGTGTTATAAATGTGTTCATATCTGATACTTTAAGTTTATCTTGCTCACAGACTCACTACTTTTCAATGGCATTTTTAAAACACTGTCAAAAGATGTTTAAGATCTGCAAATAAATCAGTTGAATCCAAATAATCTTGTACTCCAGCATCACCGAATAGTAACTATCAAAGAAATCAGGAGCTGCAGAGAAAGTATCAGAGTTAAAAATCAGAGTACTAAAGTTGTAGTTTATAAAGTCCTGCTGAGAGGCTTACCTTGACTGCTCTTAGTCTAATCCCTGCACCGAGTGGAAACCAACACTCTTAAAATCTGAACTGTGACCAAGAGTGAATCCCTCTTTTATATGAGTGTTGACAGGTGTGGGTACAATAACCGATCATTCATCATCTGCTTCACGGTCTTATGGCGTTTCTGCCTTCAGCCCTGACTCGTAACAATGACTCAAACTAAATCACCAAACACCCCAGACATGCTTAGATTAGAGAGTGCTAAAAACAACATGAGAGATAATGATAGAAGATGTTCACCCGGAGTGTCTGTCCAAAAGCAAAGTAAACATGTGTTTTGTGGTTGGGTGTGAACAATGGGAGCTATCTGGTTTACACTTTAAATATTCTCGTTTGAATTTCTCAGTAATGATTCATCATAAATACTCCTTTCACTGACATTAAAAAAAAAAACATAATTTTAGAAACAAAACTTTGGATTCTTTGGTCGTTTTTATTTTCAGTGAGCTGCAGTTTCTTTATTAAAAGTTTCTTTTATCTGTAAACATTTATCTCTGTCAGAAAATCTACACACACATCTTACCGGAAGTTACCCTTCCCTGCGCATGACCAGTACTTTCCAAGTTTAATGCTTGCAGTCCTCTTCCTCTCAGTTTCACTGACATTTTTACAGCTCATCAGGTTTTAGACAAATTGATCTAGTTAAGACATTGGAAAGTTTTAGCTGACGTTGCTGTTTGCAAGAGATGACTGTAATGTTAAAGATTTTGGGCTTTTAGTTTGTGGAACGCTCAGTATTAAAAGTGCAGCGTTTGTGTGTTTAGCAGCATTTAGCAGGACTAGTTACCTTTAAGATGTTCAATTTCAATTTGCAGAAAACCATTTTTTAAAAAGGTTGTGCTTCACCAAAACATAAAATCATAATTAATTCAAAAAAGTAAACCTAAGGCTTTTGCATGTTTCCTCTTTTCACTGTTGGAAAGTAAAATCTGACATGAAAATATGGTTCAATTCTGCAACACTTCAGAAATGATGATCAGGAATCTCTGAGCATCCGTCAGTCTCTTCATCCCTCAGATCTCACACACACACACATTTTGTCTTTGTCTGCACTTAGTCTCTCCTGGCAGATCACACAGGCAGACTTCTCTCAAGCTTTCCTAAACTCATTTCCTTTTAGTACTTCAAGATGATCGACCTGACATTACCCGCCACCTTCCAGTGTGATAATGCCTTTTTGATAAGTGTTTGTCAGTTCCGTAACAGAGGAGGCTGTCCGTTTTGTTGCCACTAATTCATCATGGGTGTTTCAGCCGCCAGCAAACAATACTAAAATAACATCACAGGAAACAGTGGAAAATGCAAAACGTTTATTTAAAACACGTCTTGCCCACGGAGCAGCCTCAGTCCACAGAGGACACCGCTTCCTACAAAAGAAAGAAAGAAATGTCAGACTGTCGTCCCCACAAGCACATCGAGATAAACTGGGAACCTGTATATTAAGGTTTTTTAGGGGGGGGTCCACCTCTGTTTTTTCTCTGTCTGATGCTGCAGTTTGTGTCGTGGGGGTGGACTCGGCTTTCTTCTCCAGATCAGTCAGACTCGTGTCCTTCACTGCAGTTGGGCTGGCTCTCCTGCTGAAAGGAAACATAAATCACAGACATCCTCTGTGTTTGATCAATGCTGCAGATACATTTAACTGTCTGTGCAAACATACATACGCGTTTCCAACAACCTTCCTGAAACACAGCGCATTATAGTTTCTTATTTTGTAGCTTTTGAGCCGTTCCATTAAACAGGTATGTTTTTGGACAGGTAATGTCTGTCAGCATGCTACGAACACACCCAAACGTTACTGTCCCAGACTCACTTTAGTAGTCCTGACTCTCACTGGACTGTCCCCATATGACTGAAATCTGTTTTTCAGCATGTGCTGCATCATGTACCGTAAGCATCACCGTGTTGTTTGATTCAGACATGCATGATTACAGACGGGACATGGGGGGGCTGTGATTGAGTGTTTTTGAGTCCAGTGCAGGTTAAAACCGCACCATGCAAAAGAAACTTTGACCATCAGTAAAAACTTCAAAAGGCAACATTCAGAATGTCATTTTAAAACATGAGCCGTTAATGATTCGATATGTTATCCTACAAACCTTGTGTTGGCACTCTTCCTCCTTTTGACCACCACCGCCATCACAATAATGACCACCAGTCCTGCACAGAGCCCCGCAGCCCCGTACACAACCGGCCCCTGCATGCTCTTCAGGAAGTGGTCTTGGCAGGAATCGCCGCTGTAGCCCAGCGAACACGCACAAGCGGTGTTTCCTTCGTTCTCCACGCAGCGGCCGTTTCCACTGCAGCGTACCTGGCTGCACTGCTGGGCGCCAAGGTTCCCAACGCTTGTATTCAGGGTGGTGCCCACACCTCGGTCTTTAGACAGGTTAGGAGGAGGCAAGGGAGGAGAGGAGGAGTTGTGGAGCGAAGTGGGAGCCAGGACTTTGGTTTCTGGTCCCTGCTTTACACTAACACCTGAAATAAAGTTCACGATTGCAGCTTAAAGCTTAAGTTTTTTGGTAACAATAATAAATTTGATTTTTATTCGATTCTTAGGACTCACAGGTCTCGTCCGAGTGGTCACTGCAGTCAACATGCCCGTTGCAGAACTTCTCCACCGGCTGGCATGAGAGTTGATCCAGACAGGACTTGCTGCCAGCCGGGCAGCGCTGCTCTGGGATGCAGTGAGTGTCATTTACAAGGACGTGGTCGTGGGCACACTTGCACGTCCGACCATTTGGGGTGGCGAGACATAAATGCTGGCAGTTGCCGTTGTTTTTTGTGCATTGGTTTGATCCTGCGGAAGCAGGTGAGCAGATTGTAAGACATCAATGTTTTGTACAAGACCTGACAAACACCTCAGTGTGTCGACATCCGGAGAACCTTTAAAAATGTCAAGTCTGTTGTGGTGTGTGGGTCTCGCACATACCAGTCTGACTCGACTCGCTGAACGCCTTTAAACCGACCACCTCTGTGCCGACCTCAAACCACAGTTTGTTTTGTTGCTGCTCATCTTGGTACCAGATTCTGGTCTTATCTGGAACGGAAAACACAAAGTCATGTTGCTACATTAGCGAAGGAAGCTGTACCGTGTCTGCAACAGGCAATATATAAAAGTCGTCTGACAGGGGTGGCTGACAGACAGACTTTGACATGAAACATGGTTCCAGAAAGTCTGAGGTTTAAAAAAAGGGAAAATCCAGAGACAACAATATGGTACGCAAGTTTTTTTTCCATCTTATGGACTTAGTGGACATAATTCGGCAATCAATTTCCTTTTGTATATGATAAGACTTTACCGCTGACTGTCATCCAGAGCAAAGTTTCATCACTCAGGGCCATAGCAACCAGACCTGCCCCAGTCTTGAACTCTTTGTATCCAGATCCATCAAGTTTGACTGAACAGATGGTCCCTGAAGCTGTAAAACAAAATCAGAGCTGTGTTACTTTTTCCTAAACGAACTTCTGCTTAATTCCTTTTTGAAACTTTGCTTCAAATTTGTGAACTCTTGCCTGTGTCAGCCCAATAAACTACGTCTCCATCACTGGAGAAGGCCAGAGACGTGGACTGGACTGCCTCCTTCCTCACGGCGCGCTCAGCACCGTCCATGTTGGCGCACTCAACAGTAGCCAGAGTACCTCCTTCCTGCAGACTCAGGTTAATGAAGCACACTTTTCCACTGGGTGGGTGGAGGGCGACAGCCTCTATTCTGCCGATACCTTCCTTTATGAGAACGGCAGTGTGTGCCGCTGTGGTGGAGGTGACCTGCAAGCGCGGCTGTTTGTTGCTGCTCCAGTAGACGTTGAGTGTAACCCAGTCCAGCGCCATGGCGGTGATGGTGTCGTCCATGAGTTGCAGGAGCTGACCCTTAGGGGACAAGTCGGTTTCCTTCAGCTTGAAGGAGCTCAGGGAGGTCGTACCGTCATCCGTCAAGAACAGGGTGTGGTCACGCAGGCTGTAGTCCATGATGGCGGCCTCGTTGATGGTGGGAACCTGCAGGGCGACATGTTCAGGCCAGCCCTTCAGCTCTGCTGCTGTGTGTCGGGTCTGCAAATAGATCTAGAAAGAACAACGGGGTACATGTAATGAGGTGTGTGTTCACATAGTGGTGCAATAAGCATTAAATTCAATTATATAAACTCAGGTGATCATGCATTTGTGTTTTCTGTACATTCAAGGTTCTTTTCAGGCCAGCAGTGTCCCATTTCCAGGGTTAAACAAAAAAGGGAAAGACCCAAAATACAAAACAAAATCTGATTTATTTAAAAAAAAAAGGGACTAAAAGAAAAGCAACAAAAACTTCCTGGTAAATGTCAGACTCAAAAATCCAAAAAAACAAGAAAATGCACAGGGGCAAAAAAAAAACCATGAGAAGAGACCGGAGACACACAGGAAAATACGCAGAGGCATAGACATACAATGAACGGACAAAGAAACAGGGGAAGACAAGGACTATATACACACACACACACACACGGAAACGAGAGGTATGTGAGACAGAGACACCGGTGCAAACAACTACTAAGGAGGAAAAGTGAGGAAGTAAAGCAAGCCTAGAAATACAGAATAAACTACTACAAAATAAAACAGGAAACACTGAAAACTGGTATAAAGAATAAAACACTGAGAACATGAGGGAACCAGGGTCAGACATAAACTGAAAAACTAACTCAAACAGATCATATCATGGTAAGCAGTGTCCGTCTCGGAGTATGCTGGCTGCAACAACTATAAATCCATGAATGTGAGTGAAAATACGTCTAATTTTAGAAGAAAAAAAGAAAGAAAGAAATCTGGCATTTCTTTAAATTTAAAAAGTTAAAGTTAAAAAAAAAAAAACTGTAAAGTTTAGATTCTCACAAAACCTGGGTGACAGTGGAGGGAGACAGCAGCAGCAGGAATGATGAGTCCAGCAGCTTGGAGCAGTTCAAACCATTCTTAGCCAGAACCAGACCAGAGGGACACTTGCACACGGCCTTGGGTCCCGGGGCCAGCACACACATGTGGGAACAGTGAGTTTTCTCACAGGGGCTCTCTGCGTTCATTTGAAGCAAAGGGTGGACAACCTGCAGACCATACAGGAGACTTTAACCACATCATGTTCATGCATAGTCACAACAGAAGATGTAAAACATATAATCAAGTACACTGCTTAAAACTTTAACAAAAAGATGGTTTTCAAATTATACTTGAGTTACACCATACACACTGCAAAAGACAACACAAACAGATAAAATATTTATGCTTCTGTGAAAAAAAGGGGCTCATTTAAAAAAGGTAGTATCTGAAATACTTTAAATTCCAGTCCTGCACATATTTCCCAAAAAGCAGCTCCGGAATTTTCACATTTCCCAAAATGCATTTACAACTTTTTAAAGTGGAAAGCTTCAAATGTTCAATGTCATAGCTGAGCGTGGGCCTTTACTCTGTGCTGTGACCACTTAACCTGAGTGGAGTGAACCAAATTTAGCACCTATGATGTAATAAAAGCCCCCGTGCTCAAACCGTCCTCATTTCACCTTCACACCAAAAGGTTGTCTCGGTCTCTTCAGGAGAACTTGGTGTTTTTTGCCGGAGGTTTTGTGAGCGGCCTGCACTACTCGCTTCTTGGCGTCTGTCCAGTAGAGCATGTCGTTGAACACTGCCAGGGAGAAAGGGTTGGTGGTCTCTTTCATCTGCAGGATCTAAACAAAGCACAATGATCGTGTAAGGCACCAGCAAACCCACCCGTTTTCACTCGGGTCATTTTAGAAACCACCATGAAGCACCACTTGTTGTAAAGTTTGCAGGGTGAGCTTCTGTCGAGCTGGAGTGAGTATCATCCAAAATCTGAGGCAGTAGGTTTTAAAACAGTTAAATTTAGACGCCCCCTCCTGAAATTTCTTACCTGAATATCGTCTCCATCCAGTGTAGCAGACCCGATCAACCTCAGCCTTTCATCTGTCCAGTAGACTCTGTCAGAGATCGTGTCCACAGCCACCCCACCTGGCCAGCCCAGACTGGAGTTCACCACCGCCCTCCTCTCCGACCCGTCCATCCCTGCTCGCTCGATCTTCACCACATTTCCAATTTCTGTCCAGAACATCAGCCTAGAAGGAGATTCAACAGCTGTGCAGAATTGGTCCTGGGGTTTTCATTCAAGTCTTGATAGTTTGGTGGTTTAAAAAAAGTCACACTGACCCTTTTTGTGGCAGCAGTGCCAGAGAGCGAGGCTGCTCCAGGTCTTCATCCAGGATGATGCTGTAGTCCGGTGAGCTCACAGTAGTTCTGGCCAGTTTGACAGCAACAATCTGACTGTTCACGCCATCGATCCAGTACAGATTCCTCCCGAGCCAGTCTACAGCTACAGAGTCAGCTCGAACCCCTGTCAGGACAAAACCACATCTTGTCTATTGTGCTGTATTCATATGGTGGAAGTCAAATGGCGTTTACCTTTCAGAGCATTTATACTTCACACACCTTTAATAAGTGTTCCTGTGGTCTTCTGGTCCAGTGAGGACCACCTAATGCTCTCAGAGTCCAGACCGACCCAGAAGACTCTCTGCTCCCTCCAGTCGTAGTCGAGGGAGAGGATCGCCTTCTTCGCAGAGGACGACAGAACATCTAAGCTGCCGCTACGCAGACCGAACAGGAGCAGGTCTGTTTGGACAGACGTCAGCAGGAAAGGTTCACCTGAAGGAAAAGAGACACAAAGCTCAATTAGAATCAAGACAGTTTGATGATTCACTGCAACTTTCAAACCGAAACTTTTGAGCCATAATGCAAAACGGATCAATTCTAGATATGCACCAACATCAAACCAACTTTACCGGTGATCTTGCAGTGCCGTCCCCCCGCCTCCATGATGTAGCCTGGATGACAGCTGCACTGATACGAGCCTGGAGTGTTGATGCACAGCTGACTGCACACAGCAGGGCTCCAGCCTTCACACTCATCAACGTCAGCGCAGGTCTGCCCGTCCTCCATGAGCCCGAATCCTTCAGTACAGTGACAACGCTGAGCAGCGAGAGCCGAGCGTTTGTCAGCATGAGATGTAAAAATGTTAAATCAGATCAGACAAAAATGAGCGCACTGACAGTTTTATGGAGGATACGGCCATATTGAAGAAGAAAAATTTAAGATTCGGAGAGTTGGAGGGGTCTTACCGGTCCCTGTGGTGTGCTGTAGCAGCTCTGGGAGCAGCGGATGTCTACATCTGCACAGTTTGTCTGACAGCTGCCTCCCTCATCAGAGCCGTCTGCACAGTTGGTAATGCCATTACACACCAGGGCTGGATCCAGGCACTCCTGGCTGCCACACTGGAACTTGTGATGGGGGCAGGTTGCAGCTCCACCTGGTATGCAAACTTAAAATTAATATCTCAATGTTGACTTAAAAGGCATTGAGCCAGATTCTGTAATAAGGACTATTTTCACACACTTTTTTTACCCCGTTTTCATGGTACAACAACTGTAAGCTAAAGGTGTCTGCTCTCTTTCCTTCTCCAAATCAGTGGTTCTCAACTGGTGGGTCCCAACCCAAAAGTGGGTCGCGGACATGTTCTGGATGGGTCACGAACAGCTGCAGTTACTAGATCTTTCATTGTTTTCATATTTATTTTACTCACTTTATCCATTATGTCGGGGTCCTCCTCAGTTTCTTATTAATGTGGCCAGAATGCAGCAAAAATACATTTTTTTTAGGTCTTTATTATTCACTTTTGTCCATGCTGTTGCATGAATGCATAGATGCACTAAAGTCAAATTTTTCATTTTGCTGGTCTCTATTTTGTGCAATGTGATATTTATTTGATGTTTGATATTTTCTGTTTATGCAACTTAAGTAGTTATCCTAATTTCATGTGCACTGAAATGCGCTTTACTCAATGAAATGGGTTTATTTATGTTAAAAGATTTAGGTCCTTAAAAAAAGGTTATTTTCATTTTAAAAAAAGACTTTTGCTTGGTTTGAGTTTTATAAGAGTGGGTCACGACTGAAGGACCATGGGAAAATACGGGTCCCAGAGTGAGACCAGTTGAGAACCACTGCTCTAAATGATAATGTTTGACTACTCACAGTCGGCCTCATCACTGCCGTCGTCGCAGTCCTTTGTGCCGTCACATCTCCAGGCTGTAGGGATGCATTTGGTTTTGGATTTACAAGACCACTGGAACTTTCCACAGTTCAGGGACACCACAGGACAGTCCTAAAGGAGGTGGCAAATGACTGTTTGGCTTTCATCAAAGCAGACAGAACTCTCTCTGAACCACCATCAAAAAGATGCTCCTCGAATAAAATAACCAACCAATGCAACACAGAGATGTTTGAGTAATGCAATGCAACTTCTCAAAGCCTAATGAGTATGGCTTTGACCTTTGACCTTTATGCTGCAGAGAGGTAAAAGAAAAATAAGTTCTAAGCTGGAAAGTGTACACCATACTAAAAAGTAGTATGATTCACTTTTCTCATGAAATCTTTGACCTCTTCACAAAAATGACAGCTCTCATGTTTCTCATAATGTTTTCTTCACCTTCTCATCCGAGCCATCTTTGCAGTCGGCATCTCCATCACAGAACCACTCTTGCACCAAACACTCCTTGCTCTGGGGGCAGCGGTGTTTGGTTGTGCAGCTCGGCGCGTTGGTGCAGCCCTCCTCATCCGAGCGGTCCCAGCAGTCTGGGTGACCGTCGCAGCGCATAGTGGCGGACACACACTGGCCGCTCGTGCACTTATATTCAGTGGTGCTGCAGCCCTCATCGGCTTTAGGAGTAAGAGGGGGACAAACAGGATTCCTGTTCAAGTAAGAGCTGAATAAAACGGCGAGCAGATATGAACTCTGGAGCATGACAAAAACATACCACAGTTTGCCTCGTCACTGCCGTCCCAACAGTCCCTCTCGCCGTCACAGAGAAAGCTGTCAGGAATGCAGCGGCTCTTGTTATCGCACTGGTGAGTGCAGCCCTCTATCTGCTTGACACATTCCAGTTCATCAGAGCGGTCCTGACACTGAGGCACTCCGTCACACACCTGGCTTAGCTCGATGCACTTCTTCCCGTGAGCGCACTGGAACTGGTCTGCAGAAAACACACAAACTGCATGACAGGGGTTCAGGCAAACTTGGGGTGTATCTGGACTCAATAAGAGCAAAAGCTAAAAACTGAATTTAATGGTTTGAAGATCATTTAAAGCCTGAAAACAGTATAAAAGACAACATATCACATACTTGGAAGAGGGAAATTGAGCATCTACGGTGTATTACTGTGTCTCCTATCCACTAGAGGGCAGAAAAGTCATTCTTTATCTTGTGGCTGCAAGATTACCTGTCTCACACTCAGATGCACATTCTTTCTCATCTGACCCATCTGTACAGTCTGCCTCCCCGTCACATACATGCTTGTAGAGGACGCACTCAGAGTTGTCCTTGCAGGGTTTAGAGCCCAGCGAACATTTGATAGGGATGGATGAGCCTGCAGATGTAGCAGGCACCAAAGTTGCACGGGTCCCTTTTTCCTCTTCATCCTGTCCACCTACATCTGGTCCCATTAATGCAGATACCAGAAAAAGTTAAGATCAAACTACTGAGTCCTTTAAGAGGCTTTTTATTTGGACATCAGTGTCCACCTACCACAGTTGGCCTCATCTGTGCCGTCAGAACAATCCCTCTCTCCATCGCAGAGGAAGTTTGCAGGCAAGCAGCGGCTGTCGTTGTCGCAGTGGTGAACGCAGCCCTGGGTTCGTTTCGCACACTGCAGTTCATCAGAACGGTCCTGGCACTGAGGTGTACCATCACACACCTGGTCCAGGTCTATACACATCTTCCCATGGGCACACTGAAACTGGTCTGTACAGAAGCAGGCACTTGGCAGTAAGTTGGCATATACATTCAGTTCTAAACATTATTTTTCAATGGCACCTGAATGAATACTAAATACAAACACCCAAGATATTTAACACTCAGCCCACTAAAGAGATTTCATGTCACTTATTTGACTTTTGGCTCATCGTTTAGCCTGATAGTCAGGTGCAAATATGACTTGACCCCAAAAAAATTCTCAGAAAAAAAAAAAAAAAAAAAAAAAAAAGGTTTTCTCAGCTGTTTTTTAGACGTCCTTAATAACATACTAAAAGTTTAGCAAAGTTTGACCACTAGAGAGGTGTCATTTTCAGGATTGCGTCCATGATGGGTAGGAAGCCCAGGGGAGACAGCCCAGGTGAATAGGGTAAAAATTTTAACAAACAGATATCACCATCAAACTTCCCAAGTTTTTAACTTACATTAAGACAAACATTTTTTGTTTTACAAGTTTTGTCAAATGTTATGTTGGAATATCTAAATGAGGCAATATCTAATTAATTTTGCACTAATTTGCATACATTTCTAGAACCAGAAACTGAACAATGCATAAGGCCCCTTTCAAAATTCTTGTTTTATTTTGTTGACATACTAGAGTCAGAAGAGGGAGAGGAGGGGACTCTGGATATCTCTTTTTATCACTCTGTAAATGAGAAAATACTGTCACCAACCCTTAAAATGACCATTACTCCTTTGTATTCATTCTAGACCAGGAATACTGGCACCTGATACATCTTTAGACCATGTAATATTCTAATTAGCATATTTGTATGATAGACAAGTGATAACAAGGAATTGTATTCTGGAAATACATGCAAGTTAGTGCATATTTAATTAGATATTCCCTCATTTACATATTTCAACATAACATTTGACAAAACTTGAAATACAAAAATAATTGTCTTAATTTAATCTATAAACTTGGGAAGTTTCATGGTGATATCTGTTTGTTAAAGTTTTTACCCTATTTACCTGGGGTGTCTCCCCTGGGCTTCCAAGCCATCATGGACACAATATTGAAAAAGACACTTTTCTAGTGGTAAACTTTGGTAAACTTTTAGTATGTTATTAAGGACATTCAATACATTAAAAAAATAATTGAAAAGTTTTTGTTAGAATTTTTCTTTAGGGTAAGGCACCTATGGAAACACTGTATCAGTATAGAAACAACACTAATGATTGTCAAACTCTCATCTGATTCTTCAATTATTGTATAAAACTCACTTCATTTATCATGCCATTCAGAAACTCAAACTTAAAGCTAGTTCTTGTCATGTCTAATCAAAGCTTATCCACCTCACAGGGTTTATCTAAAAATTTCTCACAAAGTTAGGTTCGTAGCATTTCACTTTATCATGCTTAATCCGTGATTCCAACTCAGTACCTTCATTGCATCCTGAAGCACAGTCCTCTTCATCAGAGCCATCCGTGCAGTCAGGCTCTCCATCACACACGTGGCGGAAGAGGACACAAGATGAGCCATCCTTACACAGTTTCATCCCCAGGGCACACTTCAGAGGGCTGCTTCCAGCTGAAACTTTGGTTGAAAGACGTTAACTTTTACTTTTAAGAGGCATAATGTTGTGATTTTTGAGATGAAGTTGAGGTTATTTCTGCACGCCAGGCTCACCTTGCAATGACACTAATGAGTGCAATAAGACTGCAAAAAGAAACAAAAGTCCACCCATGGTCACAGGTAAAATAAAATGGACCAAGTGGCGACACGTGCTCAAATTGCTTTTTATAATGATAACAGGTGGGAGGACAGCAAGCTAATTGAACACCTGGTGGAAAGAGGGAGGAGCCTCTGCATGTTCTGTCACCTGTGTGACCGATTCACTCGCGCTTGCGGTGAAGTTAGTTTTAGATTGGATATTCGACGGCCATTCACTGCGGATCTGCCGGTTGCTTCTCACTCTCCATAACCGGGAATAGCAACAGCAGCGCGGTTTAATCCACTCGGCACCCTCACTGTCAACGTTTGGGTGTTGAATAAGGGACCGTCAATAAATTACCGATTACTGATGTTCTCAGAAAAGGCTGTTTTTCTTCAATAGCTTCCATGTCATGTGACCAATTGACCTAAAATTGATTTCGAATAATAGTACTTAGGTCGATCAATAAGACAAACATGCTCCTTACTTTTTCAACTTAGGGGCTCCTTGTGAAAAAAGTTAGTGTCAAGCCCTGCTTGCATATAAGCATACAACTCATAGTACTTTTGTAGTACTTTTATATACATATCATAAGATCCTGTACCACCCCCATAAATAATAACTAATTATAATATTAATAATTATTATTTAATTTCCTCGACAGAGCTCCCAAAAGGATAAATTATGGAAGTAAATCTTTGCCATCTGATTTTGAATTTGAATTTCTAAAGCTGATTTTTTTTGCATCAAAATCAGACTTTGAATTTCAAAACCATTAAATTATCATAAATAAAAATGATATAAAAAGTATTATTTTTATTTCTGACACATATTTTTTTTCACAATGATGGAATAAATAGTTTAGTGTCAAAACATTCAGTGTAAAGAGATCGACTTAACAACCGAGTAACCAGGGATAAGCAATTGATTGGAAAATAAAAAAATGCCTGCTTGAAATTTGATGGTTTTGAAATTCTGATTTTGATAAATAAAAAAAAAAAAAGATTTAGGAATTCAAAGTCAAAATCAGATGGCACAGATTTACTTCCATAATGTTGAGTCTGTCTCTTTGAGACTGAATTTTTTGACAATAAATTATTTGACACATATATTTTTTTTGTTGAATTAATATTTTTGAGAGACCTTTTTTTTTACACTGAATTTATTTCATCATTGTGAAAATAAATTTGTGCCAGAAATAAAAAATGCGTGCTTGGAATTTGATGGTTTTGAAATTCAAAGTCTGATTTTGATGCAAAAGAAAATATAGCTTTAGAAATTCAAATTCAAAATCAGGTGGCGCAGATTTACTTCCATAGCACTCCCAAAAGGATAAATAAAATTGTATCTAATCAAATAAAAAGTAGCCTAAACTGATAGCGACCTACAGGCTCGTCTAAAAGTGATTTTATGTGGTTTATTTTATATAAACGGTCACACCTTTCTATCTCCAAATTACACATAAACATGTGCAATTAAATAAACAATAAAAGTTGTCAACACATCAGCCAGTATTCATCAGTGAACGTGTTTTTGTAACCCTCCAATCATATTTTGAATAGGAGGGATTAAGAGCTCTTACGTAGACATCAGGTTTGTTTTGCTGTTCCGGTCTACCGAACCTGCCGAACTAGCTCCAGTAGCACTGGTAGCAACTTGGGAACAGCCTGCAAGCCTTGTCAAAATTAGCTCCGGTGCAAACAGATCAGGCTTTTTTAATGCCAACAGGGTGTTCAGAGGGTTGTGCACTCATTATCCTCCAAAAGCAGATCTTTGGGATTTGAAACTGGGGTAACTATTAAAAGCTTTTGGCTGTTTTTGTCGACTTTGAAGCATGTTGTTTAGTGTGGGAGAGCTGTGGGTCCGTTAGCCAGTCAGCGGGGGCCAGGGCTCAGTTTGGAGGAGTTGGTCCAGCATGCTAACTCCTACATTTTTAGTAAAAGTCACAAACTGTCATAGCTGCGACAAAACAAGGCACTTAAACGTTTGGATTCTTGGTTTTTGGTGTGTTAGAGGATGACCTTTTGCTGGGGTTTAGTTGACAGGCCGGCGGTAGGCAGTGTAGCAGCGCGGATCTGGTGCGTAAAGGAGGTATTTTCGTGGATCACAACAAAAGGATTTTTGATAACAAGCTGGCAGCTAGCTCACTTAGGCTAATGTTAGCTCGCTTAGCTTGATGCAGACATCCTCCAGATGCCTTCAGTGTACATATTTACTCCGCATTTACGCGTTTTGCCTTTCGATTTGCGCATTTTAGGCATATCGCTGTTGAACACCTAGAGAGGTAGCGCCACTGAGCTTATTGTTGTGATTTAAGCCAAGCAGGCCCCCCGACCAGGGAGCTAGCAGCCGGCCTTCCCAGGCCACTGAGTGTTAGCAGCGGGGCCCCTTTCACCAAATCCCTCCGAGCTCGTTTTTATTTGTCATTCTGGTTTTAAAGTGTTTACTCGGAGCTCGTCGTGGTTGATTTTTAAACCCGGAATATTTAAGGATGAGGCGCATCCTGTGTGTGTGAAGTATGTAGTTTTTCTTCAGCTAGCTGTGATGTCGAGAAGTGTTTGTGACATGCTAACGTGAAGCTGACTCTCACTAAAAACTGAACCAAACTAAACAGACACTCATGTCATTTTTACGACTGTGTCTAAGTCTGAATTCGTGAATTTATGTGCAGTTTGTTTTAATGTGTCATGAAGCTGCAGTATGTTTGTGCTGCAGGTGTTTTGATGAGGGTGTTGATTCTTCTTCAAACTTGCTTATTACATTTAATTATTGTATTCAGTTTAACAACACTTGTATACCTAAGATATGTCTTACCTTTCTTGAGTTTATGTCAAGATTTAAACCAATCTGGAAATTTTGTCAATATTTCCAAACACTTGTATTTTTATTGCAGGGAACACAAAGTTTCTCCTGTAGTGGAATTCTAGGGCTGGGCGGTATGGGAGAAAGTTTATATATCATGATATAAAAAACGAAATCTAGCAGTGCTTATTGGTGGCATGTCTTTTGCGAAACAGTAAGCTTCTGCATCTGTGAGTTCACACTGCAGGTTATGATGCACAATTTCTGATTTTTTGTTACATCCGATCTTTTTGTGCGGTCGTTCACATTACAACAACAAATGCGGTATCCCGCATGTGCACAAAGCACAAATTGCTTTCCGCGCCTGTTTGCGTTGTCAAACAATGGTGACGTTTGTCGCATATTGATGACGTAAAGGTCGGATTAACGCTGCAGTCACATCGTATACATATCCGATTTATATCCACATACAAAAGAGGCCTGGGTCGGATTTGAAAAAATCAGAATTGCACTTGCATGAAAAAAATCAGATATGTGTCACATATGGTTAAAAAATTGGAATCGACCTGCAGTGTGAACGTAGCCTTTGACATTTTGTCGTAAGTGGACTGAATGGTCGGCTGCGCAGGCGCCGTGGGCTCCTTGCTCCACTCGGGGTTTGTAACCTTTTGCATCGTGCATCCTCTGCCGTGTGGCACTGCTTCAGGTGGTGAAGAAGATTTGAGGTATTCCCGAGAACATGTACTCGACATAGTTTGCATAATTTTCGATATATATATCATCGTTTTATCGCCCAGCCCTACTTGAAGCAGAAATAGAAATGACAGAAGACATATTGACCTGCTGATATCTGCCTAATATTTGATGTTGCACCGATAAAATCGGGCATCATTAGTTGTTCTGTTGTAAAGGCACATGTATATTTTGTATTTTGTTTAATTTTGTCATAATTGTAAAGCTGTGGTGAATCCCTGTATGCCCTTTATAGTTTGTTTAAGGCTTATTCTGCATACTTTGTTTTTTAATAATCTACTTTGTGTATGACTTTTTCCCCAAGGTGTCCGCCTCGTTTGAGTAAATCCCGCTAACACTGGCTTCCACCTGTGACAGTTTGGTCACGAGAGGGGCCCCAGCAGAGCAAGGGCCCAAACTGTAGCTCTAGGTCCCCCTCTTTTCTGTGTGTGTGAGAGCTTGTGTTGAGTCCTCTGGAGACTCCCCGGCTTGTCCATCCAAGATGTCCTCCATCTTGCCGTTCACCCCTCCTGTGGTGAAGAGGCTGCTGGGCTGGAAGAAGTCAACTAGCGGCCCCGGCGGAGCGGGCGGCGGAGAGCAGAACGGGCAGGAGGAGAAATGGTGCGAGAAGGCTGTGAAGAGCTTAGTAAAGAAGCTAAAGAAGACGGGCCAGCTAGACGAGCTGGAGAAAGCGATCACCACGCAGAACTGCAACACCAAGTGTGTCACCATCCCCAGGTATGCTGCCCAACACTCGACTGCTGTTCAAAGTAGGATGAGGAGAAAAGGAGTCAAGTTTGCACACCAGGGTTTTAGTAATAATCAGCATTTGTAGATGAATATATGTCCAATTTAGGGAAATTAAAGGTTATGATCAAGAGGACAGCTGATGGGAATCAACTCATTGTTTGGTTACAGCCGGTAAAGTTTGTATCCATGTATTGATGAGAGATATTAAAAGGGTGAGAAAACATGCTCCCTTTATCAGCCAGCCAGCCTTGATGGTCCAGACTCACGTTCAGTGGGAACATCATGTGCCGCCAAGGACTACGTCAGATGTTTGTATGTCTATAGATAGCAGAGTGGTTGTTATCGCCTGAGAATTGTTCGAAGCCACACTGTTACGTTTGTAGGGATCCAGTGACCGGCTCAGTGTCTACAATAGCTGCATGAATGGGAATGGGTTTAGAGCCCAGTGTGTGTTTTCATCTAAATCAGGGACCTTTTATTTCTGACAGTCCACTTGTTTGACCCATTACTTCTCTGGACACCTAAATCTCAGGTGCTGTTGAATTTTTATAGAGTCCCACCTTGTTTTGGATCAAATATTCACCGAATATATAAAGCTTTCTGTTTATGAAGCATTTGAAATGTAGAAATGTGTTGTCCTGTTATTCAGAAGCAACTCCTCTCATTCGTCCTCATTAGTAGATTTCAGTGTCTAAGTTTTGGGCCATTTTCTTGTGAATGTTTTGAGAGTGTTTCAAAATTGCCCCTCCGCCTCAGCCCATGGTTGCCTCCTCCTCCATTTCCCCTCTCTGTAGTGTCATTGTGAGTATCCAGTGTTTGTTTGAAATGTCTCCAGATAAGTTCTGAGTTATTTCGGGTGTTTGATACAATGCCACTCGGTTGAAGAATGCTCTTTGTTTCACTCATTGTGTTTGGTAGCTGCCTCCATATTGTATTTTTTTCTCCTTTAATTCTGTCAAAAAGGCTTCTCTTATTTGAAATTCCCATCTGTCATTTCCACCTTTCAAAATGAAGTTGATGTTTTTTATTTTGCCATAAGATTCCAATAAAAGAGGCCTTTTAATGTTCACATTACCCATACTGATATTTCTGAATGAGCCATGTCCCATGTTTATCATTTGTTTTTTGTTTTTGTTTTGTTGTTTTCTCTGTGCACAGCAATTGCTCTGAAATATGGGGACTGAGTACACCAAATACGATAGAACAGTGGGATACATCAGGCCTTTACAACTACCCTGACCAAACCAGGTGACTATCCTCAACTATTGTATGGTGTTGCATACAACTTTGATGTGGGAGAGTTGTCATTACAGTGTTTGAGGTGACAGATGTTGAGAACATCTTTGTATCTCGTTCTCGTCACTACTCAATCCTTTCACCTCCATTCCTCCAACCCCACCCCACCTGTCCATATTTTGTGTCCCTCCCTCCTTCTCCTCCTCCTCTTCCCCTGTGTATCTTCTGTCCACCTTACCACAATCTCCTGTCTACTGTTCAATTAGATCACTGGATGGCCGCCTGCAGGTCTCCCACAGGAAGGGGCTTCCTCACGTTATCTACTGCCGCTTGTGGCGATGGCCGGACCTTCACAGCCACCATGAGCTGCGTGCCATCGAGGCCTGTGAGTATGCCTTCCACCTAAAGAAGGATGAGGTCTGCATCAACCCCTACCACTACCAAAGGGTGGAGACCCCAGGTGAGAGGACACTTCTGTAGATCCAAACTATGCATGTCTTTGTTTTTAAGTTGATGGACGGTTTGCTACGGGTGGGTTATTCAGTCCCTAATTCAAAAGATCTGGTTTATGGGGGGGTATCAGGGGAAGTCTCTTGTCTTCTTCTGGTCTTCAATAACTTCAGGTAAAATACTCTGGTACTTCTAAGCTTTCGAGGAACCTGTAAGCAGATAACTTTTAATTTTGGACAGATCCAGGCTTGTAATTTGTTTGTTTTTTTCAATCTTTGTGCCAAATTAAATGACTACATAATAAATGATTCTGTGAGAGTTTAGAGCTGGACAAGTAACATGTTTATCCTTAGAGAAAAGTGATATCACCTTTTCCAAATCACATTTAAATTCCACTTTAAGTTTCACCTGTTTTGTTGCTGATGCAAAGATTGTTTCACAGGATTTCTTCAACTTTTGCATGACTTTCTGAAAATAACTGTAAATTTATGAAAACCTACATCAGATACTAATCAAAGTCATTTCCTCTGACACTTTCATCCGACCCGGCAGTGCTGCCTCCCGTTCTTGTGCCAAGACACTCAGATATCCTGCCAGAGCTGCCACCTCTGGATGACTACACTCATTCCATACCTGAGAACACAAACTTTCCTGCAGGAATTGAACCTCCTAATAATTATATACCAGGTGTGTTTCTTTCTGGATCATCTGTTTTTAAACAATATGCTTTATAGTATACGCTGTCGGATGGCACCGTGTAGTGGTTTCTAATCCATAAATGTGAAGTTATTGTTTTGTTTTGACTTTCTTCGACTTGTGCATTTTGCTTTAAAAGAATTCATTGAATTAAAAATGTTATCTTTGAGTTAATGGTTAAAAATGTTTAAAAAAAGTCACAGCTCATGTTTTGTTTATTTGCATCCTTCCTTTAGAAACGCCTCCACCAGGCTACATCAGTGAGGATGGGGAGGCCAGCGATCAACAGATGAATCAAAGTATGGAAACAGGTACCCTAGACTAGTAACTCCTTCTCCTTTCCTTCTTAGTCTTCCTTAACATCCCTACTGAGTCAAAGTTCGAGTGTTTTTCCTCTAGGTTATATATTTTTCCTGTGCATTAGTTCTGATTTGAGTAAGGATGCTACATACTTTAGTTTCTCCTTGCAATACTGAAACCTCAGACTTTGCATTTTTAAAGAGCAACAAGCTACTTTTAACCTATAATATCAAGTAAATAACATAGTCTTAGAGCTCATCCACGTCTCCTATATTACAATCAACATCAGTATATTTCTGTTTTCCTGGACAGGTTCTCCGGCAGAGCTTTCCCCCAGCACTCTGTCTCCTGTCAACCACAGCATGGGTAAGAAGCACGTCCTCTTCGTCAAGATGGTGCACAACAAATAAGCATATCGTCTGTAATTGTGGGATTAATTTACACCGCAATGATAGTTACTCTAACGGAGCGAACTTTAGGCCTGATTAGCAAAGTCCAGATCTTCAGATTTTTGTTTTCCCCAAATAAAAAAGAAAATTGTGGCAAAGTGGGTTTTTAAGTAAAGATTTTGGACATGCTCCATATTTACATCTTGTGTTGTGTATTGGGGACTCTATGGAGGAACCCTGGGGACAGTCAAGTGACGTACAGAGCCAAAGATTACGCTGTCTAGTCAGCAGTTTATTTTCTTCTTAGATTTCCGTCATTGTCTTAAAGAAGGGACCACTGAGACACATTATAGTGACCTGACCTCTTATTTTAGACCTGCAGCCAGTGACTTATTCGGAGCCAGCCTTCTGGTGCTCTATAGCCTACTACGAGCTGAACCAGCGTGTGGGGGAGACGTTCCACGCCTCTCAGCCTTCGCTGACCGTGGATGGATTCACGGATCCATCGAACTCTGAGCGTTTCTGCCTTGGTCTGCTGTCTAATGTCAACAGGAATGCCACTGTGGAGATGACTCGGAGGCACATAGGTGAGAAATAACCTGTTTAAGTTTACTCTGATTTCATACTCTGATTACTCAACAGCTCAATTCTTGTTTTTATTCTGTGTTTACAGGAAGAGGAGTTAGACTCTATTACATTGGAGGGGAAGTATTTGCCGAGTGCCTGAGTGATAGCGCCATCTTTGTTCAGAGTCCAAACTGCAACCAGCGGTATGGCTGGCATCCTGCAACAGTGTGTAAAATTCCCCCAGGTGAGCGATCAAAGTTAATGTAAATCGAGGCTCTTGTATATTAAGATGATAATGAAGGATACATACCCAAAGGAAGTTGGTTTATTAAAGTGAACAGCTGCTGCAGTTTGTCTGGGTTCATATTAACGGCAATAATTTGCAAAATCAACAGTTTAAATGCTGTTTAAAAGTTAGATGCTGTTCCCTCTTTAGTTCTCATACTTATTCAGTGACAAATATCAAAGGTTAACCAAAGCCAGTGATGTTTAATGCAACTCAAACCCAGCCCCATAATCAGCACGACACACAATGACACGTCTCTGTGAGTCTGCGGCTAAGCAGAAACCAACTTCCACTCCCAGTTAAATGTCCTGTCGTCTTTTTGTCTTTCAGGATGTAATCTAAAAATCTTCAACAACCAGGAATTTGCAGCCTTGCTGGCTCAGTCAGTCAACCAGGGCTTTGAAGCTGTCTACCAGCTCACCAGGATGTGCACCATCCGTATGAGCTTCGTCAAAGGCTGGGGGGCTGAGTACAGGTAAGCTTCAACAGAGTCGGGTTAGGAGTTTCAACTGAGTTTCAATCGGGCTGATTGATTAACAAGGAAACCTCATTTATGTGAGACCATCACTCAGTACGTTTACATGGGGCGTTTGGGGCGTCAGTAGCTCAGGAGGTAGAGCGATCGTCCAATAACTGGAAGGTTGGTGGTTCGATTCCCCCCTATCCTGAGCCTGTCTGTTGTGTCCCTGGGCAAGATACTTAACCAACTTTGGTCTCAGTGTGTGTCCTCCACGATTGTGGGTGTTGTGTGGTGGTGATCGGAGAGGCCGTAGGCGCAAAATGGCAGCCACGTTTCTGTCAGTCTGGCCCAGGGCAGCTGTGATTACTAAGGTAGTTGACTGTGTGAGTGAATGAATGATGTATCCAATGTAAAGCGCTTTGAGGGTCTCTGATAAAGCGCTATATGAAATCAGATGTGTTAGAATTATTATTATGACGCTCAAGAAAACCGAATTATTGCCTTACTCCGATTGATACCGGACAACTGAAGTGCATGCAAACACCTCAGTCCGACTATAGGAAGTTTGAGAACTCCGATTAAGACACCCAGATAATGCGATTGGAATTCGATTTTCTCTACCATGTAACTGGCGTAGTTGAAGTATGATCGGACAAGGCATGTGCACGTGCACCACTCCCCCGTAACTCTTGAGCAGAACACCAGAGAAGAGGAGTAGCTTGTACCTTATCTGCAGAAAAAGTAGCAGTACATCATGCACAACAAAAACAACATTGTTCGATGCTCCATCTTCTTGCTCAAAAATGCCCAGCAGCAGTTGTAGACACTTCTGACATCTGGCACAGACCTGTTGTGGTTGTTGACGGTTGTATGGGGTCGGAAACAGCGCCACTGGAAAGACCCTTATCTCCCTCTAGTTTTGGGGAGGAGGACACGTTGACGTCAATAATTCAATTTTCTCAGCTGCGAGGAGGGAAGTCCGAATTATGAGCTTAGTCCGATTAAGCTCTGCATGTAAACGCACTGAGTGGTTGCTTCTTACTTGTTTTCTCCAACCTGGTCAATGTCCTCCACTGCTGGAAACTGATCCTACGTCTCTCTTCCTCAGGCGACAGACTGTCACGAGCACTCCTTGCTGGATCGAGCTGCATTTGAACGGACCCCTACAGTGGCTGGACAAGGTTCTGACCCAGATGGGTTCCCCGTCTGCTCGCTGCTCCAGTATGTCCTAAACAGTTAAGGACAAGGCCCCCCCCTCCAATCCCCCCCACCCCACCCCCACCCAAAAAAAAAAAAAAAAACGCAGCCCCATTACATGTCATTAAATTCTAAACTTGTGAGTCCTTTCATGAAAAAATGGAAACCCCCACAGAATGACTTTTCTGTAACATTCTTCATAGTATTTGTGGCCCAGTTCCACATCCCTGTTTTAACTTTTCACACACACACACGAGAACAAACGCACCCTCACTGTCTCACACACAAACACAGACACACACACACACACACACACACAGACATCAGTTAAGAATTTGGCACTTTGATACCCATTCTATGTCTTGCACCTTGTTAAATTGCTTTCCCCCAAATCCTTAATATTAGATCTATTTGTGGTACAAATAAAAATGTATATTGGATTTTAGTCCAGGAAGTAGGGGAAATACCAAAAATATCTGTGAATAGTTTCTCAGTATTGAAGATTGCTGGTATGAGTAACATGAGCTTGAATGCTAAATTGATTTTGTTCCAGCCCCCCCGCCCCCGTCTCCCCCACCATTGTTCTGAACCGAAGTTTACTTTTGTCTGGGAAACTTTGACCCATCTTTTGTCAGGGTGGCTTGGTGAAGAATTGATGGCCTTTTGGCTGTTCTCCTCTGAAGGAAACGCCGCAGAGTGTTTATGAAATTTAGTGGAATTGACTTTTGTTACACTTGGTGTCTCTTTATAAGACACACCTGTTAATGGACGAATAGGAATGTTAGTGAAAAACAAGAATAATTCAAAAATCCCCAACAGCTGCAGACCAGAGATCCTGGCTGTGGTTCATTGTTTTTATCATTCGATGATGACACTGTGTGTGTCCACGGTTAAGCTAATTCACATCCCCATACAGCAGCCTGGGTAGGAAATTGAAGAGATGTTGAGCAGGCTTTGCAAGGTGCACTGGGCAGGGACCAGAGAATATCAGCTGTTATCAAAAGCTTTTTTCTCTTTTTGACACGACACTGGGAGCCCCGGGGCTCTCCAAGGTGAAGCAATGAACGTCTCACCAGGAGAAATTGAAGGTATCAATGAAATCATTCTGTTTTTAGCCTATATCCCCATTGTTTTGCTACTTTTTTGTATTCTCATGTATTTTTATATATAAATATACTTAAGATTTTCTGTCGTTCACTTTTTATTAAAGTAATATTTTCAAGACCACAGCTGTTTCTAAAATGAAATGGAGGGCATGGATCATTCCTTTTGTTTTACCCAAAAGATTCTGTTCAAATACATTTCTAATCGCAGCTCTTAGTCTTGGTTATACAACAAAAACAGAAGAAGACACTGCCCCACATGATGTGTAGCCTGTTTCTATCCTTTTTTTTTCCCAAAGAAATGTGGTGCATTTAAAGTACACGACAGGTTTGCCCCAAAACTCAGAATCCACCTTCCTGTAACGGTTTAAATGATTCCAGAGGCATGTCAAACTTTGTAATGGCCATTCTTTCATCTCACTTCTCGAACAACACACGTGACCTCTTGTAGCCTTTTGGTGCTTAGTCAAGCGGGTTAGGGTCAACTAGATACAATTGGATCTTCAAATGTTACAGAGCCATGGGAGACAGAACCATTTCCTTCCATGAGAAAACAAGAGCGAATGTGCCTGCACACGAGGACATTCTGTGTTAATGTGTGTAATGTACTTGTTCTGTCTATAAAATACAGTATGTACAACCAGACATATTAGCTGAAACTCTGCCATTTTTGTCATTATGTGGCTGTTGCGAGTTGAACATGTTTCCCTCACTCCTTTTCTCTTGGTGTAAATGTGTTTACCTTCTGGCACTAGTGATTGTACTTTAAGTGCACCTAGTGGAGTTTGGATTTGGGGAACTGAACCATGCGTTAGGGTCCAGTGTTACATTGTTTTTATCTTTGGCCTACAACATATGAATGTGAAAAAATACATTACAAAAACTGACGTGGACCAGACGTACATATACATAACAGTAGTACAGTATGTGTGTATTTAACAGTAATCTTTTTGCAAAGCAGTCAGTACAGTAGATGTCGCAGTTGTTTTACCAGTAGAGGGCGGTATCGATAGAGCAGTTCTTTTTTTTCTGACCATAAGCTTCTCAGGCGTGTGGCATATTATGCAGACTTCATAAAACACTAATAAAGATTTTTATTCTCATGAGTCTTGTCTGTTTTGTGTCTTCTCTTGATACTCCTGATGTGTGTAACTTCAAATGTAAGTGAAGAAAGTTTAAGTAAATGCTGAATTGTTCCATGAAACAGTTAACATGTGCAATATGCCTGTTTGACACATTTTTACCTAATCTTATCAGACTGTGTGTCCCAATAGTTGTTGACTGGTAAATGTGTCAGCAGGAGTGAGAATGTCAATACCGGCATTAGAAAACAAAAAAGACATAAGAAGTTCCTGAAAGAGTCCCACAAGGGGAGATTCCAAACTTAAAGCAGTATAGTGTAGATACAAAAAGAGAAAAATTAATAAATAAACTTTGAGTTAAAAAAAAAAGATGTACGCATGCATCATATTTACATCTGTACAGAATTCACATAATAATAGGATAATAGGATTTATAAGCCATCCTGTGGCTTTTGAATGTGCTGGACTTCTGGAATTTCTAGCTGTATTTGATAAATAAATTTGCACCTTTTTACTCCAGTACAATTATCTGGGAGGAATATTTTCCTTTTTCCAGGTTTCACATGCAAATCCTTAATACCTGATACAATTTAAATAACAGATTATACATCAAGCTACCAAGTAGTAAGGAATAAACTGTATGAACAAAAAAGATTAAGCAATATATAAATATGTGTTTTCTTATTGCAGTTTTCCAGATAACACAGTATCAAAATAATCTTATATTTCAATTATCTTTAATTTTAAGTATGAGAAAGAAGATAAATGAATAAAATGTATAAAAATAAAACAGTTGGTGCTGCAGTTTTACACATAATCGATGGCTAGCTTTCAATGCCCAGAAGCATGGTGACACTTTATTTTATTGCATTGTATTTTATTGTTTTTTTTTTATTACTTGCTTTTTAGTGTTTGTATTTATTCATTTTTATTTTCTATGTATTGCGAAGTACTTTGGCTCACCAAGAGGGTTTTTGTAAAGGGCTATATACATAGAGAACATTTACATTATTGTAGTTTATTAAAAAGTTAAATTCTTTCACTCTTAATAAATCATCTTTATATGGTAAGTATGCTTCTTACTGTTTGATTATGAAGCAACATGTAAATATGTTTTCAATTGCAGTTTTCAAGATAACACAGTATCAAAATAATCTCATACTTCAACTATCTTTCATTGTAAACACGAGAAAGAATGGAAGATAAATGAATAAATTATATAAACACAAACAAAACAGTTTGTGCTGCAGTTTTACACATAATCTTAGTTTTGGCTAATTATATTTAAAAAGTTATTTCTTTAACTCTTAATAAATCATCTATATATGGAAATTATGCTTCTTACTGTTTGATTATTTCTTCCTCTCTGTTGATCATAAGGTAACAACAAATTCCGACTATCTGAACTGTGAGGTTCGCTTTGCGGTGGTGTTTGTCCCATCCCAGCCACCGTAGGCTACACGTAGATGAAGAAGTGCACAGCCAGCTAACCAGCAGCACCTCCTCTGAAGCTAAAAATGTCTTTTACTTTGTACTCTCTCATTCAAGCTGCTATCTTGTGCGTCAATGCCGTCGCAGTATTACATGAAGAAAGATTTCTGAGCAAAAGTAAGTGGCGTTATTTTGAGCTGTGTGCGTTTGTATGTGGAACAGAGTGGCTAATGCTAAACAAATATAGGGCGACTAATTATAAAGTGTTGATCCATAATTTTTACTAAAGTAGAATTTGTGACATTATTAACGTTATTTATACCTGATGTTTAACCATAAGAGATCACTGGTATGTTGAGGTTGTGGGCTGAAATACAATCATGTCTGAAAATCACTGTAGTTTCTAAACATTATAGTTTTCTCATGAACCTCGTCTCTGTGTTTATCCGTGTTTATCCGTGTGTCCGTGGGTTTTCAGTCGGCTGGGGCGTGGACCAAAGTGTTGGAGGTTTCGGGGATGAACCAGGTATCAAAGTGCAGATGATGAACCTGATCCGGTCTGTGAGGACAGTGATGAGAGGTGAGGGTTTACTGTAGTCCACATTGAGATAGTTAAAGGTTGAGTTCAAGATCCTTCTGTTAATGTAGGATATAGGAACGATTTGCAGTTTCCCTACTTCAGATTTAAGACAAGACAAACAAAAAGACACAAATAACTTTTATGTGGCTCTTAGAGCTCATGTCAGACTATGTAGGGGAGACAGGGGTAAGTTGATCCACCCCCTGTTGCTTGGAAATGGTCAAAAAAATTGATCATGTGACCAAATATTTTGGAGATGGGCATCAATTCATGGAGTCTGTGAAGGTTAGAATCACATGGGTGAAGGGGTTAGACATTTATTTACAAAAAAAAACATTTTTCACTTTTGAAAGTGAATTTAGTCTGTCATAAGTTTGATTAGAATTGTGTTCAGACCAAAAAAGATCATTTGAAATTTTTTTTATACATCAATTGTGGTATCTATGAGCTACAACATGAGGTCAAAAACCTAGAATGGTCAACTTAACCCATACACAGGGTAAGTTGACCATAGGAGACCACTTTTTTTGGCATGTTATTGATCAAGACAGTTATGTTTACACTCATTCTGTTGGTTTGCAGAGATGAACAACATCTTAAAATATATGCAGATACACTAGTTAGAGACAAAACTATGATTTCCTTGATGTAGTGATCCGAAATATGAAAAATGTCTCATCTTACCCCACTCTCCCCAATAAAGTCTTTGGTCCATGCTGTGTGGGGTTCTAATAAACCATCCAGCTGAGACTGAGACTCCTCTTGGCTCTGATCTGTAATTTTCTGTCTGTTTCTCTTCGCAGTGCCGTTGATTGCAGTGAATACAGTCTGCATTGTACTGCTGCTTCTCTTTGGATGACCACATGAGCCCATAGATGGGATAAACCAGTCTGCTGTCAGAAAACAGTGCCATGGTTTCAGGGACCCCCCCTTCTGGAGAAACACGCTTCTTTGTCACAGAAAATATGGACTGCCAGCTGGACTCTGAACGCTTTCATTTGATAACTCCACATCAGTTCATTACATGTTTGTCATGGCCTGTTTTCCAGCACGAACAATATTTCTAAACAACTAGAACGGTTTTCTTCCCCACTTGTTTTTAAAAGTACATTAAAGTTCTGGTGTCTGAAACTGTGTTTGCTTTTAATAAAATTTCACTAAGGAAGCAAGTTTGACATTTTTGTAGTGAATAATGTGGTTTTCAGAATGTACAATGAAAAAATAAAATAACACGTGGGCAATCAAAACACTTTAAATGGATATTCCGGTGGAAAATTAACTTAGGGTCAAACACACCACAACACCGAGTTAGACACCCCCTCGAAGGATGAATGTTGCTGACTGCTTGCTTCTCTGGTTATACCAACTTGAGTAACGACTGCACGACAGCAATACACAGCGGTCCGAGGAGCCATAAACAAACCTCAACCAAAACGCCACTCTGTAGCCACAAATAATGCTCAGAACAGCACCTAACTTCATCAACAGTACATACAGGGTCCCAGCCACAGCACTAGCCACCAAACATCTTTTTAACTTTGCCTAATTTCTTTAGCAAAGAGACCAAACATAACTCACCTACTCTCTTCCGGCAGCCGATTGTTTGTAGTGAGACCTTGGACCAGTCCTTTACAGACTGTTGCAGGGTGTCACAGCTCAAGGAAGAACATTTATGATCATAAATGTTCTTCCTTGAGCTGCGTTACCCTGCTGTAGTCCATAATGGACTGGACTGAGGTCTTGCTACAAACAAGCGGCTGCTGGAAGAGAGTAGGTGAGATGTGTTTAGTCTCTTTGCTAAAGAAATTAGGCAAAGTTAAAAAGATGTTTGGTGGCTAGTACTATGGCTGGGACCCTATATGTCCTGTTGATGAAGTTAGGTGCTGTTCTGAGCATTATTTGTGGCTATAGAGTGGCGTTTTGGTTGAGGTTTGTTTATGGCTCCTCAGATGCTGTGTATTGCTGTCGTGCGGTCGTTACTAATGTTGGTATAACTAGAGAAGCAAGCGGTTGGCAACATTCATCCTTCGAGGGGGTGTCTAACTCGGTGTTACGGTGTGTTTGACCCTAAGTTAATTATACGCCGGAATATCACTTTAATGAGTCAGATTTCTTGTCACTATAATACAGAGCGTTTGTGTTGTTTCCCGAAATTGTCGAAAATGTTTAGTTTGTCCCAACACGCGTACCGTCCTTGTCGACGTCACAGTTATGGAGGCGTTTACTTCCCTGTCTGGAGTTACTTATCGGGATATTTGAGAGGTGACCAGATGCAGCGCAAGATGGCGGACCCAAAGATAGAAAACCACATTTACAAAACGCAATAAGTTTCTCCGATTGGCGGACCCAAAACAATTACTTCCGGTGGAAAGGCTTTCTCGTTGGCGGACTTCCGGCGCCGAAATACTTCAGGTAGTCGGATTTAGTCGCCGGATCCTTTTTTTTTTGCTCCGTTCATTCCATAAGAATCGAATTAAATTTATTATTGAGCTAAAAATCAAAATAAAACGTTTATGTATTAACTATGACTACTGTTTTGTTCTGATTTAATTCTGAAGTTTACAGTAATATGTATATATAGCCTGATGTCCTCATATTCTGATAATTTGTCAGAATAGGTAAATGTATGTAGAAGTTATCATCTTACTCAAATTCTTTTGTAAGAGTTTGCTACAAGTATGGACTGTTTTAACCTCTCGTTACACATCATATAACAGTGTTTTCTAACTTTTCTCTCCAATAGCTTTATTACACAGCACATCAATGTTTCTTAACTTCTCTGTGACCTTGTTTCTCCACTCCTATTAGGACCTCGTTTAATGTCAACAATGTTGCCCTGACCCTCACATATTTTCTGTTGTTCATAATTATGTTTTATGAGAGTGCTTATGTTGCTGCACAAATTTACTCCCCCATCCTTTAGTAACATTGTGTAACCAGGGACATAATTTATGAAATGGTGTGCTTCCTGGTGAACCTCTTCAGGATTGCTTGACTGTGCAAAATCCAAGTATACAATAGTTGTAGAGACAAGTCACATGATCTCTTTAAGGTTCAGAAGAGCCATATAGCAAAAACAATTGAATAGCGATATCATTACAGACTGTGTAAAGAAATGGGAAATTGTCATACAACTGCTTTGAAGATTTCTTTAATTTTTTCCAAACAAAATTGTGAACAGTAAAAAAATATATATATATACAAAATTCAGCACTGCCGTCGGTGTGGTGGGGGGCTTAAAACATGTTGCCACAGGCCATCATCAGCTCTGCTCTGAACCGGTTGATGTCATGCTCCTTCAGTGCTTTGATCAAAAGCTGAAAAACAGTCAAATAATGTGAACAATTGAAGTTATGCAGTATGGGTTAATTGTTGTTCTTGAGCTTTCCAAATGAATAAGAACAACCTCTTAACAATATCATCAATTTTCAAAGCAAGCTATATAGTTTGATCTACTCACCTCTGGGAGCATGACGTCAAAAACGAAATCAAGCAGATAAATCTCGCCTCTCTTTATTTTTTTAGAAATGTTTGTTGCCACCTCAATGAACCGCAGGAGCTCGAACATCTATTGAAGAAAAACACAGAAAGTAAACACCTTTCAAATGTAACACCCCTGAGAGTAAAAATACTCATGATGGATGGCATTTTTACTTACGCGCTGCTCACTCCAACTTAGTGTCCTTATCTTAAGATGCTGCTTTAGTCGGAGTGAGGTGGCGGGATTCCTCCAAAGGAACATTCTGTTGGAGCGGATCTTTCCAGACAGTAGATCATCGTGTAATGTCTGAAACCAAAGAGCAAGAGACAAAAATGTAATCATCTGAAAAAGAAACGGTGGCTTTAACAACTGATAGTGCATTCAAAAGCAACCTTGATCTGTGTCTTAGAAAAGACAGCATGAATTCCTCAACTGTCAACAGCATCCTTGATCCTGCAGAGAAATAAGAAAAGAGCAAGCCCTCATTTTTTCATCCTTTGAGCCTCGTATTTTTGACTGATACTATGTTTCCTTGATAAATTATGTTATACCGAGGATGCTCAATGGAGTCCTCGCACCCGCAGTCAAACGGCTCCATTTCAATCCCAGCACAATCCTGATGCAGCCAGCCCCTGCACGTCTTGCACTGGACCCATTTTATGACGTTTACCTCAGGGTAAAGCAATCTGATCAAATGAGAGACAAACATAATATTAAACAAACACGCTGTCCAATTGATTATACCTCTGCAGCACATTTGAATGTATAAATAATTCTCCTGCATGATTCGTGCATTTAAACTATATGTAAAAGTGGTCACTTCATGGAAAATCACTGAATAGGCCCCGATAATTGCATTTATTAAATTGAGTCTGCAACACACCTCTCTCCTGTGTTGTTCGATGTCTGGTAGACACAGAATTGCATTGAATCTGCCATGCACATTCTTTGGACATCCGATACCGTCTGCGTCATGGTTTCCTTGACAAGGCAATTTGAAAAGTAACATCAATTACCAAATACATCGAGACGATGTTGATCCATACAACTGTGTGCATTTTGAAGGACTCCCACTGAGATAATACTGTTTTTACAAGGCAATTTTCTAACCTCTATGTCCTGCTGCTCTGCCTTCCTCTTTAGACTGAAGACCGGAGTATGCTTTCCAGCAATGAGCTCTTGACATTCTTTGGTCCAGTGGGCGAAGATTTTCCCACAACTGTAATGACAATATGTCTTTGAGTACAATATATTGATTGTCTTCCAGTTAATTAGGACATCTAGTTTACTTAAACTGTCTACCTGTTCAAAGAATTGTTCTCCAGGAGCAACAGGCACCACCATCGCCGCCAAACAGGCATGTCATGCTGAAATTGTTGTTTGTATTTCATTTTAGTGCACAATACAAAATACAATCTTGAGGATGACACTGCGTGTTGAAAAGTACTTACAACTGAGTAGTCAAACTGTGACTCCATAACGATGTACATGGCAGACTTAAAAAAAAAAATTATGAGACAACATGTGAGATAACTTTAAAAAAGTCCATGTTGGAAAGTTATTCTAGATACAATATTTGTGCATTACAGCTCGTTATGACCTACCATCAACATGAATATGCCACAGTCTGAGCCGAAGTCCTGGCTGGGGAAGCCCTGATTTAACAAAAGCAAACGTTAATCATCTTGTCACATACACTTTGTAGGAGCCAGATTGGGGTTTTGCAGTTTATTGTTATGTATTTTTTGTGCCAGCAGATGGTGCTATTGTGCCTGTCTATTTAATGGGTGGGTTGATTAGGAGAGGTGCGCACATAAAATGATGAATGAGTAAATAAATCAAAACAACAGAAAATGTGTGTGACATGTGACATTATTCCACCTGCGGGCACGCATCAACTCAAGCAAAAAGGTGTTCGCCACAAGTAACAGCATTGGAAAGCTGTTATACACTTTTCAACTGTAATATAGAGCATGCACAAATACCTCCAAATCTCTGCCCGTTTTCTCAGTCCATTGCCCAGGACATATCTTCTGCGCAATGTTCCTGTTAATTTGAGAGCGTCACTTAGATTTCCCATGATGGAAACAATGGAATGCAGGGTTAGGGTTAGTTTGAGTGGTCGGAGGTGAGATTGAATGAATGCGGACGGCTTGCTTCTTTTCAAACTTCCTGAGAGTTCTTCTTCTTCTGTAAATTTTGCCGTCAGAAAGTGTAGGTACATACCGCCACCTACTGTTCTGGCATCGCAAAGCAGAAGTTCAAAGTTCATGTTTTGGGTCCGCCAATCGGAGGTAATGCGGAAACTTATTGCGTTTTGTAAATGTGGTTTTCTATCTTTGGGTCCGCCATCTTGGCGCTGCATCTGGGTACTCTTGGGATATTTGACTCTAACTTTGTTTGTTATTGAACCCACAGCCTGTATTAGTATTTAGTGCATTAATGGGGAACCATACAGTCTGTGTGGGGAACACGCTGAGTTGTGTTGTCGCTTCACTCTCGGCATATTCTGTGTATTTGTTTTACGTCCATATTTACTCTTCACATACGGCGCTGAGAAACAATGTTCTCCACAATAAGAGTCTGCCGAGTTTAGTTTATCTGTATCTGAAATATCTGATCAAAACTCTCAAACGACGGAGGACAGGACACCTGTACACGGTATCCAGTAACAAATGTGAAGTTGTTTACACGGCCATCGATTGCAGGTTAGTTTAGTGTCACTCCTTCATAAATTTGAATGTAAAGGATTTCAAAATAAAAGTCTTAACAGCTACAGCACTTGTCTCTCTAAGGTTTGAGGTTCCCCTGCTAAGGAAGTTCTGCAGTGCAGCAGGTTATGGTTGGGATTATCCAGACACTGAGTTCAGGGACACCCCGCTGTGCTTCCCTGAGTTCCTGTGTCACAGACTGCTGCTCATGGTCCTCACTGATGGAAAGTTCAGGCTCAGCCCTGCAGGTAAGACCTGGAACAGGTTTGGCTTGTAGATAGCCTATGTCATTCAAAACTAGCAGTAAAAGCATTGTTATGAACAGTACCAGAAAAAATATCACAATTTTCGTGATATTGCATGGTGTTGATTCCTTTACAGGTCTGGTTCGTGTCCGACAGAGTTTAAAAACACTTCAGCCTGTCGATGAACTGAAGAAGGGCCCGTTCATGCTGCAGGTGCAAGTCCAAGAGTACAGGGAGCTTGATGCAGGAGTGGAGGTTGATATCTGTCTGTGTGCCACTTCTCGTACTGGATGTCCAGTGTGGGAGAGTGTCCTGACATTACTGTCCAAGAGGAAGCTCCATAATAATAGCAGAAATGAAAATCCAGGTGAGACATCTGATAATTTCATTAGCCATTTTATTTATGAATCTCTTAAAACAGCAGCTCTGTGTTGTGTTCATTCAGAGCAACGTACATAGGTGCTGAATCTAGTTTGTCCTTGTTTTGACAGACCAACCTAATGAGCCTGCACCAGAAAATGTGAAGCAGGTAAAGCTACGAATTCCCAGGACTGCTGGTCTGCAGTGTATGTGGTCCTACTCTGCCTTCTCCCCCTATCGGCTCCTCTTTCTACCAACCTGCCTCTTTGGTCGATTGCAGTCCACCCCAAATCTGTGGATGCTGTCAGTCTGCCTCGCTGAAGTAGAAAAGCACAAAGGTAATTTGTTTAAACCAAACCAATCTAATCTGCAGAGTTTTTCCACAACATACATAAAATTTTCAGTTTCATTTCCTATGATGACAGATCTCTTCTCTCTTCTTGTTGTTTTGTGTTACCAGGGGTAGAAGTCATCACAACTCCGGTCAACATCAGCGTCCAGTTTAGGGAGCCTCTGTCATTACGAAGCAGAGTAACCCTCAGGTTCTGGGAGACCACTAACGACAGGAGTCAGTCTTCTACCCAGAGCCTCAGCTTCCTCGTGCAACCGCATGGGAGCAACACATCTCACATGATAGGATCGATTTCTCGGTCGTTATGAAAGCAGAAGGTAGAAATTTGTGATCATATCTAAACGTGAATTTGCTATCGCACTGATCTGATGTTGATAAAGTCTGAACTCATTCAAAGCAGCAGACTTTGAGTGAATTTCTCATTATTTCATGATCTCAATATTGAAATTCACTTTTGTTTACCGTTTGCCTGTGGTCAAAATCTTTTAATGAAGAGGTGTTCACAAATGTTTGAGTGTAAATGTGTGTGTAAATATGATCAGGTATTTTCCTGTACATTTGCCAGTAAGATTTGAAATTGCAAAATTAAATTTAACACACCAAGATTTAAATTATACTGAATGTATTTTGCCTTTATTTAGGATTAGCCATTTTGTAAAAGACAACAACTTAGACAAAATCTACATACATGTGCAGGACTGTAAACAACTCTTAAAGATCCATTGACTCAGCACCACACCTCACTGACACTAATAAATGTAGTATTATCAGAGCAATTAAAGGTTCTGCACGTCATGATTCAAAGTTATGTGTGTCATATATTTCTGTCAATAATGTGCAACATGCGCCAACAAAATTTGTCAGTCAAGCCCAAGTTTAGACCATACTGTTGATTTATTATCTACAAAGTCCCAACATGACCCACTCTTATCTTGTCTTATCCTCCTGGAGCAGAATGCAGCATTTAGGTGATAGAAACAACCAAAATGAATAAGTATGCGTTACAAAAACACAAATCGATAGTGAGCCTTTTTTAATAAGTCTGTATTTGGCAGTATTTTTATCAACTTAAACACGTGGGACAGTATGTAGATGCAGTTTGACACCTTAGAGAATGATTTTAAAAAAGCTAATCAACATTTAAATTGTCCCTTCTGTCTATTTCATCAAGCTTGTGCAGAATCTATCACCTTAATAAACTAGCTTTGGAGCTTTTTTACAAATCTATATGTGTTTAAAACAAATAAGTACAGTTTGCAAATGTATGAAACTTTGATCAGTTTTGAACAATGAACTGAGCAAACGTAGCTAATCCCCTCTTTGAGTCTCTTTGTTTAAATGAATTTATTAGCAGTAAGTGTTGTTGTAACGTGGAAGAGAAGTGTTATTGATCTCTTGTCCCTGAAAAGTGAAGCTACGCCCGTGAACCGAGAAACATAGAAGCTTTGGAGGGATTCAGTTTGAGGATTTTATTTGTAGAGCTTTGAGCTGTAGGTTTCATAGAGCCGCAGTACAAAAGCAGTTTGTAATGTTACATGTCTTTGAGTTGACAATACTGGGCTAATGCAGTCACCATCCCCGCAGGGAGCAAAGTCTTTTCAATATTTGATTCCTCTGATATTCCTGTTCGCAGCTTTCATGTATGTGGAGGTCTGTCCTCCTGTATTATTTAGAGAAACACATTCAGTGCATGGGACTGAGAGAAGTGGCTTTTCATGCATCGCTGCAACATTTCATAAAGACAATTCTGGCATAAATTCTTGTATTCAAGAAGAGGAGAAAAAGAGCTTTAATTTGGTCTCCTAAGATGATCTGAAAAGGTTAAAATAGACATTTTTAATAATCATTAGAAAAGGAAACAACCCCTCGAGGTCATTGTTTTTTTTTAAATGATCGAAAACAGCATTTCATCATTTACACAGGATTTGATAGTAACAGTGAAAGGAGCTAAAAACATGTTGTTTGGCAGGTTCTTTTACTATTTCTAATTAAAGCCAAGCAAATACAAATGTGAGGCAGAAACCTCCAGCAGAACCAGACTCATGTTAGACAGTCATCTGCTGCTACTGTGTTAGGTTAAAGGGATATTCTGGCGTAAAAAACAATTTAGGGTCAAACACACCGTAACACCAAGTTAGACACCCCATCAAAAGATGGGGTTGATGAAGTTAGGTGCTGTTCTGAGCATTATTTGTGGCTATAGAGTGGCGTTTTGATTGAGGTTTATGTGTGGATCCATAGGTTGAAGCATAGTTGAAGCAGCTGGGAAGCAGGCAGGTCCACAGCAGAAAAACGTCTGCAGCAGCGATCCAGAGGAAGCGACAGCATGATGGAGCTCAGAGACTCCCAGAGAAGACTGTGTGTTAGTGACTCTAATGGGACATGATGATTCAAAGGTAATGACACAAACGGAAAGAGGGAAAGATACTCAGTGTGCCAGTATCACAACTCTATAGCAGTATAACTGAGTTGGTCCAGACCAGGATTGCTTTAAACCTACTCTTAGAGGTAGAGAGGGAGACCATGAAGATCTTTGTAGGTCAGAAGAAGAATTTTAAATCAAATGGGGAGCCAGTGTAGAGAAGCTAATACAGTGGAGATGTTTCGTAGTTCAGACTGTGTCCAGGTGTGAATATGTGCTGCTGTATAAACGCGAAGGTCATTCTACTTGCGTAAAAAAAAGCACGAGTTCAGCAAAAGCCCGAATAACAAAATCAGCAATCAGCGAATCATCCAGAGACTGGCTCCTGCACACTGTGAGCGGTTGTAGTTTGTACGATGGGGGAGGGTGTGTGTGTGTGTGTGAAGAGTCTCTGTTTGTAGATGCTCAGGAGGAGGAGGAGAAATCAGTTTCACCAGCTGTACTACAGATCAGATCAGAGGGACACACGCTGGGTCATCCCACCCCTGCCATGTGATTTTCATTACAGCAACTCTGGGAAGAGTTCAGCCGTGGAGAGTTTGAGGTAAATACTTCTTTTTTTTTTTACTTTTATATCTTGATATGAACTCTATTATCACTGTATGTATGCTCCTGTGTGGTTTATTGTTTGGTATTGCTTCACTGTGAAGCTAAACCGTCTCATTACCTTGATGGCCATGTTGTGTAACTACTGTACGGTGCCATAAATTCATATTGTTTGTCACCAAAATGAAGGTTTTCTTTAATCCTACCCTAGATGTGAAAGGAAAGCTTTATTTAGATGCTTTAACTTAAGGTTTGTGCAAATTCTTATAGTAAGACAAAAGCTGAATGGTTCATTTTAGACAGTATAGTTCAATAATCTGTCTTTTAAGGATATAAACATTAACTGTATAAACTCACAATGGAATTATTGTACTATTTATCCTCGTTTAGTCTGTTTCCACAGTTCCTGCTGTGACAAAAACATCCACCAGGCAGGCGAAACCACAGCCATAATGCACCGAGTGTGTTTAAATCCAATCTATTTTTCATCCGTTGTTGCTCAGTCACCATCACCAGCTGGAGTGCAGCACGCTTGTGCTTGTTGTAACATGTACATTGCTGTTATTATTCATTTATAGAGTCCCTATTCTGTCATGCATACGAGCCAGTCAAGTGGAAGAGGGTCAGTCAGTTTAGCTTCTGTGCAAAAGGTATTGAATTTGACGCAGAGAGATATGAAGTCAGAGTTCTCCTTCTCTGTTTGTCTCACTGTGATTTATCTGCCACATCTGCAGTTTTCAGAAATACGACTGTCCTCTAATGCAGCAGTATGTAGTGTGTCTTTAAAATGCCCAAAATTACAACTGAACTTGTTTTGAAGTCATTCAGAGTGATGCATTCATCCCATTTATCTCAGATGTTGTCTCTGCGGGCAAGGAGAGTGTGCGAGTGTTTAAAGAGATGACACACACTCTCTCTCACACTCACACACACACGCTACATCCCTGGTTAGAGCACTTTAGAGGAGTTCATCTGTCTCCCTCTTCAAAGAGCCGATCCTCTGGGATTTGAAGTTATTTTTTGCTTCTTTTAAAAGTACCTGCTTCATTTATTTATTCAGAGGCCGTGACTAAATGACAGCTTCTTCTCTTCTGCTGTTCAAACAACAACTCCACCACCTCACCTACTACTACCTGTCCCAGTTGCTGAGCTGTGAAAGACGTGAATAACATTAATACTGCAGCTGCACAATAGTAGAAGATGATGCTGTGAGTTACTACGAACTGTGCAATGGAGAAGAAACACATAAAACTTTAACAAATTCAATATAAATGAAAACAATCATGATGGTTCAATATTTTCTATAATAAAACAGTGTGCTGCAAAAGTGGTGGGCCTCAGCTTGTCACTTACCTCCACTCTGACAGGTCAAATGGGTGATAAATTGAGACTTTGGGTTCAAACTTTAGCACTTGGACTCTTCTACTACAGAGTGGTTTGGTTTTGGTATTGTCTTGCTGGAACATGCAGAGTCCCACCCAGGCTGAAGGAGAGAATGTGTGGAGTAGAGGATGCTGATTGCTGATGTAAATTTTGAGTCAAAACTGGATAGTTTTCCTCTTACAGATGCTTTATCATTCAGCCATTTACATCTTTTTTCTCCTGTTTTGTTGTCCCATTTTAACTTTTAGAAATGTATAGCCTGCATCAAACTTAAAATTTGTGTCTTTTTTCATAAATTAACATGATTGTTCAGTTTCAACATTCATTTTGTTGCCCATTGACTGTTTTTGATTAATTATAAAATGATTTAAAGCGAGATATTTTTGTCACAGATATTTTTATACAGCATTTTTAGGAAATTGTGTTTGTGAAACAAAGTTTTCCAATCCAATTAGTCTTTTTAGACAAATGCGTTAGATTAAACAGAGCATGGTGTTTAGTCATATACTATTCACAACTTCATACACTTTGCATATTGGCCTCATTTGTTGGGAGACATCCCTTCTACATGTTTTTCTTTCAGCCATTCACAACTTTTTTTCAAGTTTTGTTGTCCAGTTTTTACTTTTTTTAAATGTTGCTGGCATCAAACTTAAAATTTGTATCAATTTTTCATAAATTAACACAATTTTTCAGATTCAACATTCATTTTGTTGTCCGTTGACTGTTTTTGATTAAATATAAACTGATTTAAAACCATGATCAGCTGTTTTCACTTATATTTTTACACAGCGAGGTTGTAAAAATGAACTTTTCCAATCTTATTAGTTTTCCCAGACTAATAAATTAAATTAAACTGAGAATGGTGTTTAGCCAAATACATGTTGTTACAGTAATGTTAGAATAATCTTATATTTAATCATCAGATGCGTCTAATAGAGTAAATTCATAAGATTCACCACCTGATAGTGGTTTTTTTGAGCCACGACTTTCGAATAAAGCTACTGATGGTTAAAAATCATAGCTGACTTATTCCTGTTGTCTCTCAATTTACATTTGAATCATCACATCTTTTAACCCGTTCATGAATAAATGAGCTTCTGTGCTGTCATCTCAACATTTTTATGTACAGATCAGTTTGTCACTTCATGTTTTTATCACTTCATAAATATGGGGGTGAAGGACATAACACTTTTCTTTTTCCATTTCAGTGCAGCAAAAGAAAAAGTCGATGAAGAAACAAGGAAGAGGAGACACTGCCAGCATCCCCCTCTCCTCACCAACAGGGAGCAGCAGTGTCCAGGTCTACCATGAGTACCAGAAGGTGGCTTTCAAGATCTATCCCGAGAATGGTCATGCTATAGAAAACGGTTCTCACACCAGGAGAGACAAGGTCAGCAGCCGAGAAGATGCGGGGAAGATGTCCTGTGTGCCGGACATCATCTCTCACAGTCAGGAGCAGAGGTGCAGCATGAAGGAGGACGGTTTTCACAGAAACTCCCTTTGGATGATGGATTCAAGCAGCCAGGCCTATTCAGGGCAGGAGGACAACTCCACAGACCCACATGAGACCCTGACAGAGACTTCAACTCTGACCTTTATGGATGCCCACACTATGGATGAATCGGTGGAGAACCACAGCCTGCACGGGGTGGGGATGGTTTACCTGAAGGAGTTTGTGCTAATAGATGATGACGATGACGGAGACATGTCGCTCAGAGAGAAAACTGTGACAGACATGTCAGTAATGGGTGGAAAAGCAGCTGAACTGGTGTGTGGGAGGCTGCTCTCTACTTCCAGTGGATCAGTGTCGGAGTATAAGGAGGAATCCTCGGCTCCTGAAGCACCTGCACAGGAGGAAGTGGAGACTGAACCTGGAAAGAAACGCTGCTGTCACTGCTCTGTTTTATGACCGAGCAGGACATGAGAGATGGTTCCTGATAGTCAAGGTGTTAAACTGGGCTTGTGTGTGTTTCTGCTGCACATTTATAGCTATGGTAGCATCCTAAAGTCATGTTATGATGTTTCTGATCAGCTTTTACTCTGAAAAACACAAAAACTGTTATTTTTTGTTGTTTTGTTTGAGCTGACAGCCACAAATGAAGACGTCTTATTTACAGTATTGTTAAGAATTGTGAAATGTGTGTGTGTGTGTGATAAGAGGTTAATGCTTTCAGATTAATTAACATCTTAAGAGCTCTTTTTAAAGTGTAAACAATATCTTTGGGGTCAGTTTTAACATTTTGATACTAATAAAACGCATGTTTGCCTAACATCATGGAGTTTGTGATAAATCCACAAAAATGATAAAAAAGATACGGTGCTGACAACAAATAAAGATACTTCCATAACCAAACTATATGACTTACTAATTTTAGTTTTAATGATTCGTTTGACTGTATGAGGCTAATTATGAGAAATGACAGGTGTGTGTGCCTCTGACTGGGAGCTGGTGAGGTGTGAGGAGCTTATATATAGTCTGTGCTGACTCATGAGCTCATATGCTGTAGTAGTAAGAGGTTCTCGAGGCTTTAAAGGAGTCTTGTTAAAGATGGTTTCATGGAAGCTGGGCTGATCTTTCTGGTTGTTTTAGTGGCAGTGATTTAGTTTCTCTTTGTTTCCTGCAAAGCCTGGTTTATTTAAAGGTATGTCTTTGTGTCGGTCTAGTTTTTCTTTCTTTCTATCTTTAATCGCCTGAAAGCAAAGATGAACTGTCCACCTGCCGTGTGTCCCTGCTGTAAACAGGTGACAACGTTCAGAGAATACAGCGACCAAATTTGGAGGAAGTCTGCACCTTTTTTTCACAAGATTGTTTCATTTTTAGGATAACTCACTGACTGATTGTAGTACTTGGTATCATACTGGTTCAGGAAGAGTGTAAGAGAGTGTGTGATGCTGCAGTAGATAATTAAATCAGCCCATTCATCACAATAAGAAAAACTTCTCTGGACTTGAAATCACAGACACTGCCTGAAGAGGAGAAGGAATCACCTGACTTGTTATCACTACCAGGTTCAAAAGTCAGCGTCCATGATGGGCTAAGAGCGCTCATGTGTGCACGAGTAGCTTACACCTCTTGGAAGACAGCATTAACGCCAAACAGGTTGTGATGAAACATATGCTGCTGTCCAAATGATGTCGTTCTCAGGGAAAAGTCTTCACTAACTTTCCAAAAGTTCAAATTTGATAAAAGAAAACCAAAACTGTTGAGCAGCTGAAACTCTTTGTGTATCAGAGAAGAATGAGGCAACATTAAACTTTTTAAAACTCCGGAAACTGATCCCCTCAGTCCTCAAAAGGTGTCATTAAGAGGATATGTTGCAGCACGATTGTTGTAAACAGGTCCTTTTTCTGGCATCAGATTTAAAATAACAGTAACCCTTTATTATAACACTTTATAATGTGTTATAATGTGTTATAACTGTTACCAACAGTTGCATTGCATTATCTATGTGGGCATTGTCAGTGAGTTGTTAACAGTTATAACACATTATACTACCTGACCTTGTAAGTCATGATAAAGTGCTTTATAATGTGTTTTGATTATTGCTATAAAGCATTATGATCATTTATGAGTGTTTATAACTATACTTATACTGTGCTATAACATGATTATAATGCATTAAACATGTATTTACGATGCGTTATAGAGAAAGGCGTCAAATAATTTCAGTTCTCACATTTAGTTTTTTGTCTTTGTACTACTTTCAATTAAATATTTAAATGTTAATCAAAATTCAATTCATCTGATTTGCAAACCATCAAATATATATTTTTAATCATTTTACATAAGTATCGTTCCTGTTAGATACTCATTTTTCCAGTGTACTTATGTTGATAAGAATTTGGGTTTGCAAATGTAATGATATTGAAGGGATCAAAAGAGCTCCAGTAACACTTGTAGTTCAGGAAAACAACTTTATTTGACCGATGTGAAACAACACTCTTTGATGCATTTCTGATGACCCTGATGAAGGCCACAGGCCAAAACGCATCGGTGAAATAAAGTTGTTTTCCTGAATTACAAGTGTTGCTTTAGCTCTTTTGACCCCTTAAGACCTTTTCTCTCCAAGCACCTTGGAAGTTGGTGAAGTTGTGCTGGAACTTTTGTCCTCAAATATAATGATATAACATTTTCTATGTATGATAAATTCATCAGCTGGACTGGTTTTGTGGTCTCATTTTTACCAGGGAACCGTTGATAAAGGTTTGGCACCACAGTGCATGGATCCCTGAATATGCCTCAGAAACTTCTCAGGAATCGAGCCACAAACATGACGGAGGTGACACATCTCTGCTGAATTTGATCAAGTTATTTTTGAATCCACTACATCAACTTTTTGGCAACTTTTATGGACTGTATGTCCTGCGGGAAATACTGGGGTTAATCAGCCCTGACCAGCAGACCCTCATGTGGGGTAGAAGTGACACAGAAACTCCATCATGGGCTGTGCTGGGGAGGAAGATAGCAGCTCACCAGACTTATCTTCCACTCCCAAAGCACACCCACTGACACCCCCTCAGCTCCCACTACTGCCAATGAAGTGGAAAAACCCTCAGTCCAGTAGACAAGCATTGATATTATTCTTGATGTACCATCTAAGTGAGCTGACTGAAGACCCTCACCTGTCTGTAATTTCAACACAATTCAGTTTTAATTCCTCTTGAAGACACACTCACTTGATACAAAACACAACAGTGATGTAAGAGAACATCCAGCAGGTTCGTTACGCCAAATATAGCCGTTATCTACACCGCAGCATGAGTATGCAGCTCATCCGAGAGAGGACTGAGCGTATCTCCACCGCTTATGAATGTAACTGAATGTGTCAGAGAATGACAGACGAAGCCACAAAACCACCAGACTCAAAAAAAAGATCTCTGAGAAAGGGGGTCTCAGAGTGACCCCGGCTCACCCACTCATCCTCTATCAAACCGCTCAGTGTCACCAGAGTCGACAAGACGGATGCAAGAGAGCTGTGAGGAGACTGTTGGAGAGGATGGATGAGACAAACAGAGCGGTGATGGTGGTCTTTCTCCTCTGCACCACTGCAGGTGAGAGAGCTGATCATGGCAGCATCCACCTTTCTTTAAAAAGAAGAAGAACAACAACAACTTTGTTAAAAGTATAGTGTGTGTGTGTGTGTTTATATTCTTAAAACCTCTCAGCAGATATGAACTAATGTCTCTCTCTCTTTGCAAACAGCAGTGCTAACATATGGCCAGATTCTTGATGTGTGTACAACCTGTCACCCCAACGCTACATGTGACAACAAGCCTGACGGCTCTGGTAAAGTTTGTAACTGCAAGTTCGGGTTTGTTGGAAATGGAAGAACTTACTGTCAAGGTGGGATTTTTTTTTTTAAAGCTCCTATGAAAGTTGTTGTTTTTGTTTTCAAACTGAAATTCAGTTCAGCTCCTGCCCAGTAAATATTTTGTTTTCCAGATAAAGACGAGTGTCAGATTGGAGCCAGTGAAATTTGTGGGCCCAACACCACCTGCCACAACACACATGGCAGCTACTTCTGCAGATGCCTGTCAGGCTACCGGCCCTCTAACAACATGGAAGTCTTCATCCCAAATGATGGGACACACTGCCGAGGTGAATTTAAAGGGATATTCCGGCATAAAATTAAGTTAGGGTCAAACACACTGTAACACCAAGTCAAGTCTCTAGTTATACCAACTTTAGTAAAAACGCCAAAACACCACTCTATAGCCACATGTAATGCTCAGAACAGCACCTAACTTCATCAACAGTACATATAGGGTCCAAGTCACAGCTCTAGCCACCAAACATCTCTTTTACTTTGCCTAATTTCTTTAGCTAAGAGACAAAACACAACTCACCTACTCTCTTCCTGCAGCCGCTTGTTTGTAGCGAGACCTCAGGCCAGTGTATTACGCCTGCTGCAGGGAAATGTAGCTCAAGGAAAAACATTTATGATCATTTCTTTATTATTTCCTTGAGGTAATAACCATTATATTAATCATTTTTCACTGCAGACGCGGTAGTTCTTCTGCCTTAGCGTCTCGGTCTGATTGCATTTTCATGAAGAAATGATCATAAATGTTCTTCCTTGAGCTGCGACACCCCACTGTAGTCCATGATGGACTGGCTACAAACAAGCGGCTGCTGGAAGAGAGCCGGTGAGTTGTGTTTGGTCTTGAAAGAAATAAGGCCTATGTACTGTTGATGAAGTTCGGTGCTGTTCTGAGCATTATTTGTGCCTCTGGTTGAGGTTTGCGTATGAAGACGTAGACCACTGTGTATTGCTATCGTGCGGTCGTTACTGAAGTTGGTATAACTAGAGAAGCAAGCGGTCGGCAACATTTATTTCTCGGCTACACTGAAAAGTTTTTTGGTTTTTTTTATGCGTAGACATTAACGAGTGCAAGATCACAGGCCTGTGTGGACCTGGGAGTCTATGCAGAAATCTAATGGGCAGTTTTGACTGCAGCTGTCAGGTGGGATATCAAGTCCACAATGGACCGGAGCGCTTCAACCCCAACATAAACAAAGCTTACTGCAAAGGTGAGAGTGGATTACTGGTAGTTTGTCTCCACTTTGTTCAGCAAATCAAACCTGCCAAGAGTTTTCCTGGATACGTCTTTTTGTCCCCCTCAGAGGTTGATTGTGGCCTGCCCGCCTCGGTGGAGAACATGGTGCTGATGGAGGTCAGACAGACCACATACCGCAGTGAGGCCATGTTTGAATGTGCTGAAGGCTTTGTGTGGAGGAGTGGAGACAACAGCTCTGTGTGTGGAGCTGATGGACGGTGGATAGGACCAACTGCTGTCTGTGAAGGTAACGAAACGAGAACTAGGCTGATCCCCTTTTTGGACTCATCTCTTTACCTGACTGTCTAAATTTGTTAATCTGGAGTGTGTTACTATCAGACTTTGTGGCATAAAACTGTTCCTGGTATTATTAACGAAACTCTAACCTGCTAGAGCTACCACAGCAGCTCTGGAAGACAGATACTGAATCTTTGGTGGAGTATGCAACAGCTGGAGGCTTTGCAGTTGATTCTGTTTCATGAAGCATGCATGTCACTTTGGCTCTCAGATGTGGATTGTGGCCATCCATTTCCTGTACCTCACACTCATATATTATGGAATAACAGTTCAAGACTGGGTGCTAAGGTGCGGTACGAGTGTGACTATGGATATCATCATATTGGAAAGGGCAATGTTTTAACCTGTACAGCGGATGGAGTGTGGGAGGGACCATTTGTGCGCTGCACAGGTACAGTCGGCGAACACACAAGGCATTCAGAAAGATCTTATCCCTGTTCTCGTTTGTATGTGGTTGTAATGCTTGTTATTCCTTTTAGAAATCTTGTGTGGATTTCCTACTATAATTAAATCCACTGAGCAGGTGTGGGACATGAATGTAACCCCTGGAAGCACTGTGATCTATTTTTGTAAAGAGGGTTTTCTTAACAAAGGAGGAAATAATGTTTCGGTCTGTAGTGAAAATGGTCACTGGACACGCCCTACTCTGTCATGCAAAGGTAACGGAAACATCGAAAGACTAAAATGTGGTTTTCTTCTCAAAAACTGGCAGCGTATGTTGATCCAAGACCTGAAATCACAATCAGGCAGTGTTGATTTTCAGCCCTAAACAGGTTCATCCATGTTTACTGTGTAATTTTTGTTATTCTGTACTGTAGAGGACGAAATCCTGAGAACCTTTGCTTCATACTCACCAACATTCACCTGAAATTTTAGACCTGTTTGCTCACGCAGTCTTTCACTCTGTCTCTCTTTTCATACCAGCTCATGTTACCAAGTCAACACTATAGGTTAGATTTAAAGGAGCATTCCGTACACTTAACATGTGTGAAGATTGTTTATTTATTTGATTTGTTGTGTGTAAACTCCTTGTGTATCATTTTCTGACGCAGAGATATTGTGCGGGGATCCTCCTACGCTGCCTCACGCTGGTAAAGTGTGGAACGGCGCCTCGACCCCCGGCAGCACAGTGACATACTTTTGTAAAACAGGATTTTATCACAGTCAGGGGAGTAACATATCACTCTGCACGGTTCAAGGTCACTGGACAGATCCAGATATCTCATGCAAAGGTAACGGCTCTCTTTAAAAAACTTGCTTGAGACATTTCCCAGCTGTCTGATCTCAGTTTAATAATGCAGTCTCCGTCTTTGTAGAAGTTGACTGTGGTGTACCCCCACTCATTCCTAATTCAATCATGCAGTGGGATAACATCTCCACTGTGGGCTCTCAGGTTGTTTATCAGTGTTTGTCTGGATATCACAATGGTGGAGGGGGAAATGTGTCAGTTTGTACTGCTGATGGAGAGTGGGATGAAGCTTCTCTGCACTGTGAAGGTGAATATTTGCTGTAATTGAACATTATCGGTGGTTAAATAATTGGTGGATTATATCTATGCAGCTTCCAGTGACTTTCAATGACTTGCTGTCTTTCTGTTGTAGAAATCAATTGTCAAAGACCTGCTTTTATACCTCATGCAGAAGTGCTTTGGGATGGCACATCACACCTTGGCAGTGTCGTGCATTACCGGTGTGAGGACGGATATTACCCCCGGGGCCTGAGAAACCACTCAAAATGTGGAGAGAATGGACAGTGGGAGGATATTGATGTTTGGTGTGAAGGTGCAATTTTTAATGACTGATCCACAGTTTCTGATACTTGAAGCAGTTGGTTTCTTTATGCCGAGTTTGAAGATTACTTTTGTTTAGTTTACTAAATTGTTGATTAATATGCATTATCCCTGCTAAGTTAAACTAGAATAAAACCACTAAATAAGACCACTTTCAAGTCTTGCTGCTTAAGTCTGCAGACATGTAAGCAAACAGGTGTATCTATCGACATTCAACTCTTGGCTACTCTTCATTTTAAGGACTGTACTGCACTGATTTTTGCTGCTCTGACTGATGTCTGTGTGCAGATTTAACCTGTGGCCCCCCACTAATCCTCCCCCATACTAACCTAAAGTGGGATGGCACCACTAGACCAGGCAGTGTGGTGCAGTATGAGTGCATGGATGGATTTTATCAAGAGAGTGGAGATGATATTTCAACATGTTTACTGTCAGGAAAGTGGGGGGAAGTATCTATAAAGTGCAAAGGTACTACTACACATCAACATTTAAAATGTGGAAGTTTTCACTGATATGATGACTGTTCTTGTTGTTTAACTATTTCTTCAATTACAGAGTTTGATAACTTAAAGTGAATAATAACCAAACTCTATTTGTAAAGACCCAGTGTAAAGATGAGATCAGATAGAGACTCATCTTGCAAGATCAGACCTGCTCCCATCCTGTGAAACACAAGTGCAGCATTTATCATGTTACAATGGAGAGGAAGAACTTCCTTAAATAGGCAGAAACCCTGAGCAGAACCAGACTCATGTTAGACAGTCATCTGCGGCTGCTGCATTAGGTTTAGATAAGGGAGATGCAAAGCTGGAAAGCAGAAAAACGTCTGCAGCAGCAATCCAGAAGAAGCTACTGCATGATGGAGCTGAGAGACTCCCAGAAAAGACTGTGTGTTAGTGACACAGACAAAAAGAGGATGGAGAAGTAGGGAAAGGTGTTCCATGTAGCAGTACTCCTTGTCTTGAATAAGCGTTGACCAAACAACAGACGTGATTAACCATCTTGAGATTCAACGAATTGGAGGTTTTGGGAGTTCCATCGATAGCAGTCATTATAATATATGGTAGATAACGTGGAAGATCCTGATTACAAAGTCTCACATCAGTTAATAGGATAATAATAAAAGCTGTTTTTATCATTTTACATCCTAGCTAAATGTGCTTCTGTGCCTGTCCTCGAGAACGCAGAGGTGGTGTGGCAAAACGGAAGTGTTATGATCCACCGTTGTGTGGATGGATATCACAGCTGGAGGGGAAGCAACCTCTCTGTGTGTGACAGCTCTGGGGTTTGGGAGGAAGCTTCTTTGAAATGCATAAGTGAGTATGACACAGCATCCATAAACTGAAATATCATTACACCCCACAGAACAAATAGCATTGATTTCATTGATTTGGGTAGTAGTGGACATATTTTAACAATATTTTTATTCCCGTATCACTCAAAGAAATAAAGCCACCTATCAACCACCTGCTCGTCACCAATGAAAAGTGTCTGCACTGGAAAGCAGAGAAGTATGAGGAGGACACTGAAGTTTATACGGTTAGAGGAGATTTTTTTAAGTTATCACGGTTCATCTTTGACTGTTGACTTTTTGATGTAATAACCCCACATTTGATGTAATCACTCCAGGTGACATATGTAGGATCCAGAGACTACCAGATGTCTTTTTATGACAGAAGAAAGCAGTTTGTGACATCTAAGGCTGACCAGCTGGAGATCTGCCTGAACCTGCTCCCTGTCACCAACTACAGCATCACGATCACTGCCGTCTCTGCCAGATTCACAACCACCATCACCATCAGCACCAGTATGCCAGGTATTCAGGTCTTCATTTTTGCTTTGAAACTCGATGTTTAACCTGATTTGTCAGGAATGTGGTGTGTATGATAGTTTTTATTAGAAATGAGACAATTACTTTCTTTTTGCGTTCTGAAAATAAGCTGATCTGCTGTGATTGTTTCATTGCACGCTCACCTCACAGTGCCTCCAGCACCTGTCGTCTCCTTCAGAGAATTTCAGACTCCTACACCAACTCTGAGGCTCCAGAGGTCACGCGACACACTTGATCCTATAAGGTAGCGACTAAGAGGGCAAGAAGCCAGACATGATTGAATTAAAGAATTGAAAGTCTCAAATCTCCTTTATTTTACAGTTTGTTCCAGGTGTTTGTGATTCCTGTCGAGGGGATTATGGTGTTTGACTGCTCATCTCCAGCCAGTTTAAGTAAAAACAAGCCCTCGACAGAGTATATCACTGCTCAGATTGAAGTCAGACATGTTGGGACAGAGATTTCCTTCACTGTAGGGGATGGACGTCAGTATGGAGGCTTCTATAACACACCACTGGAGGAAGGCAGAAACTATTATATCATCTTACGCATCGTCAGTCAGTGGAAAAAGGTTGGTTAAGCGAATGCACTGAAGTTAAAGAAACTGCATTAAACTTCACAGTTTAAGTCTTTGTTTGCTTTCTTTATCAGGATTTAAAAAGCACCTGTGTCGTGTGGGCTAAAGTGGGAGGTAATTCACCTGAAAAAATGTTGACTCCACTAAAATGTTGACAGTAATATATTATATAATAACACTTTTAATAGAAGCAAAAAAAGTAAATTACTGTGAAATGGATAATATGATGTAATGAGTTCGACCTGCATTTACCCACACACCAAATGTTCATGTTGCAGGTGTTTCCCATGTTCTGCGGGTCACAGCTCTGTCTGCTGTTGTATCAATAGCTGTCATAGCAATAATCATTTTGGGAGGATACTATCTGATCTGGTATGGAATAAAAAACAGTGCATATATGTAATTCATCTATAAAACAACACTGATCTATCACTTTACTCTTTTCTAGTTTTCACTTGCAAGAATTTCAAAAAAGTTAGGGGGAAATGTTGCTAGACGTTTCACTTTGAATATGTAAAATTTCAATTTTTTTGTAGCAAACTGCATAAACAAATGAGCAGGATAAATGTTTGATTGAGATTAATTATTGTTATTTACTGACTGTGTTTCCCTTTGACTTCTTTTCAAGGTTTTTCAAAAAGGAATGACGACTCTTTTGGCAAGGCTGCTGGGGACCTTTTTTGTCTATTTTTCATTTGTACTTCAGACAAGTTAGAATAGTTTTTTACTTCATATTTGTACATTATGTAAATAATAACCTGTCAATAAACATTTTTTCTATCTTTTTAATGTATTCTTAGAGTTATGTAAGGTAGCCGAGAACTGCCACTGCTGCAAATAAAAAGAATGCAAAAAAAGAAGCCACAACAGAAGTTACACAAAGAAACCGAAGCCTGCTCCAATTACAACGAAAGTTAACAACGCAAAAAAAAAAAAAGTGGCAATGCAAAAGAGAAAAAAGTTTCTCACTGCGAAAATAAAAGGATGCAAAAAAAAAAAGGCACAACAGAATGAGCTGCCGGGGACCGATCTAAGCACAGAAGACAGATCGTAAAACACCGGTGCATCATCATTATTGGTCCTCGGCAGCTCACTTCCCTTGTGGCTTTTTTTACATGCATACTTTTTTTTCATAGTAATTAACTTTTTTTCCCATCGCCACTTTTTTTGTGTGTTGTTTAGCAGTTGTGGCTTTTTTTGTAATTGTACTGGTTTTTTTTTTTTTTTGGTTTTTTTTGCCTTCTTCCTTTTTTTTTTCTTTTTTGTTTGCATCAGTAACTTCTGTTGTGACTTCTTTCGTTTGTTCCTTTTTTTTTTTTGCATTCTTTTTTTATTTGCAGCAGTGGCAGTTCTCGGCCACCGTAGCCACTTTGTGTGAAAACCTGAAATTAGATACAGTGAGGCTGCAATTCAAACCTTGTTGATTTTTTATAATAATATTAATAATAATAATAATTCATTTTATTTGTATAGCGCTTTTCAAGGTACGCAAAGACACTTTACATAAAGCACACAATTTGAATATAGCAATAAAATAGGATAGATAAATTAAATATAATATAAATAAATATATTTTACCCTAATAAAACCCAGAAAAATCTGGGTGTAAAGCCTATTTTCACGTAGGGACATTTTAAATCTCTAAAGACCTACTTATGTTTCTATTAATGACCTTTCTTTTCAATAGAGTTGCACTGATTTCATTTTCTTAGTAAAGGTGGTCAGCCATATTTTAGGTGTACTGGCTCTTTAAAGGGGATCTGCATCCGGAGCAGTTTTCACTCTTTCCGGACTAACACGGGCCAGTGTCCTACTGATGAAAATCCTGCTTTAAAGGATTTGTTTTCAAGTGTGGACAAGGTACGTCAATCTCACTGTTGTACAGACTTTAAGATAATCATGTAGTCGGTGGTTTATCGACCAGCTATCTGTCAGCCTCGATGGTCTGCTTATGAGAGGAGGAGAGGAGTAGGCCAGATTCACACGACGGTTATTGTTTACATATATCCTCCATTAATTTTGGGCAATACGAGTAACCCCCGGATCATTTTACTTATTTTTCTCGCCATAACTCGAAGTTTATTGTCTAAGTTATCATACGTCCTCGTAAAAAGTCAGAGTATCGGTGCTAAAATCTAAGCTAGCAGTGATGCGTTCAGGAGCTCTGAACGCCGTTAATGGGAACAAACGGCTGGTTTATTTTCAGACATGTTAAAAGTTTAACGGTTAAACTTTTAATTAATATGGGGTTATTATTGTAACAGCAGGCTAAAACTTCACGTCTAAGCCTCCATCTAACCGGTCAAATATAAACACTAATAACAAAATATTGATTACATTCAATAATTTTCCAGTTTTCTCTTCCAGCAGCCGCTTGTTTATACCGAGACCTCGGACCAGTCCATTACGGACTGCTGCGGGGTGTCGCAGCGCAAGGAAGAACATTTATGATTATTTCTTCATAGAAATACAATCAGACCGAGATGCTAAGGCAGAATAACTACCGCGTCTGCAGTGCAAATTATTAATATGGTAATTATTACTTCAAAGAAATGATAAAGAAATGATCATAAATGTTCTTCCTTGAGCTGTGTCACCCCGCTGTAGTCTGTAAAGGACTGGCCCGAGGTCTCGCTACAAACAAGCTGCTGGAAGAGAGTGGGTGAGTTGTGTTTAGTCTCTTTGCTAAAGAAATTAGGCAAAGTTATAAATATGTTTGGTGGCTGGGACCCTATATGTACTGTTGATGAAGTTAGGTGCTGTTCTGAGCATTATTTGTGGCTATAGAGTGGCGCTTTGGTTGAGCACGTGGCTCTCTGTATTGCTATCGTGTGGTCATTACTAAAGTTGGTATAACTAGAGAAGAAAGTGGTCGGCAACATTCATCTCTCAAGGGGGTGTCTAACTCGGTGTTACAGTGTGTTTGACCCTAAATTAATTTTACGCCGGAATATCCCTTTAATCAACAATTTGGAGAGTGATTTGCAGCCTTTAGCAAGTTAAAGGAGTGAGGAGATACTTATTACAGGCAGAAACCTCCAACAGAACCAGATTCATGTTGACAACCATCTGCTTCAACCGTGCTGGGCTTAGAAAGAGGGATAGAAGGAGATGTAGAAATGCTGCGGTGACTGTATTTCCCCTGAATTGTTATTCTGTTTTTGTTTCCTTTCAGCTCACTATGGCCCAGAACCAGGTGATCCTACAGTTTCGCTTCGCCAAATTTGGGGACTCCATGTTGCAAAAAATGAACCTCCTACGACACCAGAGACGCTTCTGCGACGTCACTGTGCGCATCAACCAGCTGGAGGTGCCTGGACACAAGGTGGTGTTTGCTGCCGGCTCCTCTTTCCTGAGGGACCAGTTCATCCTTCAGCAAGACTCCCAGGAGGTTCAGATTTCCATGATCCAAGAGGCGGAAGTTGGTCGGCAGCTGCTGCTGTCCTGCTACTCAGGGCAGCTGGAGTTTCCAGAGCTGGAGCTGGTGCATTACCTGACGGTCGCCAGTTTCCTCCAAATGGGCCATATCGTGGAGCAGTGCACTCAAGCGCTCAGCAAGTTCATCAAACCCCTCCCTACACGTCAGTTAGAAGTGAACGTGGATATGAGGAGTGCCAAGAAAGAGGAGGGTCTATCCTCCCAGACCCAGGGAGGGGAGGAGCGCTCTCAAGTGCGAACTGTCCATCAGGAGGACGAAGAGATAGAGCAGGTAGAGGATGACAACAATGTTGATGATGAAGACGACGATGACGATGATGATGATGACGATGTGATCATACAGCCTGATTCACCTCTACAGATGGTGAGCAGACGTCCAAGGCAGGGTATGGTAGAGAGTGATATCACGATAGTAAAAGTGGAGTCAGTGTCTGATCCAGCAGAGAACTCCATCACTGGTCATTTCTCCTCCAGCACCCCTGCTGCTCTCCACTCTCCTGAGCCCCAGCACTCCCTCATCAACTCCACCGTGGACAGTCGAAGCAGCGAGATGGCGGTTCCACCTGGTGTGTCCGGATACCCGCTCAGCCCCCCTCCTTCATCCCCTCCTGCAGATAAACACAGCGGGCACCAGAGAAACTACGACAAACCTCTCCAGTGGTACCACCAGTGCCCGAAGTGCGCCCGCGTCTTCCGCCAGCTGGAGAACTACGCCAACCACCTCAAGATGCACAAGCTGTTCATGTGCCTCCTGTGCGGAAAGACTTTCACGCAGAAAGGGAACCTGCATAGACACATGCGCGTCCACGCCGGCATTAAACCCTTTCAGTGTAAAATCTGCGGTAAAACCTTCACCCAAAAGTGTTCTTTGCTGGATCACCTTAACCTGCACAGTGGGGACAAGCCGCACCGCTGCAACTACTGTGACATGGTTTTCGCTCACAAACCAGTACTCCGCAAGCACCTCAAACAGATCCACGGTAAGAACAGCTTTGACAACGCCAACGAAGGCAACCTACACGAGGGAGGGGTTGACTTCGATTTTGGCCGAATATAAATATGTGGTCCTTTTCAGTAGCTCTGTTTGAACCCTCAGTTACTAAAACTACCATGATGGACCATAAAGACTGTTATTCCTTGTCTAAGAAGCCAATGATTGCATCATCACAGAGGAGGGAATGAGTGACCATGATGGCTGATGTCTCTGCCTCACACTGCTGGGTTTATCAGGCGAACATGAAGATGTTTCTCTGCTCTGCATTTCACTGTAGCTTCATTACTGTGGACTATACTGATTTTTGTGCTACAACACATTATAGAAGCCTTCATATTGTACTTGAATATTCAGCACTGAATCATAACGACTGTATATCAGTAGTTTTATTTGGAAAGAAACATGTCTGTGTGTTTACTATGTTTGAGAAAATACAGCAGAGTAGAAATGTATTCTATATATATGATATTAGTTTGTATGTTACGTATACAGTCCACTGTAGCCTTTGTTTCCTCCATGTGTGAATATGATATCATGAACTTCTTAAAAAAAAACTTGAAGAGGGTGGGTTGGAGAATATTATATTTAAGGCAAGCTACACCGGTGTAAACTGGGATGCCAAAGTTTATGTAAACTAAAATGTTTTGTTTTTTTAAAGCAGACCTTATACCTTAGGTACTCTTGGACCAAAGTGACTTATTATCTGTCCTGTGCTCATGGATTCCAGTGTGTGTTACAAAATTAAAAACAGACTCTTCACTCTGTCAAGAGTTTTTTAAAAGTGTGTTATTGTCGCTTATTTCTCTCCACCGTTCATGCACATCACAGTTCAATACTCAGAGACATACATGTGTGCGTCTACAATGTCCAGGCTAATGAAACTGTGGAAAATAAATATTAGAATAAACTTCTCATACCTCTAACAAATTAGGTACAAGGATACTTAGTAGACACGTTCATCTGATGCCTTCTAAAGATATGTTAGGTCTAAAACCTGCTCAAATACCTGAAATAAAAGGAGAAAGACAATGGATTATGTTTGAGAAATGGACAGAGATCTTTTTTTTAGCTACCTCAATACCACTCTAAGGGTACTTTCTCTGTCCGCCTCTTTTATTTAGGGTTGTCCCTGGTTACACAATGTTTCTAAAAGGGTGGGGGTAAATGTGCTGCAAAGTAAGCATTTCATAGAACATAATAATGAACAATTTGTGAATAGCTGAAGGTCAAGGCGGCATCTAACGAGCTCCTTCTGATAAGCGTGTATCCTTCCCAGAACCTCCCCACGATTCATCCTCGGAGGATACGTCACCCCCACACCCACACCTGCTGATAGGAAAAACACGGTCACAGAAAACTGAAAGAAACATTGTGTACTGTGTAGTAAAGCTATTGAAGAGAGAAGTTAGGAAACACTCTTATATGATGTATAAAAAGATGTCAAAGCAGTTTATACTTGTAGTATAAACTCTTACTTAAGAATATGAGGAATAATGATAACTTCTATATACTTTTATGCACATTATTCTAACAAGTGTGCAGGCTCTTTGATATCTGTTAAAGTTTGCACTATCTAAGTGGCATGTAAATGAGTCCTGAGTTGAACAATGTCTAATTGAGCTGCTGCAGCGTATTGTCAGAGTATCAGCACTACAGTTTCTGCCTGTTACGCTTTCACTTAATTTCTCCCTTTACAAAAACGATCATTGTGATAATGTGAAAGGTTAGAGCGAAGTATGAGCGATGACTTTGAGTTAAAGAATGAACAGATGCTGTCGTTTGTCCAACACTATGACATTAGCTGAAGTCGACATCGTCTGATGATCCGACTTTGATATTTTACAGAAATACTAACAACCCTGATTAATGTCAAACTATCCATATTGTCCAGGATTTGTTTGCACTTCTACAGCAGTTAAAGTGAAAAACCCACTGAGCGTAATATGCGTCCGCACACTGAATATGATTTGAATACACTTAATTTGAATAAAAGACAGCTCTGCTCACTCATTGTTATTGCACTGAGTCCATCATAGGTGTTTGGTGCAGCGATGTCAAAGTCTCAAGGCTGCTGCAGAAGCTTTCTGCATTTTGTGTTTGATTATGAAACAACAAAAACTCTGGTTGTTCCCAATCTGGGGGTCGGATGTTTCTTCAGGTTCGTCCAGCTTCTGGTGCTGCTGTATGCAGTGGGGTAAGTTTGCTGTGTTGACTCATAATGGGATAAAATATGGAAAAACGAGACGCTTGATCATTTATTAGGAAAAGATTTGAATAACTTTAACACTTGCTGTAAACTTGCAGGTATGTATTTGTGGTGCAGAAAGCCTATCAGCAGACCGACTCCGTCATGAGTACTGTCACCACCAAAGTGAAAGGTTTTGCCTTCACCAATGCTTCAAACATGGATCCTAACTTTTGGGATGTGGCTGATTATGTCATACCAGCTCAGGTATTTTCATTTAAAGTCTGAATGTTCGGTCTGTTTCAATAACTTGAGCAAAACCACATCCTACTATGTCTGTTCTTGTTGTATGACAGGGTCTGAATTCATTCTTTGTGCTGACAAATATGGTTATTACCCCACATCAGACTCAGTCCCGCTGTCCCGAGGTAGGAACTGATGCTACTTGTTCTCATTGGTCTGGTACACCCTGTTCATTTTGTGTCCATGTTTTCCAAAAAAGGATGAAGTTTGGTTTCTTCTCTTTCTTTTTCTCGAGTAAACAACTGTGATTTTTCTCTCCTTCAGCTTCCAAGCCCATCAACTACCTGTGTGGATGACTGTGACTGTATTGAGGGATACAATAATCCCAGAGGCAACGGTACGCCCCTCTCACTTTAGTGGTATCAGACCAGCAGATGCCTAATATGTGTAATATAATACAGTCATTTTTGCTCAGGTATAAGAACAGGCCTGTGTGAGAACTATTCTACGACCGCCCGGACTTGTGAAGTGCTCTCATGGTGCCCGCTTGAAATAGACACTAAGCTGCCTGAGTGAGGATAAATGCAGTTATCTGTTTCAGAAGTCATTACAGTGTCATGTAGATCTACTTGAATATGTTGTGTCTCTTTTGCACAGACACCCACTGCTGGCTGCTGCAGAGAACTTCACCGTGTTGATCAAAAACAGCGTCACATACCCAAAGTTCGACTTCCACGCGTCAGTGTTTTAACATACTGCTGCAAACATACAGCTTTACCGTGAAGGTATATTAATCTCACCTTTATTTCTTACAGGAGAAACATACTGACACATATGAACTCCTCTTACCTCAAGAGATGTGAATTTAATCGTACAACAGACCCTCACTGCCCCATATTCCGACTTAAACACATGATTTCAGAGGCTGGAGAGGAGTTTCAAGACATGGCCACAAAGGTACATGCAGACTACAAACTCATGATCCTTCAGGTCAAATAATAGGATGATGAACAAATCTTGAAGGTGATTGTTGTAATCCTTGTTTTTACAAAGGGTGGTATCCTCGGGATTGTGATTGACTGGAGCTGCGACCTGGACAGGTGGGCAAAGAAGTGCCTCCCAAAGTACAGCTTCCGCAGACTGGACAACAAAAATCCTGTCAATAATGTTGCCCCTGGATACAACTTCAGGTGAGAACCACAAACAGCACATAGTAAAGGCTTGTTATTTGATTAACTGAACTAAAGAAACAAACATTAAACCTCTTCTTTCAGGTTTGCAAAATACTATATGACCCCAGACGGAGTGGAAACTAGAACTTTGATTAAAGCGTACGGGATCCGGTTTGACATCCTTGTGTTTGGAACTGTGAGACCTGAATAAAACATCTTAAAATGAGTCAATCAGTCACATTTAAATGCTTTTTACTCTTTAATAACAGTGGCGATCTCCTTTCTTCATTTGCAGGCAGGGAAGTTTGGGATTGTACCAACCCTTGTGAGCTTAGGTGCTGGATTGTCATTTCTTACTTTGGTGAGTTGATTTTTCTGCTCCTCCTTTCGACGTATTTCATTATAGAAAGCTATTTTTTGACATTCTATTATTTTCCCTACAGGTTCCTTATGTGGCTGATGCATTTATGTTGACATGTGTGAAAAAAAGGCAACTCTACAACAGACGCAAAGTTGAATATCTTGTTGAGGATGCTGACACTGAAGAAGTAAGAGACTCATCTTCTAGTTTATATTTAACAATCAGTCCTGATTGAATTATTTTCTTCCATTTTCTTTATGTTTTTATCAAACAGATACCAATGGGCACTACATATGGAACTCAGTAACATGGTCACATCATCGTGGGAACACTCTTTGGAGATTGATGTGAATAATTCCTGTTATGAATAGATACCTTCAATGACATATAAATTCACCAAAAAGGACTTACAATTTAGGGGAGACTGGGGATGGTTGTTACACTCCTAATTCTTAAGTAGATCATTCATGATCAGCACTAGATAGAGGATACATGATGCTGATATCACACTGTTTTATAGTATATTTTGGCATTTGACAAAATACAACAATTTATTGATAATGCCAAAAAGTAAAGAACAAAATTATTGAACTTGAGTGATAATTTCATCAAATGAATTTAATGCTAAATATTTGGTTGGGTTTAATATTGCCACAAGGGATTTCGTATTTTTGGTTCAGCAATCTGTAATTTAAATGGAAACACAATTCAGTCAGTGTTTAAATTTTGATTTTCTTTTAATGGGTGATGAAAAAATGAATTTACAATAAAGAAAAAGGGTCAGGGTAAAATCAGCCTGACAAGCTCTGAGGCTGACGTGATGCTGATTATCACCAAACCAAAAATCAAGCTGATTAATTGGCCTGCCAACTAATCGATCAGGTTTTAGTTTATTTAAAAAAAGAAGAAAAAAACAAATCAATTCTTTTTTTTTTCAAGCAAGACACATAAATACTTTCAAATTCCTTCTAACCACCCTGTCATTTCTGTATGTTGGATTAATCCTCTGTAAAAGAAAATGAAGGTGTTTGTTGTAGCAGAAGAGTCAAGGTTGCAAAATAAAGAATAAATTTGTTGATAAAACTATCCATTATGTGGAAGAATTTGTGTACATGAGACTGTGTAATTGGTTTCACTGAAAAAATAAAATACTAAAAGACTCCTGAATCATAAAGACAGCCTTAAAATAGCTGACATTATTTTGAATTTGAATTTATTAAAGGATAGCTCCTTGAGATGTAGCATCTCATTATCAAGGGGGTCCCTAAACAAACATACATAGACCTCAGGACACCTATAATACATTAACATACATGACATATAACAAATACAGACATCTTGCTCAGCCTACTCCCACACACAACCCCAACTAACATACGCCTAACATACAAAACAGACAAAATCTATTAAGAAGGATAAATAATGTGAACATTAAAAACAAAAAAGTAGAGAAAATAAATCAGAAACAAGAGCAATTTGTTTTGAGATGAGAGTATAGTGCCATTCTAAAGTGATTAAAAAGTCATAGAAAGAGGTAGGTTATTCCATTCTGATGGAGTTTTATACTAAAAAGATCTTTTACCAACTTCTTTAATATTCTTTAATAAGTCAAACTTCTCAGACCAGTGTAGATGTTATTGTACCTGCGCTGCAGGATGTTTCCTCCACACCGCTAGGGGGCAGCAGCGCCGCAGCTCCAACACCACCAAAGGAAGAAGCTTCAGTCTGCTAGCAAACAACAGAGAGGCACAGCAGGAGCGGTGGAAACACCGACATCAAACTTGATACCACTGCTTTCATGACTTATTTCCTGAATTAGTGGGTTTAATTATTAATCTCGGTGTTCGTCGAGCTGCCTAGTCTTATAAGCGGAAACCCCTCCAGAATAGGAGTTTTTCCTGTTAGCCGGAGAGCTAAAGTTGAAGAGAGCAGCTGGTTGGTCTCAGTTAGCATCGATGAGGAAGACCAACCCCGGCGGCTTCAATGCTGTAAACAAGAGTCTCCAGCTGCTCCTGAGTTAGCCATCTGGCCTCCAGGTTAGAAAGACTTGTGCAGAATGACAGGTAAGTGCTCTGGGTGGACTTATGAAGCTGTCATACTTTATTCCCACCTCGTTCTTTTACAGTAAAGGGATGGTAAAAGGCGTAATACACCTCGTTTTTCTGTTTTTCAGAAGATGCAGTCTTACTAAATGTACCTGTCATTCAGCAACTGTATCACTGGGACTGTGGGTTAGCCTGCTCTAGGATGGTCCTGAAGTAAGTACACAAGAAAGTAGAAGTCTATTTTGGTTTGTGTGTCTGTGAACTGCTTCATAGCCTATAGGGTAGAGTGGGGTAAGTTAAGCCAAAGAAATTGATCATGTGACCAAATATTTAGGAGATGGGCATCAGTTCATGGAGTCTGTGAAGGTTAGAAGCACATGAGTGAGGGGGTTAGACATTTATTTACAAAAAAAAGGGAACATTTTTCTCTCAAACATCTGCCTTGATGTATTGATCCAAAATATGAAAAATGGCTCATCTTACCCCACTCTCCCCTATATAGAGAAAACCCAGAATAACTGTCCTTAAATGTCCACTTTCTCAGGTACCTCCACCCTGTCAGTGATGAAGAGTTTCAGAGAGCCTGCTGGGACCTGAAACTGACAGAGAGTGTGTGGACTATAGACCTGGCCTACCTCATGTGCCATCTAGGGATCAAACACTGCTTTTGTACCCAGACTCTGGGTGTTGATAAAGGCTTCAGGAACCAGGTACTTTTCTTTTGTATGCTAATAAGTACTATTCTGCTCTGATTGGGAGTTATCTAAGCCTCTGTTCATGTCTCTGGCTTTGGTTTTCAGTCTTTCTACAAGAAACATTTTGACACTGAAGAAGACAGAGTAAATGAGCTTTTCCTGAAAGCAGAAAGCAAAGGTGTGGTCGTCAAGAAATGGTAAGGTTTCTGTTATTTATCACTTCCTGAACAAGCTTACTGTGTTTACCTCAGAGCAAACACACTAAACACTTACGTATTTGTTGGTGTCTTTTCGCAGCTCTGTGACAGTCCAGGAAATCCAGTCTCATCTGGACCAAGGCCACGTCGCTATAGTGCTGGTCAACGCTGTGGTCTTGACATGCGAACTCTGCTCCTCTCCTGTCAAATACTGCTGCTTCTTACCCGTGGGCCAGAAGTGTTTCTGCAGAAAGCCTGAGTACCAGGGTCACTTTGTGGTAGTGTGCGGCTTTAGCAGGACTACTGGTTGTATTTTCTACAACAATCCTGCATATTCTGACCGTGAGTACTTAGAAACTTACTACATGTTTACAAAAGTACAAGGACAATAAGAAAGTTTCAGTTTAAACCAGAATTTACAGATTAAATGTCCCAATTCTTCAAATATGTGTTAGCCATTTCATTCAGAAGAGGAAGTCTTTCTACTATGTTGTAAAAAAAAAAAGGATCTAAACTCCATCGCTGCTTACATTTTATGACAGGCTGCAGATACGTGTCAGCCTTCTCATAAATCATAAATGCTCATAAATCATTATGATACAGGCTTGTAGGATACAAACTGAGTGGAATGATTGCCCAGAATTCTGCAGCTCAATATGTGGCTGATAAGACAATCTAAAGTTTGCGAGCATAATCCTACACTTTGTTGCACTTTGATCTGATTTAATGATTGAGTTAAATTGAGTCCCCATCATGGGAAGGGACAGAGTAAATAATCATAAATGAAACTGTAATTCTCTTTGTAGTCCAGCTCTCAACTGATAGGATAGAGATGATTTTTGCAGGTATATACTGGTGGCAGCAATAGATGAGCAGAAAAAGATAAAAAACCTATCAACAAACTCGTCTTTGTCATCTTCAGTATTCAGGCTTTTTTATTTAAAAGGGATATTCCGGCGCAAAATTGATTCAGGATCAAAAACACTGTAACACAGAGTTAGACACCCCAGCGAGAGATGAATGTTGACGACTGCTAGCTTCTCTAGTTATACCAACTTTAGTAACGACCGCAGGATAGCCTGGCCTGAGGTCTCGCTACAAACAAGCGGCTGCTGGAAGAGAGTAGGTGAGTTGTGTTTAGTCTCTTTGCTAAAGAAATTAGGCAAAGTTAAAAAGATGTTTGGCAGCTAGAACTATGGCTGGGACCCTGTATGTACTGTTGATGAAGTTAGGTGCTGTTCTTAGCATTATTTGTGGCTATAGAGTGGCGTTTTGGTTGAGGGCGTGGCTCTCTGTGTTGCTGTTTGTGGTCATTACTCAAGTTGGTATAACTAGAGACACAAGCGGTCGGCAACATTCTTCTCTCTAGGGGGTGTCTAACTCTGTGTTACGGTGTGTTTGACCTAAAATTAATTTTATGTCGGAATATCCCTTTAATTCTGAGCATAAAATTAAACCAAAACTGTTCAATATTTCACTCAAAAACTCCAGAAATGGGGACATGGCTGACAGATGTGAATGTGTCTTTGTGTTGTGGACTTTTCAGGAGTCTGCTGCACCAGCATCGGCAACTTCGAGGAGGCTCGTCGGAGCTACGGGACAGATGAGGACGTCCTGTTTGTCTTCAAGGAGAGTTGATTAAAAGGGAGGTTGGACTTGGATATCACTTCTCAGATCATCATTTTAGCGCTACGATGCTGCCGGTCCACGGTAATGGATCAGTGACTCTCCCATAGTCGGTTGTCGCCTGGGCCATCCTCTCTGGTGCTAATAGGCCCTCCCCCCTTAATTAAGAGACACATTGCTGCAGCATCACTGCTCGTAAACAGTCAATACTCCTCTACTCCAGAAGAATTGACAGCAGGGAGGTCCAGTAATCTCAGCTGATATTTTTTATTTCTCTCTTGAGGTGGACAAATAGCAAATGTAACTTTTTAGGGTTGCTGATGAATTTTAATTTCTGTTATGGCTCATATATCGGAGCCATTGAAATCTCAAACTAAGAATGGATGAAATGTGGGAATCATGACTCAAAATAGATTGACTGAGGAATAGTGTACACAGAAATCAAGATCAGAGACGGAAAAACTTTACTTGTGCTGTGTTTTTGGAGTCCCAAGAGGCTCATCATCCACCTGCCTCACCTTCACATGCCTTTAAAAACACTCTTCGCTCACCTTTCTGTCCCTTTTTTTCCTGACTATCCAGAGACAGGGAATACAAAGAGTTGTCTTTTGAGAGTCTCAGGTAATTTATGCCCAAAAGTGTGACATGTACATCAAATGACAAAACTAGTTCAATGCAATAGTCCGTCGTCTGCCTGTGGAGGGCAGAAGAAAGGACGCTGGATGAGAATCTTAAAACGTGACTTAAGAGGTTTTTATTTACTGCACTGAATAAAGGGCAGCCTCCCATCCTTTGCTCTGTTGTCGTGGCAACATGCAGCATAGATAAATTGAGTGCTTTGTTAGTTTTGATCATATTGCAGAAAAAAAAAGGAATAATTTTGACTTAATCATGCTCTCAGTTCAAAGTGGTAAAAAAACAGGTAAATAACTCAGTGTCCCTCACTTTTATATTATTTTTTTTTAATTATGGTATTATGTATCTGTTTTTGCACTACATTTTCAAACCAGACAGAATTGTATACTATTTAAATTTAACATTTTACCATGAAATGACTTCCTTGAATATACTACGTGATTTCGTACTGGTTGTGCTTTTGGAAGATAGCAAACAGCACATATTGAACCGCAAACTTTATTTTTTATTCAGCATAGAGCTCCATTTATGAGATGTTCTGATTAAAGAATTTGAACATTTGCTCCATCCTTGTCGTTTTTGTGTGATACAGAATTATTCAATGAGGTTGTGATTCTGTTATCTCATATTTATTTCTTTGAGGATCTACTCCTTGACTATCTTAGGTTTGAAGTCAGGTCTAACTGCTTTGGTAAGCTCCTCTGCGTACTCAGCATACCGACCAGTCATCTGCAAACAAAGGAAAAGACAATTACAACCTTCAGGAGAACCGACTGACCCCGTCTGTCTACCGCAAATCTCTCCAACATATCAATCACTGCAGGACCAAACATGTAACCAGTATTTAAGTGAGAAGCTGCTGGTGTTAAACCCAGTTCTACTGACCTTAAAGCTCCATTTGTCACTGATTTGTCTGTTCAGGTTCAGATCTAAGTCAACCACGAGTAATCCGTCACTAGTCCTGGAGAGCCCAGGTGTCCGGCTGCCGTCAGGAGCAGCTATATAACTGGACCCGTAGAAGTGTCCGAAGTCATGATGAGCTGGGAAAGTCAGGAGAGATAATTGAAACTTTGTGCTGACAAAATTCACCGTGCACGCTCCAAAGTGAAGAAAAACTAAATCTCTCATACCCTTTTTTCCATCACCGGACGTGAATTCACTTTTGAAATGTTCCTGTGTGAAATACAGAAATGCAGAGTCACACACACACACAGTGATGATAGTTCAGGAGGTACTTCAGGTATACTAGTTACCACGGATTTATCTCTAATTCGTGCTTCTTTGCTTTATTTGCAAAACTTTAGTAGCACTTCAAAAACTAATCATGAAAGTCTGCTTTTCCTCCAGATTTAATGTAAATATTTGTAAAGGTCTGCACGTGATTTTTAATTTGATTTGATTCTGTTTATTTCGAATATGCAAGAGCAAGTAAATAAAAACCAAACAATGAAAATAATATAATATATATATATATGTTCGAAAAGGAGTGGGAAGAAGTAATACTTAAAAGGTCCCACCCCTTCTCCTTAAATAACTTGCAACAATCTTTGGCCTTATTGACCTGTTTAGACACTCATGCTGTCGTCACCACTAGATTAATTACACACTAATGGAGACTCTATCTCTACACATACATAAATACATACATTTATGCACAACACAGTAAACCCCTGAACACATAGTGCTACCAATAACACCTTCATCCCTGTAGCTTTTGAAAATAGTGTCTTTATAGTTCATTTTAAACTGCTTCAAGTTTGGACGATGCTTCAACTCTGTTGCAAACTTGTTCCAAAGTCTCACCCCGCTGACTGAAACACAAAAACTTTTCCTGTTTTTACGAAATACGTTTAAATTAAAGTTACTCTTTCCCCGTATATTGTAGATCCCCTCATGAATACTAAATAATTCCAGTATTTTTAGCACTTGAGTGTGAAGGCATAATTCTGTTATTATTTCAGTGTTGGACTTACCGTTCCGACACGGTTGATAGCACAGGTGAAACAGTGGTTTGCTATGGCAGCGTTCCTGGCCTCTATGGGCCACATGGGCTCACTGCAAGGAGGAAAATATACTTTAACAGAATTTGAACTGTTCAAACAGTATATAACAACAGAAAAAGGTAGCAGCACTGATATTTCAGCGTCTGTTACTCTGGCAGAAGGTTCTGTAGCATCCGCTGCAGAACAGCCACATTCACAAACTGTTTCTTCCCCCCTGCTATCAGACTGCTAAATGCCAAATGACCCTCCATATAACCCCCCACTCCCACCCTGCTGCTCTGTGTTCCTGTTTTTACTGTTTATTATGTGTAAATAAGAACAAACATCTTTTTATATACACATTTGTTTTTATTCGACTACCACTCTACCTTCAGAAAGTGCAATATTACTCACCATATATATATATTTTCCACCAGATTTAAAAAAAAGCAGAACCAGGTGATCACTACTTCTCTTTAGCACCTTTTTGATTTCTCCTCACCTGAGAGCCCCAACGGTCGCTGAAGGATTAAAGATGATCTCCGCTCCATTCATGCTGTACATGAACCAGTTCAGAGGGTGATGGCGCCCATAACAAATATTCACAGCTATCTTCCCGAATTGTGTCTGGAACACCGTGTGGCCAGAGTCTCCCTCCATGTAATATGTGGACTGAGCGGGGGGAAAAAGTGGATGCAGCTTAATTTCACAGAAATGCAGTGAAACTTGAGTCCGGGAATTTCCCTAACTTACCTCATTAAAATCTCCAATCCTGGGAATGTGGTTCTTCCTGCTCTTTCCCAGCACAGTTCCTGAGTTTGAGATCACCACCGCAGTGTTCCACAGAGTGTTGTGCAGATCTTCTCGCTCCAGGATCGGAGAAACAACGACCATGTTGTATTTTTTAGCCAGCTAACGACAGAGAGACAGTTTTGTAAAGCTTGTGTTTCATGGTGAAGTATATCTCTGCAGAGTGTCAGACCTCTGTAGCATCACCTCTTGGCAGAAGCGTGTCGTGTTTCCTTCTTCTGCAGACTCTGCAAACTCTGTCCACGGCTCTTTCTCCCGTGTGCAGAAAGCAAAAGGCATAGCTGTGAACAACACAAGGAAACTTAACCTCTTTTGAAGTGTTGTCCGCTCATAGACTTGTAAATCTGACTCACACTAGAACTCACTCCAGGTCTCTTGAAAGCAGACGATGTTTACACCACACATAGCTGCCACCTCGACTATTTCACCAATCCGGCTGTGCATGGCGGCGACCTGTAGAAGGAGAACGGATTTATTCACAGTTACAGCTTCATCCAAGACCTGCCACAAGAAGACCCGCATGTCCTGACCTGGTCCAGTACAGGAGCATCAGTGGGCAGGACGGTGCGGTGCTGAACGAGCCCGACGCGGATCCTCCTGGGGGGTCTTAGTTGTTCCTGTGCAGCTTCAAACCTGTACCCCTTCAGCTCAAAGCTGTGCTCTAAAGCAGCTTCCACAGCACACTCAGGGAGGTCCAGCTTCCTGCAGCAGAGATCAGAATCAGAATCAGAAATACTTTAATAATCTAGGGGGAAATTGCTTTTGTCACAGTAACTCCGGTGCAAATACAGTAAAAAGAGGAGATAAATAATAGATAAATAAGTAAAAATAAAGAGGTAATATACAAGAATTTACACTATATACAATACAAATCATAACGTAATCGTATGCATGTATAACAGTGAGCAGAGTCCAGGTAAAGACTCCTGACTGAGGGTGTCAGAGTCTCTGAGGGAGGAGTTAAAAAGTCTGATGACCACCGGCAGGAAAGATTTCCTGTGGCGCTCCGTGGTGCATCGTGGAGTGAGGAGCCTCCTGCTGAAGGTGTTCCTCCTCTGCAGGACCAGTTTACTGTGGAGAGGGTGGGAGACATTGTCCAGTATGGAGTGGAGCTTGGACAGCATCCTCCTCTCTGATACGGCCAGCTGGGAGTCCAGCTCCACCCCCACAACATCACCGACCTTTTTGAGCAGTAAGATGATTTTTACACGACAGGAAGAAACCCTTGTTTATACTTTACAGTTAAAGAAATTTTTGTCTGATTAATGTGCAACCGGAGTAGGAACTATGTTACAAGCTATCGAAGAAGTGCACGCAGTAGCCTAAGTTTTCAGTAGGGATGCACTGATCTGGTATTTGAATCAGATATCGGCTCCGATATTGACGAATTCACTGGATCGGATATCGGATGAATGATGCCGATCCAGTCTTTTTCTTTTTTATTTAATTTTTCTTTTAATACACAGAAGTCTTACTTCTTTTTGCTGTGTGCTAATGTGCACTTTGTTATTTTATGGTTATAAATAATATTAAGTAAATTTATATCTGTGTTAACTTGTTACCTTTTTTTAACAAGGCTAATGGGCTAATGCACAGGGCAAGGTATACAGTTAATTTATTCAACAGTAGTATTGGATCGGTGTCAGATATCGGCCGATACACTCATCCCAGGTATTGGATAGTTTTCAGTAGTTTTTGGTATTTTATTGACAAAGACAACAAAATGAGTAAAAATAAATAAATATTCTTTATCATGAAAACAATTGTGATTGCAGTTTTTTATATAATCAAGTAGCCTACAATTATTAATGTGACTGTCTGATAAACAAAAGTGTAGACAGAGGTTATCTGAAGAGGGCTTAGTGAACATTTCAAGAAAAATAAGTTGAAACAGCACAGTAAATATTTATCAAATGGAGCAGATCACATTTTCACTAAGGCTTTAAAGGGCCTCCTTTACTGAGAGATGGGAACTTGTGGTACCTTAATTGATGCAATGACGGTTTATATTAATGGTGTGAGTACTTACTATCCGTATCAAAATACTGTCGTCCTGCCTCTGACTAGAATCTGTGCCTATAAATCTGTATTTTGGAGCTTTGTTGTTGATTTGAGATGATTACTATGATTATTCTCTTTGACTTAATCCTCCATTATCTGTGGATGTTTGTAAAAATACACATACAGCTGAAAAAATGAAATAAATGTTTTGTATTGATATGTATACACTGTATTGTTGTGGTAAAAAATTTAATTAAAAAAAAAAAAAAAAAACAGCAGAGCAAATAACCTACACCAGTGTAATAGGTGAAAAATCGCCTCTCTTTAAGCAGGTTAAAGGTTAAATGTGCTGCTGCTCACTGAAGGTCTGGTAGAAGAGACTGAAGTCCATCCTGCAGAACAATCATTTACCAGGGACAGTTTTTGACAGAAATGCATGGGTGAAGTAAAGACACAAAGTTAAAAAATCTTTCACTGAAACTCACTGAGTCTCCTTCCCGAACAGGATCCGTTTGACCTCCCTGAGCTCGGACTCCGGTAGATGAGACTCCAGACTTTTCTCCAGAGACTCAAACTCACAGGAAGACATTTCGGCGCTTTCTTCGGATTTGCAGCTTCACGAAGGTTCGGCTCAGCGTGTGCAGGTTGGGCTGTGGGTCAGAGTCGGTTATATATTTGAGACTACACTCGTTATGTAAGGCTGTATGTTTTCAGGTACGAGCCTTTCGCAAACCAGGATTTGGGGAGGACGAGCCTAATGTCTGTCTGTCTGCTGTTTCGGGGCGGATACTAAAGTCATTCATTAACCCTGTACTGGCTGGACCCAGACTGAGAACCCGCGCACACGTGCGTAATGTCACTCCATATATCCATAAGTTACAAGTAGGAAGTCCTGCACGAGCGAAACATACAAGTTGGGCAAAGTGGGCGTGGCCTTTAGGCTGCGTAATAGAACCAAGTTTACTCAATAAGGCTAATACAGGTCACAGGTATACCTGTATCTCCTGTGTTCAGTCAATATAACATGAAAATTGCTCTCTGGAGGTTTTTCTGGTGATTGAAATGAATAAGGTTTCTCTCTTCATCTAGGAAATAATATTCATTTTCAGTTAACTGTGGTAAAAATCAAAATTATGTAGCCACAAAAATAAACAAAGCACAACAGTAGCACAGTTTAAAAGTAAATTAAAGCAGAGAATGATTGAAAAATACTTATATAAGTGATTTTAATTTTGCCACATTTATTATAGTGTATGGGTATGGTATGGTACAAATGAGAGATTTGAAGTTATCTAGGTATGTATATAAAGTGTATATTTGTGTGTGTATATTCGTGTATATAGGTATGTATATATGTATACATAAGGTCTTTGTTTCAGTATTAATGATTTGTTACATATTCATGTTAGACTTTGGAGCTTTGGTTACTTTTTGGCAACTTCAGAAATCCTAAAATTCTAGAGACATGTAAAAGGTCAACGAATAGGAAGGAATGAGGGTAGGTACAAATAAGCTAGATCGCTTCTACCTGCTCCTTTTCAATCTCCAAGAATAGGGAATTTCTTGTCTAAAATTGTACTGTATGTATATTTGATCGAATAGACAATATCTCTCTTAAAGCAAATATGAGATAAAACTATCTTTTTTATCAAAACATTTACATGTTTATTATATCCTCTGAAGTGTCAAATATCTTTAAAATATCTTCTAATACAGTGGTTCTCAACTGGTCTCACTCTGGGATCCACATTTTCCCACGGTCCTTAAGTCGCGACCCACTTTTATAGAATTCCAACTAAGCAAATTAACCTTTAAACAAATCAACCTTTAAAGACTCTAATCTTTAACATAAATCCACTTATTTTATTGAGTACAGTGCATTTCAGAGCACCTGAAGGTGACAACATGAGGATGACAACTACTGAAGTTGCATATACAGAAAATATCAAATATCTAATAAACATCGTATTAAGTATTTACGTTTTTGTTAAGAGCCAGAGTTGAGAACCATTGTTCTAATACACAATATGACAGGCTCAATTAATAGGAGTCCAAAAAAAAAAGAAAATAAAACCTTTATTAGGTAAGTTGTTTTATCAAATGCATTTAAAATAGTGTTTGTTTAGATCAAGTTTCATGAAATAAAGTGTTAATACATCAGGCTTAGTGTTGGGTTCTTGCAGAAATCAGACCTCTGACATTAAGGTGCATTAAAATATTTTCATTTGTGGCTTGTTTTGTTTGTTAAGATGTTTCTGCTCCTGGTTTGGCCTCTTCTGCTCTTTCTGTCCCTCACAGTGTCGGGGTTTGAGAGTTTCCTCAGCAGCTCTGCAACAGGAGTTCAAGTTGTAAAAATCAGTTCGGCCAACAGGAGGTCTCCAAGGGCCACTTTAGGTCTTCTAGCTGCTCAAAGCTCTCAAGTGTCATTCCTTTAATGATAGTTTAGTTACCTGTTAGTTCAGGGTGACTCTGACTGAAGTTGTTCAAAAGAGACACATACTTCACCCCTTCAGACTCAGGGTCTCCTGAAGGGAAGCAAATCAAACTGGTGAATAAGAAACACTGACTAAACATATACAAATACACATATACAGTATATCTTGTTTAGTCAAAAGTTCAACTTCTACCTGATTTCACGATTTTGTCAACCTTCCACCACTCTTGACTTATGTTGTGTATGTACTGTCATCAGATCTGCTAAATTCAGAGTTGTTAAAGGGAAATCATGATGAACTTACTGCAAACTCGCAGCAGGATGTAATATTGTCTCTCCACCAGCACACTGCTGGCCAGATCCAGACTGTGCTGCTTCCTCTCCAGATTCATCACTTTACCACTGCTGTCCAGCAAATCCACAATTTCTGCAAGAGGAAATCACTTTGCATTAGCGCAGCAGTTGCAAACATGTCCCCGCTGTGACTTTCTTATAAATCTACAGTATGATGCTTCAAAGTCATAGGCTCATTACGCTGCCATTATTCTCTATATTGATTTTAATAACAGAAAATTAAAGACTAAGAACTTTCAACTAAGAACTACAGAAAGATAAATACCATTAAAGTCCAGGCAGCACTTCTCCTTTAAAAAATGGATGAAGTTGATCAATTTACAGTTCAGATTGAACATTTCCATCTTGCCATCTGTCAGGGCAAAGACCAGCGAAAACATCGGTTAGATACAACAAACTTACATGGATTCTAGTCAAAAGCAAAGTAAAAAATCAACATTTTAAGTCATTTACCTCCAAACAAGATGGTGACAAACATTTCTGGTCCTGACTGCAGTTGAGCTCCTCTGGTTCTCCCACTAAAGTGAGTTCAGAACACCCAAGCAAGATGGATTGGGTACGAGTTGCAACAAAAGGGGGCTGTTAAATCTGAATTGTGGGCCACGCTTTGCAACAAAAACTTGGCTCTGGGGGTTTGGATGCACACACACACACACACACACACACACACACACACACACCCTCTTTGCATCTTTTCAAAGCTGCTGCCTTTAAACGAGGGGACACTTGTATCCATGGAGTCTCTACACACAGACAGACTGGCACTGGCACTTTATAGATGTTCAGCAATGATGTCAAGACTGACTAGTAAAAGGACAGGAAAAGGACCGTCAAAACACTATAACTGAGTCTGAGGAAATACCTTAAAAGTCTAGAATTAGCAAAGATTAAGTAGAAATAAAGTAGTTTATCCTTCCTCCTGTGTTAGCTTTTACCACGCACCCACTATGTTAAGGGTCGGTTTTGACCCGTGTCTTAAATCAGCTGTAAATTACACTAAAAACAATTCTCTATCATCCAATTTTGTCCTCATCTCTAGGTTAACTTGTTCGGCTTCATTATCCATGAAAATATTGCTTATAATATTTTTTGTTGTGGTCCTCTGGGCCTTTCTTTGTCAGTATACCCCTCACACAGACATCTATACTGAACTGATCTCACATGTCTGGACACATGTTGTTTTTTGTGTAGGGAAAAACATGGCAAATGAGAATTTTCTAAATCTTACATGATTGGAAAAGGATCTGACTGTCAGTTTGGTGCCTGACAGTGCACTTATGATTTTAGATTTTGCTCTAATTATTAGATATTAATCTAACCGGGTCAACAGACCCTAACATGACAAGTGTCATAATTTGAATAAGAGCATTTTATAATTGAGAAAATTAAATTTATGTGGTTCTTTAAAACATTTAAAAACAGGTCGGTACAGACCCTAACACAGGAGGAGGGTTATGGAAGTTTCTGCTTGTTGATTATCACAGTCACTGTTTTAGTTTACTATCACTGAGGTAAAAAGTAACCATACTCTCCTGCTGCTCTGTAAATGTCAATCTTGACTCATCAGATTTGAATGATCGACTTTCTTCGATAATAGCTGATAACTTGTTTGTCTGCTGTCGGTGCCAAGAAGGTAGTGTGCTGAAGGTTTGTGCTTCCTGCTCCACAGTCGAGTTGCATATAGATCGTAAAACTACGACAGAGTCAAGTTCACAGATTTAAGTATTCTCAATGATGAGCTCAAACATGTCTCTGTGTTTTCTATCTGGTCTTTCCACTAAGCTCGACCATCCAGCTTCTACCAAAGAATTACACAAGACCGAAATCTATCAACTTTTCTTTTTTCCTTTTCCAAAGAAAATATTGAAAAAGCAAAACCTCCAAGAGGATTACATTTGAACACACAGGCACTGTGGTGGTTCTTTCACAAGGACTGATGAGTGTTCTCAGAGTTTGAATCATTTATAACCTTGATATGACCGAGCTGTTGCCACACAGGACAGCAGAGGAGCACGAGGACTCAGGAGGTCTCTGCGGAGAACTTTGTCCCCGAAGGGAAGCTTTAAAAAGAAGTGATCCTATGCCCTGTAACCTGAACTAACAGGGGAATTATGATAAAAGATGGGAAAACAGAGAACTTCAAAGATGCTTCACTTATAATTCCCAGAATAAGCAAACTAGATCTGTCCGTCCTTAAAGCCTCCCAATCTGATATGAAGATGACTCTGCATGGACACAGTGAACAGCGGCTGCTCTTTACTGGACGCCTTTGTGGCTGTCGCTGAATAAAAATACAGTAATAAAAGTTTAAAAATGTGTGAAGGGTTTATTTTAAGACAGATTTTTACAAAAGGGAATAAGTGCAGTGGATTCAAGATATTTACTTTTTAAAGAAGAAGAATTATCAGCATTTACATTCATCCATAAATCCATCCCAGCAGTCCACAGTTACAATTGTATGACTTAAATAAGCGCACAGTCAAGTCACAAAGGCACAACATTTCAACTTTGCAGAGTTTCCTTTTAAAAGGGGCAAAAATGACGTAGAGGCCAAATCAATCAATCTGTCTTTATTTATATAGTGTCAATTCACAATAAGTGTTAACCTGAGATGCTTGGAAAAAAAAAACTGGTCTTGACCAAACTCTGTTTACAAAGAGCCAATGTAAAGACAGGATCCCACTGAGCATTTTTTGGTCTAAAGAGGTCTAATAGACGTCTAAATGTAGCCAAGACAACTGGTCTAAAATCAGGCTACCACAGGTCTAAAAATTAAAGTTTTTTAGACGTCTAAATTTAGACCTAGTTCAGACTCGCCGGCTAACAGAGGTCTAACTTTATATTGCTCAACGGTTATCATAATTATTTTTTTAAGTACTTGGAGATCAGTTTTGTAACTCATAGTTGCTTTTTGAAATAAATGGTTATCAAATAATGGGTTAAAGTGCAACGTCTAAATTTCGTCTAAAAATACGCAGTCTAGACGGTTAAAATTAGGTCTGAAAAAACTAGACGTCTAGAAGCTGTCTATTACCCATCTTAAACCACATGAGTGAAAAACTTTGCAGCATTCAGTAAGTTACAGTAAAGAGGAAGAACTTCCTTTAACAGGCAGAAACCCTGAGCAGAACCAGACTCACGTTGGACAGCCATCTACTGCTACTGCATTGGGTGAAGAGAGGGAGATGCAGAGAGAGGAATTGGAAATTTCTAAATTGGAGACATTTTGGGGCAGAAGAAAGACAAAAACAAACAAAGTTTAATAAGAATGGTCTTTGTTGAGCTGATCGGTGAAAACCAGAATTTGATGGTTTAAAGTTCATCAGAACTTTTACAGTGAGTTTAAACCCTTGCCTTTTCTTCAGATTTGATGTCATGGCTGCAGATTCATTCAAAGTGCTCTGGTCTTGGTCTAGCACATCCCCTTTGGTCCAATAACAGAGAAATAAGACGTAAAGTGTGAGTTTAAATTAACCTGAATTAAATAACTCCTCAGAGTCCCTTGTGTTGAAAAGGCTCAGTGATATGCTCTTTGTCTGTTTACAGTGTTTTCCTTCCCATCGCAGCTCCTTTCACTCCTTTTACAGAGGTGATACAGGCGTTTTATTGAAGAATGACTAAGTGTGAGTCCACATACACGTGTGTCAGGACACTTTCTCCAGCTCGCTGAAGCCGCTCTTTTTTATCCGCTTGTTTAACAGTGACGCGAGCTGAGCCGAGCTGAGATTCTCTTTGCCCTTATCCTCCACAGATTCTGGTCCAGCACAGTCCCGCTGCTGCTGCTGCTGCTCCGTGAAGTCCAGATGATCACCAATGGGGAACTGAGTCTGTCTGAGGGCGTGCAACGGACAGTGGGAAATAACCACCGATAGAGGAGGGTGGGATACCGCCACCAGGCCGCCCCCTACATGAGAGATGTGAGCGGGGCCGCTCTCGCTGCTGTTGCTGCTGTGATCGGTGAAAAGGTCGATACTGAGGCTGTTCGCTTTGAGTCTGATGGAGTCAGTGATGCTGTTGTAAGTGGAGCTGCGCACTCTCCCGTCCCTATCAAACCGCTCCTGACGGCCCAGGATGTTGCGCCAGATAATCCTTCTGAAGGTTTGCCTGAACTCCCTAATGCGGTAGGCGTAGATGAAGGGGTTGATCACAGAGTTGGTGTGGGAGAGAATAATAGCCACGTACATGATCCAAGCAGGAGGACGTGCACACTGCGGACAGAAGAGGGTGAAGCAGTTGATGATGTGCAAAGGAAGCCAGCAGACCGCAAACAACCCCACAATGATGGCCAGAGACTTCGCAGCCTGGACCTCTTTCTGCAGCGTGGAGCGCGACTTCTCTCCATGAAGGGCTTTCACCTCCATCAGTTTGAGCTGGTGACGGGCCGCCATGAAGATGCACAGGTAGATGGCCAGCATCAGCAGCAGGGGAATCAGTACACAGCCAAAAAAGTTAAAGTACACCATGTAATCCATGACCACCACCTCCTCAAACAGGCACTTGACCAGGTTTGGAGGACAGGTTTTCTTGTCACTCTCGGTCAGCTTGTGCCAGCCCATCATGGGGGTCAGACCGATGATGATGGAGAGAACCCAGCAGATGGCGATGATGCCTCGAGCCCGCTCTCCTGTCACCAAGCTGTTGTACCTGAGGAAGGAGACATTATGCATCAAATATCATCTTCAACAACCACTGGTGCAGCCACAGGTAGAGCGAGAAGAGATGTGTGTTAGTAAAGCAGAGGGGCGAGGTGAGCATGAGGAGAGAGGCTGTCATAATTATGAGCAGATAGCCAATGAGGGTCGGGCTTTACTATGAAAGAGGATTAGGGCCACAAGAAAAGAAAAATTAAGAGAAGATTTTTCATTTCTGTTTCGAGATTAAAGTCAGAATTTTAAAAAGTCGAAATTTCAAATATATTCATGTTGATTTTAATCTCAATTTTAAATTTTTTTAATCTTGAAATTTCAACATTATTCATGACATTTCGACTTCTTGTAATCTCGAAATTTCCAATTTAATCTCAAAATTTCCAATTTTAATCTCAAAATTTCGACTTTAATCTAAAATTTTAATTTTTTTAATCTTAAAATTTCAACATTATTCATGACATTTCAACATTTTGTAATCTTGAAATTTTGACTTAAAATGAAATTTTGATTTTTTAATCCCAAAATTTCTTCTTCTTTGACATTATTTAAATATTTTAATCTCAAAATTTCGACTTTAATTTCTACATTTTGACTTTAATCTTCTTCCTGTAATTTTTTTTTACTTTTCATGTGGCCCTAATCCTCTTTCTTAGATAAATGAGATACATGTCTTTATTTCAACATTAAAGTCGACATGAATAAAGTGGAAATTTGGATTTTTAAATTTTTTTATTTTGACTTTAATCTCGAAATGGAAATTTAAAAAATCTTCTTCCTGTTATTAATTTGATTATTCTTCATGTGGCCCTAATCCTCTTTTGTACTTTCCAGATGTGTTTTGAACATTCAAGAATTTAAAATGTTTTAATTTAAATTCATGATATTCAGATGTTGCCAAATCAATAATTCAACCATCGAAATCATGTGATTATAATATCTCCACAATCGAGCAGCCCTACAGAGTATTAAATCCTTCTTCATAAGAATTTCATGAGGTTTTCTTTAACTCATAATTTGCTCAGAAGTGCCTTTTCATCCCGGAACTAAAAGAGAAAAGGATAAACAAACAAAGTCTTTCAGGGTTCCTCAAAGGAAGCGTCTATTTTGAGTGCGCCTGTAGCGCAGTGTGGGAGAGCAGCTGACATATTTGGCTCGTTTCGATCACATTCTTGAGATGTTAAAGTGCAGAGGTTAATGCTGCAAAAACAACACTGAGAAAATCTCACGTACTGTCTGCATTAGGAGAGGTTTGACTCCCCGAATCAGGAGAATCGAGCTCAAAGTGACTCAGAGATTTGGTCCGTTACCATGGTGACGCCACAAAGTGAGCCGCAGCGCTTCTCAGCCTTTCACTTTATGGCGTACATGTCTGCACATACACTAAGCAGATTGAAATGCTTAATCTAAGTGGACATTTTACATCAACAGTCTAATGGTCTCTGTGTTTTTCCAGTGAAGTAATAAAGTTAGATTACACCGGGGGGTTATGAGGGGTTCACAGAGTCTGTGTAAGCAATTAGAGCGAGATTTGTTTAAATGCTCCAGGGGGACACAGCCTCGTGGGAGACGCCATTTCTGGACAAAACCATTTAGCCAAGAAGTTTTGGTTCAAATGTCACATCTTTACTGACAGAAAAATGAAAAATTGAGTTATAGCGAGACCACCACTGGAAAGAATAAAGGCAGAGGCTGCAAAGTTTGATGCTTTTAGAGACCCACTCCAATGAAAATCATGTTTTTCTTGTTGTCTACATGTTCATTTGGCATTTTTCTGATGCTACAGGACATATCATGAGAAAACTGAGTGCGAAATTGCTTTTCAGAGTATTTCTGATTTCTAATCACTGTGAATCTCTGGCAGGTTCAGAAACAGTGAGATTTCATATGTAACCACTCCAAGCTCAGCCCCCCGAGCCCCGCTACGCAGGCCACACTCAGAAAAGTAGCTCAATCGCGGAAGAAGCGAGTGCGTTAGCAGATTGCAATGCACGTAAGAAAGCTAATTATGATATTAACTTTAATCATGTCCCTAAAGACATTAATGTCCGAGAGCTAAATAGCTTCTATGTTACCTGCTACTTCTACTACACCGGCAATGTTAGGCTACAAGCTAGCGCAAAGAGGAGTGTGTAGAATAGCGCTGTCTCCGCCCACGACTCAGAGGCGAATTGCTGATGAGCTCTGCAGGAGAAAAGTCCTTGAAAATGACACAGGTAACATGATTTTTGGTAAAAACTTCATATTTACAATTTAAAGACCACTGAGAGCACTTTAAGTAGTAAAAAAAAAAACGATCGGAGTGGAACTTTAAACAGATTTTTCTCTCTAATGATTCAAGGATCTATTTTTTTTTTCAACAAATTGAACTTTTGGTTTGCATCCTATTGACTTTAACAAATGCATAACCCTGAATAAATGAAATGAAAGCTTATTAGTCAACTCAAATTACTTAATAATATTAACACATTTACTTGGACAACTGGAAACTGATATTGGTAGATCTTGTGGAATATGAGGATATGTGACATCCATTGTTTAAATGTTCTTACTTTACATATTATAAAATGAAAGGAAGTGTAATAGACTGGAGAAAATGTTAGTCCAATTGGGCATGTTTGTTTGCTTTGTATGTAAGAAAACAATATATTGACACACTACCTCTGTAGCTGCAGGAACACTTGCTGTAAAAGACTAAAAGTCGTCTTACCTGAGTGGCAGCTTGATTGCGATGTAGCGGTCAATAGCGATGGCCAGGAGGCTGAAGATGGAGCTCTGGGTGAGGACCAGCACGAAGCAGGCGATGAACAAGCAGCCATAGAAGTTGCAGCAGAAACCGATGCTGATGACGATGGAGAAGGGAATGGCCAGCACGCCCACAGCGATGTCCGCCACCGCCAGAGACACCACGAAGAAGTTGGTGATGCTCTGCAGGTTGCTGTTGAGGCACACGGCCCAGCAGACCAGCACATTGCCCAGAACGGAGAACACAGCGATCAGCAGCTCCAGGATGATGTAGATGATGGAGGAGGCGGAGGAGTCGGACATGGTGAGACGAACGGGAAGGTCAGTGATGAGGAAGGAGGAAACCTCGCCTCAACGACCATAGCTGCAGCCTGGAACCTGCTGCGCCCAGCCTCCTCACCTCCGACACTTTCAGAAGCATCCACCAGAATCCCAAACAGCTGTTGCAACTTCTCCACACCTGCTCGCCTCAATCAGCTGGAAAAAAAGTTCATCTAACTTCAGATGGAGCTGTCATTTCTTCTATTCCACACCAAGTACACAGTCTCCTTCATTCTCTCCTGGTGGACAGCTGTCCTCTCCCCGCAGGTCCGTCCCCTCAGCAGCTTTTTCCCATGAATGTCTTGAGAGGCTGAGATGTTGCCAACAATGCACATCACTGGAACATTATGTAGCTGCAGATGAAGGGAGCAGAAGTGAAAAAGAGGAAATGTGTTTAATGAAGGAAGCTGGTTTCAACACTTCCACTTACATCAGATATGGATCGAAGCCAGAGGTGTTACGACACTTGAGAAGAATGTTGTGGTTCTCTTTCACAGAAACTTCAGATGAATTAAAAGCTGTTTTTTTGTGAACTTGTGTCGGGGTCAAAGACTAAATTTAATCAAATAAAAGAGCGTCAACCGGCCACCTTCTGCTCTGTCTGAGTGTAAAAGTGATCGAGACGGTTTCTTCTAAGATTCTTTATCAATGATTCACTGTCTCATAAAGAAGTTGCAGTTTCTGTTTCATAAATGAAGTTCTTTCTTTTGCTGCTAATTTTATGCCTCTGATTAGACCATGGTGATATCTATATTTGTATGTGTCATATCAATGGTTGCAGTTTCAAAAGACTGTTTCACTTTGAAGCTTTGAGCTTCATCACAAAGTCTCTTACTTATGCTCAAGTTGGCTGGCCTGCGTAGACTAAATCACGGGGATATCCTTATTTATGATGTTCTAATATCATTTAGAAGCCAAGTTTGTTCAAAGTTATGCCGATTTGAGAGCAAGTACAACACAAGTAAGAACCAAAAACTGCTATAAATGTTATTGGTCATTAGGGATGGGCGATATGGGCTTAGAAATTTGTCACGGTAAGATTTGCCACTCTGGCGATAAAAGTCCCGATAAAAAAATATAATTCCAATCTATATTTTTGACTCATTTTGTCTTGAGGACACCAGTTGGAATAGTCAAATAAGATACTTAACCACAAGTTTGAATGGTGGGTTATGGAGAAAACTAGTGACATCGAACGAGTTTCAAATGTGAAAACAATTTTAGCATTTGTTGAAAACTCTTATTGTTCAGAGTGAACAGCAGCAGATCCACCGTCCGATGTCAGGCATACCTGATTGCACTCATCTAAACCCCGATCTTGAAGGGAATCCCTCATGTGGAGCCTCGTTCAGTAACAAGCTGCTCAGAAACGTCTTCATTACCTTCAGCCATGTTTGTTTGTTATTCTGTGGGCTATGGCTGCAAGTCTATCGCCCGCACTTACGTCATCAACCTTTATTTATCACATTTATCATGAGATGGCAAATATTTTTCTTTTTTCTTTTTTTTTTTTTTAATTTGAGTAAAACACCAATCAAATATTGTGATGGAAGCACCAGGTGTATTTCGTTGGGAATGTAGACCTGCATAAAGGACTGCAGGTAAACAGGAGCTGATTTAGTTGCATTATTGTAGACAAGAAGTAGAGCTCTATATTTGATGCACTTGGATACTAGAAGCTAGTGAAGAAAGATGAACAGCAGAGTGGCATGCTGTTTTGGGTTGCTGCTTTTTTGAATCATTAGCAGAGGTTTGACTACACATGCAGGGACGCCAAAACTGCAGTAGCTCTCAGACACTCTTTACTTACCTTGTCCTCTGCATTTTTAAGTAACGTCCTCTGACAAATAAATCTCATCGTTCTGACTTTTGACTGTCAAATATCTCAGTTATTGTGAATATTTTAACATAAGAAACGTAAAAACAGGGCTGTTTCTTCAGATTTTCATGATAAAAAGTAATTTGAGTCTATTTCTGAAAGGTCAATAAACTCTCCACAGGAGCTTTCACTTACTTTCCTCTCCTTTATTTAGCACAATAACAGGACACACAGGAGTTTTCAGTCTCAACAAGGTTTTCCTGTTGAATGATTTAGATTTAAAAAGTCTGTTGATTTAATCTGAAACGATTTGGATGTGAGTTTGATGTCCAGTTTTTTGGGAACTTTGGGTTGCTGCTGTCGTCTATAAACAGTTCCTCTTGACCCTGAGCAGTTTGTGTCAACTACATGAGTGTCAAACACACACACACACACACGCACACACACGTAGCAGAGCTCCCAGAGTTCATACGGTGAATTCGTCAGCAGGAAACAGTAGTGACGCTTCAGGGAGTATCTTCAGCGAAGAGCGAGACTGCGGTTAGAAAACTGGGTGTCACTTTTCTAATGGTAACCTGCGCCTGTGTTATCAAACAGCCGTGAGTCACATTTCGGGTAATTGGGAAAACAGTTTACAAGGAACCTTCAGTTTGCTTTCATTGTTAAATAAATCAGATAACTCCAGTTTGAAAGGAGTGGTTGTAGTGACAAACTTAAAATCAATAAACCTAAAATTAAGACAACCCTGGGGTTAGTCATGACATCTTCAAACAAGAGATGAATTTCAGCAGAAAAGAAACGTCTTTTTCCAAAACAACATCATCATCAGACTTATGCAAAAAAAGCCACAGAGCTCTCTTCTTCTCAGACTAAACAGCGTGTTTTACTGTCTTTTTTGGAATTTGCCTTATTTTCCGTCTGCAGGAAACATTTCTTTTTCATAGCCTTGAAAACAATGGGGAGCTATGCACATTAAGCAGATGCAGGGCAATAAAACATCAAGCAGAGAAGATGTTTTCATGGACATCCTTCACTTTGGGAAATACTGGATTTCTGACCACACCTGCCATCATGGCCTGGTGGTATTCGCAGTTCTGTTGATCTAATGCAGTCCTAGAAGGATTGCAGATAAACCCGTGGTTGGTGATGAGTTGGTAAGCTGCTAAAAGCCTGGTGTTTCACTCAGGAAGTAGAGAGGAAAGGGAAAATGTTGAAAACCAGAAAGTTTGCACGCGAGGTCAACGGCCCGTGTGGTGATGGTATTTCATTGGTGGTTTTACAGCTTTTTGTTCCTGCTATCAAGAAGCCTAAAAAAACTTAATGCGGGTGTAAAAGGATCAAATTTCCTGCCAGCGTGCATGTGGTTATCACAGATATCGACACTATTTCCTCTGAGGAAACTGAATCAAAACCTTGACAACAAACAGATCAATTTTGGAGACTGTAGAGGTCTTTGCACTCTTGGTGGAAGTGGCGTTTTCACACAAAAACCTCCTTCTGATGTCTCTTAATGGTGACATATTCCGCGCACTGGGAATACTTTCTGCAACAAGATTTGAAAAATAGTTTTCTTCATTATCTGTCTTTCAAGAATCAAAAATTACAACAAATAAGTCAGAAGCCTTTACGCTGATGGTCCCTTTTGCTTTTAAAGGTCATGAAAGGGCGTCGGTATCAGTTTTAGATTTTCAACTAACTTCCTTTAAGTCTCTGACACACTATGTGAACAAAAGGCAGTGATATGCAGTTGAACCAGCCTCTGCAGTCGTAACATCCATTCTTGTTCTGTGCAGGTATTAATTACAGTTAGGGAATGTATTCTGCATAAAGGGTTATTTTTCCAAGGATGGCCAATGATGACAGATAAAGACTCATCCGCCTTCTTCAAATCGTTCACTGGTGTTAAATGAGGCATCTGTGTGATCATCGTCAAACTTGTCTTTAAGAGCTTAACTTTGAGCACACAGAGACATTCAGACGACACCAGCTAAAGTTCCACCAACTTTTTTCCCACCAAGTTAGAAAACCCAGATTTCTCCATCAGATTTTAACTGAAGGATTCATGCCTGTGAGCTGAACGTCGCTCACCTCTTAGCAACAGCACTTATCAAATACTACTCGATAAATAGTCGAGATATCTGCTGGCTTTTAGAGTGCAGCTGCAGAGATCCACGTGTCGAAGGTTGGAGCGTGAGTGCAAAGAGGTCGCTGTGCCGTCATCATTAGATGTGTGTGCGCTGATGAGATTCTGATAAGCGGGTACCGAGAAGAGTTCATTCATCAGTGTTTGAACGTGTGTGTGTGTCAATGTTGACCTGAGATGAGTGGTCACAAAGCGGCTATAAACACGCACGTTAAGTCTATTTACCATCTCATGAGTGGCCTGTTGGTGTATTAGATGGTTGTAAAACAAAGAGAAACAAACCTCCTGCTTTGTATTGTAAAATAATGACATTAAAATATCATAATGAGTCTACAGTTTGTACTGTCTGATCAATATGAACTAAGGTGGAGTATTTAAAGCTCCTACGAGGGATTTTTTGTAATAAGGCAGCACCAAAACATGAAAAACTAATGATACAAACATCACCAAATGAAGCTCCTCATGGTCTTTTTTATATCATAGAAAGGCATTAATCTGAATTTGAGTCTATTTCTTAAAGGGATATTCCAGTGTGAAATTAATTTTGGGTCAAACACACCGTAACACCAAGTTAGACACCCCCTCGAGATGAATTTTGCTGCTTGCTTCTCTAGTTTTACCAACTTTAGTAACGACCGCACGACAGCAATACACAGCGGTCTATGGAGCCATAAACAAACCTTAACCAAAACGCCACTCTATAGCCACAAATAATGCTCAGAACAACACCTAACTTCATCAACAGGACATATAGGGTCCCAGCCACAGCACAAGCCATCAAACATCTTTTCAACTTTGGCTAATTTCTTTAGCAAAGAGCCTAAACACAACTCACCTACTCTCTTCCAGCAGCTGCTTGTTCGTAGCGAGACCTCAGTCCAGTCCATTATGAACTACAGCGGGGTGACGCAGCTCAAGGAAGAACATTTATGATCATTCTTCATTATGCAATCAGACCGAGACACTGAGGAAGAAGAACTACTGCGTCTGCAATGCAAAATGATTATGATGATGATTATTACTTCAAGGTAATGAAAAAGAAATGATCATAAATGTTCTTCCTTGAGCTGCGTCACCCCGCTGTAGTTCATAATGGACTGGCCCAAGGTCTCACCACAAACAAGCGGCTGCTGGAAGAAAGTGGGTGAGTTGTGTTTAGGCTCTTTGCTAAAGAAATTAGTCAAAGTTAAAAAGATGTTTGGTGTCTAGTACTGTGGCTGTGACCCTATATGTCCTGTTGATGAAGTTAGGTGCTGTTCTGAGCATTATTTGTGGCTATAGAGCGGCGTTTTGGTTGAGGTTTGTTTATGGCTCCTCAGACCGCTGTGTATTGCTCGTGTATGTTCATTACTAAAGTTGGTATAACTAGAGAAGCAAGCAGTCGGCAAACTTCATCTCTCGAGGGGGGGTGTCTAACTCGGTGTTCCGGTGTGTCTGATCCTAAATTAATTTTACGCCGGAATATCCCTTTAAAGGTCAAAACCCCCCCACAGGAGCTTTAATCCCACTTTTTGTGAATTTTACTCGTTTTATGAACCCCAAATGTTGCTTACTGTAAAAGACATGTCCTTTGACTCTTGAGGGTTCCGAACAGAATTCCTGGTTATTTCATAAACGTGGTTTCTGGTCGACTCTCCATAAGTGGTTCACGCCATGGTTGTGTTGTCTAACATCCTTGAGGCACACACCATAAAAGGCTTCACAAACACTAATCTGTTTTCAGGGAGTGATCCCTCAGAGAGATGTTTTCTTGAGGTTACTCAGAGTTTTCAGAGATAGCAGCTGTGCTGGAACACCGGGGTCTTTGCTCTGGGAGTCAGGACTTTCCCCTTGGGTCGGATGAGACCTTTTCATTAATACTAAAGATTTGTTGTTTCAAGGTTGATAGTTATCATTAAATCCTCTTATTCTCAGCTATCTGAATTACAAATCGAGTTTTTGTTGGTCTCTTTCCTGTGAGATCAGAGCATTTATTTGTCTTGATGTTGGAGACGTTTGTGTCGGATTATAATGTTTTGCGCAGCAGCAGTGGGTCCAGAACCAAAATCCCAAAAGACGAGAAAAGGAAATAATGAATCTATGAAAACTAGGACGGGGATTCTTCCAGGCTAGCAAAGCATCTTACAATAACAAGCTGCTCTGAGACCGAATTATGATATACATCTGAGACATCACAAGACCTTACAGTGAAGTCAGGCAAGATCCATGTTGTGTAAGGGTTCAGTTTACATGAGAGGAATTCTGCTCTAAAACTGTGGTCTAAAAGAAAGTTAACGCTCACATTTTTATTATTAGATATTTTGTCTGTTTGCTGGTTGTTTGACCTCATCAAACATCAAACCTATCAGCGGGACATGTACGCTGAAAACTCCTTTACAAACACACTTGAAGCCCCTGTGCAGGCTGATTTATGGGCTCCCACTGAACACCTGTTTCTTATGCATTAAACACACAACAGGTTACACAGCAGGACCTACTTTATCATTTGTTTTAGCGTTGTACTCAACCTGTCCGCATGCCAAAGAAAATTTACAGTGATTAGATCATTACGAGCTGACTCAAACATGAGCCCTCAAAGGTTTGAGTGTCACATTTTTCCAGGAAAGGGAATGAATATGCCGCTCTGCAATGACCTTAGAAAATGTGCTTTTGCAGAATTTTGAGGCTCATTTTTTGACTTAACTCCACTTCCTGTAAGTAAAGTTAAAATGGAGATCCATTTACTTTATTTATTTAGATTCACAGATGGGCAGTTTACTCGTATGTGAATAAAATGTAATTTCTACTTCAGTGCAGTACATTAGTATGCTACTTTTTCGACCCCTGCATGCTACAAACAAGGGCAGTATCTGCTGAGCATTTGTCCCTGACCTAGGGGCCTAAAGAGTCACTGTCTTTCTTTTTTTTTTTCTTTCTTTTCTATTTTTCTTATTCACTTATTTTTTTTGTAAGTGAATAAAAAGATCACACTTAAAGATGACTATTAGAATTTGGCCCATTGACAACTTGGATAGGACCTTTAACGAGATATCTAAATGTAGAGTTCTAGGGCTGGACGATATGGGAAAAAGTTTATCACGAGATGTTTTTTTCATATGAGTCGATATCGATATATATCAGGATATAAAAAATGACATTTAACAGTGTTTATTGGTAGTATGTCTTTAGCAGCACAATAACCTACTGCATCTGTGAGGTCTTTGTGTCTCTTTGACGTTTTGTCGTAAAAGGGTTGCGCTAGAGAAAGCGGACTGAATGGTCTGTTTCGGCTGCACAGGCGCCATGAGCTCCTTGCTCCACTCAGGGTTTGTAACCTTTCGCATTGCGTGTGCTCTGCCGTGTGGCGCTGCTTCAGGTGGTAAAAAAGATTTGAGGTATCCCCGACTTTTCGAGAACATGTACTCGACATAATTTGCACGTTACTCTGCTTCATGTCCGACCTCAAAAACCAAAACACCTCCACACCACCAATGTTTTCGTGCCAGTTTTGTCGACAATGTCTTCATCTGTTGAGCCTTCATCTGCATTTCTGCCAGGGTAGCACTCATTATCTTTTTTATTTCTCACCTACAGCGCTGTCGGCTTCACATGTTTAAGTGCTATGGTTGCATGTAGCTGCTGCCTGCTATGACAGTTGTTTGCTACTTGGTTCTAATTCAGCACATGATGGATTCAACAAGAAGCTATTCGTAAAGTCAACCAAAACATGGAAGAAGGCCAACTATTGAAAAGCATATTGACCATATTTCATATCAATATTAAGGGAAATAAATTATCGCCCAGCCCTAATACATACTAAAAAATATACAATTATGCATTGTTGCTTTACTAATTCTTCATCTTTGTGTCAAAATTCAGTCTGTGGAGCATTTCACTTATTTGTAGTTTTTCAGCAGGAGCTCAACAGTGATTGGCTGTTCTGTAAATGGATGCTGAACACCTGTTGAGGAGGTACCTGAACTCACAGGTATCTCCACTTGGGTTAAAGAGACAAACAGTTTTGGTATTGTAACCATTACATCCAAAACAAAAGTAAAACTTCACAGATAGACAGAAAGAAAGACGTGGAGCCACAGTCTGAAACCACCTGTACCTGCAGTCAGGATGTGGGGTCTCTTTAGGTTTCGTTTCCACAGACAGATGAGAGAATTTAACACTTTCTACAAATCATCCTTTAAGATCCTCCTATAGTTCCTCAAGTGTTTGCAGATGCTTCTCATGCAACTCACGTTTTTGGCTCTGGGCGATGTTCGAGAAGAATCAAGTCAACAATCACGAAACGACGTGAAGACCAGAATTAAAGGATTAAAAAGCGTCAGTCGAGGTTTAAGTAAAATGACTCACCTCTGCTCTTCATCTCTGCAGGTCTGTGTGGTTCCCAACAAATAATCTCCTTAAATTCTGCTCTATGAAGGAGTCTGAGTTCTCCAGTCCAGAAAATCAAGAGTGAGTCCACTTCCCTCTTGACATGAGGAGAAATACCGCCGCTGCTTCTTCAGACAGATGAGATGTGCTTTTCCTTCCTCCTTCACAGAGATAAACAGACGCACACGTCCCTCCATAAACTCAGATTCAGCCTGAATGTGCCTGTTTCCTCCACAGGGGCGGGTCAGTAAACACCCCGTCGAGTTCACATGACTGTGGTTAACACACACACACACACACACACACACACACACACACACACACACACACACACACACACACACACACACACACACAGTTAATGTGATGCATCAGTGTTGACACCTGAGGCCTGTCAGTCAGGTTCCACGTAAGTTTATCTTCCAGTATCGGCGCCTTTTCCGTCCACATCTCAATTGACTCATGTAAATGTTTGACTGAAACAGCAACATGCGTTTTGCAAATGAACAATTGTAAATTTAAAAACTAGTCCAATAACTCCATATTGCATCTTCAGCTTAAAACCTCTTTTTAAAGTTTCTTTTTAACTTTGCCCTAATTTCTTTAGCAAAGAGCCTAAACACAACTCACCTACTCTCTTCCAGCAGCTGCTGGTTTGTAGCGAGACATCAGGCCAGTCCATTACGGACTACTATGATCATTTCTTTATCATTTCCTTGAAGTTAAAATCATCATATTAACCATTTTGCACTGCAGATGCAGTAGTTCTTCTGCCTTAGCACCACTGTCTGAATCCATTTCCATGAAGAAATGATCATAAATGTTCTTCCTTGAGCTGAGACACCCCACTGTCGTCTGTAATGGACTGGCCCGAGGTCTTGCTACAAACAAACAGCTGCTGGAAGAGCATAGGTGAGTTGTGTTTAGTCTCTTTGCTAAAGAAATTAGCTAACTGTTGATGAAGTTAGGTGTTGTTCTGAGCTTTATTTGTGGCTATAGAGCGGTGTTTTGGTTGAGGTTTGTTCATGGCTCCTCAGACCACAGACCACTGTGTATTGCTATCGTGCGGTCGTTACTAGAGTTTGTATAACAAGAGAAACAAGCGGTCGGCAACATTCATCTCTGGAGGGGGTGTCTAGCTCGGTGTTTGACCATAGCTTAATTTCTACGCCGGAATAACTCCTCAAAGACATGGAAAACAATATCCAAATGTTTTAAATTAGTGTATGATAAGAATAAGCCTTTTTATTTACTTTGTTAAACTGAACATTTTCTTACTTACAAGGGTCCAACAGAGGATGTACAGTGAACAGCTCCAGATGCACTAAAAAAAACAAACATAACAGAATTAGAGACAAACTAATAATATAAAATAAAGTACAGTAAACTAGAGGAAAAAGGAACAAACAGGAAAATAAACGCATAAAGAAGAAGAAGAAGGGTGGTTGTAATCAACAATTTGCATTGGTTGACCTTTCTGGAACTTCACAAATGGCGTCCTCTCTTGTCCTTGACGGCCGCTGTCACTTCTCAAAGGGAGCGTTTCAGTTTACAATGCAAAAAAAGTCACCTTTCTAAACACTCTTCCTACATCTAAAAAAACATGGATTATTAAACAAGTCAAACTCTGGAAGTTTCTTCATCTGGATCATCTGAAGGCCGTGGACAGATCGCCACTGATTATAACAGCCTGGCTGAAACTTAGAGGGTCTGTGGAGTTCAGGGAAGTGTGTTGTCATGAATTTACAGCTGGTCTATGTTTAACATTATTTGAAGTGGTTTAAGGTACAGATGCAACTTCACCTTAGTAGGTACAAGTTTAACAGCCTGACTCTATAACAAACCAATGATTTTCAGTAATGTTTGGTTTACAAGATTATAAAATCAATAGCGTGGTCATTTTGTGAGGAAAACTTCAGTCACTTGTATAAAGACTGGATTTTTATGAAGAACAAATACAATCTTTGTGCAGATACAGTGAATTTGGATCTCAGATATAAGTTATTTGAACATGTCAACAGGTTTTCTTTAAAATTAAGATGTTGTTGCAAAAAGATAAAAAGTTTTCATTTGCTGTTTTACCTGCTTTTTGAGTAACTCATGAGTATTGGTATCAGGACTGAGAAACACCCGAGTATTTTTTTCATTACGACTCTGTAAAAAACAACATAAAGTTGCCTGGGATGGGCCAGTGCACAACTTACATACTTGAGTTTAGATCTAATCGAAAAGTTACAGCAAGCTCCAGGCAGCCACTACAGGAAATGGCCCAGATTTTACACACAATGTATAAATCAGTGATAGTCCTTTAACCGCTCTGATATTGTTAAAAATGAAAGAGAATACTCGACATTTAGGGCTAAAACATGACAACGATGACAACAAAGATGGCTGTTTCAATGGTCTTTAATACTATAGTCAGAAAAAATAAAGCAACATAAAACCAGACAGCATTTTTGGACAACTGATTATCATCATAGTGTGAACTTAATACCATAGCTTAGTCCCTTTAGACACACACACACACTCACACACAAACTCACAAACACACATTTTTCATTTAGCTTGAACTTTGCTCAGGGACCATTTCAGCACTGCATTTAGTGTGATCAGAAAAAAACCAAAAACAAAAACAAACTCCACACCGGAAACAACATGTGGCACGGAGCGAAAAAGGCAACATGGAGACGAACACGAACAAAAAACGAAGCAGGTTCAGTGGAATTCTCAGAGCATTTCAAGTAAACCAAAGTCAAATAAATGAAGAGAACCCAAAGGAGAGTTAATGCACTGTTCACATATTCTTCGCTCCTCCTGATAAAGAGCATCATCTCAGCTCTCAAACAGTGTTAACATGTCACTCACAGCTCCATCATCTGGAGGTGGAATGTGCTTCTCAGCTTTCTCCAGACGTCCGGTCTCAACATTAAACCATCACTGTGGACCTCGTAACGTCCCCACAATCACTACACTACGCTACGGTGATCAAAACACATTCCACTTTCAGTATGGAGAGGATTCAAACCGTTCTGGAGTTCTCACACATTCCTGTTAGGAGCCGTAAAACGACGAGGCTGAGTGGGGAAATCAAGCAGAACACAATAAAAGTGTTGGCTGACGATATCCCCACATTATGATATCGCACACCCCCTCTTATACAGAGCCAACGCTGTCATATGCATTTTCACTCGCTCGCACACAACAAGGGAAAACTCACTGTTGCAGGCTTTGTGCTGACTCTAAATCACTGAATGTCTCTGCAGCTGTACACGGTGTGCTGATGCGGCTCTGCAAACAGCACGGAAGGATGTGCTTCTTCTACGTCTAGACTACAATCTTGTTTTTTTTTCATGTTGACACAGATAAAGTCAGGCAGCTTCGTCCAACACAAATCAAAACTGTGTGAATTTCAACCAGCTTCAACCCTCAAAAACCTGCGCAGGATCCTCCCTCACTACTTTTACCGTCAGGAGGCACAATCAAGGAGAACTTTTGAAAACCGCAGTTCAAAATGTCACAGTTTTTACTCGCAGGAGCTCTGGCTACACGGTTAAGGCAAGAAATGAGTGTAGGATACAAAAAGCTTATTATCTCAGTGCAGTTATTAAGTGTATGTGAATTAAATAAAGGAATAACCTCACTACTTTGATTGGAAACCATGCAAATAAATACAGTGAACTTGGTACGTCGAGGCACAATGAACACAGAGACCGTCACTTTATGGCAACACTTACAAGTCCCCCAAATTAACAACCGATGAGCAGTACATAGATATATGTGAATTTGATAAATGTTTGTGTTGTTGCCAGCGTGTAAAATGGCGAGTAACAGCTGCTGGACTTGAGGGTGTCTTTAAAGTTCCAATTATAGAGCTTCAAAAACATTTATTTAGGTTTCTAATACTATAAACGGGGACATGAAGGGTTACCTGCAAAAACAACAAAATCGAATCTGTCAAATGAAACAACACCGAGTTATAAAAAAGAAAACAGTTTGTGATATTTTGAATGTCTAAAACTGTGACCGCAAAAACACACACGAGAAGTCATGGCACATTCCATCATCAGATTACTCGTACAGGCAAAATCATTAATCGATGCTTTTAAGATACGGTTCAACATTTTTGGAAAAATATATCCATTCACCGTCTCGCCGAGTTTTAGATGAGAGGAGAGTCTAAATGCTAAACATGGATGAAGAGCCTGCAGAGGATCAGCTTAGCCTCAAATTCAGACTCAGAGACAGGAGGAGAGCTGGCATGACTCTGTCACAAACTTTGATTAAGCTTAAGTGGAGGAAATTCAGGGGTTTGGTCAGCTCTCTCCTCCTGTTTCCAACATCTGTGCTAATCTATGGCATCAATGCAGTCTACATCTATTCTTCACATTCATATAAGAAAGCGATTAAGCACTTAGAAATGAGTGAACTAGTCCTTTAATGATGACCCTTTAAAGTGTGTTTTAATCGAACAATCTTGTCTCACTTGGTTCTTAAATACTCGATTAGATATGAGACACTGTTTCTAAAGGTGTAAATTTAAGGCTCTCTGATATGAACAGACTTTACATGTTAATTTAAAATAATCAAAACATAACTTAACGCTCCTCACTCAGCCTGTGGTTAAGGTGAAATGATGCTGTGCACTGTATGTGCCCAGTGAAAGAAGTCTAAGTGCAAGATGGCAGCTGCAGGCCTATAAAATGCAAACACTCATAGTTTACAGTTTAGTGTTCAACTCCAAACACACTGAACGAATGTTAGTTTAATGTTAAGACGAGTGCGTCAGTGCCGCTCCGAAAACGTGTAGTAGTGTCGCAGAAACATGGAGCATACTTCTGTGCTTGAAAAACAGCTCGTGATGAGATGTTGATGTAGTGGCTGTCCGCAGCAGCGTCAGTGAGTCCTGATAACCGACGATAACAAGGCTCTGAAACATATTTGGCAACAACTCCTCGGCTCTTCAGCTTCACGACGTGTTTCAAAAATACGACGCCTCCGAGGACGATGAGCCCGCAGACGGAGCTAACATCCTGATATCCTGCATCAAAAAACTCACACAGGCACTTTATGCATTAGAGGAGAGGCATCTGTATCGAACGGTAACATCTGGAAGACTTGGTGCAAAAAAAAAAAGGTTGCTTTAATTTGAATTCCTCTCGATGAATCTTCGGGGTCGTCGCTGACTTTTGGTTTGATGTTCTGAAGAATTTCTGGAAGAAAAAACTTTGTGATCTGTTCAGTCAGATTAGCAGGAATTCCCCTTTAATCCCTGGGAAAAGAGTTAAGTGTGACGTCATATTATTGGCCAGGTAGAAGGCACTGAGACTTGGTTTCTTTTACATGCTGCTTCTTCTTCAGACGGATCATCTGAAGGATTGTCACTTCACACTGATTCTTCAGGCTCTCATCAGAGTTACTAACAGTGAATGCACAGGCAAGCCCTTGGACTACAACTCTACACAAACGAGAGTAGCTGTATGTTTGCGTCCAGGGAGGTTCTGGTCGGCCTTAACTGTTGCAGTATATATGAGGAACCGGCATGCAGCGTGTGTGACTGGGTGTTTTGCTGTGGCGTAGGAGGAAGGTGAGGTAAGAGTTGACCGTGGAGGAGCTCAGGAGGACAAGCGTGGCCCTGATTGTGCTGCAAGAGCGGGGTGGAGGAAGTGACGAGATCAGGTCTCAAAGTACTTGTAGATGGCTGTGACATAAGTCATGACACTTTGCCAGTCAGGCCTCTCTGTGTGCACCATCTCGTTTATGTCCTGCAGAAGAGAGAGACAGAGTTACAGAGGGAAAGTGCGACTCAAATTGGGCTTGTTTTGACAATAAATCGTAACAAAATCTGCTCATTTCTTATGGTAATTCAAAGGTTTGAAGCCCTGAAAAGACAAATGTGGTTTCAACCTCTCTACTCACTTCAAAAAAGCACAGTACACAAAATAAAATTGAGTAGATTTCAGGTATTCATCTAAACTCTGTAAAGGCTTTAAATAAAAGGCAACAACAAGTTTTTATGTGTAAGAAACTGGAGTTGATTCTGGCAGCACAGCTCGGGGTTCGTTACTGCTCACACAGATTATGGAAGTTTATGAGGCAGAAAGCAGAACTAACAATGACAAACTCAGCAAATGCAAAATCAACCACAGTTCAGCTCTGGTTAATGATTAAAATGAGTAATGTCTGTGGTTAAACTGTGTTTCAATCATGAGTTACAAAGGCATTTCAGTGAAATAAATACATAAACACAGAAACTAAAACTCTGATTCAATTATGTTTAAACACCATAAAATATTGATTAATAAAAACAGATTTTTTAAGAGTTTGAAAATCCTTTAAACCCTTTATTTGACTGAAATTAGAGGAAAGACAACATATCAAATTATTTCATGGTTCTGTGAAAAATATTTGCTCATTTTAAATTTGATGCTGGCAACACTTTTTAAAAAAGTCGAAACAAGGACAACAAAATGCTGAAAACATCTATTTAACATCTTATTGGGTTTATTAGGCAACATGACTGTGCAGTAAAGAACATTTCAGAGAAGCTGAGTCTCTCGGGACATAACACAGAAAGAAGTTCACCATCCTGTGAGAGACATCATGAGGACATGATTCAACGATTTCTGAGAATTTACAGGTTAAGTCATCTACACCGACATCATAAGAAGAACCTGAAGAAATCTTTAAAGCCAAAAATCAAGAATCAGGCAGCACAGCTTAAAAATAGACAGGACTCTGTAGAGGAAGTCACTGCATGGGTCTCCAAGCCACAACCAGAAACTAAGTTTGTTAATTCATCCATAAATGCAGGTTAAAACTGCACCATGCAAAGAGGACAACTTTGTAATCCTGAACCAGAACTACCTGTGAATTCTGGACAGGAGAGGGACCCCTAATTTGTTATCAACCTGTTTGTAGACCTTCAGCTTATGCATTCCTATACCATGATGATAGAAGACCACTGATGTAAGATATACTCTCATCTGGACAATGATAGGGCTGGGCAATATGGCCTCAAATCAATATCACGATATATTGAGCAGTTCACCTCGATAACGATAACTACATTGGTTATAATCGTAAATTTTGGTCATGGTAAATTTTCGGTTTATCGCCCAGCCCTAATGCATAATGATAAAACTGGTTAGTTCTGTATTTTTTCCACACAGTGTAGTTTTTACTCCTACCTATTTAAAATAAGTTAACTATGAGTCATGAGTCTCAGGAGGGTATGAAGACTTACCAAAGTGCATTTGATGCCCACACTCTCTGCCGCCTGGAAGGCTAAGGTGAAGTTTCTCCTCTGTAGAAAAAAGTGAGTCACAGTCACACAGAGGAATAACACTTTACATCTAACAGAAATTATCTACTCAGCCGGGGGGCTTTCTTGGAGATCTGCAAACCTTCTCCTGGCTGGTGAGCTCCTGGTAGGGAATGTGTGCGGGCAGGTAGGTGTGCAGCACAGCGCAGAAGGCCAGTCCGTCATTCCAGCTGCTGCTGAAGTTTGTGATATCGATGTTCTGAAAACAAAGTGATAAGATATTAACACTTTGCTTTAACTGATCAGAACATTCAGAACAATGAGAATTCAATTCGCTGAGTCTAGAGAGAACAACATTTCATCTCAGGTCATTAATGTCACTCTGAGCCACTGTGCATCACCGGCATTCAACAACACCTCCAACGGTATCATGGTGACAGTAAATTCAGCTGTCATGAAACTCCTTAAAATGATTTAGACCGAGACTCTGGTGTCAGTCCTGTGGTTTTATATGAGGTATCAACTCTTCTCAGCTATATCACATTTATAATCTTCAGCAGGCTGACATTTGCTGAGGCAGTAAATCTGTAAACTGTAGTTTTATGTTACTGGACTGTAATGACTCAGTGTCAGAGGGACGATCTTGATCGTATGAAATGATTATCAGAAAGCCTGATGTTTTTGCCACGTATAACACACAGGATGTGCTAAATGTTGCACACTTCCTGGAGAGGACCAAAAGCGCCATGGTAACCGTAACCTACAGTGCATGAGTTCAGCGAGGTAAACATGACTGCAGTTCGGAGAGCGAATCTCCGCTCTCCGCTCATTGACTGTCATTTTCGCTCAGACATTAATCTCTCTAACGTGGAAACAGATCCAACTGAAGAATAAACGTTTTACTCTTTCACTCCAGGTTGTCATTTTCCTGCAGGAACCTTTAGTGTCCCGGCACTGTTTGCTCGTCTCCCTGTATGACAGCTGTTTTCAAGTTTCTGCCAAAGCAAACCCAACATGCTGTAAACCTCACAGTGAAAGCAAAAGTGTGTATGGAAATGAGATTAAAGTCAAATTGAGCAACTTCTGACAGCAGAAGTGTTACATATTTCTGGTTGTAGTTAAATGTGAAGAGAAAATAAGAGTCCACATAAAATAATGAGACTCTAACTGCAAACAAACTTCTTTTTTTCTGAAGTTGGTACATGTTTAACTTCTGTTTTACACAGTCTCTTGTTGATAATCCAGCAGCTGGTTTCTCCTCCTCTTGGAAAAGCAAAGTGCTCCAGAAGGAGTGTTTGTCATCCTCAAAATTACAGGCTCTGTGGTCGTGATCTGCACTTGCTGTAACCAACTTCTGCTGATGCCAAACCAAGAGGACCGAGGCGTAACCTTTTACTCGCATCAGGCTGACATGAGGTTCATCTTGACTAGAGGAGTGTACGGAACCAATATTATACAGCTCTGTGAAGCTGACTAGTCAATCGATAATCATCCAAATATCGGCCTGATAATCAGCCATAGGGCCACCTAAACCCTGCGCTTCTCCTCCTCCTCCTTCTTCTATTCATCCCATTTTTCACACCGATGAACCATAATGACCTGTGGGTGCTAAAGTCTATTCAGTCAGGTGCAAGTTCAGCTGTAATTTGAGATAAAACCTGCGCTTATGTTGGAACTATCTCAGCGAACATGACCCTTGAGAGTTAACTTTGTCTTTTGTTAGAAATGACACCCAAACTTCTGCTTTTAAACTCACACATAGCTTCCAAAATTACTGGAGTACAGCTGATGGACCTGAGCTCTCTCTGGGAGAAACGAGTCGTCCAGACAACCAGAGGAATCATGGACCAGCCTGGACACGTTTTCTTCTCTGACTTTTCTCTTATGCCCTCTGGGCGGCGCTACTATGCTCCCCCAAGGAAAACAAATAGGTACTCCAACTCATCTATCCCCTCAGCGATCAGGCTGCTAAATGCTGGGAAGTAGCTGATTGGTGGCCTGTGTTGAAAGTGGGGTCTCAGGATTGTTTTAGTTCTTATTTCACTTCTTTTATCGCATTATTTCTTTTTGCATTTTAGTCATCCCACTGTTGAACGTACTTGTTATCTATCTATTTATTCATTGCTGATTTGTGGTGCTGGTACAGGGGAATGTTTGGGCCATATGCTGCGGTGAATGTCTGGCATTTGTCTGTTTCTTGATCGTTTAATAACAAGGTGGGTTACTGTGAAATGAATTAATTAATAAAGTTGTGTGAATCTGAATCTAAAACTCATCCTGTGCAGCTCTGACTCACCTGATAACCCTCAGTCTTCTTCTGGCACCACTTCAGCAGAGCGTTCCTCTTCGAGCCCCCGTACTCTCTGGCCAGCGCCGACAGAGGGTCCTTTCTCTCCTCCCTGTCAGAGGCGCCAAAAGTCACGTCATCAAACAACCTGATCGTACGTGTTCATGTTTGATAAATAAGCTGAGGAAACGTCTGTGGGTCGTTGGTGAAACTGACTTTAAGTGAGCATGTTTTTCAGACCGCACAGGTCAGTCAGTACCTTAGGCGGCTGCGTGCTGTGGGGGTGACAGAAGCTGTGGGGGAGGAAGAGAGGGAGAGCGGGGAGGAGGCGGCACTCATGGCCATAAGAGAGGAGGAAGAGGTCCCATCTGTGGTTGACATATCCCTCTTAATCTCCTCACTGCTCCGGCGGGACACTGTCCAGGACAAACCACACAGTTATAGACTCGTCCAATCAGAAACGAGGTTTTTCCACATGTGTGCGTCATAAAACTGGCACCTCTAACCTGAGATTGTCTTGGAGGAGTCCATGTTGGAGACCCTTTGGAGGGCAGATGGAGGCCTGCTGGCTGAGGCTCCCCTGAGAAGGTGCTCAGCTGTGTGGATACAACAAAGTATTTACATCACATTCAGAAGAGTGTTTTCATAAGAGACTTCCTCTGCAGTGAGATGTAACCGGGTCAGTAAAGAGCCACATTCCAGCCCTTCTGAGTTCAGGGAAGACCGACGCACTAGCTTCCTCACTTAGCGAGAAAACAATAAATCACTGAAAAATGAGAGGAGCATCGGAAGCTATGGTTGAGTCTGCACGTTCACACGCAACACTTGAACCCACTCATCGGACTGGTGAGAATTAACTGAGGAACGTTGTGCGTAATGTGACGGCTCATTATTCCCCTCTAATCGCCCCCTCTAGTGTTTGGACTAACTAAACATGGAGTCTACGCACAGCCAACCTGCGACTTCCCAACTGTGGGCCTCTGGGAAAAAACAGACGCGTTACTTCTCATGAGAAAATGCACGGTCCATTTATATTTCTGCGACTGCGAGGTGTGAACCACAATAATCGACTTATCTGAAGGTTTAGATCTACATTCTGAGAAAAAGGATGTGAAATACAGAAGCTGTAATCATTAGTAGGTTATGTAAATTTGAACGACTGCGACAGTCTTCTCACCTGGCATGCTGATGTCTGCATAACTCGGCCTCTTATCGCTCAGAGACGACAGCGGCTTGGCTGCAGACATGGACCCACTGATGGAGTGTCTCTGTAAGAGCAAAATTCAACAACCAAATCATCAGGATGAAAAGTGCATTAGCAAAACGAAGCTGTTGAAGAAGAAAACAGGGGATATCAAAATTTGTGATCTTTGATTTAAAAGTCCTGGGACGGCATGAAGCCTTGTGGTTCCAACAAAACACTTAATGTATGGAAGCTACAGCCCTCCTTGTAGTGGCCTTTCCTGGACCTGGAGTCTTTTAAAATTTCAGATAAAGACAAAAATGCTACTAAAAAAAAAAAAAACAATATTTATGGATCTGTTGCCACTGGATAATTCTTCTACTTCTGCTAGATTGAAGTAACCTTAACTGCTGACTCATTCATAATGAAGCCAATAAAGCTTTTGCCTGATGCTGAGCTCTGTCTCTGTAAAAACCAGGACTTTTTTAATATATTGTTAACTAGGGCTGGGCGATAAACTGAAGATTTACCGATACCAAAATTGACGACAATGACCGACGTAATTTTGCCCATGTCAATATATTCGGTGTCAAAAAAATAAATACTGTATTTTTCGTACTATAAAGGCGCGCTTAAATCCTTAAATTTTCTCAAAAATTGACAGCGCGCCTCTGTGTATGATTACTTGTGCTTACTGACCGATTTTATGTGGTACAATGTGCTGTCGCAATGTGTAAAGTACGACTTTGGTAAGCGACGAAGTTACTCCACTCAATGGAAATTCGGGGCATTATGGTACGCTATGTCACTACCTGATCAGCCCTGTAACAGGACTCCTAAGCAGTCTACAAGACTGCCTGACTGTAATGTCTAAACTAGAAGTGCATTCATATAAGGCAGCCCGAGCCCGTAATACGCGCTAGCAACAATAAACCAATCAATGTTTAATGTGCCTTATGTGTGAATGTAGACACGTTAATTCACAGAGTGCCATATAATCCAGTGCGCCTTATCGCCCGAAAAATACGGTAAAAAAAGTTGGTTTTGGATGTGTGTAAGTAGGCTATGGTCTTATGTCCCTTTGAGATCCTACGTTAGAGACTTGACTCCACCCCATCCAGTCCTTAACAAAGAGGAAAAGACAGGTGAGGAGATGGAGGACAGTTCAAAAGTTTTGGCAGCTGAAGGAAACAAAGTTAATGTGGGAGGAGGTGAGCAGCTTGTGGAGTAGTTATCGTCCATTTATCATTATCGAGGTGAACTGATCAATATATCGTGATATTGATATCGCCCAGCCCTACTGTGAACGGTAAAGCTCAAAGTTGTGAAATGTTGAGGTGACAGCGGTTAAGAGGGAACTGTGGAAACCTGTACCTGTATGGGTGAAACAGCAGCTGCTGGAGGCGTCTTCAACGGACTGGGGCTGAGCGGGGTGCGTGGCATCGGAGCCGCTGAGGCTGTTGGAGCCACAGCGGCTCCGTTTGTAGCACTGGGGGTTGGACCTGAGCAAACAGACATTCAGTTGTTTATATGAGTTTCACAGAAAAATACTCCAAAAGTGGAGCGGCTCGTGACCGTGCCGTACCTTGGGAAGCGCTGTCGAAGCTCTTGATTAGTGTTTTGACAGTAGGAGAGGGTTCTGAGGAGGTGGAGGACCGTCGACTGAGACCCATCCCCTGTCTGAGAGCGGCCAGGTCCCTCTCCACAGCGTTCATGTAGTTATACACTCGGCCTCTCTCCTCCTCCTGCCTGTCAAACATGCACAAGTCCACTCAGAGTTAACGTGGGATTCATTAATGATGGATGAATTCAAACTTTCCTAGTAACATCCAAGTTCATCATCTAATGAGCTCAAGTTCAATCTTTCCTCTCTCTGTTTACAAATACAAGACAGCGGAGGTCAGTGTGACCGCCAGAGCTCTCCCGGGTTTCTCCCGCTCTTACTTGCGGCTCTTGACCTCGTCCAGTTCCTTGCTCAGTTTCTCGTTCTTCTCCTGGGCTTCCTGTAGCCGGCGCCGCAGGTCTCCGATCTCCTCCTGAGCTTCTGACTTGATGTCGTTGGCGATGACGACGGCCGTCTGCAGGTCGGCCTGAAACTGACGCCACTCCATCGACTCCTCCTGCACTCAAACACATGCACACACTCTTGTGAGATGACAGCAGCACAGATCTATCTCTATTTATCGTAAATATTTAAGAGTTATTGAAGTTTAATAACAGTCTGAAACATCTGAGATAGACAAATTTTAGGCTCATAAACCGGAACAATCTGAGTCTTAGTTCTCAGACTAACTGGAGGTAGTTACGGGAACTTCTTGCTTGCCAGAGACGATCACCCTTCCTCCTCCATCTTGGCACCTTTACCACCGAAACCAAGCTGTGTGTCCTGAATCGTGAGAACACATCGACTTCATGTGCAAAGTGAGAAATGTGGTCTTACCCTCAGCCTGCGGTGGAGAATCTTAATCTCTCTCTCCATGTCATGCTTCTGGTCCTGCAGCTTCTTCACTGAGTCTGCAGAGGAAAAGAGCAGAGTCACTTCATAACGCACAGAATAGATCCTTTTTTCACCACAGAGTGCATAAAAAGCTGAAATGGTCTTCATGACATAACTTATCAGTTCCTGAGGAGGTTTTATAAGCTGAAGAAATGATCATCTGACTGATCTAGACACCTACAAAGAGGTGGAACACGCCTCACATGCTGGGTTTTGTTTCACATAATCCTGGCTGCCTGTTTAAGGAAACGTGATGGCGTCTAAAACCTACCCTACAAAGTCAAAAATCCACCTGTCCAGCCCACTTACTCTCCAGGTCTGTGATGATGAGGTTGTCGTGGAGTTTCAGAGCTCGGTGCTGCTCCACCTCATCCTCCAGCTCGAAGATGGTTTCCTTCATATCGGCGATTTCAGTCTCTTTCTCCTGCAGCTCCACGCGCTGTTTCTCCAGAGCGCGCGCCTGCTCGGCCATCTGCTCCTGCACCTGCTCCTGGAAGTCTCTGTATTCCCTGTCCAGCTGCACACACACAAGAAGAGGGACATCCATTATTTTATTAACAAGCTCGAAGCAGTCAGCTGATCAACGCTCCTCTCGACATTTTCCAGGACTGACGCCTCACACTCTCACGAATCAGGACATCTCAGACTGACCTTGCCGAAAGTCTCCTGCAGCCTCGTGAAATCGCTGTGAGCTTGTTCCAGCTCCTTCTGCAACTTTGCCGCCTTGGCCTCTGCCTCCTCTTTCCCGAGCCGTACCCCTTCCAGCAGCTGGCAGATGTCATTTTTATCCCCCGCGGTGTGGAGAGAGTACAGCTCGGCCACTCTCTGCCTCTCCTGGTCCAGCTGGGCTCTGCAGCGGCTCAGCTCCGCCTGATCGTTGCTCACCGCCGCCTTGTACTCTTCCAGCGCGGCCCCCATGGCGGCTCTGTCCTGTCTCTCCGAGTCCATGATGCGCTCCATCTGGTGGTTCCTTTCCTTCAGCGCTCCGATCATCTTCTGGGCTTCTGCGTTGTCCTGCTCGGCCATCTTTAAAGTGTTGGACAGGTGTTGCTGAACCCCCAGCAGCTGCTCTCTCTCAAAGCGGGCGTTATCTGCGAGGTCTGCGTAGCGCTGCTCCAGCTCCATGTAGCGTCCGCTCTTGATGTCCTCCTCCAGCACGTAGGATATGTGATGTTCCTCGAGCAGAGAGCGCAGGTACTCGATTTGTCTGCCGTACAGCTCCAACTTGTCGCTCTGCTGACACAGAGAGTCCATGAGGATCACCTTTTCTTCACCCAGCCGCTCGTTTTCTCCGTTGAGCTCCTGGGTGATCTGCTGCAGGTCGGCCAGCTCCTGTAAGGTGGCCTGGAGCTCCTCAGCCGTGCTGTGCTGGTTCTCCTCCATCTGATGGATGCGCTCCGTCAGGCACGCCACTGACACCTCGCTCGCGTTGCCGCTGCTGCCCCTCCGTGAGCGGTCCCTGCTGGGCGCGCACTCAGACTCCGATGAGGATGAAGCTCCAGAGGGGGCATCCAGGGCGTCGTCGCTGGAGGTGACCGCCTGATAGACCTCGCTAGACTCGCTGTCCAGGTTGTCAGCTGAGCCGCCATGCTGGTGTCCTGTGAGCAGATCCTCCAAAGAACCAGGCGCAGAGCCTTCAACTGAGGAGGTGAGTGTCCCTGTTCCCCCGCCATCGCTCTGCACGCTGCAGGCTGCCAGGTCTGGGCTCAGGGAGGCGTAGTTGAAAAGCTTGTCAGTAGCGTCCAGCCTCTGCTCCAGAGAGAAGCCCAGGGCGTTGAGCCGGTCTTTTAACATCCGGTTCTCGCTCTTCAGCAGGTTGAGCTCCTCTCTGATGGCCTGGTTCTGCTCTTGCAGGAGAATCAGAGTGGACTCCACGTCAGCCGCTGTGATGGCTGAAACCTGGGGCTTCTCTTCTTCTCCTGCTCCATCCTGCGGCTCTTCCTCCTTCCCTCCCAAGCCAAGCTGGGCCCTCATGTCCCTAAGCTCACTTCGAAGGTGGAGAATCTCCACGTCTTTGCTTTTAGCCAGACCCAGAAGGTCTTTCACCTTTGCCTCCAGAGCCACCTTATCACTGATCTGACCATCTGATTTAGACTTGCTCATGCGGCCTTCAGACTCCACCAGTATCTGGCTGCGGGATCGCTTCCCTGAGGCCGCATCTCCAGCTGCGGTCCCTGGAACCAACTGCTTTTTGTTGGTCGAGGTCCTGGAAGTCCGAAGACGGTCTCGTGATGAATTTGGCTCCTTGGATATTGAAGATGTTGTACGTTTGGATGAAGTACCTGAGAAGGGAAAGATCTGTTACTGTCACGTTTCTGATGAAGATGAAGAAATGTCAAAGTGTGAAATATTTAATAAAAGACAAACTTGATGTTGTCTTTGGCTTGCTGTCCAGGTTGCTGGCATTAGTCCCAACAGAGGCAGTCCTCTTCGTTTTGGTGACAGCACTACTTGATGCAGGATTTCCTCCGGCCATAGCTGCTAAGAGATCATCGTTGCTTTTAACCTGGAAACACAAAAAAAAAAGTGATTTAAAGTTCAAACTCGAAGAGCCTGAATTCACCTTTGTTTTATTTCAACACTCATCACGTCTTACTTTGGACAGAGGCGCAGTGGTGCTGGTCTTGGCCACAGACTTTCCAGTGGTAGTCGCGGCCTCTGCCTTCCCTCGGTCTCCGCTCGCCTTAGTCACCACTGGTCGGACCGACTTCTTCATGCTGAGCCCTCTGATGCCGATACATTGACGAATCGATCTGGACACACAGAGAAGGAACAAAAGTGTGGTTGTCAAATCATCTAAACGTACATATGAACTGAATTTGTGGATTTCATCATCTTCAGGACGTAAAACTATTAAAATAATTATAACTTAATTTACATAACACTTTTAAAAACAAGAGTTACAAAGTGCTTTAACATGCAGGAAAACAGCGAAGATAAAAACAACAACAACAACAACAAGAGAACACTTGGGTGACGGAGCCTTGACACCACTAAAACTCAGACTACATGTCATCATGTCTCATTACTGGCAGGAAAGAAATAAGATAAAATAAAATCAGTGGAAGATATAAAAGCTTTGATGAGTGCCACAAGAGTTGAGACGTCATTGAAATGAAGACATTAAAACAAAGACGTTATAAGAACCTGTGATACCCAGCCAACACAGGAACCCAATCACAAATACCTGAGACCAGGGGGATGATTATAAAACATGAATAAGAAAAGTAAAAGGTTTTAAAGAAGACAAAATCAGATAAAAACAAGTCTATAAAAATGAGTTTTAAGACATGATTTAAAAATCTCTAAAAAGATTCAGAGATTCTGAATCGGCCCAAAATCTGTATCAGATAAGTCCACGATCTCACATTTAATGTTCTACACTAGTCTCCTCAATTCCTAAACCTTGATGTAGTTCTGTTAAAGGAAGCATTAATGAATGAATGAATGAATAAATTCAATTTATTTTGATTATAAATTACCTTATGACCACAAAGCATAACAATTTGTGTGAATCTAAAACTATCAAAAAGAAAATATGAAACAAAACAAAAAATTTTGTTCTCTCTGATTTCAGACAATATCCTCCACACAATCATTAACTAAAAAAGGAGCGGGCTGAAGCCCAAAGGCTTCTTTATACCTCTCCTAAACAAACCATAAGATATCCCAGAATATCAGCAAACAGAAAAAAATAAATAAAGAAAAAAACTAAATACAAAACAAAAACACAACAAAATAACTATCACTCTAAATTAAAGCTCTTAATTATTTTCTATTTTAAAGCTTTTTTTAGTTTGGCTCCCAGAACTGAAACACATCTATATTTTACATTTGTTCTCACTTTACATGTTTTGAAAGTTCACAACCTTCTTTATTATACTTTCCTTCTCTTAATTAAAAAAAAAAAATGCTGAATACAAATGGGAAGGCTTTTATTCTGAACTCTAACGAGTATTGCCAATGTTTAATGCAAGTAAATATCATTTTAGCTCTGTTTTTTAACTGAATATGAGCTTCAAATTATTAACAAAAAAATGGACACTTTTATTCTGTTTGCTCTGCAGATACATTTAGTGCTGCTTAAGTCAGCTGTGGGAGACCACCCATGACAGACGAATGTAAGACAAACACTGAAACAGCAGACCACCCCCTCCACTAGATGGCTCTACTGTGTTTGTTTTCATTCAGTCCACAGTTGGATTTTTTCAGCTGTTTTAGTAACAGACAGCGAGATAGAGACGTTTTGAATTTGAAATAATAATAAGGTCTCAGGATCAGCTGACAGGGCAGGAGTTTTCAATCATTCAGGAGCACCAAAAAAGGAAACGTGTTCTCCTTTACAGATCAAAGTGAAAGTTCAGACTGACATAACTCTGATAAACCAACATGATGTCTGTTTTTCTGCTCCTGGGCAACCACTCTGCTTCGTTTCATACCGAGCAGCTCAGAAATCATTTGGAGCAACTTTTCTGGAAGATTCTCTCGAAACCAGCTCACAGTTTCTGGCTAATCTTCATGGCCGAGTGGGATTTAATGTGGGGGCAAAATTGGACATCAGAATGTGGATTAAAATCAGTAACAGGTGAAACAAGAGTTTTCACTCAAGCTGTTTCAAATAAAGTCTGTAATGAAGTGGTCCATTGCAGCTTTTGCAACCCTGTAAAATCATTTGGCACACATTAAGGTGCTGAAACTGGCTGCAAACAAATAAAAAAAAGCTTGTATGAAACAATAAGGGCTTTATTTAGTGTTGTTCACATGTTGCGTCCAGGTCTGCAGAGAACCTGACTTGATGCCATGATGCGAAGAAAAGCTATTTGGGACACAGCTGGAGACAAAGAGTAAGTACTTTAGCACAGATTTGGATGTCTCGGAGCTCTGCTTGCACTGAGGCTCTGAAGAGGAAAAAGTGAGCCGATGTTTTTTTTACTGCACACAGGAAATCCAGCAAGAATCTATCTCTGAATACCAACGCTCTGTTGTCTTCAGAAGCTGTTTTGTTATTTAGATATCAAATTAAAGACAAACACAGATCAGCAGTAAGTTGTGCTGCTGTTGGCCAACTGCATCTTTTTCTGGAATCTCTGCAGAATAAACACACACAGCGAAAAAAAAACAATCAGTGTTTGTCATCTGAAGAGCTGGGAGACATCTGCGCACAATACTCACATCTGACGCACATACACTCGACTTTCTCTTGAATGCAAAATAACCTGCTGCTGCTAAACCTCGACTGCAGGATATTCAAAACAAATGCTTTTCTTATTGATGTCAGCCGGGGTCCTCGGTGCAGGTGTTGCTGAGCGCACACAGTCCACTCAGTCTTTCATTTTTTCAGACCAGGTTGTATTCAGTTGGGTATTATTAAGGGGGATCAGATACTTGGAGGTGTGAAGATATTCCTAAAATTTCTATCACCATTGCAGGAAGCAGAATCTTTATATTTCTGTTGCGTACCGTCAGACCACGGACAGTTATGTGTTCATTTGGAGAAAGCAGCTGGTAAATAAAACATTCTCCCCTGCCTCATGCTGAGGAAATGGCTCGTAATGTTCCTCAGCTGTTAAGAGACTGTGCAGCCCTGATGTTTCTGTGCTGTAAAGGTGGATTTTTTCTGCTTAATAGATCATTTCTGCACGTTTATGGTTACAACAAAACCTCTGATGGTGTAACCTCTTAACGGTCTATCGTGACACTGATCTTTGACTATTTTTTACTGATCCATTCCTCTTGGGTCAACACTAGGCTGCTTTTTATGTTCATCTCCATCCCTGCAGGCTTTACCTTATTTGGAAACTTCATGTCATGGCTGTACTTTGAGAACACTTTCTCATGTCTGAAGAGTTCCCTCTACATGTTACCTCAAACTCATATACACGTTATCTTAAATCATCTGTGCAGTAGTCCTATAAATGGTTGTCTGTAGAGCTGCTGTCCTTCAGTCTGTTTGTGCCACAGCTCCTACAGTCTTACCGGGTATGCTGTCTTACTTTTGGCTTAAAGAAAAGCCTTCTGGGAACAACCAAACATACAGAACTCAAAATGTGTTTCAGCATCTATTTATCTCCTCCAATAGGCCACTAAGGAAGTAACTTCTCGTTCAATCAATAGATAGATCGTCATAAGTCATGACCTCTCGCTGGATTATCTCCAGTTCTTATCTGTTGTTGCACACTTGACTCTGCAATGCCTTTATTTGCATTTCTTTATGCATAACAGTGATGTTTGGCTGAGTGGGGCACTCGACAACAAGCCAGTTCGATGAATAGCTGAATGTGTGTCAAAGCAGATGTCTGAAACAGAGAGCTGCTCGCTAAGGCAGGGCTCTTTTCATTGGATCTGAATAGACATGGGATTGCAGGCTAGGGACCAAAAGTGCAGCTAACTGGGGCAGAGGCAGCTGCCTCTCTTTCGCTCTCTGGCTCTGCAAACCTACTGCCAAAAAAGGTTTTCTGTGTACCTTTTCATATCCATATATACATAACAAATCACAACATTGAAGTCATTCATTACTTTTTTTTTAATACAGCCTAAGTGAGTTTTTTGGAGTAGACACACTGCCATTTATGTGATGCTGAAACCATTTCTCATATCCATATAGAGTTAAGTTTTCAACATTGAACTTAATCTTCAATTAAATAAAACTGAAACTGAGGGACACAGATAGATCAAGTTTGTGTACGTCTGTTGAAAGGTTAAGTTCTCACCGGGTCAGAAGAAAATAACACTTGTCTAGACTTAAAAGGCCTAGAGCTGCAGTGTTAAATTACAGAGTTAATATATTCAATGGAGCTGATAAAGACTGACTAAAGGAACTAGAGAATGTCAGGTTCTTTTAAAGAGACCCGGACAAAGACTGAAACTGAGAAAGGACACAGACGATGTGGTGAAGTTAAATCTGGGTAAAACTGGAGGTGGGAGGTGGGGGTCGGACTCACTTGTTAAGACCCTCTCTCTGCTCTCCTCTATTTATGCTCTAACTGTGCAGAGGCACTTCCTTGCCATAACATCAGCTTCCTGTGGTGGCGTCTCCAGTAAAAAAAAAAAAAAGAAAAACAACCTCTACAAAGGTGACTCTGTGGATAACGTGGACATGAAGGCACCAGTCAGTCACCCTCGGGCCGTAACAGACAAGCTACTTGTACAGAGGAATGATCTTTCAATCTGACATGCTGGGTCACAACTTCATGGCTCCTTCAGGGTGAGCTGATGGAGTTTATGCTCTACTTTTTCCTCTCAGGCATTCAGATGTTGTTTCATTTCATTTCATTTAGATCTCTATTAGCTCTGGCTAAGGCCATTGCTATCCTTCCTGGAGTCTACATTTACAATTAGCTCTCCACTGCAGTGCAAAGACACACAAAAACATATCACATGCTCACCCCCACCTTACACTGCCACAGTTAGAGTTATCTTTATGAAACAGTGATTTTCACCGTCTGTCAATAAATGCTGGTCTTTTAAAGATACAAAAGAAACCTCAAAATTAAAAAAGGGTAGGGGAGAGTGGGGTAAGATGAGCCATTTTTCATATTTCAGATCACTACATCAAGTCAATCATAGTTTTGTCTCTAACTAGTGTATCTGCATATATTTTAAGATGTTGTTCATCCCTGCAAACCAACAGAATGAGTGTAAACAGAACTGTCTTGATAACATAGCATGCCAATAAAAGTGGTCTCCTATGGTCAACTTAGCCTGTGAATGGGGGGTAAGTTCTTCCTCCCTAAATAACACTTCACATTCATGTGTATTATATTATACGCTATTCAACTGGTACAATAATTCTTCTTATTGCATATAACTGCTAAAAAGCTGTTTTGTAAAAAGTCATTTTAACATGAGAATGTCTTTAAGTGATTCAAAACATTTACAGCTGTAGTTTTGAAAAGAAAAAGTAAAACATTTCAACAATCTGAACTGAAACTCTGATCCTCTCATCAGACTCTTTCTGAGACTACTTTCTCAGTTTAACCACTGACCCAACTTACCCCTTAACTACTATTATGACTTTATTAGTCCTCTAAACTACAATGGTGGACTTTTATGTGAGGTTTTTGACCTCATGTTGCAGCTCACAGATACCACAATTGATGTATAAAACAAAAAAAAATGTTTGTTTTTTGTAAATAAATGTGTAACCCCTTCACCCATGTGCTTCTAACCTTCTCAGACTCCATGAATTGATGCACATCTCCTACATATTTTGTCACATGATTAATTTCTTTGACCATTTCCAAACACACACACACATAGGCCACAGCTCTGGGATAATATGTCAACTGGGCCACCCAAAGAGGGGACTGACAAGCTGAAGCATCAGTTCATGTTTACTCTCCCGGGGGGCCAAATTTACATTGTTCTCGGCTACACCCACATAAACAGCACCAAAGGCTAACGCACCCCACTGTCACAAATAGTGTTTATTCATCAATACATGCGCCCAAAAAATAAAGTTTAAAGAACAAATTGGCTTTATAAAGAAAACAAACTTCAGGACAAGTTCGCTGCAAACCAAAATGACAACTTAGAAACACTCATACAAACCCTGCTAGCTACTTAGCAAATATTTCAAACACTCGGGGAATTTCAGTTGTTCTATTTCCGGTTTGTTCGTACGCCTTCAAAATAAAAGTTCTGCTAGACACGTAAGCAAGGCGTATCATCTTAAACCGAAAATGCACGTTGAATCAACAATGTTATGAAGAAAGAGGATTACACTCTTTTTGACACAGACAAGAATGCATTTAATACCAAAGTAAACAAAAGCATAACTGCAGATATTCAGGTTAATTTGCTACGTACGATACACTTTCAAAGTACACCCAGTTTTATATCACTTAAGTCCCTCAACTGCTCTCATTTAGGAAATATTGCAACATACTAATACCAATTGTTATTACAATAATGATAACGACCCTATAACTCAAAAATACAGTTATGACAAACATGTCGACATGTAGTGAAGTCTTAATTTGAAATCATTAAAACGCAGGTCTACCTTAATTGTTCCGCTTGATAGCTCTCTACAATCTGATTTGAGTGCTCAAACAATAAATATCAACTTATTTAGACAAACAAAACCAACAAAGTGAATCCGTGAAGATGATGAGACTCTAAAGTACGTCTGTGCGTTTATTTTAGGTCACATTATCCGCTTTTTAATGTCAGTAAACAATGGAGACGGTAAGGCTGCTAACAATGCTACAGACAGGCGAACAATGTTAGCTTAGCCGGCAAAGAGACAGTCAGTAAACTGAAGCAGTAAACATACCTGAGGTTCAGCTAATTTTTCAGTTTGATTCGTTGATTCATGTCCGATGGGAGTTAATTCTCAGTCCGCTTCTCCGCACCTTCAGACGGCACAGGCAGGCAGCAGCATCGGTGTCCGATGTCAGCCCCTCTCTCTCTCTGCTGGCAGCAGCAGCGGCCGGATGATCCTCTACCCCCTCCTCTGGTTGCATCATCTCAGCATCACCATCTAAAAAGGGGGCAAGGAAAGACAGCTGGCCCCGAGGTATTTAAATATGCAGTATTTTATTTATTATTGTCTCCAATATACTACTGGAGGCGAGCCAGAAGTCTGCAGAGCTTTTATACACCCATCCACACACCCATGTTATTATAAGGGGTAGAAATATGACCATGCCCAACAGGCCAACACATCTATTTATGCAACATTTTTCATAAAAGTAGAATAAAAACTACTTAAAAGCAAAATAAAATAGATAGATAGATAGATAGATAGATAGATAGATAGATAGATAGATAGATCGATAGATAGATAGATAGATAGATAGATGCTGTCACAAGACAGTAATTGTGCACAAGAATAAGTAGAAATTATTTCAAAATAAAAGCCCATTTATAAAGGTAGGTCACTGGTTTACTTTCACAAATTCAGAGCTTTCCACCTTAAAGTCTTGGAGCAGAGATTAACAGTTTTAGTGCAATAAAACAGAAATAAATTAGCAGATGATCTTTGATCTATTCACCCTGTCTCTACCAAGAACAGAGGCTCTATAGGGAATTGTACTGTATAGAGCAATACAGATTAATACTGATAGCAAATGAAGATTCAAGATTAAGATTCAAAATAATGGCCTCTTTGAATGAAGATTCAAGGAGGCCATTATTAGTAAAGAAATTCTATTTTTCTAGGCTTTAAAAACTAAAGATCGTTTCGCATTTGTACATGTTTATTAATGCAATTGTATTTTATTGTCTGTAATTTATTGTACTATGTATTGACTGTTGTGTATCAGTGTCTTGACCCCAGGAAGAATAGTCCTGACTTAGGTCAGAACTAATGGGGATCCATGATAAACAAACAAACAATATATGGAGGGGCAAAGCTGCGTCAAGCTTTAATATCAATCAGAAACAAAATAAGGGTCATACATCCAGCTGCAGGATTTTGATCAAGCTTTAGTGTCTTCATAGACTCTTGGGTGGCTCCATGGTGCCAAAAGCATGAATTATCTTGACAAAAGGTTGAGATGATGAAATGAAAGAAAATATAGAAATGATTATATTTCTTAATCAATTCTGCATGATGATTGAGCAGTAATAATAATAATAATAATAATGCATCAGATTTCATAAAGCGCTAAGTTAAGATAAACTCTCAAAATTAATTTATAACCTCAATGATTGGGTTGTAAAATTATGTAAAAGGTTATTTATGGAGAAAAAGTCAGCGAGCATTAATCTTTTCTATGTGAAACCTTCACAGGGATCTTGTAATAGTACTGGAGTTGCTTTTTAAATAGGAAAACATTTTTTTAATATTATATAAGTGGACATGATTGAATAAACAGGTCATGGGAGTCACAGAGTCAGTACTCCTTGTTCCCCGAAGCCCAAGCACTTTTTTATTAAATTCAAAGCAATGTCTGAGCCCATCCTCTGCTGAACAATCTGCATGACATCTCTTTACATAGATGAGATATAAGGGACAGTTTACGGGTGCTTCTGTCAGCAACAATAGGACCAGGACATGTGTGAGCACCATCCAGGACAAATCCAGAGAGTGTACTGAAGAGCATACATAAGAGTTAACATTTATAAGCTTGGATACTCACCACTGACAAATGACAAACTGCAAAAATAAAGTTACCAAGTTTTTATTTACATAAATCATACATAGAAGACCATCTATTCATGTTTCACCCTAAGGATCACAAAGAGTTATTGCTTATTTGACATAAATCACAAGCTTTTAGAGTTTGTGCCATAAAGTGTTTGAATACTGGAGAAGTTCTGGAAAGAAATATGACTTTAAAAAATAATACGAAGCATCTGATGACCAATTGGCTTAGATGTGCGTCACTGAGCATCAAGCATGCAACTTGGAAACATTTTGGTATTCGAGATAATCTGCTGGTGCTCTCATTTCAAAAGCAGTGTGGTTTCGTCTTATAAAGGTAGACTACAGAGGAGGAATGCAGAGAGCAACACATACGTAACTTTTAATGAACAAATCAAATCCAACAGATACTTAAAAACAATGAGGAAAAATGTGAGATATGGACAAAAGACAACCGTGAAATTACAATAACACACATCACAGTTTACATTCCTTGAAAGCATCAAGCCTTGCCTTTCCCTGGAATGATTTGCCTTTCACTTCTCTGTACCCTCTCCTAAAAGCACTCATACCGACACGGACATCATGAACTGAAGAAGGACGTAGTACAAATTGTAAAGAACAGATGGCAAAACACTTCAAACGACCATGTCAACATGCCTGCATGTTGCTGAGTGATAACTACAGTTTTAAGTCTCTTAATTTCAAATTCTGTACAAATGAATAGTGTGTAAACATCAGGGTAACTGAAATGTTCTACTGGTTATCAGCAGGGAAACATTGGCACAGGCAACTTTGAACCAAGTCAAACATTTCTGGGAAAATAAACATTTACAGACATAAAAAAAATATGACCATTCACCCCAAACATTCATCAGTCATCCATCCACAGAAAAACAACTCAGACGAATATGAATACAGCAGAACCCCCTGCTGTTAATATGGGGCTAATGTACACGGCAACAGACCAGGGTAAAGGAAATACGGTGCTGTCATTTATGCTTTTTGTAATTTAAGTTAAGTTATGAATGGAATGATACAAGCTGGGCATGGGTCTATAGTTTTTTCAGCAGGTAAGCTCAAATGTAAACAGAACACACACTCATCATTTCTTCGCAGAAATGGCTTTTCATGGTGGCTGTCTCCAGTTTGTAATGTGTAAATAGTTCCACCTTGTGGCTAATTTCAGTAACTTTAGAAATAAAAAAACAGCCAGCATTGACTGCTCAGCAGCATCAACAACATAAAGCAGCTGACATTCTGCCTCTAAACAGAATATTTATGGGTTTTTATTTAAGTGCTATACTTCAGTGGAGAAGAGAAGGCTTTGACGTTTGCTGTCAGGTGCAGGAATGCTCTCCAGCTGAAGGAAGTAGAGAAGGACTTGCACCTGCGTACAAACACGGAAAGAAAGGGATCAGATCCACAAAGGCAGATCAATCGTTTGCGTGTAACTCATCAATATCCTGGTTTAAGCTTTACCTGAGCCATGACTTCTAGAGACCAGCTGTCGTTCATGGAGATCGGCTGTGAGCTGTTGGAGATTTTACTGTCTTTTTCAGAGGGTCGGAGTAGAGTCGGGCCAAAAACTGTGGCCAGATTGTGTAGAGACATCTTGTTGATACACTCCATGTCAGCAACTCTGTGAGAGCAAAACAAAGAAATTCAACATTCAACATGGAACAAGTCCTCTTATTTAGACTTCACTCTTTCATATATTTAGTTCAAATGTTTTCACCTTTTGAGATGGTCCAGCAGGAAGAGGAAGGTCACCAGGTTGGGCTCCGGCAGAGACAGCAGTAGGTTGAGCATGCAGCTCTCCTTGGCCACACTGTCGGACAGAGCTGCAAGGCAAAAGAAGACATGATTTAGTGGTGACTCAGCTAACAGACATATCTCTGTCCTCTTGGCTGCTCATGTTTAGACAAAAACAAAGAGGTGGTGACTGACCAATGCCTCCAGTGAAGTTAGGGTAAAGCTCATCAGTGAAAAGAGGCTCTGGGAGCTCACGGAAATACAGCTTCAGTGTTCCAGCGATGGCATTTACGTCCATCTCCCTCATCATGACTGACACATCTTTGTTGTCTGTGGGGAAGACGAGACAAACAGTCAATTCCAGGAATTCAAAACACTCTGCAGTCTGTCGTCAGGTTTTTCTAGTTCTTCTCTACTTTTAATCTGTCAGTTTTGATGACAAATTAAATCCAGATTTAACTCACTTGAATCAAAAGACGCCTTCAGTGTCTGGATGTCAGTTGCCACGCCAGACACTCTGTAGATTCCCACCTCCTCCATCCCCCGTCGCTCAATCTCCTCCACACACTGTCTCACAATGAGGGGAACCTTCGAGCGCTCTCGCCTGGAGGAGAAAAAATACTTGTTCCATTATCTCTGTCACTAACCACAAAACTGTGTGTACTACTGTTGTTGTCTCTGCCAATCTCTCTCTTTTTCTGCATCTCCCTCTCTCCTCTCTCTAAACCCAACAGCGGCAGATAACTGTCTAACATGAGTCTGGTTCTGCTCAGGGTTTCTGCCTGTTAAAAGAAGTTTTTCCTCTCCTAAATGCTGCAAAATGCTACGCTCATCTGGATGGGTTTAGAGTGGGTCTTTTTATTGAGCATCTTGATGTAACATTACTTGTGAACTGGTGCTAAATAAAGACTGAGTGACTGACTGAGACACCGATGATACAACTGATGACACTACAGTGAACTAGAGCTGTCATTTAGAAAGTTGCTATGAAGACAAATCAAACTTGGGACACATAAATATATTTCGGTTAGAATATCACTGAGTAGCAAAGATATGTAAAAGCTGGCTTACATTATCACGAGACACATGTAACAAACTCACTTAGTCACGACGTTGATCTTCACGCCAAAGACGCCAGAATGTTTCCGTGACGGCATCCGCTTCAGACTGAACTCTCTGCTGGTGAACTTCATGGAAAGTTTCACTTCGATCTGAAACAAATAAAGACTTGTTATAGAAGGTAACCTGATGGTCTTCGTAGGTAAGTCATTTTTTTCTCAGTCGTGGACAATGGGTCTACGTGAGGCATGATTACCTAAAAAACTGAAGAATAAAACAGTAGTGGGTCTGAGCTTAAAAGACGGGGCTCAGTCTCATCCCAACTTCACTTTGGGTCTTTGTAAATGGATTTTGGTCAAGACCAGCTTTTTCAACTTCAACTTCAGTGCTGGAAATAATCTTTCCCTTAGTGTGAAAACACTTACCCCGTTCATGGCGATGACTGTCCTCTGCCAGTCTTTATTTTGTAACGCCTGAGGATCCAGCTGAAAGTAAACAAAGACAATCATCATTTTAATTTTTTAATGTTGTAATGATTTAATTTAACTGGGGTTCCCGTCCCAGTTGAGGACACTTTCTGCGTGGATTAACGAATGAAAGTCGGCTGAATTAAAGTGTTACCAGCTCAGCCACAACACAGCCTCACATAAACGGTCCATATGGTCGGGCAGTGTCGTCTCGTGCCGCTGATCTATTTCAGTCATCAGACTAATACCTGCCCATTGACCTTTATTTGCACTGATGAGCCATGTGTAATTTAATAACATCCGTCCTAATGCTTTACCAATCATGGATGACTTTCTCCTCCCTGGATACGAAGAAATCCCCTTTAGATCATCCTTCGACTAATGAAATAATATGCTATACTTTTACGTTTAGAGACAGTACGAATCATAGGTAGACACCTGAAAAGAGATAAATCCCAACAGAGGTTCAACACACCGTACCATTTAAATAGATTTCTACACATTTTCATAAAAGAGCCAAGAAACAAAAACTTTTCCTTCACTGTAAGTTCTGAGGCGACCTCCCTTTAAAACAACACTCCTGAAGTGACTGTGCGTCTTTACCTTCGGCCTGAGCAGACTGCTGCGGACGCGCTCCCACAGACGAGCCCCTGAGCTTGGGGTTCTTCTTTGATGGGTGTCTCCCTCTTCCTCTGGACCACTAACCTGATCCATGCCCTCCTCCTCCTGACTCTCACTCGTTCTTTCAGGCATGAGCTTTTGATTTCTGAATGCTTCTTCCCCTGACTAACAAAGACACCTTATATCACTACAGCACTGACACGAGCCAACAAGAGCAGCAGGTCCCTCCTCTTAGAACAACCAGACGTCGGTCACATCGCCTCGAAGAATCCTGATGCTCTCGGACCGGTGTCTTTCAGTGTCTTTTTCTCTGCATTGTTGACCTAAATCCTTTCATTGTCGAGGGAATCCAAAAGAGAACAAAGCCACGCAGGTTACCGCGCACGCTTGCTTGCGTTGTTCCACTTCTCAGATGGATTTAGGGGATTAATTCCTGAGAATCCCCTCCTACCCTCATTACCAACGTGCTCATGCCTGCCACAGTCAGCAGAGCTTCCTGGATATCCAACACCTCAAGTGCAGGTATACCCGACTATCAGGACCACAACTGAGCAGTTCCTGTGACCTCTAATGGCAATTCCCAATAATTATGAAAAGTCATGATATAACCCTAACTTTTTATAAACTTCTACCTTTTCCAGAGGGTCAAAAATACCTATTCTGCACCCTCGGAGAAGGTTTCACAATCCAGCACTGACTACTTCGATTAAATTCCCATTTTTATAAGACTTGATGCAGGTTATTCAACAGTTTAACATGAGGGATTTCGTAAGAATGAAATATTTCAACTCGTGTATCTTTCTTTGTCTGTTTTTCTCAGTTAAAGTCGGATGAAGATGAAGAAACAAAGCAGAGGGGCCAACAGGAAAACAAAGCTCCTGAAATCTCTAAAATACCTGACAGGTGTCCTTTCTCCAGGCTGTTAGCTCTTCAATCACCCAGCTTGTATCTAGCCAAGGATGTCAGTAGATAAATCCCTGATCTAAGAGCCCTCTGTGTCTGTCTCCCTCTGTCATTCTGTGGAGCGGTGCCAACAGCTACATTCAGCCAATCTTAGTCTAATCCGCCCTCTGTCACAACACACTGAGCCTGGGTCAAGTTAAAGCAAGCCACAGGCAACAGAATGGCTCATTTCTTTTTTCAACAGCAAAGGGCCCCACAGGGCAGGATTAGCCTACAGAGGTCTAATGGTTGGTCAGCAGTTCAGGCAAGTTACCACTGTGAAGGTCCTGCGGTCGCATGTGGGAGCAGTGTCCACCCACATAGACACGGATTTGTTTCCGATGAACGTCAGTGGAGCGGGAGCTAATTTAAGGTCAAGCTTTGTTGCTATATAGGATAGTTTTTAAAAAAGCCAGTGAGAAGTTGTAAATAAAAACAACTAAAACGAGCCTGATTAGAGGTTTTCTGAAACTGCAGCCCAGAGAGGCCATAAATACAGTCCACCACGAGTTTAAAAGCAGGAAATGACACCCAAGATCTGATCAGCCACACAGGAATCCTGAACTATAACCGGCTATATGTCTTTGTAAATGATAATAATTTGTGTGTGTGTGTGTGTGTACATATTTTTTCCGGCCACCCCTGACTAGGCCACCCCAGTCAAAAAGGTCTGGACACATCCCTGTTTACAACTTAAACAACTTCAATTTACTCTAGGGTGACCATATTCTGACTTCTCAAAAAGAGGACACAACTACGCAGGGGCGGAGTCACGGAGTCGCACAGAGTTAATTTTGAGAGTTTTTCAGGTCAGATCGAGTGTCTTTAACGCGCTTCTAACTCAGTTAGTCCACGTGACACAAACTCAGAACTTTCATGCAAGGCTGCAGACATTTGAAGGATTTTATAAACTACCCCGGACAAGGCCAGACAAACCCGGACAGCCCCCAAAATAGAGGACATGTCCAGGTAAAAAAGGACATATCTTCACCTTACCTAAGTCAATCCTGAACTATGACCGCCTATATGCCTTTGTAAATGATATTCGTTTGTGTGTGTGTGCGTGCATATATACTTGGGTCACCCCTGCCTACGTCATTTCCCTGACTGGGCCACCCCAGTCAAAAAGGTCTGGACACACCCCTGTTTACAAACAACTTTAATTTACTCATTTGTGTCAAATCTTTTTAAATTCTCAAATTTTATTGGTTGAGATCTGAAAATCTTCTGCTGGGTATCTCTAACAAAATCATCAAACTCTTCTAAGCCCAACATTGAAGCCTGGCCCTGATTTATCCCCACCTTTATTTGTCCTTTGGCCATGATCTTGTCCGTGATCTCTCCATCTTCTTTGCTCTGCTTGGTTTTGTTGCAGCATTTATCGTAGCAGAGAAGCCTCAGAGTTTGAGAGCCTTCCAGTTCGATCTCAAACTCCTGGGATATAGAAGGAGCACAAAGAGGGATTACTTTATGTATTAGCCTGCTACATCTTTCTGAAAACTTTCCGAGATTTCATGCTTTTGTTTTCAACAGAATGTCTGTAATAAACAGTGTTTACTGGCTATTTATGTTTCAGACCTCTCCTCTGATCTGCACTCTCACCTCATTCCAGTTCGGCTCTGTAGAGTCTCTGTACACACGTGTTTTGGCTTTGTTGACAAAGTAGCCAAAGGAATCCACCTCGAGGGAGCAGTAGAGGTCTTGTGGACACAAGAAGAGGGAGATCAGAACAAAACTAAAAACAAAGATTCATATCAGTCATCTGATTGAGGCACGTCCTGTGGATGTAGAGTAGAAAGCCTGCAATGTTGCAACCACATGCTGCTCCACCAGTCGTCCCTCTGGTGACATACTGTTCATATCACTTTCTTAGGTTGTGGTCTAATCATACAGATGAGTAAGGCAGTAATCTGAGAGAGGCATACTACAGGCAGTTTATGCGCACTGTCCCCGGTTAATCCCACTTTTTGCCCTGCAGCTGCGCACCCATCTGACAGAGAGAGGGCGGGTTCAGCAGATCAGCCCAGACTAACACAGAGGATGACGTGACTCCCTGTGCAACCTCTGGAATTATTAGTGAAAGGATTTCCACAAAAAACAGGGAGAATAAGCCACTTACTTAAGCTCTTTTTCAGCCCAGACGCAGAGTGCACAATGACATTTAGGAAGCCATATAAACCAGGGGATTCATCATCTGTGGAGGAGTGAGTTCAGATTAAAGATTAGGATGAAAATAAAAGATAGATCGTCATGTACATGCTGAATTAAAAATATATATATCGAATACATGGGGACAAACCTTCTTTATTCATGGTCATTGGGATGGTGTGAACAGTCTGAAGTTTCACACATGAGTTAGTGAGCATCTGCAACTCCAGGGAAGTCAGAGAGAAGCTTTTAAAACCTGCAGGGTAAACAAAGGAAACAAAAACGTAAATCGGAGTATTGTGAAAGAGTTTCTTTGTGGTAAAAATACTTCTTTGCAGTTGGAAAACTTGTTTATTTCCCCTTTTTAATTGGGCCACATCTGTAAGAAGCGTGCATTTGTAAGATGAGCAGCAGAGCTCAGTATGTCGGTTTTGCCCATGAATGAAAATATGCAGAAAGTTTTTGGACATCTTACACTTCTTCTGCTGCTCACGAATGATCTCCCTCCACTCGGCGCGTTCATAGTCAGAAGAGATGAGAAACATGAAACCCTAAAAAAAATAAAAAGACATATAGAGAGGATAAACTGTGAGGCAGTGAAGTCTTATGCTGTGATGTCAACATGTCAACAGCAGAGGGCAGCAAAGACCAAACTGGGATGTTGTTCATTGCTGATGCATGTTCCCTAAATCAATAGAAAACTCTGATAACTTATAAACAAAGAGGTAGATTGAATTCGTTTTGGGGACTTACCTTTCCATTCCTGTTGGCCACTCTGAACGCCATGTTTGGAGACATGAGGAGCAACAACGACTCCTGTTCTGATAACTTCTTCTTTAGCCGCTCGATCACTTTGATTCCTTTGGTGGTTCTCTGAATATAAACGGTGAAATAAAAAGATGTTGCCAATAAGAAAAGGACATTATAAACTATGTGCTGGATTTTGGATTGTTAATTGGGGTGTGTTTATCCAACCTTCTCTCTTTGGATCTCGTTTTTGATCTGGGAGATTCTGATCTTCATGGCATCAATTTCCTCGTCCTGGACCAGAGGGATGGAGGTGGACTCGCAGTCCTCGATGTTCTGGAACATCAGGTCAGACAGTGGGATGTACCACTTACAGTCGTACTGTTGCCCTTTCCTGTCAGAGGAAAAGATGTCTCATTAAATGATGCTATCACTCAATAATCCTCATATTCTAGTCACAAAAACCACAAACTGTTACACTATGGACGCCACGTTTCGGTCACGCTCACATGCTGGTCAAGGATCAGACATCACCCAATACTCACCCTGCGGTCTGTTTCTTTAGCTTGGTGCAGAGCAGCAGGTCAGTGAAGAGGAAGACGTGACGCAGTTTCCTGGAACCTTCAACCAGCTCCACCATGAAGCGATCCCTCAGCAGCTGACGGTTCTACCGACAGGAAACCAGAAATTACATCATTAGAGGTGAAGCAAATAGCTGTCATATAAATCAGACACACTCATAATAATCTTTATTCTTTATAACTTTTGAGGAAACACTGTTTCTATAGCACCAAAAGCAAATAGATGTCACACTCACAGCTGATCTGATTGATGCTCTACATTGGTGCTTATTTTAAACTGGTTTTGTTTTGGTTCCTGAAACAATGACTTTGTGCTGATGTGTATGCTCGCCTCTGATCTTTTATTGTCTGTGGTGTACAATGATTATACATTCTCATGTTGGGAGTAAATAAAAGACAATAAATCAGAAACAGAAAGAGTGTTCACTGTTCATTAACCAGGATCAGCATATAAACACATTCATTACACTTAATACAAACTATGGTGATACTCTAACTTTCCATCCTTTCACTGATGTACAATCACACAGCTCTGAGTGGTACTTAATGGGCAGGAAATATGAACAGAAGTTTGCAACAATAAATCATTAATAAAAATCAAAAACGAGAAAGAAGAGGGAAATAATAATCATGATGGATTGGCAAGTACTGACATGCCTACGTGCAACAAAGAAGGTGAACATTGTTAACCAACATCCTTACAACTCGACTCCAACTGTGCAATACAGTAAATCAAATCAAAGTTGAATGTTTTCATGATATTATGACTAAACTGCAGTTAAAATGACACATCCTGTTGGAGTAAAACTGAAAGTCATTCTCTTTATACACTAAATGCTCCAGCTGGATACTGTATCAGTACGCCGGCTTTCCTGTTAACTGTCCATTATCTTGTTTTGATAATAAATCTGAATTTTCAAAGCTCCTCTAAGCCTCATTGATCCTTTCAGCCTGAGGTTAGAGGCACATGAAATGGGCACGAGCTCTTCCTGCAGCCGCGTGTATCTACATTCCACCTTTGCCTTTTGACCTCTGGACTGTTTACAGCGACTCTGCCCATGTGAGACTTCATCATCCCACATCAACCGTCATACTGCAAAAACAAGGAAACCACTGCAGCGAGGTTTTTCCTCTATGTTTGCTGCACACCCCAGCTCAGCTCAGCTCTGGTTGGATACAGACATGTCGGCCAGGCCCTCTGACATGTTCAGCGCTGCCCTGGTTTCAAGAAGAGGCAGCAGGGTCAATAATCCAATGGAAAAACAAGAGCTGTGGCTGTGCACAGTGGGATCTCTTTTATTTGATGCTATGTAATTAGCAGCGAGGCATATACAAGAGTTGGAACTAAACCAATATGTATGTTTAAACACCCGTAGCGATTACAGTCAACCACGAAGCAAACATCAACAATGGGTGTCATACAGTCAAGAGTTTACCAGAAGTATTTATATCTGTTTGTTTTGCTCTCTTGTAATCTTTAGATCTCCCTTTGGGAAGACAATACACAGAGCAGTATTCCCAAGAAGATCTTTGATTAAATATCCCGCCATCGTAGGCGAGGCCAACTCCAAGAAAATACAAAGGAAGTTCTCAGTCAGGTCATCTGAGTCACAGCTCTGAGACACGTGCACAAGAAGAGGCAGAGGGGGTCATACAGCAGGAGTGAATTGGTCCATACCCTGAGGAAAAGGCTGGGCAGACAGTGAGGTTCATAAGTGAAGCTGTAAGTCACTTCTGGGAAACACAGTAGACGCTGCAACAGGACAGGGTGGGTGTGGGTGTGAACGAAGGGGCTGACCAACAGGTTTTCCTGGTTTGCTGCACAGAGACCCCCTCGCCTCTAGTGTTTGCTCTGCTTTGTCACGAGCTTCCTCTTCCCTCACAACTAAAGCAGACAGGCTGAGATGAGTCAGCAGCAACCTGACTCACACTCGGATTTAATGGCAACTTCCAGACACCTTCTGCTCGGAGCTTTTGCGGTGAACAGCCACGATATGATGCAATCTACGGGGGCAGATATGATCCTGAATTCCACCAGCTGCTGTTTGAGAAAATCATAGACGTGAAAATGTTCTTATATTCTGCACACTATGTTATACTTTGGGCTCAAGTCTACATCCAAGGGTTTTATGAACCAAGAATTTAAGTAGCTAATCTCCTCTAATCTCCTTTAACACCAGCAGTATGGCTTTTATGGCAACATCACTATGTCAGTCAATTAAACACTTCATGAATGCCCCTGAGATTGGTTTGGTAGGGTGACCATTCGTCCTCTTTTACCCGGACATGTCCTCTTTTTGAGGGCTGTCCGGCCCAGTCTGAGGGAGTTTATAAAATCCTTCAAATGTCCCGGGTTTTGAACGGAAGTTTTGAGTTTGTGTCGCGTGGACTTACTGACTTAGAAGCTTATAAAACAACACTCGACCCGACCCGAAAAACTCCAAATTTATGAAGTGCAACTCCGTGACTCCGTGACTCCACCCCCGCGTAGTCGTGTCCTCATTTTAGGGATTCAGAATATGGTCACCCTAGTTTTGGTCAACCTTTAAGTACTAATGCAATTAACATCTCATGATTTATGACTATCAGCTGAACATGAAGTTAGGAGCCATTTTTAAGCTATGTTATTAGACAGGACCGCTTAACAGATAGATGTCAGAGTAGAGAGTCAGAGAACATAAGGAAAAAATAAATTGGCAGGATTCAGTCCAGAGTTTGAAGATCGGGTGCAGGGTTAAGCTGCTGGGCTGATCTGGCGCTCCAGGTTAGGAGCTACCTGGCAAATGCAGACTTGCCAACATGCGAAAGTAAAACTAAAAGAAATGTGATGAATCAGAGTTTCCCAGAGATGCAGCATGACGGCTGAAGAAAGTCAGCTGCGGGTGGTATCTGCAGTAGGGCTGGAAGATATGGCCTCAAATCAATATCACGATATATTTCAGTTCACCTCGATAACGATAAATGGACGATAACTTCTCCACAAGATGCTCAACCCCCTCGGTTTATTGCCCAGCCCTAGTCTGCAGCATCATGTCATTAAAACCCTGAACTTTCCCTCTGCAAGGGATGTAAGTTCTCTACAAAAAGGGCGAGGGTTAGCTCCTCTTAATTTATTTATTTCCTCAACTCAGACTCTTGTTAAACATTGTTTATACATCAATCTGGTTAGTAAAAGTGTTCTGCTTTTCTTCACCAACCTCTCCCTTCTTAATGGTCATGGACTGCCTTCGAGGGGTAATCTCCTCATTTATACTGGACAGAAAGTTCTGGGAGATGCGCAGAGCATCCTGCAGCAGCGGATAGTCCGGGTGGCTGGAGGGCGTGTGTTTCAGAAGGTCCTGGAAAAGAGGAAATGATTACACATTTAATCAACAAAAAAATCTTCATGCAGATCGGATGTTGCTCCATATTTATCCAGGCAGGTTGACTTACATGCAGGACGAGGGTGCTGCGCGTGACTCTATCGACAGGTTTGTAGAGAAGAGCTGTGGAGGAGGAGGAAGAGTTAGCTCAACAGGCCTAGTCGCAGATCAACTACTTATAGCAATATTGATTTCTGTGGAGGCTGGTCATTCATTTCACTCACTACTCACTTTCCAGTGAATTTTTAGCTGACTGGTCTTTGCAATCCTTTGTGCTTTTCACCTTGAGATTCTGGGAGGGCAAAAACACCAAAGGGAACAGTGAGAAGAAAAAAAAAAACATGCTCATTAAATCAAAACAACTTCCCCACAGAGCAATTAAAACCAATCAGCACCTCTGCGCAGAGCGGTGTGGCTCTGGACCGCTGAAAACCGCTTTGTCATCACTTGTCCCCGCCGGCAGCTGTGCAACATCAAACACATGTCTGCCTCAGTCCTGCTGTGTGCAGCATGACTACATACCTCTGATATCTGTGCAAACTGAGCATTCCCCTGGCAGCACTTGTCCGCTGTCTCCACGGCAACCTTATAGTTATCCACAAATGCCCGGTACACTCCAAGCTGGCTGGCCTACAGGGCACCGAAAAGAGAGCAGATTACATTTATTTCATGACAGAGGAGAGCTTTTAGCGGTGATTGCTGGTACTTTGCATTGCCGGTGTATGATGTAGTTATTACAGGAAGAGCCAGAGAGTCAATCTCTTCTCATGTAGCGATCTATTAATACACGTATAAATCATATTTGCTGTTTTCATCTTTGTCAGCTAACAGAAGAGACTGAGGTAGCTCTTATTCAGCGACCTCCTATGGAGCGTTTTGTTCTCTTTTACTGCCTGTAATGTGGTGGAGCGAGGCTTTTATCTGGCCGGGATGTGACTCCAGGCAGTCTACTCACATGTGCACGGCAAGAGCTCCTCCACATTACCAACACTCAAAGGCTTTTTCCTTTTTTTAACCCTTGAAAGTCTCTTCTATTTCTACGACCATGCAGGAAAAAAGCATGACGTTTAAAAAGTGCTGTCATCACTTTCTAAAAGTTGGTGGTCTATTTGAAATATCATATAAACTAATGTTGAGAGGTTTCATGTTATATAATCAGTCTTTTAACAGGTAAACGAAAACATGATCACACCGCTCCAATTCTGGCGTCCCTCCACTGGATTCCCGTTCATTTTAGAGCTCATTTTAAGATTTTATTGTTTGTTTTAAAATCTTTAAACGGATCAGCACCACGGTACATCTCTGATCTCTTAAACGTTCATTGAGGTCTGCTGATCAGCTTCAACTCATTGTCCCTTAAATTCATTTAAAACTCTGTAGCGACCAAGCTTTCTCGGCTGTGGCTCCCAAATTGTGGAATGAATTGCCACTCAAGATTAAAACATCTCCCACTCTTTATACTTTTAAATTGCAACCTAAAACTCATTTTTATTCCTTGGCTTTTAGTTCAGCTTGAGAGTTGTGTCCTTTTCTGTCTTTTATGGTCCTTTTATCACCTTTTGTGTTTTTATTTCATTTATTTTATTTCATTTTAAATGTTTTTTACTTGCTTTTATTCATTCCCTCTTTATGTTTTCTGCAGTTTTTGTTCTTTTAATTTCACTTTGCAGCACTTTTAAATGTTTTTAAAATGTGCTGTATGAATAAAGCGGATTGGACTGGATACTTGCATGGTAATCAAGCATTTGTACTGCAGATGAAGGAGCGTTCAAAGTGCTGAAAAAGCAGACAATCGTTTCTTCTTTGAACTCTCATGAGCCATTCACATGCTTTGTATTTCACTGCTGTCAGACTTCCTTGTTTACTCTGCACGCTGACAATTTCCTGCTGCATTCCGGTTATAAAAAAAATTAGGATAAACAAGTTTTTGTCGTCTGCTCAGAAACATGGTCATGAAAGCCCCTCCTCAATAGTTGTTCCTTGAAATGACAAACTCCAATTCCACTGAAGTTGGGATGTTGAGTAAAACAATTCCTTTCCCGCCTACATTCACTTGAATCCACTACAAAGATATTTAATGTTCAAACTGATTTCTTTTTGCAAATATCCTCTCATTTTTAATTTGACACATTCCTAAAAAGTTGTTCCAGGGTCAACGAAAGTCTGGTAAAATTGAGGACTGCTTCAAAAACACCTGTTTGGATCTTTCCACAGGTGAGTCATGAAATGCGATGGTCTAGGGGTATGGGTATGTTAGAGCCCATAACTAACACTGATGGATCACCTGGGATGCTGGATTTGACAGAAATACTAAGATGTAATTTGCTGCTACAGTATAAAAGTGTTTGTTTACTTTTCTAAACTAAATTTAACAAAAGTGAAAGCCATACCAGCTTCTGGAAGAGGTCTCCCACACACTGCTGGTGACCCCAGTCTTGGACTCGGGGCAGCAGAGCATCGTAGAAGTCCTTGTGGATCTCATGTAGCTCCGGCACTTTGAAGAAGATGGTTTCTATCTGCTGGATCGTCAGCATGGGTTGGGAAGTTGTGGCTGCGGCCCTCAGAGGCTTCATGGGCTGGACAAATAATCACAGTTCAGATTTTATGTTCACTGCATGTTGAATCAAGTGGTGGAAACTGACTATGTACTGAACTTCTAATACCGTGATAAGGAGGATGCAAATTAACAGAATTAGATTAAGGAAGAGCGTCAAAAATCAAGACTGAGGTGTTACATGATGAAGATGAGACAAGTTCTTGAAGGAGTTGTTAAAATGTTAAAAACATGGAAAATAACTGGTAATAAAGAAGAAGACGATACACTTATTTTGGTACTGTCCAGATGTGGCTCTTTTTTGGTGTAAATTGGCAGTATGGTTATCTGAACAAGGAATTGATTTACCACTATCACCTATCAATATAATCTGAGGTTTTCAATAGGAGGAAATATGATGTTAAATACCACTGTGCTTCTTTGGAAATCTTTTATTTTCAAAAATCAACAGGATATTAAATTTGAATTGTTCACTATATTCCTAAAATATTACTACTTACTGATTAAGATTATGACAAAAAGCAAAAACAAGCCAGACCTAGATGGCTGGCAAAAAATTACCAATAACACAAGTTTGGGATGAAGATTTATAGTTTTTATTTTACTGATGTAATAGTTTTCTTTGCCTGTTTCTGAGTTTATGTATATTTTTTAATTATGTATGAGATTTTTTGTCATAGACCAACACAAAGTAGCACATAATTGTGAAGTGGAATTGAAATGATACATGGTTTTCAGAAATTTTAACAAATAAAAATCTGAAAAAGTCTGTTGTGCATTTGTATTCAGCCCCCCTTAAAGAAATAAATAAATTTGTGGTTGTAGAGTGACGAAATGTGAAAAAGCTCAAGGGGTATGAATACTTTTTCAAGGCACTACATTTGTCCTTGTTTAAAATAAAATAAAAAATAAAAAAATAAAGTGGTTGACATACGATCAGCAGGGCCTCCAAGTGGCTGAGGTAGGTCTCCTCACTGGCCAGGATCCCTGACAGAACCCACTTCCTCATCTCCAGTCCCTTCTCCTGATCCAGCTCCACCTGATACGAAAATCAAGATAACTCTCGAGACAAAAAACTCTAACAATGATTCAAGATGTGAAATGAAACCTGCGAAAAGGCTCTTAAATAAACCGCCCACACACCTCTGCAAACCCCTGCTGCAATTATTTTTGTTGTGGTATTACACGGTGCCCAGATTTGATTAAACTCTGTGGGAGTTTTGCATTCCAGGAGGCCTTCGCAGGAGCCTCCTAGCATCATACGGATGAATAATGTGGTTCTTGTCAAGGCATTATTATTATTCCAAGCAGGTCAAAGCCATCAGTCATCCCGCTGCTGTCTATCATGTCGGAATAAGAGCTCGCTGAAGCTGTGAGAATGGCTCTTTCAAGCTCTGCCATTATATTAGTAAGCCTTATTTTTTACACCCCGGCAAAGTTTGGGCTTTGAAGATCTTTACGTTTACACATCAGAGGATGAAGATACCACAGATAGGGCAGGAACGGAGCCAAAGAGGGAGGGGGCTGGGCCTCCTTTTTTTTTTTTTTTTTTTTTTTTGAAACATCTGTTCATCGACAATGTTTGCTGAGCTTGTGCGGTGTTTTTTAAAAGGCACTCCCCTCATGTGGATTTCATTGTAAGCTGATAGATGCTATAGTAGGAGTAGTTGGTTGAATGTCTAGCTGCATGGCAACTCATCTGTCATATTAAAGGGTATTTCACTGCTCTATACCAGCCCTCTTCTATAGAGTCAGGGTAAAATCGTCCTAACTAATACATTTGCCAAAGAAACCGTGAACTTTAAACAGTTCCTTCTAGGACATAAAGGATATAACCTGAGCACGTGCTGAGATTGATTGAACTCGAATTGGAATGAGAAGTAATAAAAGGAAAACCTGTATGAGAAACGGGATTTGAAAGATGTCATTCAGAGAGGGTTTAACAACAGATGCTTTCAAGTTGCATCATGGGAAATGTTGGAATTATTGTTTTACCAGGAAGGTTAAGTTAAAATGTTGACCTTTTCTCTCAATCTGGATCTCATCAGTCCCTAAACTCTTTGGAAGGACAATATTAGATCACTGGAGGGAATTTTCATGGGAAATTTGGTGCTCCTTTAGGCGTTGTGAACACGGTACTCTGGATTAGTACAAAATATTAATACTGAAGGATTACTCCAAAACTGCTGTTGAAGAGACCAAAACAGGGAGGTGGTCCTCCTGCAAACACGTGCATGTCTGAGTATCTGTAAACCAAGAGACACGGTCAACATCTTCCATGAGTTAGAAGTAACGTTACCGAGAGTTGGGACTCCAGAGAGCCGGAGGACTGGGTGTCTCGGCTGTTCCGGCTCTTGGAGCCGAGTCTCGGGGATGAGGACGGAGATCCTGTGAAGGATAGAGAGTCAGAGGCAGGCTGCTGCTCCTCTGAGGGCTCCAGGTCATAGCCGTACGAGGATGAGGTCTCATTATAGGGAGTCTCTGTAAGGTGAAAAAGGACGAGGTTACTTTGTTGTCGTTACACTCGAAAGTTATCGCAGAGAAACATCAGGGGGAGTGCAGGAAAATGAGACATCTGTAAAACACTCATTAAAGACAGTATCAGAGGGTTGTTTAAATGCCACACCTTTACACAGTCCACTTCATTCTCATGTTGGTTGTTTTATACAAATATATTAAAAGTCTGCACAGATATACTCAACATCCTACCACTTGGTAGACATGAAAGTTTCAGACGCCGTGTCGGAGAATTGCTGATGAATAATTTGGCAACTTTTGACACGACAATTTCTCCACACTACTGTGCTAAATAACCCAAAGTATTAGTGTGTTGATGTTTTATCGAGTACAGATTGAGCTTTGAGTAAGTTTAGGAAGGCCACAAAGTCGTCCTCCGGTACATCAGCTGACAGCTCTGTGGATTACCTCAGCTCCTCCTTTCTATACTGTGATTTTAACAGCATCATATGCATCATTACAGATGCTTCCTCTGCTCTGTATTTGGACTCTTATCTGCTTCAATAAGAAGAGAGATCAGTGGTGATCTGGGGATGCAAAAGTTTCCATGGCGCAGGTGGTTTCTACACAGAGGACGGCACCTTTACTGCTGAATGCCTTCCAAGAAGGAGAGTTACTCAAACACATTTTGCAGCCTGGCTCCACAGTGGAAAAGTACAGGTGCTAAACTGGTTTTCATTCCCATTCAAAACAGCTTCCAAACTTCTAAGAGATGAGCCCAAATTGTTGAGCATCTGAAATCCTAAATCAAGCAAAAAAGGGGGAAGCATTTTATCTTTAAAACTGTAGAACCTAGACTACTTGGTTATGCAAAACAATGATGAACAAACCCTAAAATCTTTTAAAACCATCATAAATTTGGAATTCTCAGTGTTTAGTTTGTTGTCTTCATACAATTTTCAATTAAAATAATTGGTTTTAAATGATTCGCAATCCATCAAAATCTGCTTTTATTCCAATTCAAAACAGCATCCAAACTTCTAAGGGATGGAGGTTCATTTCTCAACTATAAACTGATATAAAACTTGAAATCCTAGACTACTTGGTTTCGCAAAACAGTGATGAACAAACCCTAAAATCTTTGAAAAGACATGTTATTTTTAGTGTTTAGTCTGTTGTCTTCATACGATTTTCAATTAAAATAATTGATTTTAAATGATTTGCAATCCATCAAAATCTGTTTTTATTACCATTTAACACAGCATCCAAACTTATTTGGGATTAAAGTTCATTTCTTAACTATAAACTGATATAAAAAGAAAATATTTAACTCCTTTTTTCTGCTTAAAACCATAAAAATCTGTTTTAAATCAACAACCAAGAAGCTGACACACCTGCATATTTAAGAGACAATAAAATCGAAGAACTTGTCTGGATTAAAAAAACTCTTTGAACCTTTATAAACTCGCATTACAGAGTCTCTGCCGAAGAGCAGCAGGCTTTGGCGTACGCAACACATGCTGGTTTTCCATCAGCTGAGGGTTTTAGGGTCAAAGGTTCGCAAAAAGACACTTCTGCAACTGAGTGATGCTAATGTCACGAGACTGTGTAGCAACAGAGGTCTCAAAGCCGAGAAAACAATAGACTAGAGCTTTACACCACAGTGTGTACATGCCAGAAACACATGTAACAGGTCAGAAACATGTGTTGTGTTTGTCATCTCTGTGATTTAGGACCTCTGAGGCTATCTGAAGACAAGGATCAACAAGCTCTGTAAGCTGTAATCATCGTCAGACACCCCTGACTCAACAGCCCTTATCATCATTACTATCATTATCATCCTACACACTTCTCAGCAGTCATAAAAAAAAAAAGGTGGTCGTGTCTCGCAGAAGCTACAAAACTTGTTCACCTCGGCTTGAAAACAGGAAAGAGAGGATTCCGGAAACTAGGGGGGCGGATCAAGCCGAGTCACCCTGGAGAGGCCTGGAAAGTCAGACTAACAGGATGACATCCACAGAGGCCGTGACAAAGGGCTCAAACAAACACACTGGGCCCCGGCTGTATTGACTGCCTAGGATGGGACGACTGAAGGCCAAAGAGCTCCAGAGCGCAGGGGAAGTCCATGTGAAAGGCCACTCTGTGTCCCAGTGAGATTATAGATCAGCCCCACACTGAGTGAATAACAATCCTCTCTCTCTCTTTCTCTCTCTCTCTCCTCCTGGACTGCAAACTGTCTCGTACCAGAGGGAAAAGAAAGCATCAGAGCATGAACAAACACTGTAAAAAAAGAATAAGAGGAGGATCTCTGGAAGTGTTTTACAGGGGTTTTTCCAAAGGCTCAGGGTTTATGTAGGCCTCTCTGGTGTTTTGGAGCAGAGCTATCTCAGATCCTCAGTGAGCAGTGTTGTTCTAACCATCACAAGGACTGCATCTGAGGAAGTGTCCGGGCAGGTCTGTCCGGAAAATTCAGCAATTCATCTGCCTCAGAGCGGAAACAGGCTTTCAGCACAAGGTCATCCTTTCACACACGGCTTCCTCGCCCTTTCCTATCACACATTTATCTCCCGACTATTAAATATTTACAATCCAGACAAACTTTTATCCAGACAAACTGATTCACAATGTGTCTTACTAACTGTACAAATGTAAATTTAACTCTATTCAGTCTAGCTTTATTTTCTAAATGTTGCTTATTTGTCTTTGTAACCGGTTTTAAAGTCATTTATTTGTCTTGCTCTGGGGAGAAGCTGTAAAACACACCACACTTTTAACAGCCTGAACAAATAAACTGAAGCAGAGGCTGCTCTTTTAAAACTTTAACTAACCCACAAAAGAAACGTGCTGTTCTTTTTCTTTTTTTTTTAACATTCAATTAAAAACTTTATATTTTCAGTATCAACCTCAGACTCTTGGACACTTCAGTTCCTGTCATTTAAAGACGTAGTTCAGCTTTTACAGAACACATTTGGTGGGAATCATTTACAATATTCACATGTTTGTTTAAGTTAGCATGTGTGTTTTGACTTTGAATGCCTTTTACAGAGAGAGGGGCAAGTTTCTCTCCATGGAGGCCGACATCTTCAACCATGTGTCTCCAGCTTTGGTTTTATATTGAGTGGCTGTGCAAAATGCAACAGCTTAGAGAAGAAGAGGAAAGTCGTAATGCACAAAATAACTAATTTTGAACAAACTTGACTGATGGAGGAGTATACTAAAATGCATCAAGCAGTTTCTTGTCCTCAAAGGCCAAACAGATGGAGTGAGCAAAGGAGCATTTCATACAAGAAGCTAACGGTTAGATACTGGAGGAGCTTCTTGTCTCCAAAGGTCTTCTCACCAATCAGCTTCAATCATGGGGTAACCCCTGTTTCTGAATATCAATCAATTAATCTTTATTTATAAAATGCCAATTGCTTATTAAAAATGCTAGTCTAGACTGTACTCTATTTAGCATTTCTACTCTCTTCCCATTTCCAGCCACATGAGTAAAAGACTTTACAGCATTTATCAAGTTAAAGTGGAGAGGAAAAACTTCCTTCAACAGGCAGAAACCTCGAGCAGAACCAGACTCATGTTATGAAGTCATCTGCTACTCCTGCATTAGTTTTGAGGATATCAAGGTTACGAGTTTTGCACAATTAAAGGCACAGCTGACGTGACTAACAGGTGAGCACACTGCAGCTATAAGTGAGAAAGATAAAGTGCCTAAACTTCAAATTCTTCCTCTTCCTAGGTTGACAACAATTTACGTTGAGCCACCATTTCCAATAGGCTCCGAAACTCCACTTCAGAAACCAATGAGTGACGTCAGTGAGTCTACATCCATGTTTGATACTCAAATAAACCCTTTCATGAGATATCACTCAATATTACTGTACACCTTTGACCTTAATTATCCACCAGAAAAACAATGTATGCTATGATACTGATGCAGGGCTGGGCGATAAACTGAAAATGTACTGATACCAAAATTTACGACAATAACTGCCGTCATTTTGCCCATAACAGTATATTTGGTATCAAAAAAATAAATAATTAAAAGTTGGTTTTGGATGTGTGTATGTAGACTATGGTCTCATGTCCCTTTAAGACGCTGTCGTACATCTGAGACGTGACTCCACCCCATCTAGTCCATAACAAAGAGGGAAAGACAGGTGAGGAGATGGAGGACGGTTCAAAAGTTGTAGCAGCGGCTGAAGTAGACGAAGTTAACTTGGGAGGGGGTGAGCAGCTTGTGGAGTAGTTATCGTCCATTTATCATTATCGAGGTGAACTGATCAATATCTCGTGATTGATTTGAGGCCATATCGCCCAGCCCTATACTGAGGTCATAATAACATGCACTGGAATGCAGTGAAAAACTGTGAGCAACAAACATTTGTGCAACTTGCAAAAAAAATTAAAATTCCTTTATCATTACTTTGCATGTCTACAAATGCACGTTAACTATGAAATAAAAACTGGTGCATTGATAAAAGAGCCGCAGCAGTATTAAAAAAACTAATACTGCGTTACTCACGTGTACCATTGTTTCCCACAGCTGAGGACATGACCTCTTTCCCTCAATTGTAAAAGCAGCTTTGTAAGCGGATTGAACTTTTATTGAAAATTCCTTTTTAAATCACTGAAATAATTATTGCTTATTGACCAACATACGTGCGCTCATGGAGATTTATTATTAATACAGCTGATAATGTTACCATGACGCCTCAATCGTTTAGTCAGTCTCTCCTTCTCTCACATTGGCATTTAACAACACTGTGTAATTACCAGAATCAATAATAAATAATGCTAATGCCTTGTTTTCACTCTGAATGCAACAACCTGCTCTAAAAAACATCACACAGTCGCCGCGGCTGGCAAAGCAGCTCTTAGTTGCAGGTCGACAGTATCTTCTCCATGTCCCTCACCAAAGTTGCTGCAGCTTAAAAAAAAGCTTTCCACTGTGCAACAGAGCTGTGATAAATACATTGTAATGACATTACATAAGATTGCTGAGCCTAACAGCTGCAGTCATGAGCTGTGTGGAGCTGGGGATCAGAGAGAAGCTGATTTGGTTTTGGACTGTGTCTGATCTCTGTAAATCTGCATTTTTCAAGAATTTCATTTGACTGTATTCCCACCAGTCATTGTCTTACAGATGTCAGATTACAACAAATCAGCAAAAAAAAGCAAGATTCAAGTAAGAGTGTCTTTCTCACACGGAGCAGCACGACCAGAAATAGATCTCAAGGATATACAAGGACTTAGCCAAACAACTGGCTCCTTATTCTCCAGGCCTATTCTGGGTAATAATCACTCAACAGCATGTAAACAACAGCCCTGTCCAGAACACAGACATGGTATTTTTAATACAGGGGACTGGTTGTATCTCTGATTGATGACTAAGCAAGACACACTCCAAGCCTTAATCCTAATCCATAGGGATGAACTATGATAAACAGGCAGAAAGAGGGACAGATGTGCAGCGGAGACAGCAGCAGAGATTCACTATCACAGGAATAATCATGTGGTCGTACTTCTAAACACGACATCCGCACCAAGACAAGAAGGGAAATTCCCTCTGGAGTCTATGAGGACCTTTTTACGACGTGAATGTAACTGAAACATGAAGTTTTCTTTATAAATATCATGGGAGACAGATAGACGTGATTTAGATCTGACTCTGTATCTGTAGATGAAGAGCAGCAGATGAGATATAACTAAAAAAAAACACAATCAAAAGCAAATACAGCGATGCACTCATCTCACAAAATGTTCAAACTAGAATAGTCACATCTATAATCTATAATCCTCCATTTCACAAGCAGGAAAAGGCACAATGCTGAATCGACTGACCACTGATCAGCGTGTTTCTATGGCTCAAGGGGAGCACACACTCGTGTTAGCAAAGCTCTGAAAAGAGAGGGAATCATAGCCCACTTATATCGCTCCCTGCTGGGAACATATTGACCATCCATGTACAGATCAGTCAGCTGATGGGCAGAATTTAGAACACAAGCTCCTGAAAATAAACCCCGCACACAAAAACGCCAACATTGATCCTGCTCAGAAATGCTGTGAATGAGATTTAAACATGTATAATGAACCGCAGAGCAAAGAAAAGGTACAATGGAGAATGGCCTTTCTGTCGCCTCACTAATGGTCGTATAGATCTGGGGAGAAAGTTGCACCTTAGCAGAGAGGGCAGAGGAAGATGCCAGTGTGTGATGTTGTTAAAAGCTCAGCTCCACTTTATGGGTCCGGTAAATGGATTCTCCTCAAGAGTGAGGAGTCACTGGGGAAACAGCAGGAGTTGGGAGAGAAAACTGGGAGGAAAAGTGGCTTTTTCAACCTTTGGATTGGGTGACCCTCAGCCTCGTCTCATGTTAGGAATAAAAAGATCTAATTTGATTTATCTGTATTTTTGCTATGACCCTTTATGACATTCACAAGAGCCCAGATGAGCCCACAATTCCTGCCTCAAATGAAGGTCCCTTCACCGCCTGTCAGCACCTAATTGGTCCAAAACCACATGGTGACTAAATAGGGTCAAACACATCATGACAGCGAGTTAGAGACCCCCTAGAGAGATGAATAGCAATACATAGCGGTCTCATTTCCTCATGGAAATGCAAACAGACCAAGATGCTAAGGCAGAAGAACTCCTGCGTCTACAGTGCAAAATTACTAATATGGTGATTGTTACTTCAAGGAAATGATAAAGAAATGATCATAAATGTTCTTCCTTGAGCTGCGTCACCCCGCTGTAGTCCGTAATGGACTGGCCCAAGGTCTTGCTACAAACAAGCGGCTGCTGGAAGAGAGTAGGTGAGTTTTGCTTAGTCTATTTGCTAAAGAAATTAGACAAAGTTAAAAAGATGTTTGGTGGCTAGTGCTATGGCTGGGACCCTGTATGTACTGTTGATGAAGTTAGGTGCTGTTCTGAGCATTATTTGTGGTTATAGAGTGGCATTTTGGTTGAGGTTTGTTCAAGGCTCCTTAGACAACTGTGTATTGCTATCCTGCGGTTGTTACTAAAGTTGGTATAACTAGAGAAGCAAGCAGTCGGCAACATTCATCTCTAAATTAATTTTACGCCGGAATATCCCTTTAATGTGCCATTCAAAAAACAGATTTTAAAGCTCCTATGAGCAGTTTTTTTTAACACTGAATAGACTAAAATTCACAGACACCTTAGGATTCATCCTCTGGGGAGCAGGGATGTCCGTCTGTTGAGACATTTCTTTTTGAACCAGAGCGGTGGATTATCAGGTCGACCGGCAGACTGACATTACCATCCTTGAGCCGAGCCAACAGCATGGCAGCGAATTTGTAGTCCATCTCAAATCCAGGGAGATTACTCACATGATGTCACTTGAATAAACTTCTCAGACTTGACAAAGCCTTTCCAGAGCCACAGGACACATTACACAACTATTTTCTCACAGGCTGTGTTGTATTCTCTCGACTTTGACGAGCGAAATTGACGGAGTGTCCCTTTACCTCTTACGGTAAGTGAGGCATCTGTTACAGGAAATGCAAACACCGGTTGTGTATTCTGGCACGAAAACGTTCACCAACACATCATCATCATCTCGTTTTGGGCCATCTGCAGTGTCTGCAGGATTGGGAGGCCCTGCAAACCACAGGGGCCGGTGAAGGCAGCGAGGCCCACCATCACTCGCCTCTGATCTGTTGTAGAGCGGTCTAAAATTAGTGCCAGTCATTGAGCACTGTCGGTCAGAACTGGGCCGCCCAGCCCAGCACACCTACTAATCAGCGTGTGTCGAAATAGCTCAGGGTGGTCAGACTACTTCTTGTAATGTGCTGCATATACAAGAGAATCAAAGTGCAATAATTGTTCCAGTCTGTGAAAATACACAAAGACAAAGATTAGCTGCAAAAAATACCTAGATTACTTATACTTTAATACAACAGTGGAGCTGTTATCTTACTTATTTCAAAAAGCACTTAATTCATACTGCAGCATGGCCAAGCTTGAGCCCTACAGCTTTATGTTGGGGTTAATGGGGAACACAAACACAGCCGCTGACGCTGATTAATAAAGGCAGATTAAGAACACACAGCTAATTTAATCAGACATTTAAAAAAATCACACTGACCTCCAGGTATAATCAAATATTCATCTGCGTGTCTGAATAAAATTAAATATTAGTGAAGACACCTCACCTGATGCACTTTCATGTGCTTGGCTGAATCCTAATCTGCCTAGCAACTCAGGTTTTACAGCGGACACTTGAACTCGGGAGACCCATTGATTATGCCCATGCAATGCACAATGATCAAGCTAGAGACACGACTGAGGTGCATTGTGGGAAATGTAGTTTGAGGCTGGTCTGAGTTCAAAAAATAAAAAAATGACCAAAGTATCTCGGCCTCTTGTGTTTTTATTTATTTATTTTGATGTTTAATATGAAAGTTTAATTGTGAATTAGTGGCCTGCCTGTTAATTAGCTGACTAACGGTAAAAGGAAGTGTTTAAATTAAACTGTCACATCACTCTCTCCTCTCACTCTGAACTACTTTGCCGACTGTTAAGAAAACATTTCATCTCAAACAAACTCTGACCAGTAACAACAACAACAAGCACCACGAGTCAGGCAGTAGTGAGAGAGATGAACTCATACAACACTTAACATTTCATTAGTCGTTTCCCCCCACACCCCACAAGCAGCTGAGACATTCCATAAACACTTGGCCTGCCAGCCAGCAGCACAGAGGGCCCTTTGAGAGGGACCAGGGAGGGGAGCTGAGACTGCAGGACCGGAGGGGCTGAGGCTGAGCACGAGGGCGGATCACTGAACCGGGGGAGGCCCACAGGCTCATAAGCATGCCACAGATTTTTTTTTCTAATAAGGTTTTCTATGGAAACGTCCCTTTTAGTATTTAGTATGAAGAGAGAAGCTGATAGGAGTGTGTGTTCCCAGAGTTTGAGAGGTCCCGCATAGTTTCTAAACAAATGTTTTAATTCAGTTTTCTAATACACCAGAACAAAAAGGCTATTCATAACTTTTAGTGGGAGAGCAGCTGGCGATGCCTGGCCTGGTGTACTGATGGCCTGCCAGCTTTTGACCACTTTACCCAGTACACTGCACAGAGGAACAGGTGTCTCACTCGCACACACACACAGACACACACATAGACACACCCTCGCATGGGCAAACCTTGCTGTCCTCAGGAGCTGCCAGTGCTTCCTCCTGCAGGCCTACATTTACTCTAGGAAAGGGTGAGGCTAAATTCTTTTCCTTTTCTTGACCGCTAAACCTCAGATGTTGATATCCAGGTACAATGATAGGTCTGTCTGGGCTTCCATGAGGGACCTCAAATATTCATGAGTCTGCAATTAACTATAGACGAGCACCGGTGTGACTCCTGCTGAGGCAGCAAGTAGGGCTAACCTCTTCACTGAGGTCGAAACATTCAGACAGACTTCATCGCCTTGGAGACAGACCCCTTCTATTAATGTGACATCCATCCCCGTCAGACCTGTCCGCCTCCAGAATCTGTTTAATATCCTGGCTGATGTAGGGTCTGCTTAATGCAACCTCAAAGACCCTCTTGACTTTTCTGAAGGGACTATGATTAAACTAATGGTGAGATTTATTGCCTCCCTCCTGGACTACCCCTTCCTCCTCCTCAACATCTTACTGTAATACATTAACAATGAGACAGCCGACACACTCAGACCTCTCCACAGCCACCACAGAAAGCTGCGGCCACAGGCACGTCACTGCCATGATGATAATTAATTATGGCAAAATAGACCCATCAGAGAGTTGGCCTCCTTAAAAGCCCAAAGCTAATCAGCAGCTCTATTCACAGCCAGGCTTGACAATTGGCCTACATAAGCAGAAACCAGGAGACAACACTTATTCTTCTATTCACAGAAACATCGCCTGAGATGAGATGTGTCAATTTAGAGCGGCGGTTTTGCCAAGATTTCACTCAGACATGCTCAACGACACAGGCAGCAAAGTTATGGGTGTAAAATAGTGTAAAAATGTTGATTTAAACACATTTTGATGATTTTGAAATAGTTTAAACCTTTTATTTTTACAGAAATGAGTGCAGAGACATTTTAAAAGTCAACACTGATTGCTTTATGATAGTTCTTATATTTGATGCTTCCCTAATTCTACATTCTGCATGTATAACAACAGCGAGGATCTGCAGTAGAAAAATCCAGAATCTAAGCTGACCTGCCTGCAGTCCAGACCTGTTGCTCATTGAATATATGTGGCGCATCGTCAAATTAAAACCAGACAAAGGAGACCCAGAACAGTCCAGCTGCTGAAATCCTATATAAGGCAAGAATGGGACTACAAAACTCCTCCTGGTCTCCTTGGTTACCAAATGTTTACAGAAGAGGTGATTCAACAGAAGAGTGAACATCTACAGCTTACTCAGTCTTTTCATAAAGCAATCACATTTTTTTTATGTTTTAATATTTGATTTGTTGTCGATTTAGGTTCAGATTGTTTGCAGTTTCCAGAGACAAAAACTCCTGTAACTTTCAGTCTTTCCTTGCGCAGAAACAAAAGTAAATCCAACAGTCCAGAAAGCCGACAGAAGTAAAACGGTTGACATTTCTCAGGTGCTGCGTGGCTCATAAAGCTTTGTCAAAGAGTTGCACAACACTCAGCTAACTAGAGCACAAAGCGTCTTCACAACACTGAGATTAAGTCAGATTTATTAGGCAGATTTAAAAGATTTCAGTGAATGCTGGAGTGCTTTATGACGCTAACCACATAAAAAAGAGAGAGAGAGAGAAAAAAAGAAAGATTCAAACTGCTGCCGACAAAAAACACAACAAAGAGCAGTTTATTGCAAAAACTTGCCCCAAACCGACTCCCTGCCCGAGGTCTAATCCAGCAACGTGCACAATAACGTTATTACAACATGAGAAAATAAATCCAGACTTCGGCTAATCCACAAAGCAAGGTCCACATGGGGCAGCTGTGCCATTATGTCAACAACAAGTGTCCTCTGGAGTCGAGCTGCACCCCAGGCTCTGCAGTATAGAACATTTAAGCATGAACTCAACAGATTTCACATCTGAAGGGTCTGTTTACTGGCATGCCATGTTTTCTTTCGCTGTATTAAGAGAGTCAAATTTATCCTGTTATGACAGAAAAGATTCATGACTCATGCCTATCAGCTTTCTCCATCTTTTAACCACATTTCTCAGCCGTCACTCCAATTATAACTGAGATATCTCTTGAATTAAGTCGAAATCTTACCAAGAAAAGATAGTTGGAAATGAAAAATCTATTATTCCATTTAAAGATTAAATAAAAAATTCAGGGTATTTTAGATTTTTATCTTTCTTTATAAGTCTAACTCAAGTTCCTTTTAAGTTGAAGAAAGTCTTTGCAGGATTGTTTTAGTACAATCCAAACAATCTGATTTTTTAGACCCCAAATCCAGATCTGATGTTTTGAGTATCTGTTAAAGTCCCAACCTGATACTTAGATAATAGAGCTGTTCAATCACCTCCTCTCTCACCTTTCTGACCTTCACTCTCTCTACGATATTTATCCTATATAAGTCCATCTTTAATGATCTCCTGTTGCACGTTGCAAGTTTTCAGATCTTGTATCATATTGGTAATACTGAATGCAGCTCTACTGCTACTGCCTTGTAAAGAAATCAAAGTTTCTTTACTGCTGTTGGACGGGTTTGGACGTACAAGGTTGCTAATGCTAAATAACCAATGTGTTTGCAACCAGTTCATGATTACCATCAAAAGTTAGACCTACATTGGTACCAATCTTTTAACTGAGATTGAGATGGAGACATCTCTGAAAAGCGCTTGTAGGTCAGATTGAGTCAAAGATCGAGCTGAAGGCATCGAGACGGTTATATCACGGACGATCTGCTTGTTCGTCACATGCTTTGTGTCGCAGAGCTTTGGGATTGGATCACTTTATATAACAACACACTATTCTGCTCATCTGCTTAATCTGACCCACACTGGATAACACTCTTTTTGGGCAGAAGCAGACATTTTTCCAGCTCCAATCCTCAAACATGTCCTCTATCCCAATCCCTCTCTGGCATCAACCTGTAACAATATGATGTGTCCTCATGTGTCGTTTTAGTTGACAAACCGTGTCGCAGAGGAACACACACTCCCGCCTCTCCTTCTGTCCTTGGCATCACTAAGTTGCCTGAACCTTTCTCTTTATCCTTCTTAACATTGTTATATTGTTAGCATGTCAATACTTGTGCTCAATGAGTGATTCTCCTATTGTGTTCACACATAACAACAGGAAGCACTGATGGCAGGCGTTTTGATTAGAAGCTGCATGACACACTTTAAGCCCCTCGATCCTCTTTTTTGAGTGAGTTGTCAGGGCTTTTTCTTCTACCGGCCTCCCGTAACAAAGAGCCTCCCTAAATTTATCACGCTAGACAAACCCCTTTAAGTTAATTACTCTGCACCAAGGACAACAACACTGATGTGTGCTGACACGAAAACATTCAGGGTGGATAGGGCTGAGAGACTGGGAGGCCTGGGGGCAGCCGCTGTCTCAGGCAGAGCATCTCTGCGAGAGTGCTGAAGCACTCAGCGGGCAAAGAGCAGAAGGGGGTAAAAGAGAGAGAGAGAGGGCAGGCTGGCTTACAAAGGGTAAAGAAAACCTCCGAATCGCTGTGTTCCTGTGGAGAATCAGTGCATCTTAAGGCCATTCTGTGAATCCGGACCATATCCTGCCAGGTTTACTTTTACGGCCTGTTCAGACTTTAATGTGCAGGAGCTGCCAATTCTTATCCGGGATGGTTTTACATTCCTGCCAAGCATTGTGGATACATTATGTACAGAGATCAAAATATCTAGTTAAAGGGATATTCCAGCGTAAAATTAATTTAGGGTCAAACACACCATGAAAGAGTTAAACAAACCCCTCGAGAAATGAATGTTGCCGACCGCTTGCTTCTCTAGTTATACCAACTTTAATAACGACCACAGATAGGAACACAGAGTCACTCTACAGCCACAAATAATGCTCAGAACAGCACCTAACTTCATCAACAGTACCTACAGGGTCCTAGCCACCAAACATCTTTTTAACTTTGACTAATTTCTTTAGCAAAGAGACTAAACACAACTCACCTACTCTCTTCCAGCAGCCGCTTATTTTTAGCGAGACCTCAGGCCAGTCCATTACGGACTACAGTGGGGTGACACAGCTCAAGGAAGAACATTGATGATAATTTTTTTTATCATTTCCTTGAAGTAATAGTCATCATATTATTTATTTTGCACTGCAGAGGCAGTAGTTCTTCTGCCTTAGCGTCTCGGTCTGATTGCATTTCCATGAAGAAATGATCATAAATGTTCTTCCTTGAGCTGTGAAACTCTGCTGAAGTCCGTAATGGACTGGCCCGGGGTCTTGCTACAAACAAGGAAGTTAGGTGCTGTTTTGTTGATGAAGTTAGGTGCTGTTCTAAACATTATTTGTGGCTATAGAGTGGCGTTTTGGTTGAGGTTTGTTCATGGCTCCTGAGACCGTTGTGTATTGCTATCCTGCGGTCGTTGTTGAAGTTGGTTTGCAAGATTCATCTCTCGAGGGGGTGTCTAACTTGGTGTTATGGTGTGCTTGACCCTAAATTAACTTTTTGCCAGAATATCCCTTTAATAGCACAAGAATATTAATTCCATCATACTGGCCTACTTTCAGTATAAAGCTTGAATTCTCCAGGGTAAACCTGCTGAAAATCCACTAAAGTGAAATAATAACACCCTGGCAAGTACTTAAGCAAAACTAAAAACACAGTAACCCTGGATTTCTTTCAAAAAAGGAGGACGGGTTGATTATAGGAAGTCAAATATCAGGCCTCATTGAAAGACGGCACGTGTGGTTTTCAGTCATTGCAACACAAGGCAAGGCTGGGCAAGCACAGACATCTTACAGACAGAGATCAGAGAGGCTTTTTCGTAAATCTGTGTCTGATCATCACAAAACTTTGTAATCCTGAAAATGAAAGCGTGATGAACAACTCTATTGTTCAATATGTGTTTTCCAAGACCTACCCAGATCTCCTTGAACACTGTTGTCATGAGAAGTCCTGCTGGACATGGTGGAGTCCCCATCACTTGGCCAGATCTGGCCTTTTCTCCGGACCCCAATGATGGCAGCCTCAGACACCATCCCTTGTTGCTTCAGCCGGTTCTGAGACAGGGATGTGGGTGGACTGTTGCTGTCGAAGGACTGTTGGGAGTGCTGTGAGGGTGAACGGCTTTTGTTCCTGTACATCTGATAAGTGGTGGGACTAGGGGACACGTGGCTGGACTGACCCGAGGAGAAGTCCTCCTCGCTGGATGTCAAGTTCTCATTTGAGCTACAGTCGGGTGTGTAGCCTCCTCCTACATCGTCAAAGCTGCCGGGAGAGTAGGAACGCCGAGGCCAGGTGAGGTGGGAGTCCTCCTCGATGCTGTGGTCCTTAATGTGGATGACCCTAGTGTCCCCATCGCCCATCATTCCCCCTACGTACACACTGGTGTAAGGCTGGCACTCCGCTGAGTGCCGCTCAGGCCTTCCCCCAATTCGGGTCACACCGTCTTTCAGGTGGTGCGGGTTGACCTCGGCATCATCACATGACCCGTTGTAGCCGCAGTTCCCCTCAATGGATCTCCCCCTCTGAAATGTTTTACTGATGTCCCCAGTGGCAGCTGACAAGTTCCCTGGAAGGGAGTGCGGAGACCTCTTCCGCTCCATCTGCATGGCCTGACATCCCAGGGTGCTGATCTTGTCTGACACCTCTCTGTTGTTGACTTTGACCAGCCCTCGCTCATGATGGTACTCCATGTTCACGTAAAAGGGTTTCTCCTGACCGCCCATCCCTCTGCAGTCCGCCGCCGTGTGAGTGTTGGCCCTCCTGATGCGCTCAAAGTTGGATCTCAGAGCTGCTACCGAGCCGGTACCCAGAGGGAAATCAGGAATATCTGACTCCTGACGAACAGGTGATATCCCACCTTTCTGTTTGGCCGGGGATGCGCCGTCTACTTCTGGTTCTGGGTGTGGTTTACATCTGATAGACCTTCCAGTCCTTCTCTGCTGTTCCTCACCTGGTACCTCATCTGTGGGGGACCTTCCACCGGATAGGTCTACATCATTCACCTTGGGTATTCTTTTAAATCCCCATCGCTGCCCATCATAAGACTTCCTCTCTTTAGCAAGAAGTGTCTGCAGGTAGATCATGCGGAAACGCTCCTTGTTTACTTCCTTCTCCAAGTGCCTGATAGAGGTCTTGCATTTGTCCAGCTCCTGTTCGATGTCCCCCATTGAGTTCAGCTCCATGCAAGGGGGGTCAGACTCAGGAAACTGGGCTCTCCATGCCTCTACAAACCCCACCGGCTCAACCATTGTGATTATTCTGAGAAACTGATCAATCAACTAACACAAACATGGACTTCTAAAGCATTTGCATGCTTACAAAAGAAAGCTCCCATAGTGCTGTAGTGCAGGGGTGTAACATCCACTTTAAAGGAAGGAAACCTGCTGGATTTAGTCTTTACTCACAATCCCAAAAGTACAATCCTTCACTGGTCCACTCTCTTTACTCCTTCTTCTTCAGAAACTGGTGAGGATGATCCTTCCTCTCCTGGCTGTGCTTGTCTATCCTCTGGAGGTCCTCTGTCTTCCTCAGTGAGTGGTGTCAGACTGACTAGCAGCTCCCTGGTGTTTTGGCTCTCTGTCAGGCTTACAGTGGCAGCAGCAGGAGGAGGAGGAGGAGGGAGAGAAGAGGAGGAGGAGGGGCTTCACAGGCGTGATTTAGCTGTGCACTCCAAAAGCTGAGAAAATGTCAAATAGTTGTTTCCAATCCAAAACGGTTTTCCAGGTAAAGCTGATTACAACAAGAGGAAATGCACTTCCCTAGAAAATGATGAGGAGGAATATAGGCTCCAATCAGGGGGGAAACTGACACCTTACAGGCTGAGAAACATCTTACCACGTTGTAAATATGACAGCTAAGTCCAGGATCGTGTTGTCCTCGGTTTGTTTCGTCCCCATGTGAAGGAAGAAGACTAGATCTTTCACTGATCACTCAAACGCAGCATTTTAATCTTTAAAGACATCCAGCTCTGTTGAAAAATCTCCCCCCAGTCTAAGCACAGCTCTGCATTAGTCCTGTCTCTTTGTGAAACAACACAGTCTTTTCAGTTTTCAGTCCACTCTGGATAATCCTACCAAAGTTCACTTTGTTGCAGCCTGAAGCCGTACCTTATGAAAACATCGCCACCTGACGGCTCCAGAGATGAGTGAGACTGAGGGTGCATTCAAGTACATCACGGTAAACATGCAGAAGAAACTGTAAACAGATGCCTTATTATGCCATCAACCACCTTTACATAAATATCTAAAAGAACTGTCACTTTTTTTTCATCATGACCAGTAGATCAATTTTTGAACACATGTTAAGAGACTGGCTACTTTTTTCACTGTAATTTTATACAATACAAAAAATATAATGAATTAAACGCAAACACAAGAGTTTCACAAATTGGAAAAGATGGTCAAGGAAAGATAAAAATGTTTCACAATGTTGTTTTCACTTACTACTGAAAACTAAAAAATCAAAATATCCTTACAATTTAACATATGTTATGCTTGTTTAACACATTAGATGTTTTTGGAAACTGATTAACTACAAGAGGACATTTTTATCATTTATCAGACTGTATTCAGGTGTTATTTTAGTAATTTGTTGATCAAATTGATTTGATATAAGTATATGGAAGTGTGTAATAAATATGATACAAAAGGCATTAAAGGGTTAGAAGTGCTATAAAAATAAAAGTAATATTATTATTATTAAATATTTATGCAGTTTTGGGGCCGCTCTGTATTTGACCATATACTAATTATGTTTAATAGAAAATTTTAAATGAATTTTTGGGGGCTTGTGTGGTTATTTTCTTCCATTAAAGACCTTAAAACCCCTGAGTTAACAGTTAATAAACTCATTTCTGTGGACCTTAGTGAATTCAAGAAGTGCGCAACAAGATTCCCTTGAACGCACCATCGAAGCAACTTCCGGTTAGCAACAGCGCCGCCTCCTTGGTTTCCATGGGGCAACGACAACAACCGCTGCCTCCCTGTCTGCTAACTATTAGCGCAAAGAATCCAAACCAGCAAAAATCACCACAGTCTGTATTTATCTGACGATGTTTATACTATAACCAGAAACTACAACTAACTAAACTACAACTCTTTACCCGCAGGTTGTTGTTTTTGTATGACGACGACGACGCCGCTGAGCTAACAGAAACGTTAGCCCCGGCTAATCACGTAGAAGGAGACTTGAGAAAGTTGGAAATATTTCATCATGAGTGAACAGCTGAAATTCATCGTTGATCAACTGAACAGGGAGCCGTTTAAGAAAAACTTTAACCTCATCACATTTGACTCCCTTGAACCGATGCAGCTGCTGCAGATCCTCAATGATGTTCTGGCTGAAATAGACCCGAAGGTAGGAGGAGGCCAACGGTTAAAAAACTGGGAGTAGGATTCATAAACGACTAATTTTTGACTCTTAATATTTTCTACAGCAAGCCATTGACATCCGTGAGGAAATGCCTGAACAAACCATAAAGAGGATGTGCTCTCTGCTCGGGATGCTGAAGTACAAACCCCCTGGCAACGCCTCTGATGTGTAAGTATATAAATTAAAGTTGTTCATTATATTAACTCTTTGTCTGATAGGGGAGACTGGGGTAAGTTGAGCCACCCCCTGTTGCTTGGAAATGGTCAAAAAAAATGATTATGTGACCAAATATTTAGGAGATGGGCATCAATTCATGGCGTCTGTGAAGGTTAGAAGCACATGGGTGAAGGGGTTAGACATTTATTTCACAAAAAAAACATTTTTCACTCTTGAAAGTGAATTTAGTCCGTCATAAGTTTTATTAGAATTGTGTTCAGACCAAAAAAGATCATTTTAAAGGTGTTTTATACATCAATTGTGGTATCTATGAGCTACAACATGAGGTCAAAAACCATTAAAGTCCACCATTTTATCTTAAAGCAGGGGTGGGCAATTATTTTGTCTGAAGGGCCACATTAGGTTTTAAGATATCAATGGACGGGCCGGCCAGGTGACACATGAAACAAACCCCTAAATGTGGATTGGGGGCTCAATGTGACAAAAACTAAGGAGCTGATAGTGGATCTGAGGAGGAACAAAACACCTGTGACCCCTGTTTCCATACAGGGGCTACAGGCATCCTCATGTTAAAATGGCTTTTTAAAAACAGCTTTTTAGCATTTATATGCAATAATAATAAAAATAATTATTGTACCAGTTGAATAGTGTATACTAGATAAAAAAAATACACATGAATGTGAAGGAGGGACTGTTATTTAGGGAGAGAGAAGGTGAGGGAGGGCTGGGGTGGAGAGTGGGGGTTGTAAGGATGCGGCTCAACTTACCCCGCTCCTATGGTCAACTTACCCCATACATGGGGTAAGTTGACCATAGGAGACCACTTTTTTTGGCATGCTGTATTATCAAGACAGTTATGTTTACACTCATTCTGTTGGTTTGCAGGGATGAACAACATCTTTAAATATATGCAGATACACTAGTTAGAGACAAAACTATGACTGACTTGATGTAGTGATCTGAAATATGAAAAATGGCTCATCTGATCCCACTCTCCCCTACAGGAGCAACTTTCGACAAGGTTTGGTGACTGGAAGTAAGCCTGTGGTTCATCCCATCCTCCACTGGCTGCTGCAGAAAGTTCCCGAACTGAAGAAGAGGGCTTACTTGGCACGCTTTTTAGTCAAACTAGATGTGCCTGCAGAGTTTTTGCAGGATGATGTTATAAATGACACCCATCATCAGGTTTGTGTTAGTTTTTTGTTACATCTCTACTTCATCCCAAAGCTTTTAAAATAGATCATATTCAAGAAGTGTGTTATGTTTGTGATTCAGTATGAAGAGCTGGTGGAGGCGTTCAAGACCTATCACAAGGAGTGTGAGCAGTTCAGGACTTCAGGCTTCTCCACAGCGGAAATAAGACGGGTATCAATCACTTTGCTACTCCTTGCATTCACTGTCTGCTAAAAGTTTTTTAAAGCTACAACACAGATTCCATAAGAATGTGAAAATCTCAATAAAATACAGAATTTTCTGGTTTGCAAATAATTTAGATCCCATTTGGGTAACAAATGGTGACCGTTTTGTGACACCTGGAGGCCTGGAAGATTATGTATATCCAATATTAGCTATGGCCCATATCTTTTACCCATGTACCATCAATGATGAAATGCCCAGAGTCGGTCTTGCTAAGATTTTAATGGTTCTTCTGTGCTTGCTAAACTATTTACTCACACAATCTGTCAAATAGTGGTAGACCTCATCCCATCTGTGCTTGTGAGGGACATGACCTTTCTGGCATGAACATTTTAACACCATAAATCTGAAGGACATTGTCGTTATTGGTTGGGAAATACTTCTTTCGGTGCTTGTACTTGTGTGTAAGAGTTGTATTTTGATATCAAAATAATTTTCTTCTGCAATAAATGAACATCATCAATCATGATTTTTATTCTCCAACAACAGGACATCAGCGCCATGGAGGAGGAGAAAGACCAACTGATTAAACGTGTGGAGAGATTGAAGAAGAGGGTAAGGTGGAATGTTGCAAGAGGCCCCCTCGGCGCTCTAATGCTTGAAAGGCTTTAGGCCTCACTGGGGAATGAAAACATGAGCCGAGACATTTATTATCAGCTTCTCTTTGGGACCTGACAGCGATCTGACAAGCTGCTAGGCTGTCTTAACAAGGCTGTGAAGTAATGAGGTGCTGATTTAATGGTTCTTACTTGTTGGCTGTGCCAAAAGGTGAAAGCTGACTCTGTTGGAGGTTATTTCTGCTGACCGTGGGATGCCTGCTGTCGGGTGTCATCATGTTAACCTCTGATCCACTAGGTGGAGTCAGTGTCCAACCATCAACGGATGCTTGAACAGGCCCGGCAGCTGCGTGTGGAGAAGGAGAGAGAGGAGGCTCTAGCTCACCAGAAGCAAGAGCAGAAGAACCAAGTAAATACTATACATGCACTATTTCAACCTTACAGTAAAAATAACATTGGGTGACTTTGGTTTCGTTGGTGCTCTTTCCTCAGTTTGTAGGATGAATACTGTGTACTTTCCAACATCACACTATAAGGTTTGTGATCCTGAGCCAATTCCCAGAGAAACATGCAGTGAATATGTAATACTCAGTAAATCAGCTGTTGTGAACAGACAGCTTTTTGATGCTTTTATTCACAGTTTTATTCAAGTATTCAGATAATTTTCATAAATCAATTGGAAAGTTGTCAAAACCTTGGTCAAATTTGATCATTTTCCAAATGAAAAAGCCCAAAGTTCACCGCTCTGAGCCTCTTTAATCAGCTGTTTTTCCTACCTCCCATAGACAGAAAAACTCTTTGTGAAAAAACTCTTTTATCACAGCTCTTGTCAAAATATCTCATTATCTAACAGGTCTAAATATAAACATTTATGCAAGATTTTTCGGGACAAAACTTTCTTGGTAATTTTCATGACGTGAATTTCTGTACCAAGAAACCCATTTCTCTCCACATTTGCAGCCATATTTACTCATTACGATCAATTAAACCTTGTTATTGGCTCATAATCACAAGTGTTTACATAGGTCAATCCTGACAAAAGATGCTGCAAAACTATTAATAACTTCAGCCTGGATATGAGCAGACTGAAAACCAGTTCATACATTAATCCTGTTGGTTTTTATACCCACATAGTTCAGTGTTTGTCCATAAAAACACATTCTGAATGAATTTATTGACTCTAATGAATGGAGTTGCCCTCTATGTGGAATAAACTTATTAACATACAGAATGTCAGTGTTCCTACATCACCTTTACGAGTGATGGTGTCTGTGTGTTCAGCTGTTTCAGGCAGAGCAGAGACTGCAGAGATCCCAGCAGCAGTTGAAGGATTTGCGTCAGGCTGCAGCAGATGCCAAACCGGAGAGTGAGTCTGCTTGTGCCGCTGCTGTCTCCTCAGAGCTCAGCTGGATGGGCGGTTCAAGGACATGGAGGAGGATTTGGGGGGGTCTCTGTATTCTCCGTGCTAATAGGCTTTCATATGTTGAGACCCTCTAATTGTACTGATCTTTGAAGTACTATAATAGAGCTTATGTGATGTCCAAATTGACTCCTTTTGTTCTCATCTGGTATTGTGTTCTTCCGCCAGTGGAGAGATTTACACATTTGCAGTTTCTAAAATGACCCGAGCGATGCAGACTTGGCTAGACCTGCAAAATGAAAGTTACTTATCGCAATTAACTCTTTGTGCTCATCCCAAGGAGTACTCTGATTGATAATCAGGCGCTAATCAAGTAATTATCTTTCAATAGTTATCTTTTAAAGGACAGTTTCAGGAGTGGTGAGATTAATTCATATTAACAGCGGTGGATTATTTCTCACATTTCAAGTTGTACAAGTGATACTCAGCATTTCGGAAGATAATCAGAGCTGGGGAAAGCTTAAGAGGGTTTTAGACGCATCATAAGCCCCATAATTCATAATGAAATCCTCCGTCTTTTTCAGGCTTAATGAAAAGGCTTGAAGAGGAGATCAAAATCAACTCCTACATGGTCTCTGAAAAACTCCCCAAAGAGCTGGAGGGAATGAGGCGCACAGTCCAGAACCTACAGAAAATAGCTTCAGAGCCAGCCATGGGACAGGCCGACATCCAAGATCTGGAGGACAGGGTCAGGATCAGGATGTGGTGTTAAATCTGAGTAATGCTGTTCAAGCTTCATTCCAGATTATTTCCACTGAATGTGTCATACTTTCCACAGATTAAAGGAGTTGACTCCCAGATAAACCATCTGATCGAGAAGAGAATGATGAGAAACGATCCCATGGATGACAAAATGACCCTTCACAGGCAGCAGGTCAGGTCTATATGAGGGCCTTTTCAGATTTAGTACTGGTGCATGGCCTTTTCAGAGTTCAGCTGATTCACATTCCAGTAGGTCAGCAGTTACTCAGCACTCGGCCTTTTCTTGTGGTTTTTATATGCAGTGTAATGTGACACTTTCAGGCCTCCATCATCATTCGAAGGAAGGAGTCGAAGGCGGAGGAGCTTCAAGAAGCGAGAGAGGAGCTGGCTGCAGCAGAGAAGGAGCTGAGGCAAAGGAACAGCCAGATACACGGCTCAGATGGGGAAGAGGTCATACGGGATGATGAGGTACGCTGATTAGGGCTCTTCTTACAACAGAAAAAATATATACTGAGCATCTCTTAAAGGGATATTTTGGGGTAAATTTAATTTAGGGTTAGACACCCCTTTGAAAGATGAATGTTGCCGACCGTTTGCTTCTTTAGTTATACTAACTTTAGTAACAACCGCAGATAGGAATACAGAGAGCCACGCACTCAACCAAAAAGCCCCTGTATAACCACAAATAATGCTCAGAACAGCACCTAACTTCATCAACAGCACATAAAGGGTCCTAGCCATAGCACTAGCCACCAAACATCTTTTTAGCTTTGCCTAAGTTCTTAAGAAAAGAGACTAAACACAACTCACCTACTATCTTCCAGCAGCCGCTTGTTTGTAGCAAGACCTCAGGCCAGAAATGGTAAAGTAATTATCATAAATGTTCTTCCTTGAGCTGCGTCACCCCACAGCAGTCCGTAATGGACTGGCCTGAGGTCTTGCTACAAACAAGCGGCTGCTGGAAGAGAGTAGGTGAGTTGTGTTTAGTCTCTTTGCTAAAGAAATTAGTCAAAGTTAAAAAGATGTTTTCAGGCTAGTGCTATGGCTGGGACCCTATATGTCCTGTTGATGATGTTAGGTGCTGTTATTTGTGGCTATAGAGTGGCGTTTTGGTTGAGGTTTGTTTATGGCTCCTCAGACTGCTGTGTATTGCTATCGTGCGGTTGTTACTAAAGTTGGTATAACTAGAGAAGCAAACAGTCGTCAACATTCATCTCTCGACCGGGTGTCTAACTCTGTGTTACGGTGTGTTTGACCCTAAATTAATTTCACACTGGAATATACCTTTAAGTTCTGTGTTGCACCTGATAGCAAACTTTACTTCTGGGACTGAAAAATACATCCCCATTCATACATCCCTGCAGGCTTTTCTTCCTTTGGTTGGAGCTTCCTGTTAACATCAAACACAGAGCCCCCATCTGTATCTGAGTGCGCACGAGTAGATTTGCAAACCACAGAAAACACAAGAGGCTATTTCTGCTCTTATCCAAACACAGACAGGCTCACTGTCTAATGTTACTTATCCCTTTTCACTCGCTCTCCTCCACATTCCCATGTGTTCCATAAATAGAACCTATAACAGAGAATATCCAGAACAAGGAACTGTCCACGACAAAGTGCCTGAAAGTTGTTGTTTTTTTTTCTTTCCCTCAGAATCTGTTGTGTAATCCGTCTCCTAATTTAAGTTATCTGGACATGTTTTACACACTGTGGGGAATAAAACCTTTGTCTTTATTTATATCCAGTGACGCTGATGTACTCCCCCCTTTCAGACACATGGCATGTCACATCAAAGAATAGCACTGACGGCTCTTGACAGGGGAGAAAAAAAATAAGTATTTATGTATTTGATATTGTTTCACTTAAGCCAGATAGCCTTAAACAATGACATCTTCTTTCGACTATGCATACGTTAGGCTTACAGTTATAGAGTTGCCTATAAACAGTTCTGTATAAACAGAGGGGTGCTGGAGGATGGGGATTTCGCAGCGACTGCATGCACTGTGTGGATAAGAATTTTTATTGCCTAGCGTTTGACGCACACTGATATCCATGAGGTGAAAGCTGGGCTCTCTGTCGAGGCGGAGCAGTCACAGAATATCTGAGATTGCATTCGCTGTCTCTCCTCTTGCGTTCTGCACGGCTGTGGACACTCCCTGCAGAGGGTGCACGTGAATTTTGTTCTGTTCGGATGCTGACCTTGACTTCTGCCCGGCTGTTCTCTGCCAGAAATCTTTTCTGCACTCACTGACAGTATAAACACATTATTTCAAAAAATACGCTAGGACAGTTACCTGTTGTATTGATGGTCAAAAAGTAGTAGAGGTTAATGCCATTGTTTTATAACAGAAGCTTACATGTCTTTTCTTCTTTTCGGTGGTTTGTTGAATGTGCAAAACTCAACAATTATCTTTTGAAGAAACTGTTTCGTAAAAGGAAAAAAAGCACATGATGAGGCACACACATCTCCCAAAGCATCAGATACATTCAGAATTAGAAAGAGCAAAAAAAACCTCACACTTATTTTTTTTTTTTTTACCACTTCTAATTCTCAACAGCGTCACTGCATCACAAAGACTGCCTCCAGGAGTGTCTGACATGCCCACAAGCCAGAATAAAAGAATATCAGGGCATGTTTGTAAGGACAAAGAGGGTCCTTGAGACTCTTCATGAATGAAGTTAATGGAAAATGTTTTGTCAAACACAGCTTATCAGACTCCTCTGTAGTTTCGGGCCATCAGCCACGGTGGAGATGATCACTTTATCAGAGGTATTTTCCATTCTGCTGCCGGTTATGTGTCATCACATGCCACCCACCAACTGCAGGGTCTCTGTAAGAGGGATGACTACATCTGCACATCACTGGTTGGCCGGTTACATGAGCCCACTTTTACTGACAGCCTTGCAGCCTCATCACACTAGTTAAATTTAGTCCAACAGCAGTCAAGAAACCATCACCGATCCGAGCAAAATGCTTGTTTTTTTCTCGGGATATGTGTTGATCTTTATGTAAGTGTCCTTCAGCTGTCAGCTAAAAAAAAAAGGAAGTGATGCTCTGTTACTGTACACTGTGTCCTGTGCATTCTTATTGGAGCATCTGCTGCGAGTTTCTGCTCCATGTTCGTGTTGTGAGGAAGTATTCGAAGTCTGAGACACAAGTGGTGTTTTGACAGAACTGTCGGCCACTTTACCAGCAGTTGTTTTGGGGACACGCTGTCGGGAACACTTTGCTGTATTACTCTGCTGTGCTAATTCCTCTCTCAGCCATGTCTGCCCTTGATGTCCCAAAATATACAAAGAATAAATGTACACACTTGTGCCCTCCCACTCTCACTCACTCACTCACACACACAGAGCTTCATGGATCCCCAAAGGACACGGAGCACATTCTGTGATTTCTGGGGCTGTTCTCCCGTGTCCGTGTTCATTTATAGCCGCTCTTCATAGTGGAGGAGTTTCATTGTGTCCCAGCAGACAGTCAGGGCGGGGAGTGCGTGAACATCCTCTAGAAGCAGCACTTCTGCCAGATGAAGCTGTTTGCTCTCCATAGCTGGCTTTGAATCTGAAAGGATCGAGTGACTGTTGCAGATCATGGCACGGCCCCGCTGTCACTGCTGCGCCTTTAATCCCTTCTCTCCCCTGGCTCTCCCCATTGTCTTCTCCCGTGGCCTTTCATAGTATCTCAGCTGTGCTCGACACTAGTTGACAAGTATAGACTGTATATTTATGCTTCTTCTGAAACCAAAAGAAGCTTGTAATATTTGTGTTTGGAGTGAATACATGAACTTTCAGCAAATCAACACAGAACTCCTCAAATATGCAGCGTCGCTCGGTTAGGTTGCTTTAAAACTTCCATAACACAGATTTTCATTTCATGGTAGGCGACATATAGGGTGGGGAAACTATCTACATTTCAGTGTCAGTTATGAAAACAAAATAATTCTGATTAAATGATCCCTGCCTGCCTCTCTGTTGGACATATTTTGTCCTGTGTGAGGTGCTGAGCTCCCAAACACAGTCACTTCAGCTTGCACTGACAGTAGGAGGTGAGGGAGCTGTGCCAAGGCCTGCACTGGCAATTCGGCATAGTGGGCATTGTCCAGGTGGGCTGACACATGCAGGGGCAGGTAGACTTAGTCAGGATAAAAAGTGAGCAGTGTTGGGCCCCATCCATAGATAACAGGCAGTGGGAAATTAGTGTTTGGGATGTTAAAGTGATGCAGGTTTAAGTATGCATGCTTTTTTAATGCCTATATTGTGCCGATAATTGTGCATCATGATTTTTTTCTTGTAACCAAGCAGCTCCAGCGATGATTTGTTCATGAGAGAGGTCATTTGTGCTGACATAATCTACAAATTTATAGCCACCACCACCACTTCACAACGTGTTTCAGCTTTTTCAGTATTTACTGTAGGTATCACCACCTAAAACTTCATGTAGGCTATAAAAACACACTGTTGAACCGAGCTGGGGGAACTTACTCGAGCTGTTCGCAGCACAGGAACTAGATGTTTCTGTCAGGGGTTGGTTGTAATCAAAGCTGAGTCAGGGAGTGGACTGGACTGGCATTTGTAAGCCAGGCACACATCCCCAAATGTGCTCATATCTCCGACTGGGCTCACCACTTTGTTATGTAATTAAAAAAGCTGATCAAGTACATGTGCTGTATTTGCAAGTGGTTATTCTCCCCCAATAGAAGTTTGAAGTCTCTTAACAATCTGAATCAGTGGGTATTTGGAATGTCCTTTTGACACTTACATTTGTCTTTGTGTTCCAAAGCTGAAACGTTTGGTGGGGAAACTGCGCAGCAAAGGAACCGTATACAAGAAGAAACGTCAGGAAATCGCAGAACTGAAAGCAGAATATGGAGTCCTGCAACGCACAGAGGAGATTCTCAAGCAGAGACACGAGACCGTCCAACAGAAACTGGTAACTAACACAAATGAAACAAATATTTAACCTTCACTTTCAGAAACTGTTTTGATATTACAAGTCAAGCATGATCATTACTCCTGTAGTGATCATTCATGATCACTACTCTACATTTTTTATGGACCAATCACAAGCGCCTCTGTGTTCTCTTGCACTAGTAATGAACTCCAGTACCCCTGAACTCATGCTGCCGTTCCAAATTTGCAGTTTTTACTTGATCTCCCCCCATTCACACCATCTGCGTTGACAGAGAAGTGAAAGAAGCTTCTTGGAAATGGCTTCACGCCTGTGTGCGGTTCCAGCACCTGACCTGTTGATAAACTGTCTGACGCAGGTTGAGCTGCTATTTTTGATGTCCGCGTCCCACACTAGGATTTGTTAAAGCAGTGGAAGTTTTCCTTCTGATCATGCGCTCAGCCTGTCTGCTCTTTTCTTCATGCGTGAGCTGGATTAATCAGCTGAGAAGTTCTCCATGCACACTTAACTTTGATAAAGAAAATCAAATGAGGGGGAAACTTTGTTCTTACACATGAAAGAGCGCCTCCAAGTCTTAGCAGAGGTTTTTCCCTTGGTTATGTGCATTTTATGTTATGTTTAATGTAAAGCTGTTAATCTCCTTACCCCGAGTTACATGTAAAGACAGATTTATTTTGTGAGTCTGATTATTTTAACATTCCGGTCTTTGTTTGTTTTTCAAGCAAACTCTAGAGGCCGAGAAGGGCATTTCAGGCTACAGCAACACCCAGGAGGAACTGGAGAGGGTGTCCGCCATCAAGAGTGAGCTGGACGAGAAAAAGGGCCGCACGCTGGACGACATGTCTGAAATGGTAAATGTATCAAGAGATCATTTCCAAAGTCACTGAAAACTTTCACACTGCTGCAGGTTATCAAGTCAGGGGTGTTCTATAGTTAGCTGGTGTTACTGTGAAATAACATCGCTATCTTAACAGCCTGAGAGGATAACAGCAGCCCCCTCTTTGGGGTCCTCTTCCCTGTGACTTATTTTCTCGGCCTTTTCCTCTTCTTCATAGTAACATCTCCAAAGCTCATGTCGTGTTGCGGTATGTGGTTGCTTTTGTTTACTTTCTCTGGCTGAAGTCTCTCTGACTCAGCTACTTGTGCTAAAATCCCCCTCCAAGTTTTTTTGCTGCTTTAAGCGACCACTTCTTGTCTTTTTTAACCGGCTGTTGACTGTTCGGTCATAAACGGATGATTTAAAGTTAAGAGCTCTTTAAACAAAAAAAGAGAGAAGGTTTTTTTTAAATATAAAATGATACATTTCCCCTTTTAAGGAAACTCACAGTCTGGTGATGTCACGATTTGTGCAAATCTCATTTTATCTCACTGAATTCTCATTTGTTTTTTTTTTCAACCCCCTGTCGTCTCATCTGAGGATTACGTCCAACATTTTAACTTAACATTTCACAGGTTTCAGAGGGTTTTGATCAATCAAAATCAGGAATTTAACACACAGTGGGTTTGTAAGAAAACCAGGTCATAAATAAGTGTTAATCTGAAACCTTTGGAGCTCAGTGTGAATTGTATTGATCATTTTAACCACGCTCCATCATGTCCCCTATTAAAAGACCAAGACTACTTAGTACATAGTTATGATGTGGTTCACAGCAAGTCCTTTAATGACCTGGAAGATCTTCATATTAAGGAAACATTTGCTTTTAAGTATAAATTAGTCAAACAACATGATTTTTTTGGCAGTAAAGTACCAAACATTGGATTTTAGTAGGAAATTAAGATGTTTTTTAATATATTCCCAATAACCATAGAAGGCTTGAGAGCGTGTCTCCTCACACCTCCTCCTACCTTAACAAACTTCTCACTGTTTTACAATGATCCTAAAAATAGACTTCTTCCTGGGAAAAGTTTCTTACATACTTCCTGCTACAGCAACTTGGAAAGTCTAAAAGTTTGAAACCAAAAGAAAAGTTTGGTAAAAAAGTTTTCGGGTCGACTTCATGTGACTTAAAAAAAAGTTGAGGTTATTTTATACCACACCAAAAAATCATTCCATAGGTGGACACTTTTGACTTACAGTACATGTAATTTGTTATGTGTATAACAAGGATATCGATCAAATTAACACTCATATCATCTTTATTATCGAGTTCAAGATTCCAGCTTTAGCTCATCAGGCAGACTGACTTTCTGACTGTAGTGAGATGGGTCACACATGAACGCAGAATGATTACATCCTCTTGATGCAGTTTGGGTGCTAACTACAACACTCTGTTTCTACAGTTGGAGGAAAAAAAGGAGTAAACGATGAAATAAACGCAGGTGCATCTCAACAAATCAGAATATGCAGAAAAGCCCAATCTGCAGTTCATTTAAAAAGATAAACTTCTATTAATTCCTATTTAATGGCACACAAACAAAAAAATGTGTAACTTCTGAAAAATGTATTCATTTTTATGCTCAAGATCGTCACTTTCTTAAGTAGCTAATGGAGAATATTTGACTTTTTAGGATGTTCTAGATTGTTAAGATGTACCTGTAAAGGCTAAATCCTGTAAAGCTGCCACGGTTTCATGGTCCTGGATTTGTGCATGCTGGCTCTCTGTCACACATCACACCAGGACACTTGAATAGAACATTGCCTTTGTAACTGTGATAGTAACACCTTTCCTGTGTCTGCAGTGAAGGAGAGCTGTTAGCACATGCTGTTGTATGACCTCAGATAATGTGCAACATAACCCAATCTTAACAGAAGCTGCACCAACGAAGCGGAAAATCACCGGAGACATTGTGCAGAGTATTTAATTTAAGAGATTTTATAACAAACGGATACTTACCCTGCTTGTGAGCATTCAAGCATTTTGCTCAATTCTCAAGATAAATGGTTGACATTATCCCTGCATAACTTACAAACTCTGCCGTTTTTAATCAATCTGACATCCGTTTGAATAAACGCCCAAAGGGAAGCAATTACAGCTGATTAGGCTTCAATCCAAACTGTTGTGAATTCGTTGTTCAGAGTCTGAACTTGTATACAGGAGTTAAACATCCCCAGCTCCAGATCTGATCCATGTAGATAATTACTGTAAAGCTATCAGGCTGAATCCATTGTGTTTGTTTTTTTTAATTAGAGTGACAGAATTGATCTTTTATTCATCTTCAAAGTAGAAAAAATATTTAAAATTGACTCTTATTTTTAAGTTACGTCCCCTTTAGACCATACATCTGTTTTAACTGTAAGATAAGAAAAATAGTGTAGAGTATATTTATAAAATGGGAATAATATTCCTAGTTATTTACCACAAACATTATCACTGACCACCTTGCGCCTTAGCACTTACAATTCTGTTCTTTTGAAATTTTTTGTTTTTTTAATCAGATTTTATATTATTTTCAGAATTTAAATAGAACCATATATCATTAAGCAGTGGTCTGATCTAGGGAATAATAATTAATAAACCTTTACAGGTACATCTTAACAAATGAGGTAGGGAATGACAAGAAAAGGATGAAACATGAGGAAAAAACAAAACAAAAAGGAGGGTAAACAAAGAAAAGCCCCAACAACCACAACAACACAACAATGTGTCATCAATTAAAGAAATATGTGTCCTTGTACTTATCAAAAAGTGTGTTTTATCACCAGTCAGCTCAGTCTGGGACCTCTTAAACCACTGTTTCCTAACTATTCCACAAAAGGCTGGTGTGGCTGTAGGTTTTTCTTTCAACCAATCAAGAGCTTGCAGTCTGACCAATCAGCTGTCTGAAGACTGAGATCAGCTGATGAAAAAAATCAAGTCTGGTGTATTGCTGCTTGGTTGGAAGAAAAACCTGCAGCCACACCAGCCCTTTGTGGAATAGATTGGACATGCCTTAGGTAAGTTATCCATAAGGGGTCACCATGTGTCCATAAAGACATCATCATTCCTGAATCCATTGTGTAATGAACCACAGTCAGATTTACCTGCATCTTATTCTTGATCCTTTCATTTGACTGTATTTGTATGATTGCTGTTGTTTCCATCCCTAACCCTGCGTGTGCTTTCGGCTCTGCTTTACAGGTGAAGAAACTAAACTTTATGATAGCGGACAAGAAGACAGCTCTGGCGCCAGTGATAAAAGAACTAAGGTCACTGAGGCAGCGGTGTCAGGTGAGCATTAACCACACTGAACACCTTTACTACAAGAATCCTCCTCCAAAATAATGACCACCTTATCAAATATTAGGGCTGGGCGATAAACCGAAAATTTACTGATACTAAAATTTACAACAATAACCAATGTCATTTTGCCTAAATCGGTATATTCTGTGTCATAAAAACTAATACAAGTTGGTTTTGGATGTGTGTAGGTAGGCTATGGTCTCATGTCCCTTTGAGACGCTGTCCTACGTCAGAGGACAGTTCAAAAGTTGTAGTGGCTGAAGTTAATGTGGGTGAGCAGCTTGTGGAGCAGTTATCATCCATTTATCATTATCAGGGTGAACTGTTCAATATATTGTGATATTGATTTGAGGCCATATCGCCAAGCCCTATAAAATGATGCTGCTGGACCACATGAAACTCTGGGGCTCAGGAGAAATCCAGACAAGACAGTGATATTAATCCAGGAGTCAATGAGTGCAGCATGAATAAAATAAGATTTCAGTTCTACAAACTCCAAAATAGTGTGTTTGATGATGTTGATAGTAGACTCTTGTAAACCAAAGCTCTTAGAAACAACACAAAGTCTTCTCTGTGAGGCTTGAGCACAGACCAGTTTTTGTTTTTGACAAACACAATCTGTTCCAAGTTTAAAAAAAAAAAACACTAAATGGTCCTCCCTTCATCATGTGCCAGCGAGTCAGTAAGAATTAATCTTGATGTGTTAGTGTAATCATGCAGAGGTTCACTGAGAATAATTTACATAGTTTTTAAATATAATATACCATGGGAAAGCCCCCTACATCACTGAGCGAAAGCAGAGGATTAAATTTTCCTACATGTGTTCCCAGAATTGCTCTCCCTATTTTACAGGGTAATGTCTGCTAATGAAGAGCTGCAACAGGAAGACATAAATAGACTTTGTAAGAGCCGGGTGTAAGTTTAACCCGGCTGTGATGCTGTGTTGATGTGAAACAGTTCAGAGTGGAGAGTTGTGAGACTGATGGAATCTATATGTTTGTTTAAATTCCTATAAACTACTATATATACTCTAAGTGTGTCTCTGAGTTCCTGTGTGTCTGTTTGGATTTCTCTCGTACCAGGAACTAAGCCAGGAATATGAGGAGAAGAAGGGGCAGTATGAGAGCTGTACTGCTGGTTTGGAGAGCAACCGATCCAAACTGGAGCAGGTATCCTGGTTGTTAAAGCACAGACAGGAAGACGTCAAGAATTTGTGAAAATGTATTCATCAAGTTTTCTTTTTTCATGTACAGGAAGTGAAAGTATTAAGAGAGGAGACAGCACAGGATGAGAACAGATATCATTATCTCAACTCGATGTCGGAGGCAAGTTTACAAATGAATATAATTGAAAAGCTCGAATTCATACTGTGAAGTTTGAGCGTTGACTCGCTGCGACTCTGCAGGAACAGAAAAAAAGTGTTTTTGCATATGACTCGCCTCATCACACCCACTCTGATGGCACACTCGATCACTCTGTCTTCTACAGATCATTGAGATGCAAATTCAGCGGGCAGCAGAAGAGACTAAAGCTTACGTGTCCTCTGATCCGCAAGAGAAGAAGAAGACTATCAGGTGAGCCTGCTGGGCCAGACAAATACTCTCTCTCTCCCCTTAAGAAGCTCTTATTACCACACAGTCAGTTTAGCTTATCACATTATTCTTTCATGAAACAAAGCTAGGTGTGCCACACTTTGTGTCATCAACATGTTAACTTAAAAAGCTTGGATTTTTAATGATACTCTGCTGCTGCTGCTTCTTTTGTAGGGAAGTGTACATGAAGAACATTTCCGAACAGGAGTCACTCGGCAAGGTGAGAAAGCGTCTCCGAGTACGTCTTGAGTACTTGAGAGTAGACAAGGACACGCGCCGGGAGCTGCTTCCCACTAATCACCCCTTTCTTTTCGTGGTCCCTAGAAACTGCGTGAGAAGCAGAAGATAGTGAGAGAAAGCCATGCAGACAACATGGAGCAGATGAAGTTGTGGCACGACTTGGAGCAGCTGATGGAGTGCAAGAGGCAGTGCTACATTAGAGCTCAGAGCCAGGCGTCGATTGGTCAGGTCATTCAAGAGGGGGGAGAGGATAGGCTGGTTCTGTGAGGGCATGTCAAGGCCGGGTCGACTGCAGGTCACCTACAGCACAGTGCACCACATGAAGGTTAATCTTACAGCTTCCTGTCACGTGTCCATATCTTTTTATATGTCTTGTGTTATAAAACACTATAGTACTTTCAAAGAATAGATTTAAAGTTTGCTCCCTTGTCCTCAATTTTCACTTTATTTTGTATGAGACCCACTCGAGTATCTTTTTGATAAGGACGTGGTTAGAGGTTCTCTGAGTTTTACCACATCTTTAAGGATACACATTCATTTAAAGTGTTTGAAGATAACAGCTCACAAAGTGGTGCACTTAGGATGTGGCTGCTGTCAACAACTGCCATGACCTTTGTGAGAGTATCAAGGCAAGTTTGGAATTGGCAGGGACCCCCTTTGCAGATGAAATGGTCTCCATGATATACTTGTTTCTATTTAATTTCATAAAATATAGTATTTTTTATAATAGACCCTCATTATAATATTAAATCAAAAGATATTTTGGTTGTTAATGTATTTCTATTAAAAATGATCTGACAAACGCTTGACTCGTGTTTCATTATTTTGATCTTCAAGAAAACTTCAAGTTGTCCAATTATAATGAACGTTGTAAACAAAGAGAGCGCAGCTTATTTATAAATGCAAGTGTCAGGATTAAAGGGGTATTCCGGCGTAAAATTAGACACCCCCTCCAGAGATGAATGTTGCTGACCGCTTGCTTCTCTAGTTATACCAACTTTAGTAATGACCGCACGATAGCAATGCACAGCGGTCTGAGGAGCCATAAACAAACCTCAACCAAAACGCCACTCTGTAGCCACAAATAATGCTCAGAACAGCACCTAACTTCAACAGTACATGTAGGGTCCTAGCCACAGCACTAGCCACCAAACATCTTTTTAACTTTGCCTTATTTCTTTAGCAAAGAGACCAAATACAACTCACCTACTCTTTTCCAGCAGCCGCTTTCATTACAGACTACAGCGGGGTGACGCAGCTCAAGGAAGAACATTTATGATCATTTATCATTTCCTTGAAGTAATAATCACCACATTAATCATTTTTCACTGCAGACGTGGTAGTTCTTCTGCCTTAGCATCTCGGTCTGATTGCATTTACATAAAGAAATGATCATAAATGTTCTTCCTTAAGCTGTGTCACCCCGCTGTAGTCCGTAATGGACTCACTACAAACAAGCCTCAAATAAAGTTATTTGCTTTTAATTAGAGATCCCAGAATAATGTGATCTTTATATCATTTAACATATAAAAGGCTGATGCCGCTCTGTGCCTATGTGCAGTGCGACAGGCTGTGTTGGATCCAGTACTTAAGGTTTATTTTTTAACAGCTACTGTGGGACTCTCCTCCTTCTTTGGTACAAGTACCTTATGTTGCTCCCAACAAATGTCTTTGTGGATGTGTCAGAATCCTACCCTCCCTCTCACTGAAACTGTATCTGCCGTTGAGAGACGGTCTTGTTGGCTCTCGTGCCAAACAGATCAAGTGCGCATTGTAAAGGGCAGCTTGAACTCCAGCCGTGTTATTATTGTTACAGCTACTTGTGCTTCTTGGAGTTCGTTAAGATGTGTTAACAGATGATGCACGCAAGTCCTCTGAAACATCTGACAGTGATACCCCCAAAGAATACAGAGAAGACTGCAGGGCTGACATAGTGCCCGTACACCTCCTGTGAAAAGGTCTCGTCACAGTTTTTATGGGGCTGGAGTGATGAATTGGAAGAAACTTTTCTGTTTTCACAGGACAATAAGTTCAGAGCACTGAGTGGCCTGCCCTGAGATACTGCTCTGTGATCTGCCTTTTAGAGCTTTACAGCCATCATAAAACAGGACAAACATGGCGTCCCAGTCAAGAGTGAGAGAGGTGCCTGTACTCATACAATAACGTACGGGGGTTTCTATATAAAGTGTATGCATGTGGATGAGAGGATATGAGTACTTCTTTTGGGACTTAAAGCTTCTGTGAGTAACTTTTGGTTTGTGTCAGTTTTGGCGCCCCCTGTGGACACAGCAGTCCTTGCTTATTCTTATCCTTATATGACAACAAATCTCATCCTGTGTCATTCACTGTGAGTATTTTAGGTGAAAACTATAAAAACGGGGCTTTGTTTACAGCTGTAAACCTTGAACCCACCCCCTCACACAGGTTTCAGACAATAAAAATAAGAATATTTCAAATTTTCAGTTTTGTTGAGTTACAGAGTCAGAAAAAAGCAAAATCGGAGCCTGAAACAAGATGGCTTCATCTACGAAAGTTATTTTAGTGCTTTCCTTGTCCGAATATAAGACAAGCGCTAAAATAACTCTCATAGATGTAGCCATCTTGTTTCATGTCTCCGATTTTGCTTTTTTCTGACTTGAACGCAGCAAAACTCCTCATAGGACCTTTAAAAATGCTGCCATTCACTGAGCAAAATCCAGAATCCAGAATAGAAGAACTAATGAGCAAAAACATCATGGGACAGGACGGATGCTTACTTCCACTCATGCAAAAAGAAAAAAAAAACTTTCTTAAATTTACCTCAAAATTTTAAACTAGTGTTGTCAAACTGTGAGTCTGTGTCACAAAAATGTGGCAAACTTCCTCATTATTGATTTGATAATCTGATATATTTGGTCATTAGTCTGTAAAATTAAAAGAAATAAATGGAAATGCATTACTTGCAATTTTGAGATAATGATTTATAATTTTGGAAGAGTGTATTTTCCAGTGATTGTGATGTGGGATTAACTCATAATTTTGGATAATCTATCATAATTTGGTAATTGCTCTCTTTTACACAAATTTTTTTGACACTGAATTATTTGTCACTTTTTTTATGTTGAATTTTTTTACAGTTTTTTACAGTCAAATTTTTTCTAAATGAATTACACCGAATTTATATTATCGCTGTGAAAAAAATTAGTGTCAGAAATAAAAATGCTTGCTTGTAATTCAAAGTCTGATTTTGATGCAAAAAAAATTCAGCTTTAGAAATTAAAATTAAAAATCAGATGGCACAGATTTACTTCCATATATGTAATGGAACTTTTAAGTAGCATAATAACACCGGGCGAAATAATGAAAAACAACTGCATACTCCTTTGGAGATATGGAAATACTGTATTTGTTGAGAAATGAAGAGTGAGAAAATAAAAAAAACATCAGAGTTGAGAAGCTGCTGGACTAAATAGATACCATGGTCAAACCAGTTTTCCAAAAATAAAGATTTCTGTTTGTGTAATATATCTCTATTGTTCCAGATGATCTGTGAGGTGAGACATTGTGCCTGTAAATGAAGGTCCAAGACAGAAGCGGGTCTGTGGAGTTAGTATTCCGTGTTGCCACTTCCTGGTTGCTTCCTGTGTGTTTTTTTCGCGTCTCCTTGGTTTGAACGTCGCTGACACGGCTCGTCCAATGATATGAGTCCACATGCAGCGCAGGGAAGAGGGGCAGCAGTGAGGCACTTTGATAAAACCAGACTGTCAGCACCGTGTAGAGCCACAGAAAAGCTGCGCAACCACGGTGAAGGCAGGAGCACGGTGGCGCGGTGAAGCTGGAAGACTGGACCGGGTGAATGCGGTCTTCAACACCGGACAGTGCCGCAGCAGACTCTCTCAGACCATTATTGGAAACTAAAGGACGTTCAAACTAATTGTCACCTAAAGGAAGATGAATTAGACCCTCGACTACATTATTTTTTGTTGTCCACCGGGAAGAAGATCCACACAGCGGCCAGGCGAACACGGTAGATCGTTAGAAATCCGGGCTTTTTAATGCTCTCAGTTGGCGAACTCTTCGGCACTAAAGTCTTCCCATCCTTGAGAAATCCAAACGACACCATCCGGCAGCGTTTCGACTGAAGCTGAGTGTTGAAGCAGCCGTCTGTCCGCCATGGAAAACGCTCACACGAAGAGTGTGGAAGAAGTTTACAGTTATTTCTGCGTCAATGAAAGCACAGGACTTTCCCTGGACGAGGTGAAGCGGCAGAAGGAGAAATGGGGCCTAAACGGTAAGACAGCCCAACCGCAGGAGACCCCGCAAAAAAACAAAAAACGCTTCGGATGTGAGTGAGTGAGGGAAAATGGTCAGAGGAGGAATGTCTCTCGACTGTGTAAACGTGTGCAGCCCGAGCATGGTGTTCAGGATATGGGGTAAAAGTCAGCAACATCACCGGAACACCGGACCGTGATACCCGGCTGACGACAGCACGGGTCACCTCGAGGGTTCCCCAGCTCTGTAGTGTCATCACCGCATCAGGACTGGTGGACAGGGCTGGATAGTGCATGATGGCTTTACTAAACTTACTGTCATATATTTGCACTTTTGGGGGGGATTTTTTAAATTTATACTTTGAAGTGTTTTCTTTGTCAAATTGGGGAGAGTGGGGTAAGTGGAGCCACCTCCTGTTGCTTGGAAATGGTCAAAGAAATTGATCATGTGACCAAATATTCAGTAGATGGGCATCAATTCATGGAGTCTGTGAAGGTTAGAAGCACATGGGTGAAGGGGTTAGACATTTATTTACAAAAAAACACAGTTTTCACTCTTGAAAGTGAATTTAGTCTGTCATAAGTTTGATTAGAATTGTGTTCAGACCAAAAAAAGATCATTTTAAATTAGTTTTATACATCAGTTGTGGTATCTATGAGCTACAACATGAGGTCAAAAACCTAACAGAAGTCCACCATTTTAGCTTACAGGACTAATAAAGTCATCATAGTAGTTCTGGGGTCAGTTGTGACAGTAAAGAAGTCTGATGAGAGGATCAGAGTTTCAGTTCAGATTGTTGAAATGTTTTTACTTTTTCTTTTCAAAAATACAGCTGTGAATGTCCTGAATCACTTACTTACATTCTCATGTTAAAATGACTTTTTACAAAACAGCTTTTTAACAGTTATGTGCAATAATAATAATAAAAAGAATCATTGTACCAGTTGAAGAGTGTATAAAAGATAAAAATACACATGAATGTGAAGAAGTGACTGTTATTTGGGGAGAGAGACGGTGAGGGAGGGCTGGCGTTGACAGTAGGGAGACGACTCAACTTACCCCACTCCTATGGTCAACTTACCTCATGCACGGGGTAAGTTGACCACTTTTTTTGGCATGTTATATTATCAAGACAGTCATGTTTACACTCAATCTGTTGGTTTGCAGGGATGCACAAGGGATACACTAGTTAGAGACAAAACTATGATTGCCTTGATGTAGTGATCTGAAATATGAAAAACGGCACATCTGACCCCACTCTCCCCTACTGGAAAAGCTTTCCATCTGCAAACAACCCAAATCCGCTCAGTGCATTTCTTGTCTAAATATGGCTTTACATTTCCCCAAAACAACATTAATCTTAACAGGTCCAAATATAAACGCTACTTCAATATGTTTTCAGTCAGAGTTTCTAAAATTAGCAGGCTTATTATATCTTAGTTCCAGAAACTTATTAAGAAAACCTGATTTATTCAAAGTTATCAAGTCCCAATTTAAAAACAAGCCTCTCACACCCTCTATGATGCACAATCCTGACAATAGATGCTGCAAAAGTTTCAATAAACTATCAATTAGTTTGGGGAAAAAAGGCTTTTACATAATTAGGGGATCATATCTAACCCCTCCTTATGATCCAAACAAAGGACTTGTCACTTAGATAAATAACTTCATTTCCATACTTTCAGCTTTACTTAAGTGGAAACACAACTCAGCATTTCACAACTTTGGTAAAACGTCAATCAAGTGACCATTTTATTCTTAAATTGAATATTCTATTACCCTTTCCAGCACTGCTGTCGGATCACTTTCTGCCACAACATTGTGTCAGGGTTTAGCATTGTCTCACAGTAACAATATTTACTCTGATAACACCGCTGACATTGTTTACAGTAGCCGTTGAATGCGGCGACATGGTTGAACGTACTACCTCGTCAGTTGACCCAAAGCAAAGCTGCGTAACATCATCCCATGTGCCGAAGGATCCAGGAGGCATTTGACAACGAGCGGCAGCCAAAAAAGATGGCTGGAGTAACATTAGACTTCATTGTTAATCTCTGATGCTCCGGCCTTTAACAGCTGTTTTACATGGATATCACCTCGTAGGTCAAAGAGGGCGTTCTTTCACACTTTGACCTTTTAGATTGATTTAGTCTCCTCGTGTTTCTTGTCCTGAAATGAAAAGGAGAACTGCTGTAATTGGAGACGTTATCATGAATTATGGAGCCTTTTATTGTTTGACAAAAGTAGAATAGATATCTTTATAACTATGTGAGGTTTTTAAGCAAACTTCGATTACGTGGGTTGTTTTAACACTAACCTATTTTAGATTTATCCCAACCAGAGCCTGTTAAAAAGGCTCCTAGGATATGTGCTTACCTCCTCTCGTTCCAGGAGTGAGATCTACATTAAGAAACAGGAACTGACAGGCTTTGCTCCATCTGGCAAACACTGAAAAAGCATCCATACAGCACTTACCTTTTCCTTTTTTTTTTCTCCTTTTTTTTGGCGTTGGCTGTTGCCTGTGTGCTCCTGGACTGACTCCTACATCCTTGTACACAGAGTTACCAGCAGAAGAAGGTAATAACCACCTCTAACTGATGCTATTTCCCTCACAGTTGATCTAAATTTTCTGCGATTTAACTTTTGTCCCGCTCTCCTCTCTGCAGGGAAATCTTTGTGGGAACTTGTCATTGAACAATTTGAAGATTTACTTGTTCGAATTCTTCTACTGGCTGCTTGTATATCTTTTGTAAGTGTGTCACTTCATACAACTCTATATTGTTGACTGTTTTTCTTCACTCTGTTTTACTTATACCTCCTGTATACTCCTGTCTCTTTCTCCCGGGCCTTCTAGTTAAACTGAAATACTCTTGTTAGGTTAAGAGAGCCTCAGGATAAGTCACTACTCCCCACAAATAGCTTTCCCTTTCCACCTCAGGCTGTGAGCTTGTTTATTTTAGGTCAAAACTGCAAATGTGTTGATAATTAAGTCCCGTGTGTCGACTGGAAGTCAACAATTTACGCTGTGCATGGTGTCGAAGTGTGAACGTCTTCAGTTTGTGTAACCCTTCTGAGGTTTCACTCGCGTCTAAAGCGAGCTAAACAGCTGAGAAGGCTTGCCACCCATCTGAGGAATGGTGACAACAGCAGTAGCGGCATTGAGTTGCTATCAACATGTGCCAACTAAGACATTCGAGTTGTCAAGCTTAACTGCTCTGTAAGGACTCACCCGAGCTCCCCTCAGGTCTCTGACTCTGAGGGAATGATAGATAAATGTTTCAAAGTCAAAGAAGCGAAGGTTTTACATAACATTAACATTATCTGCTACTGTGCAAACATGGTGGCTTAAAGGGATATTCCGTTGTACAATTAATTAAGAGTCAAACGCACCGTAACACCAAGTTAGACACCACCTAACTTCATGAACAGTACATATTAGGGCCCGACCGATATGAATTTTTTGGGGCCGATACCGATTATTTAGGAGGAAAAAAATCAGATTACTAATTAATCAGCCGATTTTTAAAATTTTTTATGAAGTTATAAAAAATATATATATACTGTAGGCTACTCACGTTACTCATTTCCGGTCCGGTCTCATCTGGAGACATGCAGCTGCCTCAGTAAGAGAAGTAGCTCGATCACGTAATGTGTACTGTTGTTTATTCTACAAGGCTAATAGCTGGTGGCTAACTCTAAGCTTGTATATTACATAGTGTTTCACTTTTTAAGTGAAGCACTATGGGAACTTTTTAAATGGCGGAACATTTTCGAAGTGAAACCAAATCTTATTCTCGGCATTTTATTTCTGAAAATATCGGAATCTTTTTAGCTTTGCCTAATTTCTTTAGCATAGAGACTAAACACAACTCACCTACTCTCTTCCAGCAGCTGCTTGTTTGTTGCAAGACCTCAGGCCAGTCCATTACGGACTACAGTGGGGTGACACAGCTCAAGGAAGAACATTTATGATCATTACTTTATCATTATCTTGAAATAATAATCACCATATTAGTAATTTTGTACTGCAGATGCAGTAGCTCTTCTGCTTTAGCGTCTCGGTCTGATTGTATTTCCATGAAGAAATGATTATAAATGTCCTTCTTGCCTTAGGATGTTTGGTGGCTATTGCTGTGGCTGGGACCCTACATGTACTGTTGATGAAGTTAGGTGTTGTTCTGAGCATTATTTGTGGCTATAGAGTGGTGTTTTGGTTGAGGTTTGTTTATGGCTCCTCAGACTGCTGTGGATTGCTATCGTGCGATCGTTACTAAAGTTGGTATAACTAGAGAAGCAAGCGGCCGGCAACATTCATCTCTCGACGGGGTGTCTAACTCGTTGCTCCAGTGTGTTTGACCCTAAATTAATTTTACACCGGAATATCCCTTTTAATAGATGTGTTGTTGTGATAGATCAGAGAGTGGACTTTGTCTTCTTCACTCTTCAAACTATGATTCATTTTAACAAGTTGACTTTATTCACATTCATTGACTCCACTGCACAGTGAATGAGCAGATGGCGGCAGGACATTTTGATAAGTGAGGCCCCCCCGGTGTGTGTGTGTGTGTGTGTGTGTGTGTGTGTGTGTGTGTGTGTGTGTGTGTTTGTGTGTGTGTGTGTGTGTGTGTGTGTGTGTCTGTGTGTGTGTGTGTGTGTCTGAGTTGGTATGTAGCGTGCAGTATCCTGTCAGGTGATACAGAGGTGTCAGTGGCTGCTGTCTGACAGGGGGACAGAGCACCACTCCAGACCAAATTTGGGCCCGCACCTCTCAGTGGGAGGGCTCTCATCAGACAAACACAGATGCCTATCTCGACACAAAATAATCAAAACCTCTTCTTTTTTTTTTTATTTGCCTGAAGCTTTGAGGCAAGTTTTAAGTCTGTGCAAACTGGAACTGTTGACTCACTTTGATTATATTTCTCTAAAGAAGTTTATTCCCATGATTCAGTTTGTGTTGGTGCAGCTTGCTAGAGATTTTTCCTTTTTAGATATCCATTATATTTCAATGTCAAAGCCTATAGTTAATGGTTTTGTATATTTGCAGACACTCTTTATGAACGACCAATGACCAACTATTGAATCCTCTTCTAGTTAAAATGTTCATCATTCTCGCCTATTTTTCCATTGTGATATTCTGTCTGTGCTTTATTATACAATCCCAATTTCATAAATGTCAGGGCGCTGTGAAATGTTCATTACAAAGAAAAATTTATGGCTGCAAAGCATTTCAGCCATCGATTGAATTGAAGGTCGTTTTAAGACAAAAAATCAAACGTTGAAACTGGAAAAAAAAAAAATGTTTTTAATGAAAAATATGTGCTTATTTTAAAGTTGATGCCAACAACATGAGTCATGCTTATTGTTGCTTTGCATTATCTCTTCTTTTTACAACATTTGTCAACATTTTGGAAAAGAGGAGATCCATTTCTGGGGTTTTGAATGAGCCTGATATCAGATATTTTTTGCACATTTAATATTTTTTTATTATATTTATTACTTACCAAAAGTTGACGCCACAAGTACAGTGCCCAGCGTAAGTCAGTACACCCGTATTAAAAGTAATGTATTACTCAATATCTTGATAAGCATAAGTATAATTTCCAAAGTTTTGACAAAGCTGAGTTCAACATAACATTTTATTTACCATAAGATGAAAATAAGGGTGATATGGTGACTAAAATTTAGCTTTTCTCCCAGAACTTTGATTGGGATGGACTCATTTTTGCATCCTGATTTTAAATTGAAAAAAAAACATTTTTTTGTATACAACTTAAAAAAATCTTGTTTGCAATCAATGCCCTACATTTCGGGGAGTATTTTGTCGTATAGTCTGACATAGAAAATGTTGATTTTTATAGGAAACTTAAGGTTTGCTGTGTACTCATTTATGCTGTGCACTGTATGTCTGTTCCGCACCCAAACACTTCTGTTACGAGCTGTTGTGATACATGCTGAATGTTCAGCGTCTCTGTATATTATGAAAAAGACATTGTCTAAATGGCAGCATATGTTTCTCCACAACCAGATGTGCAGACTAGCCCTCCTAAGGGTACTTATGGATCCCACACCATCAGGGATACCGGCTTTGAAACTGTGCACTTGTTACTCTTTGAGAGTGTGGAGTCCATGACTTCCAACAGGAGCGCCAAGTTTTCCATTTTAGTCTCCGCAGAGTTCCTGTTTTACAGCAGCCATGTTGTTAACCTGATGCAAATTAGTGTAATTAGTCGGGAGATGTTGCTCCAGGTGTTTTTTTTTTAGAGTGTTGCACAACTCTCTCTTTGTTTTGTCGTCTCTGTCTTAACTTTTTTTTTAAGTTTGAGTTGCACACATTTAAATTCTGTTTTTTTTAATCAACATTTTAGACAAAGTCCCATATTTTATGCCATTAAAGTAGTAGAATGACAATAAAGACCTGTTAAAGTTATTGTTAGTTTATATTTTTGCTTTAGAAAAGGCCAATCTCTGTAATTTAGTGAATAGCGATGTACTCAGTCAGCCCCTGTACCTCTTAATTGCTGATGTTTCAGTGGGAGTTCCACTTAATGTTTAAGTTACACAATCTAATATTTCTCTGACACATGTCACAGCAAGACACTTATAATCTACTGGGGTTAATTGCTCTTTTACTTTATGGGATTTTAACAAATTAGCTTCCAGACACAGGTTAATTTTAGACCAATTTTCTCGTGAAGAAGAAGAAGTCAGATGAGACTCAGCGAGGACAGACATTTCTTCAGTATAAGGAGGTTATTCTGAGAAGTATAAAAGAAGTCTGTTCGTGTTATTTTGAGTTTTCTGAGCAATGAAATGTTTCCAAAAACAGTTGAATGATTACAGTCCAAATGGCCTGTTGAGTGTTGGCATTTCGGTAAACAATTCCTACAGCTATCCACAGGAGAGTGGAAACAATGGTGCACTCCAGTGGAAATGCACTGCTGCGTGTAGATTAACATTTAAGGCTCTTTTATTTCTAAATTTAAACTTCAGCTCCAGGAAGCGTAGAGTTTGAGTGTTTAGCTGCAGCTGCATGATCGGATATTTATTACTCAGTACATGAAGTTTTATATAAGAAATGTGTGGGATGATCCTCAGCTATTTACCATCTCTGACTTTGATGTCAAGCTTAGAGCGACTGACAGACAGCTGACTCCTCACAATGTCTCTGCAGCAACAAAACACTCTCCCCTAAAGGGATGAATAAATCAAACGTCAGATGACAATTTAAATGCATAAATCTGACTTAAAAGCTTGTTTCAGTTGAACAGGAGGTGTTTCTAAATATATAAAGTTAAAAAAACTTTGTATTTTTCTTTTCTCTCAAAACAGGAAACTAATACTGACTTGTATAATTAATGCTTTTAATAATTAATGTCATGTTTTTGTACCGTTTACAGGTCTTGGCCTGGTTTGAGGAGGGAGAGGAGACTATCACAGCCTTTGTGGAGCCTTTTGTAATTTTACTCATTCTTATAGCCAATGCTATCGTCGGCGTGTGGCAGGTGAGACACTTCAGATTGTAAATACCAGGAATGTATGAATACTAAAAATCCAGATGCAGAGTGACAACTCTCTAAAAACTGTTTTATTTGTTGCCTGCTTCACAGCATGCTCTAGCTTTAGTAGTTTGGCTTTGAGAGTTTCTGGAATCTTTGCATTTGAAGGTGCAGTGAAGTGAAATCAGTGTTTAAGTACCTTATAATAAACTTTAAATGCACCTTTTACATAGGGGTGGATTGCCATTTTGCACAGCTGACACAAACACGACCATGACAAATGTCTGTTTTTTGTCTTTAAATGCAAAAGCGGCTGCTGTATGCAAAATAATTCATGTTTAAGGATGTTTTTAAAGTCCCACTACGATTATTTTTTTTTACTACTTAAAGTGTTCTCAGTGGTCTTTAAATTGTGATTAAGTTTTTAGCCAAAATCACATTACCTGTGTCATTTTAAAGGGCTCTTCATTAGCAATTCCCCTCTGAGTCGTGGGCGGAGACAGCACTGCTCTGCACATTTGTCTTCACGTGTAGCTTGCATTAAGTGGCCAGGTAACATGGGAGCTATTCAACTCTTGCACGCTAATGTCGTCAGGGGTATGATTAGAGCTAATATCATAATTAGCTTCCATACTAGCACCACAATCCGCTAACGGAGACGCTTGTTCTGCGATTGTCCTCTCTATTCGTCTGAGCCTGGCCAGTATAGTGGGGCCCCAGGGGCGGAGCTTGGATTTGTGATGTAGGAAATCTCACTGTTTCTGATCCTGCCGTTTGGGTCTGCTAGAGAATCACAAAAATTTGAAACTGAAATGCAATTTCGTACTTGTTTTTCTCATGATATGTCCTCTAGTATCAGAAAATATGCCATATGAACATGTAGACAACAAGAAAAACATGATTTTCATCGAAGTGGGTCTTTAAATGCAAAAGTGGTTACTGTGTGCAAAATAATTCATGTTTAAGAATGTTTTTAAGGTCAGACTTGACAAATAGAGGCTCTTACTTCTCATGCATCACAGAGGCTTCCTTCTCTGCCATCCCTTCACTCACTGAAGAGTGATTCAAATAGTGTACATATCAGCATTTCTGCTCACTGTGCCTTTAACTTGGATCTGTCTCCTGCATAGTCTCAGTGAAAAGACTTATCTGAAAAGGTTTGCCATGTCTTATAGCTTAATACCAATGTAGGTGAACTCTGTAGGTGTGTACTTTATGTTGGTATGAAAGAGTCTTTTTAGAAAAATAGCCGACTGTCTGTAGGAGACTTTCGTGGGCAGCTCACTCTGAGCGCAGAGGTTGTTTCTGCTGATGAGCGATTAGGATGCTGGTGCAGGGTATAATTACAAAAGAGGCAGAAAAAGGATCTGATTAATATTTACAATTTCATACACAAAACATCTAATCTCCCCCAGACTGAGATCTGATCAAATAAACACCCATCTCCGAATATTCAGCACCTCTTCAGAGGGAAATGCTCTCACACATTTCGGTCCAGCTGAGCCAAGAACAGACAAGCCGTAGTTTATGTGATATAATCAGTTCAAAGACGTGGCTCTGAATCTCATTTTCTCCTCCTAGGAGCGTAACGCTGAAGATGCAATTGAGGCGCTTAAGGAGTACGAGCCTGAAATGGGCAAAGTGTACCGACAGGACAGGAAGACTGTGCAGAGGATCAAGGCCCGAGACATTGTGCCGGGAGACATCGTGGAGGTTGCTGGTAGGTTCAACTGCTTCTGAATCACACACAGACATTGCTTTGTTGGCGGTGGTGTTATTGGATTAACATGATTGGATTACTCTATTGTTGGATTTTCGAAACAAGTGATGAAACATTAACTGTAATTAGAGGCATCGTGTTTACACATTGTCCATTTTGTCAGTCCATCTGCTGAGTGTGACATCTGGAGCTGCTTTCCGACGTGCACTCTGGACAATTTGCAGGAAAATTTCAGGAGCTTTGACGAGGAGGTGTCCTGATACAACTTTTTGACTTCCGATATGATACAGATATTGTAGCCTACTGCCACACGGCCGACATCACTCCTGCTCCTTGCTACTTTGTTAGTACATTAGTACACTCTGTTGTCATGATTTTATGGGCTCAGCTTGCTGGAGCTGAGGGCTGCTCGATGGAGGAGCTGGAGCGGAGTCTGGAATGGACTGCTTGTATCAGAGTACTGATATCAGAGATTTTAGATGCAGGTCGATATAATCTGATATTTGTTTTTTTGCTGATATCTGACTGATATCCAATATCAAGTTTACCTGACTCTGTTGACTGTCTGCATGAAGCCTCACCTAAAAAGAAGGGGGCGTTTTTGTCTTTATATCAAAGCAGTGAGTTAGCGAACATATCCACTAGGGGTGGGACGATATGCTTTTCTCTCAATTCAATTCTTCTACGATTTTTTTGGATGCCGATTCGATTAAATTTGCGTTTCTACAATATTGACGATTTTCTCGAGCCTTAGTCTGCATTTTTAACACCAGTGAAACAGTTGAGTGATTATGATTGTCTACTGACCATTCCAGGAAGCATACTCTCCAAAAAATACACATCACATGTAAGTCAGTTTTTAAGATTTATTTTTAAATTTGAAAAAAAATCTATTTAAAATTGTAAAACAAAAAAGCGCTATACTTATTTGAATCGATTCTTTCCTCCCACCCCTAATATCCCCAGTATCAGCAGCTCTCACCGCCTCGATTTGCAGAGAATTTTCCGGAAGATTTGCTGATTTGCTCGCCAACTAACTTCCTGGGCTTGGCTTCCTAAGTTCATTCCCCCCCTCCTTGTGTACTTCCTGCAAACACACACACAAAACAACCACAACCAAAAAAGGCAGCGTCCGTCCGGTCAGTTGTCTTGAAGTGGTTCAGTTTTGCATCATCAGACCTTGGACGAACCGCAGCCGGCTGCAAAGTTTGCTCAAAGGCTGTCAGAACAAGAAGCACCAACACAACTGTTTTATTTCAACATCTTTCAACAGCCACAAACACTCACTAAAAAAAGGTCAACATGAGTGCAGTCAAAGGCTCACATCAGCGATTACTGATGCAGTCGTAAGACGTGGTGCTAAAAGTCGGGTTTATGCTTACAAGTGTTGATGCCAAGTATGTGCTTCAACACCCCTCCATATCAGATTTACGGAACCAATCAGAATCCTTTATTTCAAACGGGGGCGGGTTCTATTCGATGATGTCAGAGTCATCTTTTCCTTCGCATGTTGCTGTCTGTTAGCATTCTCTGCTGTTGTGAGCCGTGTCACACGCTGAGTTCATCTGATTGGTTGCAGCGTTTTACTGTCACTTTCACGGTGCTTTTTGCATGCGACCGCTACGAATGCTTTAACATCGCTCAGATATGAGATATGTTCGCTGCAGAGCTGGAGGGAGGTGTTGTTTTGCAGTCTTCTATGAGTTTCAGCATCAACAGTTGGGCTTTGTGAAGTGTCTGCTTCCTCATAGTTTACTCCTCTGTGACTCAGCTGTGCAGGGGCTAAAAGTTTGTTTTGCTCCACTTTGTCCTGTGTGTTATTTTTTTTGGATAACACTGTTTGACGCCACCGTGAGGCGATCACGTCTGATCTGTCCAGGTCAAAGTTACGCTGTTGTTGTCGAGAACCTCTGCTCGTACAACCTTGAAGTGGTCATTGTATTATGTTTCTTTGTTCTGCTGCGTTGTGGTTTGGCTCTGCCTCAGGTAAAGCCCACTGCAGACAGATCAGTGAGTCCAGGTGTAGTCATAGGTCATATTTAGCTCATGCCTCCCCCATCCCCATGAGCCAATGCAGGGGTGACTCACCCTGTGAAAGTGGTGTATTTTCAGAAGCTCTCATTAACCTGTTGTCTTAAAAAGCTTCACTGGTGCTATGAATACACACTTAAACTTCTTCTTTGTGTGTATTTGTTCATGCACTGTGACTTGGAGGAGCATGCACCAATGTGTCCTCCTAGCTCGTCCTAACTCCACCCCTCGTCCCCCCATGAAGAGTGTGAGCTGAGTGCTGGAGGGATTCATGCTTCTGAGGTCCAGTCAGCATGTTTCTGAATTTTCAGGGGTGTCAGGCTTGAAATTATCAGAAGAGCAAACACAAACATGCATGCAGAATTCTGCAGAGGATTGAGCAAAGACAGGCGTGTTAAGAAATGCCGAAAGCCCTTGACATGGTAGCGTTATCTTGACACCGCGTTTAACCCCACGCCACTGGAGTGATGCATAGTTTTTCTGCGCATGGTGGTAGGTGTTATTTTTAGCCGTCATAGGCCGGTGAGATTATGGAATGCTGTATTAATAGAGGCAATGACAGTCAAGAAGATGACAGGTGTCTGGTCCCACCCGTTGCATGCCCCCTTCCATCTGGCTCTGGAGAACACCGCCGCTGCGAGGGACGAGGGACAGTGTTCATTAGGACACCTGAGTAACCTTGACAAGGACATATGGAGAGAGAGAAAATCCACAGAGGATGATGATCACATTCATGTAGATCAGTTATGAGGTACAATGATTAAAGGATTTCCTGTGACAGAGTATTTGACAGTGTGGTATTTGTTTCACGGTCTTGTCTGCTGCTGCTGTTTGCACCAGCGGCGCCTATTTTTATTTAAAACTAATTGGGCTTCAGTGTTTTCAGCCCTCGGTGCAAAAATGCCCTCGGCGTCAGCTGATTTTTGTCACAGGGCTCTCAGTTGGAAACGGTTCAGCTTTTGGAGCACCACCGCGCTCGTCGTCAGAGTCCGTTTCACCCTCGACCAATCCGATTTAAGAGAGGGCGGGGCTTCTGATAGCGGCTTCTGAAATTGAGGTGGACACAGCGCAGATGTGAACTATCACACGGCCACCTGGCCCTCATCTCCCCGACAGGAAGACTTCTAATTTCATATTCATGTTTTATTTATGATGATCAGACCTGTTCATTGTTTAGTTGTTAACCCTTTGTGCGCACACCTGACCCTCCTCCTCCTCCTCCTCCTCCTCTTCCTCCTCTCAGTCTGCTGTGCTGCGTATGTTTTTCTCACATTTTAAACGTCGGTACTCTTTGTCTGCTGCTTTGATCTCGTGAAGGCCAAAACCTTGGTCTTGATTGAGATTTCATTAATTGCACAGCCCGTACTTTCCGAGACAGTATTTTATGTCAATCAGAGTGTGGGAAGCTTAATTATTTGGCTCAGGTTTAAAGAAGAAACTCATGAGTCAGACCTGCTCTCCTCTTTCATATTAAGATTTTTTTTTTATCTGAAAACTCCAGATGAAGGTAGCTGCAGGCTCTGCTGTCAGCACCTCGAGGCTTAGTCAAAACTGCAGCCCAGCAGGCATCATCAGGAGGAGCCCATCAGCTCAATTTTCTCCCTAAATTCTCAAAATATCCACTACAATAGTTCCTGTCAGGCTGCTTTTTTTATGAATATAATTTTCCTGAAGCTTCAATGTGACCCCTGCCATGCAGAGGAGGATTGTGATGACGCAGATGCAGGCTGGCCGGCTGCTGAGCCGAGCCAGAGGACACCGAGACGAGCCCTCTGTGGCTGCCTCAGCTGTGAGAAGAATAGCCGGCAGCCAATCAGAGCTGCTCGCTGTCAGGGTGCTGCTGTGGGTTTGAACACTGCCTCCTACTCACATCTCATCTCCTCATCAGCCTGCCAGCCGCATGCTCACAAAAACGTGTTTCAGTATCATGGAAACAACACTGTGTTTGAAGCTGCGTTTTTTTTGTCAGGTGTAGATTTTCATATGTTTGGTTTTATCGAGCCGCTGAGTGAGTGAGTGCGGCGCTGCAGGTCTCGGCTCACTGCTGTGCTGCTGTTCACCTCTCTGGCTGTCACGGTCAGGATGATGCTAGATTCGCTCATTTCTCGGACTAACGGAGAAGAAAAATTCCCCTGTTGTCAATATGCCCGTTTAAAACGGTAAATGTTAAAGCCGGAGTAAAATTGGCCTCATCTGTTTGCTGAGTATGGATATTTCTTCCTGATATAGAGACGTGCTCAGAGAGGCTGCTGCCTTTTGACAAATAACAACATCTGCTTCACTAAATATGCTGCTGACTTTGCTGAGAGTACTGTAAACAATGGAGGAAGAGCATGCAAACTGATGCCAACATTTCTAGATCTCCACACGCACTGCTTTCAGCATAGCTTAAAGGGATATTCCGGCGTAAAATAAATTAAGGGTCAAACACCGAGTCAGACACCCTCTCAAGAGATGAATGTTGCCAACGGCTTGCTTCTCTAGTTATACCAACTTTAGTAATGACCGCAGAGAGCAGTACACAACGGTCTGAGGAGCCATAAACAAACCTCAACCAAAACACCACTCTATAGCCACAAATAATGCTCAGAACAGCACCTAACTTCATCAACAGTACATATAGGGTCCCAGCCATAGTACTAGCCACCAAACATCTTTTTAGCTTTGCCTAATTTCTTTAGCAAAGAGACTAAACACAACTTACCTACTCTCTTCCAGCAGCCGATAGTTTGTAGCCAGACCTCAGGGCAGTCCATGATGGACTGCTGGGGGGTGATGCAGCTCAAGGAAGGACATTTATGATCATTACTTCATGGAAATGCAATCAGACCGAGATGCTAAGGCAGAAGAAGTACCTCGTCTGCAGTGCAAAATGATCAATATAGTGATTATTACTTCAAGGAAATGATAAAGTAATGATCATAAATGTTCTTCCTTGAGCTGCGTCACCCCGCTGCAGTCCATCATGGACTGGCCTGAGGTCTCGCTACAAACAAACTCTACAAACTCTTCGCTAGTTTGAAACCAGGCAAAGCTAAAAAGATGTTTGGTGGCTAGTCCTGTGGCTGGGACCCTATATGTCCTGTTGATGAAGTTAGGTGCTGTTCTGAGCATTATTTGTGGCTATAGAGTGGCGTTTTGGTTGAGATTTGTTTATGGCTCAACAGACTGCTGTGTATTGCTATCGTGCGGTCGTTACTAAAGTTGGTATAACTAGAGAAGTAAGCAGTCGGCAACATTCATCTCTCGAGGGGCTGTCTAACTCGGTGTTATGGTGTGTTTGACCGTAAATTAATTTTATGCTGGTATATCCCTTGAATTTTTTTAAAGATTTCATGACGTGCATGTTTGAAAACTACGATGGAGAATTGGGAGGATGGATGATTAAAGTCGTACAAGATTAAATATTTAACTTCTCTAACAGAAGATACCACCAACTGGCCGAGGACCATGAACTCAGACCAGCTGTTCCTCTGATCTTCTCATAAATTCACCATAAGATCAAACTTTGTGATATTTACCGCCTCTTTTCTCGTCATGACACAACACACTATGCTACCGGTCTACAGTCTGGTGTTGAAGCCTTGTCTGTTTGGATGTTGGCCTTTTCTCTGAGCCCTTCCACTCAGCGGGTTTGTTCTCTGCTGCCTGTGAAGTCCCGGAGTCTGGTAGTGTGACGGGGGCTCATGTGGGGTAGTGTAGGAGGGAGGATCTCTCATCTGCTCCTATTGTGCTGGAAAGAGATGACCTTATAGGGAAGCGCTTTGTGGACACCAGTCCCACCCGACCACGCATTGCACACAGTGACCCTACCCATCAGCGCCCGCATCCCCCACTAAGATTCCAGACACCATGGATAGTATGTGGCATTTAATGTGGTCTGGCAAGCATCCTTTGTCACTGAAGGGCTGACTTTTGGCAAAGGTTCTTAGGATGTCAGCAAGTCTGAGAAAAATGGTCTCATCTTGCCGACAGGCTCGAGACTTAATTTGTGGCGAGGTTGTAGAGGGAAGTTTAGGTCGTACAAACCCGGTGAGCGGGAATCTGTGCTATGCTAGTGGTGTATTCTGGGGGCTGACTTATTGAAAGTGTTGGCTTTGTATCAAACCATCAAACCTGCACTTACTGATTATTGTCTGCCTGTCAGTCAGCGGGGACATGCTCTTTTCTTTTTACATTATATTCACTCTTTAAATCTCATTTTGGAGCGATGGTTTGATTGGCCAGCGATCCTGATCTGAGCTTTTCATATTGAGTGAATGCAAATACAAAGGGATGCCTAACCTTAGGGCTGGGTGATGTGGCCTTAAATCAATATCACGATATATTGAGCAGTTCACCTCGATAACGATAAATGGACGATAACGACTCCACGAGCTGCTCACTCCCTCCCATATTAACTTTGTCTACTTGAGCCACTGCTCCAGCCACTACAACTTTTAACTGTCCTCCATCTCCTCACCTGTCTTTTCCTCTTTGTTAGCGTCCTAAAGGGACATGTGACCATAGCCTACCTAAACACATCCAAAACCAACTTTTATTTATTATTATTTTTTTGACACAGAATACACTGGTATGGGCAAAATGACGTCAGTTATTGTCGTAAATGTTGGTATCAGTAAATTTTCGGTTTATCGACCAGCCCTATCCTGTCGTAGGGCTCGGTGAAATGGTCTCAAATCAATATCACAATATATTGAGCAGTTCACCTGGATAACGATAAATGGACGATAACTACTCCACAAACTGCTCACCCCCTCCCACATTAACTTTGTCTACTTGAGCCGCTGCTCCAGCAACTTCTGAACCGTCCTCTATCTCCTCACCTGTTTTTTCCTCTTTGATAGCATCTTAAAGGGACATGAGACCATAGCCTACCTAAACACATCCAAAAACAACTTTTATTTATTTATTTTTTTGACACCAACTATATCCATATGGGCAAAATGACGTTGGTGATTGTAAATTTTGGTATTGGTTTATCGCCCAGCCCTAGGACGTTATGCCAAGGCAGCATGTACTTTAGATGCAGCTTTAAACATGAAATGACAGATACTGGAGTGGCTTTAATCTTCTTATTGAACTGCCAACTTTATTAATTGATAACCGGTTATTGTCGTTTATTTCGGTTTCAATAAAATTTCGGTTTATCACCCAGCTCTACCCAACTTTCTACTTATATTTGCCGAAATAATAGATGTCTATTACACTGAGTTAGCTTTAGCACATTCTAGTTAACTAAGTCCAGCTAGCTTTGCTGAACTTTGCTGTACAGCTCAGGTAAGGTGGTGAAATGTGAGGAAATAACCATGAATACAAAATACTTTTTGTTTACATTCAAGTCTGATCGTTTTGTATAAGATAAAGGGACAGGATCAGCTGCTGCTGCTGTGACAAGGACTATAGACTTCCGTGTAATTCACAGGTTGAAGTAATGTACACAGTTTCTTTGAGATTTGTTGCTCCTAGTCCTGGGACAAGTCGGGTTTCTACGGCAACAGAAACAGTCGCATGCTCTGTGTAGGCCGAGCCTGCTGCTGCTGCTTAAGATTCATAACCGGCCGAGGCAAAAGCAGAGATGTTAAGAGACAGTGCAGAAGCAGTGATTGCATAACCGAGGTTACAGTTGAGGAGCATCTTCAAAGTCAGAGAAAAATGTTGCTGCTGCGAAGAAATCAGTTATTAGGACGTGTTTGTTTATCTCTCTTTTACTGTTAACCGTTTCTTCTGGGTGCAAGTTTGAGCTGTTTTTTTTTTGCAGACAGGTTATCTGCTGTCTATGAAAACTGCTCGGTCACTCTCTGTGTACCCTCTCTGCCAACTTTGCTCGAGTCTTCTGTGGATGCAAACCTCCCTGCTTGGTTTTTCTGTCATAGCTACACCGCTGCAGCTCAGAACATCAGGCTGCTGTCCTCAGATGTCACTATACTGTTTTTTTAGAGTACAAAAGTGTGGATGTGCAGCCAAGAGTAGCTTTCCGGGTTAAATAAGCAGAATAAAATAGCGTTAAATTTGTTGCATGATGAAATAGGGCTGGGCGATAAAATGATAACGATATCAAACATTAATTTCCCTCAATATCAATATAAAACATGGTCAATATGCTTTTCAATAGACGGTTTTCTGCCATGTTTATCACCATGCACTACTTTCCCTCCTATTGATTGTGCTGAGTCATGGTAACAAGCTGGTTTTGTGCACCTGGCTGTCGGCAGGAAGAGTCAATGAGAGGTTATTCCTTCAATCCTTCTCCTCATTCAGATTATTTTACAGCATTTATTTTTGTGTGAGATATTTAAATCGTTGTTTACTTGTTTGTAAATCAGCCGTGGATCTGCGCGGAAAAGCTTCACCTGTTGACGGCTCTCAGTTTGACACAAGGTCAGCCTTTTGTTTAGCTGCCATCAGCACATGTAGCCTCCGGGCTGGCCCAGAGGAGACCAGGTCTGCTGAGCCAACACGCCGTCCCAAAACACACGGCAGAGTCAGGTGCCAGTCAAAGCTGGCAGCTCGAGTTCAGCTGCTGCCACGCTCGCCGTTTTAAAGGTCTGTTTTTCTAAAGGGCGTGTACAGGAGTCAATGCAGGTGAAATGCATCACCAGCTCCGAACTTTTATCACCGTATTAACCTGTGAATGGTTAGCACGCACTGAGGTGGAGGAATAGCCGCTCCTGAGGAGAGGTTTGGACCGCGACCAAGTAGGATGTTGACACAAAGAGAGCGATGATATACACACAGAGACTCAAACAGAGCAGGTCTGCGGTGTAACACATCCTCAGGGTCATTCCAGTGTCACATAATCTTACAGAGTCCCAACATTCATGGTATTTTTACAGGAACATCAGCCAGATCCACTGACAGAAGCTCCGAGCCGTGTTTTCTGGCTCAGCACTCTCTAAAAAGTTGTCAGTGTTTCCTCAGAAGTAATGACTTAGCACAGGAACTCTTACACAACCACCCGGGATGTAATTGTTAAGCTTTTTGTCTCATAAGAAAAACATGTCATGCTTTGTTCCTGTTGTACAGCTGCAGGGATCCTTTTACCTGTTTCCGGGGGTTGAAGCATCTTTGATTAAAAATGTAGCTCCCTGTGTTTAATCCGCACTAGATTATTGATCTATCAGAAGGTGAATGGCAGTCCCAGAGTGAAAGTTCAGACTCTGGCGAAGGAAAATTTCCATCCAGGGTCTGAAATGAAGTTTATTCATCATTCATCATCCTGCTGCATTTCAACAAGACGCTCACCTCTCAAGTCTGCCACTTACAGAAACCTGTAAAATGACTCTATAACACTCGAGGTTCAAACACCAATACGATAATAATCACAGTGATTCATCAGAATTACTTTTCCCACTGATTTAATGAGAGAGACTTATTTCCCATGGTTCCATTTGAGCCCAGATTTCCTCTTTGTTTCGAAGGTGGCAGGCTGCTAATTTCATTCCCCGTCTCCAATGCACTCATTTATTTTCAGGGCCGCGACGGTTCAAAGATTCAAAGCGCTCGACATAAGTCGTTCTCAGAAAAGCTATTACTGTCGTGGGTGATCGGCCAATGCCTGCTGGCAGATCAGAGTTCCTGGCACAGCCATCAGGACATCTCGTGTGTTGATGATCAATCCAGCTATTCCCAGGGTCATGTCTCATAGTGAGAAGTCGACACCTCAGCCTGGCCACTTAAAGCTGGACGTGAAATGTGTGAAAATATCGGCGCGGCGTCACTTGGAGCGTAGTTTGATGACTTGTCTTTGTTCGCTCGTCTCCTCTTGTGCCGCGGCGGTAATAAGAAGAAAACAGCTGCCGTTGTATGGCCACATGTAAACCTGATCAGCTCACGGGGGAATATATCGAAATGCTTTTCCCATCTTTGGCTGCATCCATCATTGCTATTTTCCCCTCCATTCACTCAAGGTCATGAGTGGGGGGGTTGGAGACGGGGGGTTGTGTTACTTGTTGCCCTCAAATGGTCACACTGACTTCAGTGTATTTGATCAAACCCTCGTTTGTTTGTCCTTTTCCGGTGCTACAAAAATACACTTTTGTAATCATCTGATTAAGTAGGCTTCTATAAAAACTGTGCCACAGCCTGAACCATTTCCCCAGTTTCATAGCCTTTGTGTACCATTAGGAAGTTGAATTGGGTCACTGCAATTCCGATGTACCCAAATTGGCTTTTTCCTCAGAGACGGGCCTTTTATGGCTCACAGGTCCTTCATTTCCTTCTCTTTCTTTGGCTCTGCTCCTCCGTCCCTGCAGTGATGGCAGCTCTGCTCTGTTGCTGTGTGGCACAGCGGCCTCCCTGTAATGAGCTGCGTTTCGTCAGTCCGGTTTACACTCGTGCTGAGTCGCTGCCTGCAGAAGACAGACAACATCTCATCTGTACAATCTTCATTTAGCCTGTAGACAATATACAGCGGGAGCGCGTGGCTAGACCTTCAGAGAAATTCAAGAGAAAGCAAAGAGACTAAGAGAAACTGTTTTAGTCTGCATCCTGGTCTTTGTCATGAGCTTGAAGTTTTATTGCAATCAACTTTTAAAGGCATGGTTGATGATCTGAGAAGCAGAAAAAAGCGTCCCACCCCCCACACACAAACGTCTCCCCTCTGTGCTCCACGGTAACTCCCCTCAAACATGTATCACCCTCCCCACGACACACCCCCTCTGGCAGAGCAAGAAGACGGCTGGCAGACGATCCTACACTAGCTTCACATAGGATTCACCGCGTCGGATCGTGATTAGCGGCAGTAAATGCCAGCTCTGCTAGCGAGTACCGTCTGCAGCTGCCTGGACAGCTACTGTGTTGACATTGCAGCAAGTATTATTTATGTAATCATGTAATCATATCATGTGCCACGATAAAAGGCGATTGAAAATGACCTGTTCAACAAAAACTCTGCTGTCCCACCGTCTGTTTTCAGGCCCAAATCCTGGCGTAGCTCCACCGCTCGAAGGACGACCCAATGTTTATTCGAGTTAGATTCCTTGCTTGGTCGCATTTCCTCTTGGACTCTCCACCCTTTCTTCTGTCAGCTTGCATTTTCTTCCCACTTTTGGCGGTGGGGCAAGCAGAAGTGTTTCTGTTTTTGTTTTGCATCCTTCTCCATCATAGCTTATGTAGCTAAGCTGCTACGCTACTTTTAGCCGCTCAGAGCTCCGAGGAGGGACGGGAGATATGTTTTTTTGTAGGACAGTAGGGGAAAGTCCCGCCTCCTTCGCCTCTGATTGGCTAGAAAAGCTGGAAACGTCATCACACGCTCAAGCCAAACGTGGGCTGTTGGCTACTTTTAGCATAGCATTAGAACATTACAGAACATTATCGCACTTCTGAATCTCCTAAACCTGACCCTAATCCTAACCTGACAGATGATGACGTTTCACAACCATTAGGAAAAACCAATCTGAGCCAAGCACTTCTAGCCAATCAGAGGCGAAGGAGGGCGGGACCTTCCCCTACCATCCTTCAAAAAAAAATTTTGCTGGGAGAGTGGGAGGGGATGAGTCAGAACTACTATGGGAGAGGGGTGTGTCCAATACAGCGAGGTGATTAGATGGAGAGGCGGAGCAGGAGATTGACCAATAGGAGCTGTCCGGGATGATTGGCTTCCATTGGTCAATGTTTTCGCAGCTCTGCACCTACTAGAGTGAACAGATTTTTTCTGTTTTTTCTTCTCTTCACTTTGTGGCGATCGCACTATAGGACCATGATCGCCATAGAAACGAGGTTCATAATAATCACCGATCTCTCCAATCATCAACCATGCCTTTAAGAAAGACCGTTTCAGTCTGCGTCCTGGTCTTTGTCATGAGCTTGACATTTTATTGAGTTTCACTGAGAGTCATTTCTTATGTGTTCATGAAGTCGAGTCTTCTTTCTAATGGTCTGTCTGTTTGTTTGCTTTCAGTTGGAGATAAGGTTCCTGCAGACATCCGTATCTGTTCAATCAAATCAACCACTCTGAGAGTCGACCAGTCCATCCTGACGGGTAAGATGTTCTCCTTTTTATACGATAACCTCTGACCTAGATCCTCTGTTTTCAATCAACAAAGTTTCAACACGAGCGTCTTTAGTTTATTACCATTGATGCCGAATGCTGCTAATAACCACACGCTGCACCCTGAAAGGATCCGCCCTCTGCCTGTGTTTGAAGTCAAACAAAAGCTGAATGACAATGAGTATGATCTTCTAAGTAAGCAGGAAAATGAGCTCCTGAACGGAAACACTTGAAAGATCCGGGATGAGCGATCAGTGCCGTGGATCTCTCTGTAGGTTTAATTGAAGCGACGCTAACAGATCTAACACGCTGCCTTCTCATGTCTCTGTAGGTGAATCTGTTTCTGTGATCAAACACACCGATCCTGTGCCGGACCCTCGGGCCGTCAACCAGGACAAGAAGAACATGCTCTTCTCTGTGAGTCATGTTATCAAACATCCTGTTGGTTTCCTCCTCCTGCTTGCAGTTTATTTGCTTCCTGGAAAAACTTGCCCTTCCTTGTTGTTGTTTTGAGATGTTATCCGATGCACTCGAGCTCTACATGTATATTATGTGTTGTTTTTTCAGGGTACTAACATCGCTGCTGGAAAGGCTGTGGGTGTGGTCGTGTCCACTGGCATTAACACAGAGATTGGGAAGATCCGGGACGAGATGGTCGCCACTGAGCAGGAGAAAACGCCCCTGCAGCAGAAGCTGGATGAGTTTGGCGAGCAGCTTTCCAAGGTCATCTCACTTATCTGCATCGCCGTGTGGATCATCAACATCGGACACTTCAACGACCCCGTCCACGGAGGCTCCTGGATCCGCGGGGCAGTCTACTACTTCAAGATTGCCGTGGCGCTGGCTGTAGCGGCCATCCCTGAAGGACTTCCTGCCGTCATCACCACCTGCCTGGCTCTGGGCACACGCCGTATGGCGAAGAAAAACGCCATCGTCCGCAGTCTGCCATCTGTGGAGACCCTTGGCTGCACCTCTGTCATCTGCTCTGACAAGACAGGAACCCTGACCACCAACCAGATGTCTGTGTGCAGAGTGAGTCAAATGTGTACACACATAAAACAAGCTCTTTGTCCTCTCTGCTTTGTCGTCTTTGTCGTCTTTGGCCCGTCTCAGTTGGTCTAAGTTCTCATTGGTCCGTGAGTCAGTGAGTCTGCCTGTGTGTCCCTTTGAATGTATTTGTCAGCTAAAATGTTAATCCTGTCTGTGCAGAAACGGGGACTAAAGAGCTCCTTGTAATCAGGTATTCAGGTTATTTAACCAGAAGGCAACACGCTGCAGCGTCTCTCATCTCCATCGAGCTGCTGTTGCATAACTGACCTTGCATCACCGATCTGCAGAGCAGACGGCCTGAAGTTTCTCCGCACTTTCTTCCCTCTTCCTCTTTTCTCCTTTTATTTTCTTTCTTCCTTCCTTGCTTTCATTTTTCTTTCCTTCTTAGTTCCCTTTAGTATTCAGGTTTTGTTCTTCATCTCCATCCTTCTTACTCTCTTCCTGTTTTTCTTTCTTTCTTTCTCTTCCTGTTTTTCTTCTTTCTTTCTTTTTTCTTTCTTTCTTTCTTTCTTTCTTTCTTTCTTTCTTTCTTTCTCTCTCCCTTTATAGTTCTAATTTTGTTCTCTCTCTTTCTGTTTTTCTTGGTTTTTCTCTTTTTCCTTTTTCTGTTCTTTCTTTCTCTTTGTTTTTTTCTTTGTGTTTTTTGTCTCTTTCTTTCTGTCTTTTACCTTTTTCCCTCTTTCTTTCTTCCTTTCTTTCTTTTTTCAGTTCTTTCTTCTCTTATTGTTTTTTTCCTTTTGTTTTTTTGTCTTTTTCCTTCCTTTCTTTCTCTCTTACTTTTTCCTTCTTTCTTTTTTCTGTTCTTTTCTCTCTTATTTTTTTCTTTTGTTTTTCTTTTTCTCTCTCTTTCTTTCATTCTTTCTTTCTCTCCCTCTCTTACTTTCTTTTTCCTAATTTCTTCCTTTTTCTTTTCTTACTGTTTTATTTCTTTTATTTCTGTTTTTTCTTCCTTCCTTCCTCTCTGTTCTTTCAGTTTTTTTCTTGTTTTATCATTCTTTTTTTTGTTCTTTTAATCTTTTACTCTGTCTTTTTTGTCTTTCTTTCTATTTGTTTACTTTCTTCCTTCCACCCTCCCTTTTTTCTTTCTGTTTTTATTTCTTTCTTTTAGTCTTTCGTTTTATCTCCCTTCTGTCCTTCCTTCCTTCCTTCCTTCCTTCCTTCCTTCCTTCCTTCCTTCCTGTCTCCTTGTTGCTACCTTTGCCCCCCCCCCCACATTAATAGAGTTAATCTGAGCGTTAACTAAAGTCTCTTTTGTTCTTATTTAAATGTTTTCTTTGACCGTCTCAGACCTCCGTCCTTCGTTTATAGTATTTATCTAACAGATGTTTGGGCCTCTGTTTGGTCAGGATGACTCACTGATCTGGATATAAATTAAGAGGCTCGTTAATTCTTAAAGGTAAATTGCTGTTTTCGGTTTTCAAAGTGATTCCTGGAGAGCTACATCTGTAATTTCACTCGGTATATGAGGTTAAAAGCCTTTAAAGAGCTGAGGTAATTCATGCTTTGAGTTAAGAGGTTCATATTTTTATGAAGTGCGTGTAAAAGAGGATGAAAGCTCCCCCCTGGAGCAGACCTGGCGCTGCGGCTTCATCTTTTGGGCTTGTCACTCTCGACTCAGGCTCATCGGCTTTCTCTTTCTGTTTACATACGGAGCGAAACTAAACAGCATTTTCTCACATTAGTCAGCAGACCACCCAGCTTTCAGAGAGACACATCCTCTAACACTGCAGGCTGATCTGCTTCCCAAAATAAGAGGCTCTTCTCCTCTTCTGGAGCGTCCTGTGGTGTTTTGCTGCCACCTGCTGTATCTGAAAGAAACTGTCAGACTGTTCAGATAGTCTGTTTATTCCTTTCTGCTTTTTTACTCTCCAGATGTTTGTGATCAACAAAGCTGAGAATGACAGCTGCTCACTGTCAGAGTTCACCATCACAGGCTCCACTTATGCACCCGAGGGAGAAGTGTGAGTACTGCGCCGCTCTGCCTGTTATTGACTGTAATTGTGGGTCAACATCTGTCTTTGTAACCGTGTAGCATTAATGATGTGAACTGCGAACACGCAAGTTAATTTAATCTGAACTTTTCTGCAGGTATCAGGATGGTAAACTGGTGAAAACCTCCCAGTATGATGCTCTGGTTGAACTGGCTACCATCTGTGCTCTGTGTAACGACTCCTCTCTGGACTTCAACGAGGTCTGCAGTCTTCCCGTTTTTTCTTCACGTTTTAATGCGTCTCTTAAAGTAAAGTAGACGCAGTTATCATCAGGAAAGGATGAAAATGATTTAAATGTCATTGATTTTCCAGGTGAAGGGTGTGTACGAGAAGGTTGGTGAGGCCACAGAGACGGCGCTCACCTGTCTGGTGGAGAAGATGAATGTTTTTGACACCGAAGTTCAGAGCCTGTCAAAGATTGACAGAGCCAATGCCTGCAACTCTGTGAGTGACACCGGCTTCTCCCCAACCTGCACACGCTGCACTTTTCTCTGCTGCCGCTCAGCAGGTTTTTACTCACCCTGTTTGCCCGCTTTATTCTGATCAGGTGATCAAGCAGCTGATGAAGAAGGAGTTTACCCTGGAGTTCTCCAGAGACAGGAAGTCCATGTCTGTTTACTGCACCCCAAACAAATCTCGCTCTTCCATTGGAAAGATGTTTGTGAAGGTATCCTGAGAGGTGCATGCACTTTAAACTCCAGCCTTACTGATTTCTACAACGCTAAAAATCGCATCTTTTATTCTGTTTTGCATGACAGGGGGCGCCAGAGGGAGTTATTGAGAGATGCACTCATGTCAGAGTGGGCAACACCAAAGTTTCCCTCAGCAAAGGTATCAAAGAAAAGATCCTGTCTGTGATCCGTGAGTACGGTACCGGTCGTGACACCCTGAGGTGCCTGGCTCTGGCGACACGAGACAACCCACCAAAAATGGATGACATGACGCTTTCTGACACCGCCAAATTTGCTGAGTATGAGGTGCATTTCCAAATTACTTTCTTTTTGTTGTAAATCTCCTGTCATGATACGGCAGACATTTCCAACGCAAGTTTTCTTTAAGTGCTGCACACTCATCCAAGTCTGTCTCTCTGTATCCAGTCCGACCTGACCTTCGTCGGTTGTGTCGGCATGCTGGATCCTCCCAGACAAGAGGTGGCGGCTTCCATCACGCTGTGCCGTCAGGCCGGGATTCGTGTCATCATGATCACCGGAGACAACAAGGGCACAGCTGTGGCTATCTGTCGGCGCATCGGTATCCTAACCGAGGAGGATGACGTGGAGCGCATGGCGTTTACGGGGCGGGAGTTTGACGAGCTCACGCCTTACGATCAGCGTGACGCTGTCACTCACGCTCGCTGCTTCGCTCGTGTTGAACCTTCACACAAGTCCAAGATCGTGGAGTTCCTGCAAGGATTCGATGAGATAACTGCCATGGTATGAAGTCTGTGTAAACAGCATGAGTATATCGTGATGTTTGGGTTTTTGTTTAGGTTATGAATAGATCTTCTCCACAGACAGGTGACGGTGTGAACGATGCCCCTGCCTTGAAGAAAGCAGAGATCGGCATCGCTATGGGCTCTGGCACTGCCGTGGCCAAGTCAGCCTCTGAGATGGTCCTCGCCGACGATAACTTCTCCTCCATCGTAGCTGCTGTTGAAGAAGGCAGAGCGATTTACAACAACATGAAGCAGTTCATCAGATACCTCATTTCCTCCAACGTGGGAGAGGTTGTCTGGTGAGCGAATTCATTTCTATCGTATCGTTTTGAAACCCAAATTTTGAGAACAACCATAATCAAGTTGTCAGTTTCTAACTTCAGTTATTCCTCTCTATAGCATCTTCCTCACTGCTGCACTGGGGTTCCCTGAAGCTCTCATCCCAGTTCAGCTCCTCTGGGTCAACCTCGTCACTGACGGCCTCCCTGCCACCGCGCTGGGCTTCAACCCTCCAGATCTGGACATCATGGAGAAGCCACCTCGTAACGCTAAGGAGCCCCTCATCTCCGGCTGGCTCTTTTTCAGATACTTGGCTATTGGAGGTTGGTTGATTATCACGTTTGTTGCCTTTCCATTTAATTTGCCTTCATGCAGTTTGATAAATGTTACTTTTGTGTGTGTTTGTGATCGTTTCATCAGGCTATGTGGGCGCAGCCACGGTGGGAGCAGCTGCCTGGTGGTTCACACTCTCTGATGAAGGACCTCAGGTCACTCTCTACCAGCTGGTAAGTGTCTCCATGAATGCTCCTACCCTCAGCGGTTTGATCCCCCTCCTCACTCCTCTGCTGTCCTCTCCCCTCACAGAGCCACTTTCTCCAGTGCGGCCCAGACAACCCAGAGTTTGAGGGCTTGGAGTGCCATGTGTTTGAGTCGCCCTACCCGATGACCATGGCCCTGTCTGTGCTCGTCACCATTGAGATGTGCAATGCTCTTAACAGGTAAAAAGGGAGCCTCTAAAAAGGTCTCAGATTTACTGTTTCAGTAAATCCCAAACTGAGATTTGTCTTCTCTCCAGTCTGTCAGAGAACCAGTCCCTACTGCGGATGCCTCCCTGGGAGAATATTTGGCTCCTGGGGGCCATTTGCCTCTCCATGTCCCTCCATTTCCTCATCCTCTATGTGGAACCTCTACCTGTGAGTTACACTAAACCTGTTTATTCAATATCAAATACCTGACAGCAGCATGTTGGTGCACTTTACAGCTGGCTGCTGTAACGACTCAGTGAAAAAGATCGAATTTTAAGAGTGACCTGGTTCTCCTTTTCCCCAGAGTAGTTACATAACTTCATTATGGGAACTACCTTATAATAAATTAGGATGCAGTAGTATCTAGTGGTGAGTTTGCAGATTGCAACCAGCTGATAACTCTCCTTCTCTCAACCTGCCTGACCGAGTGTGTAGGAGAATCTATCGTGACTGCAAAACGTGTGAAAAACATTTTAACACCCTCCTTAGAGACGGAGTTTAGTTTGGCAGTTTCATCCTCAGAAAACCACGATGCACTCATCAGAGGAGGACCTGATGAGTGCAACGAAATGCCAAAGAAACACAAAATTTTCAATCATTCTGAGTGGTTATTGATTGATAAAGTTGGCAGTGTTAGAAGATTAAAGCCACTAAAGTATCTGTCATTTCATGTTTAAAGCTGCATCAAAAACACGTGCTGCCTTTTCATGAAGTTCTAGGGCTGGGCGATAAACCGATAATTTACCAATACTGATTTTTTTTTTTTTTTAAGTCTGTTTTTATTGTGATTTTCATGGTTCACATGTTCATTCACATATCAATTCGTCAATCTCATCCATTCATCTGTGAATTACAACTGAACTGCACCGTAATACATCCACAATTCCTCATGATTGGTCCTTCCTCAATCACACAAATGATGAAATTAATAAAATACAAAAGTTGAGAACTTAACTCCTTAGAACAAGAATGCTGCGGTGCACATCTGTTACATGAGAGAGAGGAAAAAATACATTTTGTATAAGGTTTGAACAAGAAAAACATAGATGGAAAAGGGAAATGGATATAAGACCTGGTACTAGATAAACGATGGATGAATGGGAGCGACATATCTAATCCATCTTTCCCATCATTTCAAAAACAGTCCCTGTTGTAGTCTAACAGGAAAAGTAATTCTTTCCATCTTAAAAATGTCATAAATAATGTCAAACCACTCGTCCACTGTAGGTTTTTTCAGTTTTAGCCATTTCCTTGTTATAGCTTTTCTAGAAGTGGCCCAATACCGAAAACTATGACAATAACCAACGTCATTTTGCCCATATCAGTATATTCTTTTTAAAAATAAAAAATAAATTTTGGTTTTGAATGTGTGTAGGTAGGCTATGGTCTCATGTCCCTTTTTAAGACACTGACAAAGAAGGAAAGACAGGTGAGGAGATGGAGGACGGTTCAACAGTTGTAGCGGCTGGAGCGGCGACTGAAGTCGACAAAGTTAATGTGGGAGGGGGTGAGCAGCTTGTGGAGTAGTTATCGTCCATTTATCATTAAAGTGGTGAACTGCTTAATATATCGTGATATTAATTTGAAGCCATGTCGCCCAGCCCTATAACGTTTCCACATGTAATAAGGACAAAGGGAGAAGGTAGGAAACCAGTGACCCTCAGGCAATACACAGGTGTGACTCTGTCGTGGAAATCATCGCATGGGCTCAAAAGAGAGGATAAGAGGAAACCATCCGCAAAATTATTTTTATTATTTTTTATAATTATTATTTTTAAAATCGTGATCTCTATCGATATCGACTGATATGAAAAAAATATATTGTGATAAACTTTCTCCCATATCGCCCAGCCCTACTTTATACACACCTTACTGACATGACAGTGAAAGATAACAGTCATGTAGGTGTTTTGTGACTCTCAGGGAAATTAGACTCTAACCTTCTGGCCCAGTCTGTCAAGTTGACCGTCACTAAAATCGAGGGTCTTTCCTTCTGACAGCATCTACGCTCATGCGTCATCTGTTAACATTTAAATTGTGACGCTCTCTCTCTCTCTCTCTCTCTCTCTCTCTCTCTCTCTCTCTCGCTCTCTCGCTCTCAGGTCATCTTCCAGATCACCCCTCTGGATGCGACCCAGTGGATGATGGTGCTGAAGATCTCCCTGCCCGTCATCCTGCTGGACGAGGTGCTCAAGTTCGCGGCCAGAAACTACTTGGACTTCGGTAAACATCTGGAGAAGCCGGCCAGAAAAGGCAGCTCTCTGTCTGCATGCACCGAGGGCATCTCCTGGCCCTTCGTGGCCATCTCCTTGCCCCTGGTTCTGTGGATCTACAGCACCGATACTAACGTGTCCGCCGTGTTGTGGCCCTGACTGACTCCACTACAGTACCCTCCCTGAGCACCAGTGTGAAGTGGACAGTAACAAACACATCTAACACAGTTACATTAACTCAGAACAACTCACAGTCAACACTTGCACATATTCTGACGCTCTGTCTGCTGTCAGATCTTTTCTATTTAGACATTTTGAATGATACATGTTTTCTTTTTGAGGGGGAGGGGGGCGGGGGCGTTTGAGTCATATTTTAATGACTCCGACTGACATGTCCAGGTGTTTTTATTTTATCATCACGCTCGTCTCTCCTTTTGGACCCCCCTGTTTCGAACAGTAAGAGATGCCTATCTACCGTGCTGTGTGTTGAGCTGTACAGAGAATTTACACTATTTTATAATAATTAATATTTTGTAATTTTTGTGGGTTTTGGGGGATGAGAATTCTTGATGTGAAGAGGTATAAGGGCCAGGCAGAAACGTACTAATTTCGGGGCAAATATGTAATGTCATTTGCCTTAGCATGAATCTCGACAGCCATTTTTTGAGCTCCATGCATTTTCATTCATGATTTTCTGCAGTAGGCAGAGCACAGCTACCTCAATGCTGTTTTGTGACCATTACTTTACATATGTCGTAACAACCATTTCATCGATTATTATTATTTAAAATGTTGAGGTAAGCACCATTTTCTTTTTGCAGTGGAGACAAAACCCTCAAATACATTCAAAGGTTTTTTTTATATATATATTTGTCGTTGGAGGGAAGAGGACGATGATATTTTACAAGTTCGTTTACGAGCGATTTTCAACCGAGTCTGTTGCTAAGTTTGTTTATTTAAAGTCGACACCTCTGTCTTGGTTTTCTTTTTTTTTTAAATGACCCGATCTCACTTTTCATCCTTAATTTTTTAAACCTTGATTACAATAATCTGTCTAATATTTGTAAAATGTGCACATACTGTACTTGAATATGTAAAAAGGCACCAAGGAGCTGTTAGTCTTATCAACTGAGCACAACATGGACAACCAATCACTGAAGAGTCTGTATATCTGTACATAGCACACACACATACAAACACACACACACACACACACACACACACACACACACACACACACACACACACACACACACACACACATACAAACACACACACACACACACACACAATCTCTGAATTAGTGTTTTTCTTTTGCTTTCAAATGCTCCATACTCTTATACTAGTTTACTCGATCGTGGTTGTAGCCTTTCTGCATGCATGCTCCAATAATCCCAGGTCAGTGAGTGCTTTAGATTGATTAGATTTAAAGCTAACTGTTGTTTCTTTCAATGCCTTCCACTTGTTAAACTGCAGAGTGAGTACTTTTTGACCCGCCTGCATGCCGGTATGCTTGCTCAGTTGCTTTTGCCGTTCGTCATTTCTCGTACGAGAGTGACGGACAGTTTTACGTGCCTGATATGTTTTTTAAATTTGACTTTTAAGAGAGGAAAGAATAAAGATGTCGAGTTTTTATAGAAATTGCCTTCAAAGCCACAAAGTGCCATGTGAGCCTTTTGCATCCTGCACTGAACTGCTTGTATCAGATATTTTCTGACTGTTTTCTGGAAGCATGTTTTTGCAGACTGACATGTAAATGCGCCCCAAATACTTGCAGGATGCGGCTGTAATGGTCTTCATCTAAACTATTTAGTAAAGTGCATACATGTGTAGTAAATTGCTTGCCCAGAGCATGGCCTTCATACTGTATGCATCCACAAAGTGCTACTTGCTGTTCATTTTCTTCTACTCTGACTTCTGACTCTCACATGTCCACTGATTTGATTTTTTTTCCCCTCTCTCCTCTTTTTCTCTTTGCAGCAAAGGCCAAGTAAGCCCACCTCTACTCTAAACTCCTTTCAGAAACTTTAGGTTTTGCTTTGTGTTTTGCATGTGTGTTTTGGGCAGCACATCTTACAAGAGCTGCATTAAGTCAAGTTAACGGAGGGACAGAGGCTCATGAGTTCATCATATTAGAAACCAGCCGTGAATAAGTGTCCTATGAAAACTAGCCAATCCCATCTCATCGGTCCTCCCATCCTCCTGCATGAAGAGCCTTAGATAACCACGTAATGACATGCCATCTTTTTAGACTATGATCTTAGTACCGTGTACAGTAAATTGTACTAAATCTCATGGTGCATGTTCGCTGAATCAGCCATCTGTTTTAACAGACTTGTGTTATAGACGATGTATAGTATTGGTAGAATAGACATTCATCAGATAGTACAAATGTTAAATAAGCTCAAAAACAGTTCATCTTTCCTAAGGAAAAACTTTTATGGGATATTTAAAAACCAAACAGCCTTTATTTTTATTCTATTTTGTTTTTTGCTTTGCACTGAGACGTGCGACATGTTTGGAGCAGATTTCATCAGACCTGGGAAGTGGAACTTGCGACAGTGCAGTGATGAATACTTAGGGTTTGTCATGAGAGTGGTGGGCTGTCCTTCCTCTGGCATTTTTTGCCAAACTGCTGTACTGTATTTTCAGAGATGATTGTACGATGTATCACATGAACTTTGGTTTCAGGTAAATAAAACTGTCATACATGAGTTTACTTCCTGGTCTCGGGTTTTATTTTTACAATGTGTAACATGAAGATATCTGAGTCCCTCCTGTTTATGTCCGTGATGCTTGAACTAAAGGTGTTTGGTGTATTATGAATTCCTGATTCAAAGTATGGCTTGTAATATTTTATTTTAGGTATCTTAAAGGGATATTCCGGCGTAAAATTAATTTTGGGTCAAACACACCGTAACACCGAGATAGATACCCCCTCGAGCGATGAATGTTGCCGACCGCTTGCTTCTCTAGTTATACCAGCTTTAGTCACGGTCGCACGATAGCAATACACAGCCAACAAACCTCAACCAAAACGCCACTCTATAGCCACAAATAATGCTCAGAACAGCACCTAACTTCATTAATAGGACATATAGGGTCCCAGCCACAGCACTAGCCACCAAACATCTTTTGACTTTGCCTAATTTCTTTAGCAAAGAGACTAAACGCAACTTACCCACTCTCTTCCAGCAGCTGCTTGTTTGTAGCGAGACCTCGGGCCAGTCCATTACGGACTACAGCGGGGTGATGCAGCCTAAGAAAGAGCATTTATGATCATTTTTCATGGAAATGCAATCAAACCGAGACGCTAAGGCAGAAGAACTACAGCGTCTGCAGTGCGAAATGATTAATATGGTGATTATTACCTTTAGGAAATAATGAAGTAATGATCATTTCCTTGGTTGAGGTTTGTTTATGGCTCCTTAGAACGCTGTGTAGTGCTATCGTGCGGTCGTTACTAAAGTTGGTATAAATAGAGAAGCAAGCGGTCTGCAACATTTGTCTCTCATGAGGGTGTCTATCTCGGTGTTACGGTGTGTTTGACCCTAACTTAATTTTACATCGGAATATCTCCAAGTATAGAAATGAAAAATATTACCTTTATGATTTCCTGTATCAGTACGTCTATTAGTTTGTTCCCTTTTGAAGCATAAAGGCTGGAAATGAGTGAAATGGATTTTCTGTATATTTTCAAAGCTGCTCTCACTCGAGTCTTGACAGAACCGGGACTCCTACATTCGTGTCAAGTGGATGTTTAATAATTTTATTATACACTTTAAAAATATGTACAAAATACTATAAACAATTGTCTTGAAATGGTGATCATTTCCCAAATAAAGAAGTCAGTCACAGGGTTATTCTCTTATACATGAAGGCAGTCAGAAAGAAAACGGTAAACATGTACATAATGACAAACAAATGACATGAGAAATGACGTGCTATTTTCAAACACAGAAAAATAGTCATTATTCTCTTATTTAACTGACAATTGTAACATTTTTCATGTGAGACTGTTGCCATTTTACCTCTAACACAGTCGAGTTTCAACAGAACGCAAATTTAAAGTTTGCTGGTTTAACGTGTGAAGGATCACTGCAGCCGTTCACCGTCTTTACTTCTCCTTCCATCCCCAAAGTGTACTCCCTCAAATGAGGGTCCAGCCCAGGTACATCTCCTCTGCTTTACTGGACAACGTAACTTTAGGATAATCTAAAACACACTGACATTCCCTGACATTATAAGGATTTTGTGTCACTCATAGCAAAAATTTTCACTATAGGGAGAAGTGATGCATGAATTCTTGTGGCCATATACAGAAAGAGAAAGATGCAGAAAAGAAGTGCAAAAGATAAAGCCGGTGTAGGATCAATGACATGAGAGAGTTTTAATAAACACTTAAACAATCAAGGATGACTTGGTTTCTCCAGGTTGAGTGTCCGCTGATCCTGTGAGGCTGGAGAGACGAGCTTCAATGAGCTCCACCACTGAGCAGCTAAATATAATGTCCGAATTTGGAAAGAGAGCATCATCGAACTACCCTGATGGCTGAAATCTCCACACAGGCCGCGGTGTGAGAGAAGACAGGGGCCGCTGTGTTTCCCTCCGTTTTTTTTTGAGTGGGGGTCACTGCATACCAAACCACTGTTCCTGATCGGCCCACTGCGCCGCTTCGCTGTCACTCCCCTCCAGGTCTCCATCTTCTCCACTGCCCTCCATGTCATCACCATCCAGCTCCACTGTGGCATCTGTGGGACTTTCTTCTTTCTCCATCTTTTGCATGCCTTCTAACGACTTCTGATCGTTCGGATCCAGGCTTACATTGAGGACAAAAGACAAATAATTACAACCTGACAGCTTAAGGGTTTGAGCCCATACAGCACTTAAAAACAAGATGTATAATATAATTTTAAGAATGTAGAAAAGACATCCTCTGGTTACCTTAATGCTATACTGTACTGATCCATCGCTTCTTGGTAATCATTGACAGCTACCAGGAAATCCCCCAGCATTCTGTGCAGAACACAGTCGCTCTGATTGGCTAAGGCATTCCTGAGGAGAGCGATCCCTTCTTCATATTTCTGCTCCCGACCTTCACAAAAATAAATAATCATAATTACACCACGCATTTCTACTCCCTGTACTCATGTTTCTTAACCAGCTGCTCCTAAATGAAATTGTAGATTTGAAAAGCTGTACGTACTGAGCAGTTCAGCCTTTTTGACCACTGCTTTGGTGTAGTCTGGCCTCTGAGCCAGCGCTTTGTCCAGCAGGGTTTTGGCTTTCTCTTGGGTCACTGGGTCTTCCAGGCACACTGTGGCGAGGATGGTCAGAGTCTGTGCATTGGCCCCGAGTGTTTTATAGATGTTGTTAGCCATCCCCATAGCCTCTCGAATCCCGTTGGAGGCCAGGTAACAGTCAATCAGACCTGCGGAGTCAGAGCTCAAGAGTCAGTGCTTGCAGAATAGAAATGCGCCACATCTGACAAAACACTGAGATTAAATTAGGACAGAGTAGAACAGTCACACATGCCTTCATAGCAGTCGAGTCGGCAGGGTGCGAGGCGCATAGCCTCTCTGAAATGGATGATGGCTTCTTGAACGCGCCCCATGTTTCTCAACGCTGCGCCTTTCAGAAGAAGAGCCTGCACGCTGTTACTGTTGAGCTGGATGGCCTTGGCTCCCAGGTAAAGCGCTCTGGAGTAACGCTTGCTGTAAAAACTGTGACAGCTGAACAACAAACAGCAGTGATTAGACAAACATAACCCTGAAACCAGCTATAAAACATCTGCTGAGACTCACCCAGAGATCACCCAGGGCTCTGCATGCTGGTCTGAAATGTTAAATAACCGCCCACCCAGGACTTCCACATCTTCCAGGTGTCCTTCTCGGGCCATCAGGTATCCGTAAACATCCATTCCTGCAAGTACAAACAACAAAACCAGTCAGGACAGTAAAGTCGCAATGCTGCAGGTAATAATGACTGTGAAACCAGGTTTTAAAGGTTTCCATAGAATCTAGGTCAATAAAATAAACACTCATCCTGCAGCACACCTTTAATGAGGTACGGATCCAGCATCTGGGCCTGTTCAAATTTAAGGATGGCATTCTTGGTGTCCCCGGCTCTGAAGTAGACATCAGCCAGGCTCACCAGCAGGTCCACATTATCCCGCAGCAGAGATTTCTTTTCAAGAGAGCTGAGAGAAGATGAGGGAAGGTTAGGGACAAGAAACAAGTCCAACATAATAATAAATTATTATAGTCTTTCATTTTGTACTAAATATACAGTTTGGCTCACCAGATAGTGTTGATGGCTCTTTGATTGTCTCCTGCATGTATGAAGGCATACGCTTTGACCCACACAGAGAGCCAGTCCAGGTTGGGGATACTCTGGATCACATCTATAGTCATGGAGGCCACATCAGCCCCTTTGACTGACAATGAGAGAAGACCTGGAGGACAAAAAAAGTCCACAAAGAGCAACTGAGTGCACGTAAACATGCAAATGTAAGCAAAATAAACTTTTGTAGTTTAAACATGACTCAGTGAAGTGGTCTTCTGTGTGATGATGCATACCGATGATAGCGTCCAGGGCGAGGGGACACTGTCTCAGAACCTCTTTGTAGCTCGTCACAGCAGAACGCTCCTGACCAGCTTTTCTATAAAGGTTAGCCAGCATCATGTTGATCTGAAATATAAGATAACAAGAAGGTGCACTGTATTACAGTGTTTTTACAAGCTGATAGACACAAAGTTCTCTTGATGAGGTGTCTAACTCGGTGTGACGGTGTGTTTGAATTCCGGCTTAAAATTAATTTGGGGTCAAGCACACCGTAACATCGATTTAGACACCCCGTCAAAAGATGAATGTTGCCGACCGCTTGCTTCTCTAGTTATACCAACTTTAGTAACGACCACAGGATAGCAGTTCAGCCACTTACCTTTGGGGTTCTCTGTCTGGATGGAATACCATCAAGCACTGCGATGGCATCTTTATCAAGTTTTAAGATGGTGTAGCATTCGGCTATCTTGTACTTTACTTCAATTTCTGATGGCAAGCTCTGAAAAACAACAATCAGACCGATTTTATTATGAACACTGATGCAAACAGAGCAAAAGTACAACACTAATTTTAATAAATATTACTAGTACATGACATCTATATGCCAAGAAAATCCTATAAATAAACAACATTGAGATAAAAACCTACTTTGTTTTCTGTGACATGCTTCAAGATTATTTTGACAGCTTCAGTCCTGACATACCTGTGCCTGTAGGTTTGATGCAGCTCCTCCTGTAGATGTACGAACTTTGGATGTTTTGCTGAGCACCTTCTTCTGTTGCAATGCCATGCTGTATTTGCAAGCAGCGTTACGATATTCCTTATCATGGAAGATGGCATCGGCATGGTAAACCAAGAGCTGGTACTTCTGGGCCGGTGAGAACAGCTCCCTAATAATGAAATCATGTAAACAGAGAGTAGACACAAGCTCAGGTATTACATTAACTACAATATAAACCTTAAACAGCCAGTAAGAAGGGATAATAATGCAGCAAAACAAACACAGATTACTATCTTGAACTAACTGGGTCCAGAGTAATCCAGGGAGTTGATGTTAAGTGTAGTACTGCTACATCTGTCATCAAACATCAGTGTTAATTTGTTGTTTTTCATATTACTCAGAATATTTTCTAAATTATTGAAAAGTATGTTTTTAATCCCAGTAGCATGTCTTCATGTAAGGTAATACATAATAATCACATTTCTAAAAAGAGGACAACCAACAGCAAACACAGATTTCAGAAGCGTCTGCACACGGCTAATTCTTGGAAGCAAATCAGCCTGTGAAAACTTTATTTAGAAAAACCATACTGACAAAATTGCTTAAGCAGAACATTTTGCAGGCTCATTTTTTACTATAATGTAACTGAATTATAGTAATTGCTATTTGCTAGTTAGCTCTGTACTGGTATAGTAAAGCATCCCCCAGGTAATAGACGGACCCCGGCCTAATATTACTTACGGATTGTTATTACTCATCGTGAGCAACAAACTGCTCACTATCCGGACATTAGAGTGGAGTCCAGCGGCCGCCATATCCCGTACATGATCGATTACATTCATTTTTAATTACTGTAGAGGGGTTGTTTAGGTTTCCGCCTTTAGTTAAAAGTTTGAGCTTGTAAACAGCTAACGAGAGCTAGCTACTGATGTATTAAATATGGCGCCGCTCAACCTTCCTTCCGCATACTGCTGCTTTCAGGTGCTCCTCACAGGCTCGGATTTTTAACCTCTCTTTATGCCATCGTCTGAATAATTATGGCAATTTAATTGTTTACTTACTTCTGTTAAAACAGAAATTGGAAATGCATTGAGTAAAAGTCAATACGCAATAAAGAAAATAGATTGATTGTGTATGACTCATATAAATTTAGAAAAAATTTGTTAATGTTCGACGGATTATAAACGTGGCTGCTGTACCGTAAATGCAGCAAAATACAGCTATTAACTGTTATGCCACCCTCTGAATTATTAGGGCTATTTAATTGTTTATTTATCTATTTTAAAGAGAAAATGGACATGCATTGAGCAAAAGTCAAGACATGATAAATATGTATAAATAATACATAATAAATCATACATAAATAGTGTATGACTCATAAATTAAGAAGAAATATTTTATGTTTGGCGGATTAGAAACGCAGCTGTTGTACTGGAAATGCAGCAAAATAGAGCTATTAGTTATTTTTGGGGCACATTTGCTACGAAAGCGCATTGCATTCACTGTATAAAACGGACAGATTATCTTGTGATTACGGGATATGATAAGGAAAGTGGAAATGTCTGTAAATCCTCTCTCAGTGGCAATGATTGTGTTATTGCAGTTAATTTGCTATTACCAGGGTTAATATAGATGGCACAGATTTACTTCCATCGGTCTTTTTTTTACGCTGAATTTTTTTACACTGATTTTTTTTTTTTTAACACCAATTTTTTTTATACTAAATTTTTGGCCCTGAATTTTTGACTCTGAATTATTTGACACTAATTTTTTTTTTTTGGTTGAATTTATTTTACACTATATTTTTTTTAAGTTCTGAAGCGGATGAACAACTGCTCTGTACAGAACCTTGGACAGGGACAGGGGGGTAGTAAGGGCCTGTTGGTAGGATTGGGCGATATGGGAAAAAGTTTATCACAATATATTTTTTTTATATCAGTCTATGTAGATATATATCACAATATAAAAAATGAAATTTAACAGTGCTTATTGGTAGCATGTCTTTTGCAATACAATAAGTTACTGCATCTGTGAGGTCTTTGTGTCTCTTTGACGTTTTGTCGTAAGGCGTAGCGCTAGAGAAAGCGGACCGAATAGCCGGCTGTTTCAGTTGCACAGGCACCATGGGCTTCTTGCTCCACTCAGGGTTTGTAACCTTTTGCATTGTGATTTGAGCTATTCTCTAAATTTGCGAGAACCATTCACTGTATATACTATAGACAACTTGGTTCTGCCTCCCGCCAGTACACAGATTTGAAGCCAAAAAGCTCTCTGTATTTCCACGATTTTTCTTCATTTCCTGAAACCAGCATTGCGCAGTAACATTGTACACATTCAATGGGAGAATCGCCAAGAGTCACTGTGATATTGCTCGGCTCAAACAGCGTATCCCCTGGGTGAGCTATGTAATCCTTGAACGCCAATAGGCTGTATCAAGTGTCAATCATAGAAAACATAAAACCCTCTAATAACTTTTAAAAACGGAGCTTCACAGAAAAAAGAGGACTTGAGCACAAACCAGTCTTACAGTAACTACATGTCAACATCGCAAGCAGGGGGGAGAAAATTTATATTCTGTGTAATGAATTTGTAAAGTTTGTCCACAACTCCATTGGGATTGCTGGAGGAGGCAGGATTTCTGACCTATACTACACCTCATTAACAGAGGGTACTGTTCTCAGAGTGGCTTCACCCAGCGAGGAGGCAGACAGCATCCATTCTGTATACAGTCTATGGCAAGAACATGTACTCGACATAATTTGCAGTGCACATTCCTCTGCTTTAATTGGCTATTCGTACAGTCGACCAAAACATGGCAGAATGCCGACTATCGAAAAGCATATTGACCATGTTTTATATTGATATTGAGGGAAATTAAGTTTCTATATTTATCATTATCGTTTTATCACCCAGCCCTACCTGTTGGTAAGAATCTTAGCACCAAAGGTGAGTTTGTTGAAATGAGGTCTGATGATCAGTTTTTTGGTGGGGAAGGTTGAACATGGTCAGCTCAAAGTGGTCTTGGATCTTGCTTATGAAGACACCGATGGCAAACTAACAGGCGGTGACATTTCACTCTGCAGCTGAGAGGGCTTATGATGCACCTTATCACAGGGTCATCAGAGGTCACTTTGGGACGGGGGCTTCTATTGCCGATTATTAAGCTATTGATACAAATTGGGTGTAAAATGTATCGATCAGGAGTCAATAGTGTAATGTAATATGCTCCGGTGGACTGTTGTAGTTGACAGCCTGCTGCCCTTGGGTTTATCATAGAGAGTCGCCGCCAACACAGACACATAAAACAGTCAGCTGCTGCCGCGCATGCGCAGAGTCTAAACCCAGCAGCTGAACCTTGTGTCAAAACACAGAGGGAAAATCAGCGGCAGCGAGAGATCTCACCCCGATTTCAGCTCCAACTCAATCTTTTTGGGGGGAAGAATTTGTCGATACAAAAGTGTTTATCACTGACGTTAGCATACCATGACCGAACAATCAGCCTTACTTCTTCGAAAACAACTGGCAGGTAATAAAACACAACGTTTTTGAGTTATTGTTGCCCGATATGTGAGCTGTGAAGATAGCGGCTAACGTTAGCCCCTTTTTGTAGCTACGCAAAGCTATGTTTACGCCGTGGGAGTTAGCTCAGAAAGCAAACCAAACGACAGTAAAGACACCCTTTTCTCTCTGCGACACTATGTAGAGAGGCTTGTTTGGTTTGCTGTGTTATAAAGGACATCTATCCAAGTATCCCTGTCTGTATCATATCTGTACCGACACTCAATCGCAACGCCAACCTCTGCTAGCGGGTTAGCAAGTTCGACATTAGTTAGCAGACGGAACAAAGGAATAATCAATACGGGACTCATCTGCTGCGATGATTTTAGCCGGGCTCATGTCTGCTGTCTTTAATTATAGGTATTTATACGCAGACAGATAAACTTCTATACCTGAAGGAGCCGTATAGAAATGAGGAATTGGACCTCTTCATTATAATACAATCGCAGGTTTGTCATGTCAGATCAGACTGCAGCGCTGCTTAGTTATCGGCTTTTAGTGAGAACACGCACCTCACTGTCAAAGACCTGATAACAGTGAAAACTTATCGATCTGATGTTGGCTTTTAGATTTGACAATACCCTCAACTAAAGGTTTAGATTATAGCAGTTGTGTTTCCTGTCATATTACTGTTAATAGTACTAATCCCCCCTGATATACAGGGTGACACTTAAACAAATAAACCTCTATAAAACAAAAACTCACCATAATATACATTTTCACGCCTAGCCTATAAAGGTCATGATAATTGTGGTTATAGAGACATTTAACGGTGTGAAAGCAAATGAGCAGTTTGTTTAAGATATAATAAAATAACCTATTTTGGCAAAAGGCGAGTGATCTTAAAATATATAACTTGTTATTGTAATAAACTCCTGAATAGGAAATTAACCGGGTTGCCTCCAGGTTAGGGATGGACGATATGGGAAAAAGTTTATCACAATAAATTTTTTTAATATCAGTAAATATCAATATAGATCACGATGTGAAAAAACACTAGTCAATCTCAAATGTTCCTGTGTCTCTTAAATGAAATTTAAAGATATCATATATATATATATATTTTTTTAAGTATTTATTTTCTGGCAAAGTTAAACATGACATAATGTAACACAAAACTGTTTCAAACAGATACACAACTCAAATCATTTTGATGACATTTCAGTTAATAGACCTCAATAAAGAAAAAAAAAACTCACCATAATATAAATTTTCATGTCTAACCTATGAAGGTCATGATGATAGAGAGTTAACTGTGTGAAAGCTTTTGAGCAGTGTGTGTGGAACTATTCACAGTATAATAAAACAACCGATTTTGGCGAAAGGTGGGTGATCTTAAAATATATAACTTGTTGAATAAATTTCTGAATAGGAAAAAAACAAAAACAAGGTTACCTCCAGGGTAGGGCTGGGCGACATGGAAAAAAGTTTATTTTTTTCATCTCAGTTGTTATTGATCTATATCACAATATAAAAAAAAATACTTGTCAACCTAAATGTTCCCTGTGACTCTTAAATGACATTTAAAGATATCAGATGGTTAATTTTTATTTATTTGTTTTCTGTCAAAGTTGAACATGACATTATGTAACACAAACAGATTATGTTTCAAACAGATACACTACTCCAAATAAAATTGAATTTGAACACTAAAATCTTAAAGCTTAGGGGAGAATACAACAAAAACAAAAAAGACATTCTTTGGTCAATGTCAGATAATAAGTGAAACTCCCCATTTCATGCTGGCTATCGATAAGCATTTTGACTGTGTTTCATATCAGTATCAAGGGAAATTAATTTTTGATATCATTATCGTTTTATCTACTCCAGGGTGAGCAGATAGTATGAGATGATAATCAGCATAGTTCATCTTTATTAATTTATCATATATTTTTTTTAAGTGAGCAGAAGACTGCAGCTAAAGTTATCTATTTTGATCGTGTATGGAATACTGTGTTTGTATACTGTGGCTTTGACATCCTCTGACTCAAAGAACACAGCTTGCCACCCTCTTTTTCTATAACGTACTGAGCATATTGTACTGGTTGTGCGATATGCTAATTTTGGTTTCTCTGTGCGCAGGGATGTGAATCACTGCCTTCACTGTGGTTGATTCAATTCAGATCGTCAAGTTAGTGATTCAGTCCAACAGTGATTTATATTTTTGGAAACCACGATTTGATTCACTGAGCGTCAGCCAAACAATAGATGTATTGAGGAAGGTTAAATGGAGAGATTTAAACATGAGAGTAACTACGACTTAATTATATACAATTATACAATGCCAAAAATAAACTGCTGTCATCTTTATCAAAAAGATTATGCAATATATCAAAGTAGAGAAGAGAAGGGTCTGTCTTTCTTGGCATATGTTGGGAGTAAGTTGTCTTTTTACTGTGTGTTGGCTGATATGAGTGTGGGATGACTGACACCAACTCAGTGTGGCATCATGTCTGGTGGGTGAGTTTATGGGGAGGGTATATTTTATGTGTAAGTTTGTTGATGAGATCTGATACATAATCTTCATGATTAAATGTTTTTCTCAGACTTTACATTGTTAAAAACTTGCAATAATGAGACACCGATGGGTCTTGTAAATTTGACGCTCATCTTTGATACCTTATTAGGTCATTAAAATGAGTTGTTCATAGCCACAATTAAACACCTGGGTGAGAATATTCAAACGAGGCGTTTGTGTCAGTTAATTAGGTAATAATTGCTGTTAAATCAAACTAAATATGTGCTGCTACTTAAAGGTTGGATTTTTGTTATTAAACACACACAGGTCACCTTGACTTTAGGGCCCGATCGATATTGATTTCCTGGGATATGGATTTTCAACTTTTTTATGTAGTTATAATATATATATATATATATATACTGTAGAAACTTGGACCAGAAAAGCGTTTTCAAGTACCCCCGCCAATCAGTGCCTCTGTGTCTTAACTCAGCTGCCTCAGTAAGAGAAGTAGCTCGATCACGTCATGTGTACTGTTGTTTATTCTACCGTTACTGGCACGGCTAGCAGTGTAGCAAGGCTAATAGCAGATGGCTAACTCTAACTTTAGCTTGCATATTACATGGTGCTTCACCGTTAACTCGGTGCGACTGAGACCAGCACAGCGGGGAACATCGTGAAGTGGGTTGAACAGAAACTTGTTGACTTATTGTGTATTTCACAAACTGGTTTATTTACCGTTGAGGCGGACCACTCTCCTCTGTGCATCCCTGAGCTGCCTGCTTCAGATCCGTCACTCTGCTGTGCTGTGAGGTAGTTAGTGGATTAAGATTGTCATGAGGTCGCTGCGCCATCTACAGGATAAGTCAGGGGACCTTTTTAAATAGTGAAACATTTTCGAAGTGAAACTGAATCTTATTCTCTGCATTTTATTTCTGAAAATATCGGCGAAAATCGGCGCGTTTTGGCCAATTACTGATTAGTCTCAAACGGGCTAAAAGCGGACGATTGAATTGGTTTGCCAATAAATCGGTCGGGCCCTACTAAATATGTCCTGCTGCTACTTTAAGGTTGGATTTTGTTATTAAACAGACACAGGTCACCTTGACTTGTACCTTTAATCTAACCTTTAACTATGTAAGTTATTTTGACGTGTTATGGTGTTGCAGGTGGTATGATAGGTGTAGCTACCATATTGTGCTTTTCCATGTTGAGTTTTAGTTCTACAGTTTCGATTTACATTTGCCAATCTCAAATTTCAAGACTAGTTTTGTGGTTTTTGCGCCCTCTATAAGCTGCATCATATTTTGAGTGTGGCTTTATCAAACTAGACTGATTGGTCTATCAGTTTTTGTTATTACCACTTTAATAGCTAACCTCCTTATTCTGGCCTTTGTGTGTGTCAAAAGAAGTGACTTTGTTCTTGTCTGCAACATGCCACTCGATCTTAACTTTGTTTTTCCTGTCACTTTACATTGAATTCATTTGGTTCCTAATCTGTCATACCTAACAAACTCTTCGCCTCTCTTTCCAGAGCTCAACAAGAACCCAGTGGAAGGCTTTTCAGCTGGTCTGATAGATGATGATGACATATATAAATGGGAAGTTGTGATCATTGGTCCACAAGATACCCTTTTGTAAGTGAGAAACATTTCTACAACTCCACAAAAATCAGTGTGTATATTTACTGCACATCTATCATAATAGGATTTCTCAATTGTCCTTTTTTTTTTGTATTTCAGTGAAGGAGGATTCTTCAAAGCGTACCTTACATTTCCTTATGATTATCCACTACGGCCTCCAAAGATGAAGTTCATCACTGAAATATGGCACCCAAATGGTAAAGGCATCATTAGACTCTTTGATGTTGGAGTTATCCTCAATATTTGCAGCTTTTCAGGGTGATTTCTGAGGTATTTGTGAAGCCTTTGAGGGGTTTATATGAAGATCGCTGCAGCTAAATTGAGGTTTCTATCCTTCACAGTTGCAAAGAACGGGGATGTTTGCATCTCAATTCTGCATGAGCCGGGTGAAGATAAGTTTGGTTATGAAAAGCCTGAGGAGCGCTGGCTTCCAATCCACACAGTAGAGACAATCATGATTAGTGTTATCTCCATGCTAGCAGACCCCAACAGCGACTCACCAGCTAATGTTGACGCTGCGGTGAGTTTCAACCACTTACCCTCCTCCTGTAATTACAGATATCTTAATTAGCTCCTGAAATAAACCCACCCAGTGTCGCTTACAAAATCTGGTTTTGCTCCCACAGAAAGAATGGAGGGAGGACCCTAATGGCGAATTCAAGAGGAAGGTGGCCCGCTGTGTAAGAAAGAGTCAAGAGATGGCATTTGATTAGGAGTCAATTGTAAATTCCAGGGTGAGTACTAGGAAATGTTCTGCTCATATGGACAGAAAAAAACTTTGGGTAACACTTTATTTGACGCCTATCTCTATAACGCATTATAAATATATGTATAATGCATTATAATCACGTTATAGCACTGTATAACTATAGTTATGAACACTCATAAATGATCATAATGCTTTATAGCAATAATCATAACACATTATAAAGCATTTCATCATGACTTACAAGGTCAGGTATTATAATGTGTTATGCTTAGCCTCATGATAGTTAATGAGTGTTTATAATGATAGTTATACAAGTTTATAAGCAAATTATAACACATCATAAATATATATAATGCATTATCTATGTGGGCATTGTCAGTGAGTTGTTAACAGTTATAACACATTATAATACCTGACCTTGTAAGTTATGATAAAATGCTTAATAATGTGTTATGACTATTGCTATAAAGCATTATGATCATTTATGAGTGTTTATTACTATAGTTATACAGTGCTATAACATGATTATAACACATTATACATATATTTATAATGCGTCATATAGAGAGAGGCGTCAAGTAAAGTGTTACCAAACTTTCTTATGGAGGTAGTAATTTTGTCTCATTTTTTCAGTTCAAGGAAATGCCTTCAGAGGGAAAATTTCAGCAAAAGGCTTTTGCACCCCTTGTTTTGCCAGTCAAAGGAATTGGTTGGCCTCAACCACTTTTCTGTGAACGGTTGTCTTTTTCCGCAAGATGAGCCAATTTGAAAACCCCCCTACCAGCGAAATTAACCTGTTTCCTACCTGGAATTGTATATTTAATGTTATTTATTTTGAAAAAATAATGATGTAAGATATGTCACTACTGTAAATTAACTTGCTTTTTTATCTGCTGCTGAACAGTTTCTACTTTATACCAGGTTTCTTATGCAATTTAGTGGTCAAGATTGTGTAAAACAAAACGTAAAAACCCGTTCTACCATTAGGTCATCACTTGTTATCCCCACTTAACACTTGCCACCAGATAAATGTCGGCCCTTACAGATTTCTGTCACTTGATGTGGATTTTTTTTTCTTCTTTCAACTCTGTCATATACTCACTGTTGCCTTGTGTCGGCTTCACTTCCTCACAGTGTGCTTGTTGTTTAGAGGTCCGGGTTAAGAAATTATAGAGGGGGCTAACTGTAAGAGTTTCCAAACAGTCTTAATTGTTCTGAGAAAGACTCTGTTTGTGTGATAGTTATGCTGGTAGGTATAAAACCATAACTCTCAAACCTGCATGATCCCCTCAGCAGCTCTGTTATGTATTTTTAGCTATAGATGTAAATGGAATGGCTTTCTCAGTGATTTGAGGGTTATCGTTTTATCATTTACTGACTTGCACAAGCATAACTAAAGAGAACAGAAGGTTTTTGCCAACTTCTCAGGAGCACACTTCATTGGGTTTTAGATTAGTAGTCTTTAAAAAAGATCTCCTATCATTCTTGACCCTTCCCCTTAATATAAGGTGAGTAAAGTTATCTGTTGATTATCATTTAAGAATAATGTCTTTTCACACTGTTGTAATAAATCATGGGCAACCAAATACAGTCTGTGAAAAAAGCCTCAGCTGTGCTTATTTAGTGTGTGTCCTGTTTAACTGATACCCAAGCTTACCTCAATTTGAACGGATAACACATTTGACAAGAATTACGCTTTTTTTTTTGTTTTAGTTCTTAATCTATCAACACAGTAGAGTTAGATTTGTCATACATATTTTGTTTTGGCACACCTCGTGTCCAGCGTGTGGAGAAATAATGAATTTAGATTCAGGTGGAGGCTGAGTAACGCTTTTTAACTCTTCAACATCTGTAGTCCAGATTGGTGCATACCTAGATTTTACTTTTCCCATTTACTTCATCATTGAATCTTGAGTTTTAATTCTTATGTTAATTCACCATCTTGTTAAATATCAGTAAGTGTTCTAATGGGAAATAAAAACCTCCCGGGATCAGGTTGATTTTAAAAAACAGTCCATCCCGGGTTGAGTCGAGGAAACTCTGGCTTGTGCTCACTTTCATCGATAGTGTTGCTGAATATAAAGCCATGATGACGTCTGTTTTGGAACAATGTTTAATATTGATCTGTGACTGACATTGAAAACTAGCTTACCATCTTTTGGCGCATGCAATCAGGTTTGAAGGGGTTGGGTATGTTTAAATATTATACCATTGTTTGTACATTCTGGGTGAATGTGATGTGTACAGTCGGTAGATTTCTGTAGATTTGATGATCACATAACTGCTGTTGACATTACCTTTTTAAGTCAGACTTTTCTAACCTACCATGACCTCCTCTGACCGGTGTTCACTGTATTTGCACAGATTCGGTGCGTTTGAAAATGTCATTAAGCAATACGCCCTGAAAATGGTGTGTCCAGGTAATCCACCCTAACGCCATTTTTTTTTTTCTGTTTGTTTGTTTTTGTTTTTCATTTTGTGTCAATGCAATGTATATTGGACATGATGCTCAATAAAGTGTGTAAACAGACTGGCCTGTAGTTCTGTCTGTGTTTTACATTTTAAATGAGAACATGTTCAGGTTCAAGTTTATTAGACCTCTGCTCTGTAACTGGAACCTTAAAGAGTGGTGTCAGGTTTCAGAGCTGGCTTCATTTCACACTCAGGCTGCTGGCTGCAGCATGAACCGAGCAGATGAAGGTGTGAGCGACCTCTGTTAAATCGACTGGAGACATTCTGATTTTGCTGTCTTGAAATCATGAGAAAGCGACTTACGTTTGTTGAGCAGCGGAGAAAAGAAAGCGTATTGAAAAATGAAAATGGGCACACATTGATGAGGTAAGACCGTAGTTCCTGTTTTCATGCTATAATGTGTAAATGCAGATGAAATACCCTGTTATTCAAATGGAGGTTTCTTGTTTTTAGGTCTGTAGAGCCAAGGAGAAACATATATGGTGAGTCTGATATTTTAGACATATTTTAAATATATCTATAAAGCTACTAAAAGCTTTTGACTTTGGACATAATAATGCGGTGGTTCTCAACTGGTGGGTCCCGACCCACGGTCACAAACAGCTGGTCAAAAAGTGAATATTTAATGCGCTTCTGATGTTTGACGTCTTTTATTTTGAAAAAAAAAATGCTTATTTTGAAAGGCATTGGTTCTGTCGTGGTCCTCCTCGGTTTCTCATAAATGTGGCCTGAATGCAGTAAAAATATTGATATTTTCTGCATATGCAACTTCAGTTGTTGTCCTCGGTTCATGTGGTCTGAAATGCACATTACTCAAAAAAATGGGTGGATTTATGTTAAAAAATTTGAGTCTTAAAGGGTTTTTTTTAATAAAAAATACATTTGCTTGGTTTGAATTTTATTAAAATGGGTCGCGACTTAAGGACCATGGGAAAATGTGGGTCCCAGAGTGAGACCAGTTGAGAACCACTGCTATAATGTACATTTCTACTGTTACTGAATGAAATTGTTATCAGATGATTATCAATGCTCGTGGCTGCAATTTTAGACCAATAAACTCAACAGTTACTCAGTTTTAAACAGTCTGTTGATCTAATTTTATCTGGGAACAGTTCTGCACAAATGTGCTGTTTTTATATCTTCACAAAAACGTGATTATGTGACAGAAGCCATACCTGTATAACATTTATCCCTGACAGGCCTTGAAACTCTTCCAAACTA